TACCCTATCCCTGGTCATCAAAAGCCAGCTTTGTCCCTGTTAAATGCAAGAATGGTGACCCATGACTTAAGACCATCGACCTAGTTTCTTCTGAACTAAGCCAATAGGTCAGGGAGCCTGGAGAAGTCTATTCCAATGAGGTGCTGGGCGGGCATCACAAAACTTTCAACTCCCATCACCCCTGAGCATTGGCTATGCTAGCTGGGGCTGGTGGGACTTGTAGTCCAAAACTTATGGTGGACACCAGGTTGGGAGAAGCTGGCCTCAAAACTTGGAGGAATCTGGCATATGACACAGATTCCCAGTCCATGTTTAGCATCTGAGTGTAGAAGTTTCATTTTCAGCCAAGTGAAATAAGCTTATACAGTTTGCAAATAACAGCTCACAGCCTCCACTCCCGAACTCTTCAGGTTCTCTTCGAGTGCTTAAGAAAAGCTGAAGATAATCAAGCAAACAGCTTGGTTAATTCACATTAGCCCATCGTTTGCTTCACATCAGGGGAAAGCTGCCCAATGGAAATCAATGTCTGCATTTTAAAAACTGTTATTGCAAAGCTTTGTAAATATTATAAATTACAATAGTCACTATCCTGTTTGAACTCCTTAAATGATGTGCAATGATCAAGGAACATATTTCATGCATTGCTTTTATTTTCATTTCTTTTCTGTTAAACACATATAGTTTGTTCGAAAAGCTTAAAAAGATGCAATTAAAGAAGAAAAACCATAGGAAAAATACTATAAACAATGCAGCATTACTGCTGTTGTTTTATCATTGCTTTCTTCCTGGAGGTATCTAACTGGTCTATCTCTTCCTCTTCGGTCCTGCTTAGTTATCAACTGCACATTCCTTGGGAGACCCCTCACAACTTAAGTTCACTGACACTGCAGGGTAGGAAATATTTTTCAGCCCTAGGGCATCTTACCTTTTTGGGCAATCTTCCAGGGTCCCATGTTAGTGACAGGCGGGGCCAGGGGCAGAGTGATCATGGTAAATTTTACCTTCTCACAGCTGCTTAGTTCCTGCACACTCTTACGCAACCCTCTTATTCCCCGATGTAGACAAGCAAGTGGCATTATTGGAGTTCAAGGACAATTTTCACCCAGTCAAAAGCTAATACTCTACAGTCGGAACTCGCCATGAACGTCTCCCTTGTTCTCTTAGAATGGCAATGGCGCCCACCTGAGAGGTGGCAGAACTGAGTTTTGGCAAGTTCCAGCTGGAAAAAAACCCCTATGTTTACTTGTATTTTTACCTTATATTTTTATCCTGGGAACTGCCCTGAGGCGGTATATAATCTAATAACAACCACCAACCACAATACTAAATTAGGGCAGGCAAGAGGGTTGATTGGATGCATCTGGCCTGCAGAGACCCCCAAGGGCCTGATGGAAAGACCTGGGAGGCCGCATTTGGTCCTCAAACCTGAGGTTCCCCACTTCTGCCTGATTGCTCAGATGTGACAATATCAAGGAGAAACAGCAGTGGGGCCAGGAGATTGTGGGGGTGAGCTGTGGGCCTTAACAGATGCCTCATAAAGCTGACCCCTGATGGCAAGTCCTGAGGCTGTTCATCCTCGTGGATGAAATCAGTATTTCCTGAGATAAGGCAATACCTCACAATTCTAGGCCATTTGTGTTTATGTTTGACTGATTGGATGTGTCGCTTCTCCCCACCCCCACCCTGTTCTGGGGGGTTCTCCCAACCCTCTAGATCAAATATGGGTATTTGAGGGGGGCAGGAGAGGCTGTTCCTTTATTGATCTTATTTGGATGAGTAGTAAATGAAAGGTTCAAAATCTACAAACCCCCATCCATGCCTCCTTGAATTCTTTTATTTTCAGTGACTCATGAGACTGGAAAATTTCAAGGTGCCGAGACGGCCGAAAGGTATTTTAGTAGTCCGATTCGATAAAAGGTCAGAGAGGAATATACACTTGCACACAGCTGCATCTGAGTGGAACCGCTCACATTTTACATGCAGGGAATCTGAGGTTTGATTCCAGGGTACGACACTATTTGTAAATATATATATATATATATATATATATATATATATATATAATGATTGTGTGTGTGTGTGTATCTACACAATTCCACATTACAGGCAAACTTAATGAGGATTCTGTGTGGCTACATTTGAAATTCAAACTATGTGATCTCAGCAGCAGGGCCCTAATTTATTTCTGTTTTCTCAGAGAGACAAAACATGCAAGCACAATCTGTAGATAATTAGGGGGAAAGCATTATAGGAATTCTAGCAGGAGACATATATTTCTGAAATGCTTGGTTGGTGCTGCCAGTTTCACCCTTTCTCCCTTCCCCTTTCATCCTGCCTATAAAGCCATTGTTTTGGCACCTGCAACCAAAAAGACCCACATAGATTATGATCCTTCGACCTGTGAAATCACGTCTTCTGGTTTAAGTTTCCACAGCATCCAAAAAACATATTTTTAAGACTGCTCGCCGAAGAAATTTGCAAAAATTAAGTTTCACCCCCTAAAATGACACACATATTATGTATTGGGATTGTGTTATCCATTGATACAACTTCGTTGGCTGCTTGGAGGGGTACCATGTGGGTGTCACCACCAACATGGCACCTGATTGGTGGACTTCGGTGGTGTTTCTGTGGAAGTTGGAGTCGTGTCTTCCCCCACTGTATGAGGATTTTCCAGTTGTGTGTTTTTCCCCTCCCCTCCCAGAGTGGATATTGGATAGGCAGGCCGTTCCACTGGTGTAGCAGCTGAGTATCTCCAGTGTGCCTATAGGATTGCTTGACCAGTGTGCTTTATATTGTCATTTGCATTGTGTTGTGGTTGAGTTGTCTGCTATGTCATTCTGGCAGTCTCACTGGGCCTTGCAAATGCATTTGCAATAATGAAAGCAAATGCAAAGGAAAGTAATTGGTTATTGATTTACCCTCAGGGCTATAAGCACGCAGTCTTAAAGCCAATGAGAATTCCTATCCACCCACACATTCTCAGGGTTAAGAGAGAGAAAAATATTCTCCTCACCCCAACATGAGACAACATCAAAGAGACGAGCTGAGGATTCTCAAGGTAGTTCAAGCTATCACATATTTCCTGCCCAGCGCTGGACATCTCCAAGACATCAGTTTCTCTTACTTTGGCACACAGCTGTGTTTACACCTACACTTACAAACCTCAGCAGTTTATTCCCGTGTTAATGTCAGCAATAAAGCATCTGTTCGTCCACTTTAATTGGCAAGAGCCTGTGAGAATCATGGCAAAGAGAGACCCCAAGAGCACCACACATACCTAAGCTGAGCCTTGTCAAGTAGTCTAAGAAGCTGTTAGGTGTTGACCTACTTTTGAGATGGGCTGCAGCTGAGGGTCCAGTTAGCTCCATGTAAAGGAAGACTAGAAAGCCAGTAGCTGGGGTAGAGGTCAGGCAGACGCGAGGAGCAAAGGGATCGGAGACAAGAGATGTGTTTGTAGAACAGCTAGAGGTCAGGTGCCAGAACAGGTAGACCAAGACTGAAGGGTCAGAGCCAAGGACAGAGACATGCAGAAGGCTGAGTTCCAATGAAGGATGACAGCACTAAAGGGACCAGAAGTAGATGTGAGGCCTCAGGCAAGCATTCGTCACAGTCTGAGCGAACTGTCAGGAAGAGGAAGCAGCAACATCTTTACACTGAAGATGCTTAGGCTGATGAGCTGGCTTGGCCAAAAAGGGCTTTATAGCAACAGATGTGTCTAAGTGGACTTGGGAGCATCTGGCAGCATCTGGGCTAAAACTGCAGCCTAGAGGGTGCACGGGGACGCGGGTGGCGCTGTGGGTTAAACCACAGAGCCTAGGACTTGCTGATCAGAAGGTTGGCGGTTCGAATCCCTGTGACGGGGTGAGCTCCCGTTGCTCGGTCCCTGCTCCTGCCAACCTAGCAGTTCGAAAGCACAAAGTGCAAGTAGATCAATAGGTACCGCTCCGGCGGGAAGGTAAACGGCGTTTCCATGTGCTGCTCTGGTGCGCCAGAAGTGGCTTAGTCATGCTGGCCACATGACCTGGAAGTTGTACGCCAGCTCCCTCGGCCAATAAAGCGAGATGAGCACCACAACCCCAGAGTCGGCCACGACTGGACCTAATGGTCAGGGGTCCCTTTACCTTTAGAGGGCGTGCACACACAGCCTATTCTGCCTGGCCTGGTGGTGCAAGAAGTAAGGAGCTGGAGAGCAGAGGCTGGACATCATGGTTCGAGACCTGCTTGGTGCCTTACAGAAACCTTAGACCCCTGCCTCTTTTAACCCAGCCCTCAATCTATTGCATTCCATCTAAAAAATAAAATGTCAGGCTTACAAAGATTGTGGAAGGTAATGGGAACATTGCTGCGAACCAGAGATGAAAATTAAATCACTGTAAAGAGTTGGGGAACATTTGTACATAAGGAAACTGGGGAAATGAGCCAATGACTGTGCTGAACATTATGGTCTCTTGTGATTCTGGATTAGTTTAAAGTTTATAAGTCTCTGCTTATATTGCCTTTTTTAATGGGTTATTCTGTTTGTTTGTTTTCTACTTGCCAACGCTACTTAACTTTATATAATAAACTTTTACATTCAGGACAAACATTTGCTCTTATGCTCTTAATTGTTCTTTCCATGTAACTTCACAATCCATTCTCCACAACCTCCTCTGATTTCTTGAGCACCCATTCATTTATTTATGCAGTTCCAAAACCACCATTTCACTTTATTTTTATTTTCTTTACTGTCCTAGACAATCCTTCACTTTAGGCCCCTTTACTCTTATTCAGCATCTTGTCTTACTCTGCTGGTTGACTCAAGTTACAGATGCTGCATTTAGTGACAAGTCCTGATTCAACTGTGTTCATGCAGCTGTTGGAGCTGTCCTTGTTGCCTTGAGTACCTCAATGTAGAAAGGCAGAATACCAAATTTAACAAGAGAAATGAAATATACTTGGTTGGTAAAGCCACAGCAAGATACAAGTTCCTAAACTGGTAAGTAAAATAATCCCAGCAACACTGTAAAAAGAATATTTATTTTATAAACATAAAGCCAGATGCTGCCCCAATACCCTTTTGCAACCAAATATTTATGTCAAATACATCCTTTGGCAACCTGCAAGGTTTCGTAGATAAGTTACCGCTTTTCAAGAACTACACACCAGTTCCCTTGGTCATAGTAACTCTCTTGCACCTCTATGGAATCTAGCCTCTTGCAGAGCGCTTCCAGTTCTCCTTTGGAGAAGACATGGTAATAACGGTGAAATATGGGACTAAGTTCCTGCGAGTCTGCAGAGCATCCCACAGGCTGATGAGACTGGACATGCCTGGATTTCTTCTTCATGCCATCTTTCAGGTGCCAAGGGACCAGCAAGTCTTGGGAGCCAAAGGATGTTCTGTTGGTATGAACGGGCAGTTTGGCATGAACGGCCTGGTTTGCATTGCAACACCTGCTCTTGGGGTGCACTGAACTTTGGCAGTCACTGTCGCCTGTTTCCTCTAATGTGTCACTGCTGAGCTCTTCCGACGCACCACCGCGGGCTCTTTTTTCTTTCAGGTATTTAGACTTCTGGTTCTTGTATTCCTGTTCCATGGCCCAGACATAAATGAGGGCTCTTCCACCCGGCCTCAGCAGCCGGACTAATTCGCAGAGAGCGGCCAGCCTTCTCTCCTGGTCAAGGGGAAAGCAGATCAAGTCAGTCCAAAGGTTAACAGCAGCAGGATTGCAAGTGAGAGCAACGCCTCGAGTACAGCAAAGGAAAACTGATGTGCTCTAGTGGTTTATATAATCAGGAACACCTGTACTGCTCTTTATCTGTTTATTTGGTAAAATAATTTTTTCCCTGCTCTGTAATACTCAAGGCAATTATCAACCTCCATTTAAACGCTGTTGTTTTTCTCTTAAAAGACTGCTTATGCTTGCCATTTTAATGATTGCTTGCTCAAATGAAAAAGGAGCAACCAACGTCACAGATGTAAGCACATTGTTGTAAGGTGTACCCAAGTAAGAAAAAAAAGATAACAATTGGTGCCTAAATCTGGATGTTTCATAACAAGACAATCCATAATCTGGGCCCTGGCTCTTCTATGCAAGAAGGGTTTGCTCCTTCCACCTACCAATGGCATCTCAGATGTTGGTAGGATACAGAACAGGGCCTCCTCCCCTAAGAACTGGAGTGTGTGCACAGGTTCATATGGGCAGAAGTAGCCTTTCGGGTATCCAGTGCCACGCCTTGGGCACCATAGCTTTCCATACACTGAACCGTGTTTTTGTTGCATATAGGAGCAACCCTAGGCACAAGATGCTGGAGTAAAGCAAACTGGCATAAATTAAGCAGCTGCGAAGTATACCAGATTCAAATTCCTGCTTAGGAGTGGGACTACTGCTGACTGAGCCGGCCTAAGCCTGGAAGAGGGAAAACAAGTACTTAAGACGGTATTTGAGTGACACCACCTTTTCTGCTGGTTTAATTTATGCTAGGTGGCTGGGTCACATGACCATTCTGAACAGGCTTAGGAGTTAGGGCTGGGCAATATATCATCCAAAACCGGTTTGAAGTCAATACCGGTTTCATAGTTTTTGACCTGGCAATATATCGCAAATTATGTTGTGTGTGTGCTATGCAAAAATCACAATGTGGGAAAAACCTTGAAGCCAGCTAATGCCTCTACATAGTTCCATCCTCATTTCAGACGTTGTAATATATCAGTTTAGCTGGTGATATATTGTGATGTTGAAAAGCAGATATCGCCCAGCCCTACTTAAGATCCAGCCTGAGTCACCCCCTCCACACATCCTTTTTAGGGCTTACGATGGCTAAAGATCCACCAGGTTCAACTCAGCCAGCTGGGCCCTAGCTAAGCCTGGATGGGGAAGGTACCTCTGACTGAGCCAAGAATGGGGTGATATGCCAAAGTAGCCTGGCTGCACCAGAAACCTCCCAGCTCAGCCAAAGACCCATTGGATGGATCCTAACCCCACCCACCCTGGTTCATCTCGCTATAGGATGGCTCTCTTGGCCAGCTAATGGCTGAGAAGTTAAACATGGGTGTCCTGATAGCCTAGCCCCACCCATCACTGGAAAAGTGAGTGCCACTGAAAGCCAAAGTGGATGATGGGTCTTGGCCCGAGACCCCTGGGAAGCTGCTGTCCTTCGGAAGAGACAATGCTGGGATAGATGGACAAGCAATCTGACCCAGTACAGTCATAGCTTGGTTCTCGAACGTAATCCGTCCCGGAAGTCCATTTGGCTTCCAAAAACGTTTGGAAACCAAGGAACGGCTTCCGATTGGCTGCAGGAGCCTCCTGCACCCAATAAGAAGCCATGTCAGACATTTGGTTTCCAAAAAACGTTCACAAACCGGAACACACACTTCCAGGTTTTCGGCATTCGGGAGCCAAAATGTACGAGTACCAAGGCGTTCAAGAACCAAGTTACGACTGTATAAGACACCCACTGTTGCTGTGTAAAGGATATGGCAACAAATCATAGGGAAGAGTTTTAACTTACCACTGTTGAAAAATGGTGGATGACAGCAATGGAGATACAGGCATCACATGAGCCGCTTCGTACTGGTACTCTGAGAGCATCACACACAAAGGCTTGAAATCCCTTCTCTCCACAAATGTCCACAAGAGTCATGCTACGGTCACAGCCAAACTGCAAGAGAAAATGGGAAGGACTGCGCTCTTAACAAGATACATACAAAAGTTTCATGCGGATTTTGCAAAAATCACCTACAGGCAGGATACCTACTTTCCTTCAGACATTTCCCCCCACCCCCCAACAAAGCCTGCAAGTATTTTGAATTTCTGGCACATTTTTTTCCTCCGCGGAAGAAATAAATTGAGTATCTCAAGGTTGGATCTCACTTCTTCAAAATTTTAACTGCATACTTGTGTAGAAATTTGAAGAAAGAAGGAATAAAAGAGGACTGTCGAGATGTGACACGCTCAAATGGCACCTCTGGATTTCTCCAGCATGTGTGGTAGAAATGCCGTCTCCTTTGAAATGCTGCACTGCGATGGCTGCCTTGTCTTCTGAGCCTCCTCTGTTCCACAATGTCCCAGTAAAGTAGTTCGTTATCATTTGGATTTTGCAGAGGGTGTCAAAAGCAAAGTGCTCCTTACTCCCAGAATAAAATAATTTGGTTTCCTTTCCTCAAAATGTCGTTGGCCTTTGGTAGAAGCTAACACCTATTTTTTTTTATTTTTAAAAATGCAATTAAATAAAAAGAATTTAAAAAGCATGGCAAACAAGGCAAATTTCGACCAGCAGCCATTTCTACCAGGAAGCTGCCTTATATAGTCTATTTAGCTCAGAACTGTCTGTGTTGATTGCCAGCTGCTCTCCAGGATTTCAGACAGGGATATTCCATCCCAGGCCCAACTGGAATTGCTGTGGAGTGAAGCTGGTACCTTCTGCATGGACACTAGATGCTCTACCAATGAGCTAGGACTCCCTCCCTGAAATCTTGAGAAAGATGAAAGAAATTTAAGGCACCACTCAACTTCAACCAGGCATTTTAGCCAATGAAGCTGCAGCACTTAAGAGCCCAATGAGGTTCAAAGGTTTAAGCAGCCTTATAGCTCAGCTGGTTAAAGCATGGTGCTGATAACACCAAGGCTGCAGGTTTGAACCCTGTATGGGACAGCTGCCTATTCCTGCATTGCTAGGGCTTGGACTAGATGATGTTCAGGGTCCCTTCCACCTCTAGAGGTCTATGAACAATTCTATGAAAGGGTTCCATGTACAAACAAGCAGCTGAAAAGAGGAGAAAGTGAGTGCTTCATTGACTGTATCTGTGGCCACCTTCCATGATTAAAAAAAGAGGCACAATTCTTCTGATTTCAATCACACTCTGTCCCAGATATGTACAGTATAAATTGACTGGGAAGCAGGAATTCAATCAAAAAGACAATACTGGGGTGACCTTGAAAAGAGGCAACACTGTACTCTGATGAAATGTAATGAGCTGCAGCTAAGCTAACCAAGAGGAAGAAAGCCTACGACCGGCAGAATATGAGGTTCCTAATTTGCATCTAAATTATATCAAATAATTGTGAAGTCGGGCTTACTTGTAATGTCCTATGTATTAAAGCGAATCCACTACTGCCCAAAACAAAAGATTAGATCTTGCACTGGGAGGTGGGGAGGACCCCGGGAGCATTGCCTATCTCAATTGAGATGCAGAGAAGAAACTGCAAAGGCTACACAGGCTTCAGATTAAATTTGCATTTGATATAAATAATACGATGGGAGCTGCAGGCATGCCCATAATGACTGGACACAGATAATTACGAGTTGCTAAGAAGGTGTAATGATCTTACTGGATTATCAGAGGCACTTTCATATTATTTTAATTAACTCATTCTCTCTTTCCCCCCATGCTTATGTGAACCAAGGTTTCATCTGGCTCAGCCCGTCATCCCGTCTGAAATCCCAACGTTTAGCCTTGCAGCGGGTGAAGTAACAAAGATGAACACTCCTGAGCATCTGCAGAGTGCCTTTGCCACACATCCATAACCATGCATTTGAAGCAGTATTTTGTTGTTGTTTAGTCGTGTCCGACTCTTCGTGACCCCATGGACCAGAGCACGCCAGGCACTTCTGTCTTCCACTGCCTCCCACAGTTTGGTCAAACTCATGCTGGTAGCTTCGAGAACACTGTCCAACCATCTCCTCCTCTGTCGTCCCCTTCTCCTTGTGCCCTCCATCTTTCCCAACATCAGGGTCTTTTCCAGGGAGTCTTCTCTTCTCATGAGGTGGCCAAAATATTGGGGCTTCAGCTTCACGATCTGTCCTTCCAGTGAGCACTCAGGGCTGATTTCCTTCAGAATGGATGCGTTTGATCTTCTTGCAGTCCATGGGACTCTCAAGAGTCTCCTCCAGCACCATAATTCAAAAGCATCAATTCTTCGGCGATCAGCCTTCTTTATGGTCCAGCTCTTACTTCCATACATCACTACTGGGAAAACCATAGCTTTAACTATACGGACCTTTGTTGGCAAGGTGATGTCTCTACTTTTTAAGATGCTGAAGCAGTATTATACCACTTTAAACAGTCATAGAGTTGGAAGGGATCCAGAGGATCATCTAGTCCAGACATGTCCAACAGGTTGACCATGATCGATAGGTAGATCCCCTGGTGATCCTGATCGCGGGCTTAAGTAAACTGCAATCCTCTCCCACAAAAGCTCAACAACTATTATCTCTCCCAAAAAACTCAGGTCAATCCTCCCCAAAAAAAGCTCAACAACTGTGGTCAATCCTTAACGACAATGGGTAGACCACTGCCAGTTTATTCTTTTATTCATATTGGGAGTAGATCACAGTCTCTTGGGAGTTGGACGGGTCTGATCTAGTCCAACCCCCTGAAATGCAGGAATCTCAACACATGGTCCCCCATGGCTTTCCCCAAAGAATCTTAGGAGCTGTTCTGTTCTTCCTGTTCACATTTCTTGAGGCTGTGAAGGAAAGAAACTAAAGTGCCATGGTTTCACCCTAGAATAGAGCCATATTTTTTGCAGTGGCCACATTTATTTCTATTACCAGGTTAGTGACGGAGATAGGAAGATGCAAAATATAATAATTATTAGGGAGCCTGCCATCCACAAGATGCTGATTATCTCCCCAAGCTCAGGGAACAAAAAGAACCACAGGATACTGTGGTCATTTTAGCTTTACCTCACAATAACTAACTCCTCCTGGTGGAATTAGATCATTTAAGTCCATTTGAAACCTGATTGATGCGACTCATCAGAAAGCTGATGGAGAGAGAACTACATCTAATTTTGAAATCCAGCCACCAAATGAAATTATGTGGCTCCCTAGAGAAACATCTCAGCTATAACTAATAGCATGAGAGTCTCGAGGAAGCAAATTAAATTCGGGCAAATTCATACAAACACAGCAAGAAAGATGACAGCATGCAGCCACAGTGCAGGAGAGAGAAATTCCCTTGCTTCACTTGTTCTGAGTCAGACCTTTAACATTTCTTTCACGTAGTGTTTTGTTTTCCCTCACAGAGAGCTGCCGCGTCACCTTTCAGAGAGAAGGGGCTGCGTCTAAAAACGAGAAGGCCATCTCTCGTCGCCACGAAAAGGAGAATTGTGTCGTATACCCAGTGGGCTCCCTATTTTTATTTTTGGCTTTCTTTTCACCTGTCTGCTGTTTTGAGTCCTTCACCTGCAAGATATGTTCCCTTTTCATTGGCTAATAAAGCAATACTTTGATTGAAAGGATGTGCAAGGTTCCCATCATCCCAAATCCACATTTGCCTTTTGGCCAGTGCAGCAAATCTATCACTCGCTTCCAATCCCCAAGAGTCTCTCTCAAAAATCTCTTGGTAATTTCAACACTCCTTTGGCTATTTCTCACACACTCTGTCAAACAATTCAGATCCAAGCTAAAACCACACCAAATTTATGAAGTGAGCCGTTGTGATGTTGACGGGCATGCTGCAATAATACTGGAGCAACCTCATGTATGTTTATTATTATCATCGTTATAACTGGCAGGCATGTTTATCTCCCTTCTTTCTGCTCACTGATAAAATAAAAGTTCCTATTATAATTCCCTGTCTGGAATTATAATGCATCTGCTTCAGGCAATTTATTTTTAACCAGAAGGAATCTACTGATTTATAAGTGGGCGTGTTTATGCCTGAATGTTGTAGCCTGAAAATAATTATTAGTTGATTTGGGATATTAACTACATTGCAGACGCCAGTTCCTGAATGAGAGAGCTTGCTGGAGAGACAAATCTTAATGACGGATTGCTGCAAAGAGGGACAAAGTTAATCAACAATAAAGCTTCTCTTGGCCTCTTCAGGAGCAAGTCAGCTTGGGGTTTGCTTACTGTCTAAAAGTGGCTTTCGAATTGTGTGCCAGTTAACATTTTTTTACTCGTAGGGAGCAATCTTAAGGCTAGGGTCTATCAGCTGAGATGTCATAGGATTTGGTAGAAGACTAGCTACACTGGCAGAAGCAAAATATGCCACCATCATGAGAGGTAGGCCAGTGGAAGACTTCAGATATGTCGATGGAACATAAGAAGAGCCTGCTGGATCAGGCCAATGGCCCGTCCGGTCCAGAACTGTATTCTGAGAGTGGCTGACCAGATACCTATGGGAAACCCAAAAGCAGGATTCAAGCACAGGATCTTCAAGCACTCTCTACTCCTGTGGTTTCCAGCAAGTGGTACAGTGGTACCTTGGGTTACATACGCTTCAGGTTACAGACTCCGCTAATCCAGAAATAGCGCTTCAGGTTAAGAACTTTGCTTCAGGATAAGAACAGAAATCATGCTCTGTCGGCGCGGCGGCAGCAGGAGGCCCCATTAGCTAAAGTGGTGCTTCAGGTTAAGAACAGTTTCAGGTTAAGAACAGACCTCCAGAACGAATTAAGTACTTAACCCGAGGTACCACTGTATTCAGAAGCATTGCTGCCTCTAACTGTGGAGGCAGAACACTGTCAAAATGGCAAGTAGCCCATTGATTACCCTTCCCTTCATGCATCTGTCCTTTAAAGCCATGTAGGTTAGCGGTCATCACTGTTTCCTATGGGAGCAAGTTCCATAGTTTCACTATGCACTGAGCTGATTAAAGTTCCTGGAATATTCCAAACTAAGGATACCCGAAAGAAGACTAGAGAAACACATTTGTACATGTAGGCTTTGTGTTCTAAAGCAGGGGTGGCCAACTCACAACCCACGGGGCCATATCTGCCCTACAAAGCAATTTTACCTGGCCCCTGGCAATCTACCTACTTTTAATCAGTGTGGGGTTAACATTTCGCCCTCAGCGCGGTAATGAAAGTGAGGGATTTTCTTCCACAATGTCATGTTTCACGTCTCTGAAGTGTGCATGTAATTCCTTGGCAATCTCTAAGCTCCTTCTTATTAGAGCTATGAAGCTCTTACCTGTCCGTGAACTGTCTCGCCAGAGTGGTGCATGCTCTAGTTATCTCCCGATTGGACTACTGCAATGCGCTCTACGTGGGGCTACCTTTGAAGGTGACCCGGAAACTACAACTAATCCAGAATGCGGCAGCTAGACCGGTGACTGGGGGCGGCCGCCAAGACCACATAACACCTACATTGAAAGACCTACATTGGTTCCCAGTACGTTTCCAAGCACAATTCAAAGTGTTGGTGTTGACCTTTAAAGCTCTAAACGGCCTCGGCCCAGTATACCTGAAGGAGCGTCTCCCCCCCCCCCATCATTCTGCCCGGACACTGAGGTCCAGTGCCGAGGGCCTTTTGGCGGTTCCCTCACTGTAAGAAGCAAAGCTACAGGGAACCAGGCAGAGGGCCTTCTCAGTAGTGGCACCCGCCCTGTGGAATGCCCTTCCCTCAGATGTCAAAGAGATAAACAACTACCTGACATTTAGAAAACATCTGAACAGCCCTTTCAGGGAAGTTTTTAATGTGTGACATTTTGATGTATTTTTAATCTTTGTTGGAAACCGCCCAGAGTGGCTGGGGAAACCCAGCCAGATGGGTGGGGTACAATTATTATTATTATTATTATTGACTTGACGATGGTTTGGAAGGCAATGTGGTTCCTGAGAAAACAGAAATTGGTCACCTTTGCTCTTGGAGCAGGGGTAGGGAACCTGTGCCCTTCAGGGGACCTCAACCAGCGGCCAGGGATTACGGGGGTTGAAGTCCATCAAAATGTGAAAGGCCACAGATTGCCCATCCTTGCTCTACTTTGTCTTTTTCCCCCTCTGGCTTTGTACTTTGAACAGCAACCGTGAAAAGTACTCTACAGCTGAAGCAGCTCTCCTGGGGTTTTAATCTTCAAGCACTGCCTGAAAGTGGGGGGATGGAACTTTGCTCTCTGTGTTATCACATTTTCTTGACTTTTCTTGGGATTATTCCATATAACCTCAGGTATCATTATATGGTAATATAGCATGAATCCAGGCACAGTCGGCCAAACCGGTTAGGCTCGTAATGGCAAAATTTAGTTGTCAAAATACAGACGCAGCAGTTTCAGGACACACTGGAGAGGGAAAACTTCAAGGCAGTGGGAAAAGCCAAGATGGGACTGGGTGGCACAATTTCAGGGGGATCCCCAGCTGGAACCAAGAGCTGCAGAAGTCTAGGTCTATGACCAAGCCTAAGAAACTACAACAATTGTTTCTGCACAGGCTTGATGGGCTTCTACGGAGAGCAGAGATGTGAAACACTGGTGGTAACGGCAGGCGGTATAAGTGTCCTGATCCATATCTCTGTCCCCCCCCCAGGAGGCAAGATGCTACAGCTGCCCCTGCTGGCTTTGTGCTGGTGGACCCTGGACAAGAAAGAGAAGCCAAGAGTTTCAGAACGATGGAAAGCAGCCCTGCAATTCAAAGGAGGAGGAGGGAACGAGTTCACTCAAAGATAAAGGGATACTGTTCATTTTTATTCATCTCAAAAGCGAGTGCCAATCTGGCTCTCCGCATCCATAATTTGCAGTCGAGTGCATTACAGCTAGTGCCAGCAACTGACAGCCAGGATCCCACCATGATGGCAAGCACATGCTCCAGGTTCCAGATTCGGCCACCCACAACCCTGGTCCGGTTCTGACACATGCCACAGTTGTTAGAATGGCTTTATTGGGCTTTAGGAACTCTTTATCATTTTGAATGGCCTGTTTGAATATTGGCTCAACTCAGGTGACCTTCCAGAGCCAAATAAAAGTCAGAATCGCCATCTGAGGGATTGGAAACATCCTCCCCCTGATTCCAGCCTATATATTTGAAACTGAACTACTGTGTTGTAAGTCACTTTTTGGGAGGGAAGGGAAAGGAGGAGAAAGAAAAAGAAAAAGAGAGGGAAAGCTTTCCATGCAGGAAATATGTCATAGGAGATGCAATCCTGATAGGGTAACTATCCCCTTCAAAGCAAGGAGGACTGAAACCACATAGTTCCTTACCATATGTAAGTCTTTGCGGACTCCTAAATACTTTCCATTGCCACAGCCAACATCAGCCACAACAGCCCCACACGGCAAAGTCCTCAGGAATTCAACGACTCGCGGCCATGGGCTGTGTCTCGTGCTACTGAAGTGCGTGGCAATCCCTTCATACACCTCGTGTACATACTTTTCTTCTAGCTTCGAGGCTTCTCTCTCATTATCCGGGAAGGAGGGCTCTGTGTCCTTACGCTGACTGTCACACACAGAAGGATAAGCTACAGGGTAGGAAAGGATAAGGATTTATTTGTCCGTAAACAGAACACAGTGCTCCAAACCAGAGCGGTCCATTTTGGATTGTGCTCACTTAACAGAGAATTCTGAAAACCGCAAACCAAATTGCACATTTTGAGTTTCAGTTTTAAAATTGAATTGAATTTAAAATGGCACATCTATTACCTAGTTAGTGATCTACACTAAACTATACATTGATGAACTAAATCAGTGTTTCTCAAACTTGGGTCTCCAGCTCTTTTTGGACTACAATGCCCATCATCCACTGGTCTTGCTAGCTAGCTGGAGACTCAAGTTTGGGAAACACTGAACTAAATGGTATATCTCAGTTTAAACTGGGAATACTCTAAGAGGATCAGGGTGCAAGAGTATGGTATGGGCAGAGTAGATACTAGACCTAGGTTTACATCCTAGGAACTGTAACTGAAAAACACTATGGCCAGGATCCAAAACACAAGAAGTATTCTACCCATGCATAGGGGCTTTCCAGATGCTACCCCTTGTGCTTTGAACCCCCTGTGCACCCTCCAAAATTATTGGGATCTTTTGGAGTGCCATCTATCAAGGCGTAAGGGGCTTCTACTAGAAGGGAAGATTAGCAACCCTATAAGCATGATTCCAAAGACTCACTTTGCATGTCTGCATGTAACTGTCAACATTAACCATGGGTTTAAAGTTACATTGCACCAAAGTTAATGGTTCATGTGAAACCATAATACCAAATTCTGGCTCAAAAGAGAACCATGGTTAGAATAAACTGTTGCTTAGTTAGCACCAGTGCACAAATAACTCTTCAAAACTTTTAATGTTGAGATGGGAAGGAAGACTTCTCTTTGGGGAGAGGAGCAGGGGAGGAGAGTGAGTTTGTGTCCCTAGACTGGATCTCAATTTGCAAACCATGGTTTCCATGCTATATCTGTACCACGTTGCATGCAAAAATGGTACAACTGCATCGTACAAGTTTAAATAAGGGCGAAGACAGGATGCTTCATGGCATGGTGTGGAAACCAGCAACAAAAAGCCCAAACTTATATTGGGTGACTACATAGAACCATGCTCCCTAGGTGTGCCGATGTGACAACAAACCTTAACAGCAATTCCCAAAGTTTACACCATAAGAAGCAAATCAAAAATCTTTTTTTTTCCCTTGGAACACATTGATCAAATTGTTTGTGTAAAGCTGTCTGAACTACTAGAGCTATGCTCGACTCAAAAGCCTTACTTTGATTAAGGTGCTCCTTCTGTTCTAAAGGGTGTTCTTTGGCCACAGGAATGCTTTCTGGAGGCTAAAAGGTGAGAAATATTGCTTACTCCTGCTGCACTTTCAAAGACAAATTTGTCGCTAGTCGAGAAGAAGGGGTAGTGGTTTGTTTTTAAAAGGAGACAACAAAGAAAAAATGTTATTTCCAGGTGAAATAAATATTGTGTAGCAGCAGCAGACCAACCAAGGAATAAAAGCCCTGTAGTGAAACACACCCAGTCAAAAGGGAAGGAATCTAACCACTCACCTGCTGCTGCTCGAACCCATCCAATCAGAGAGGGTGGGCTTTGGAAGGGACAGCATTAAGGATTGCAGAGGAAATGGGTCAGCACTGGGTGACAAGTTGAAAGAGCCCCAGGAGAGTCCTGGGAGTGGGGAGGAGGATGGGACCAGTAGGAATGTAGTGGTCACCAGTGGTCACGCCCTAGGGCACGGTTGGCAAGAATATCCAGAGAAGAGGGAAGAAGTGCCCCTACTGCAGGCTGTTAGCTCTCATAGACCTTCCACTCAGCCCTAGTTTATTTCTTTGCCCAAAGTGGGGCTCCCATATTGCCAAGACAGCTTGTTCCACAACTGGAGGCCAGGAGGAGAGCTCAGAGACGAGTGCCTGACACTCCTGGGATACAGGAGGGATAGATTATATGGTGCCCTCCAGATGTTGCTGTACTACAACACCCATCAGCCCGGCCGGCAGCATGGTCTTTTTTAAAAAATATAATTTTTATTAACCGACCAATCAAATCACATCACATAAATTCCGAATTACAAAGCCGAATTTTAAATTTTTGTTGAGGGGACCCATATTTCAAGTTTCAAAGGGGGATTCCGATCATCTTCTTGCTACTGCGTTCATATCCCGCCGGCAGCATGGTCAATGGTGAGGAAGGCCAGAGTTGCAGTCCGCAACATCTGCAGGATACCACGTTGGCTACTGCTGCAATACGTGGTAAGTGTCCCAAGATGCTGTAGCCTCAGCAAGACATGTTGAAGCTTGCTTTTTAAAAATGCATTTCTTTTACAGGATTTGCATGCTGCTTAACTGCAAAAACGGTTTGCATAAAATATACATTAATATTATTGATAAAAGTCAGAAGTTAAATTGACCTAAAATAATTTAAAATTATAAATAAGATCTGCAGTTAAAATACTCATTCTAAAGTAAATCACTCATTAAAATATATGTTGACTTTACATAGCTGGCCAGACTTGCCTAAAGAAAAAGAAATTGTTTAGCAGGTGCCAAAAATAGTATGGTTAAGGTGCTGGTCTGGTGTCAATGGGCAGGGAGTTCTACAGAGTCAGAATGAGGAGCAGTTAATCCAGCCATGCCTTTAAGAGCTGAGGGCCAAGTGGGGGGAGCATAGCCTTAAAGGAGTGGGACCCAACGAGCTCCATTGTTTACATCTGAATAACTGGAACTTACAGCAATTGCAAGGGCTTCTCCTCACTTTTCTGAAAGTGAAAGATGTCCTTTCCCCTCTCTTGTTCAAGGTTAAATCTCCAATGTCAGTAGTGACTGCTCCAATTTTCTGTCCTTCAGATGCTTGAACAATGTCAAACTTCCTAGGTGTGATGCTTTAAAACAAAACAGAAGCTAGGATTATTATTATTATCTAACATGAGGAAGAAGAAGAGTTTGGATTTGATATCGCACTTTATCACTACCCGAAGGAGTCTCAAAGCGGCTAACATTCTCCTCTCCCTTCCTCCCCCACAACAAACACTCTGTGAGGTGAGTGGGGCTGAGAGGCTTCAAAGAAGTGTGACTGGCCCAAGGTCACCCAGCAGCTGCATGTGGAGGAGCGGAGACGCGAACCCAGTTCCCCAGATTACGAGACTACCGCTCTTAACCACTACACCACACTGGCTCACCACACACGACAAACACATTAGATGAAATGGTTCATGGAAACCTGTGAAATAATGAGACAAGTGTCTAAACGTCTATGTACCGGGGGGGGACAGCCCATCTCAGGCTCTGCAGGTTTCGGGCCACCAGCTCTTGAAACACCAGCATCAGAATCTTGGTCTGATTCCCCAGTTGGGGGTACAACAGCCCCCCAGAGACAGTTGGTTCCTCCTGCTCTTCAGAGTTCAAGACTATGACATTGCCAGACTAAAATGAATTGCTCTGCACTACAATGTATTGCTGCAGGTCCCTCTTGGATCTGCATACCTCATTTGCTGACATTACGGACCTAGGACCCTTGTACCCCTATGGGACCACCTCTCCTGGTATGTCCCACGGAGGACCTTACAGTCTTCAAATAAAAAAATCTTGTTTTTCTCCCCCTAATGTCTCAACAAATGAAACGGATTTGTAAAAATGTTACATGGAAAAAATACGAGAGACATTACACTTACTTCCGTAAAACAAGAAAATCTTTAATAATAATTAAAAAAAATAAAAATAAAAACATCTTGGAGATCCCGGGCCACAGGGAGGTTAGGCTGGCCTCAACCAGAGCCAGGGCTTTTTCGGCCGTGGTCCCAATCTGGTGGAACGCTCTGTCACAAGAGACTAGGGCCCTGCAGGACTTGACATTTTTCCACAGGGCCTGCAAGGCAGAGCTGTTCCACCAGGCCTTTGGCCAAGGCACATGACCTCCTCTCTCCTTCTGTAATCCTCATAGAACTCTAGCCCAATGGTTGCCATTAATTTGATACTGAATTGATTTTAGAATGTATTTCAATTAATTAACTGTGATTTTATGTAAATTGTGCTATTTTTCCTGTTGTTAGCCGCTCTGAGCCCGGCTTCGGCTGGGGAGGGCGGGATATAAATAAAATTTTATTTTTATTTATTTTTTTATTTGCAGACCTTGATATTGACAAGGGAAATGCCCACAATGCAGACCTTTCAGAGCAAGGGCAATGCCCTGGATAGTGCCTCAAAGGAGCCTGGGTTCAAATTCCTGATCAGCCATCATGTTCTCTTTGGGCAAGATGCTGCCTCTCTGTTTAATCTACCTCACACGGTTGCTGAGAGAATGAAAGTGGGAGGAAAGACCCATAAATACCATTCTCGAGCACCCTGGAGGATTGGTGGGATCGTAACATAATGAATAAATCTGTCTGGTACAGGAAAAGGAATCTTGGGAACTCTGTGGCCCAAGTATCCCTCTGTACAGTCTGTCTGAGCTTCCTCAGGGAAAACTCCAAATCTTTCTCACGTCCAGCCTTTTCCCCCTCAACTTGATAAACGAACTTCATTAATGCAGAATTTGCCATGGAGGAGTTGTATATCTGTCCAGGGGACTAGTTGAAAGCCCATCAGAATTGCTGACTTGAAAGGGCCTCAGCACTTGACTCCCAGCAAGACAAGCGCTCAGCCTGTTATTGACTTCTATGCTGCTGAGCCGAGTTCAGCCGTGGCAGAATAAACTGCAGCAAATCATATCATTGCTTTGCGAGTTTGAACAAAGCAGACCTAAAAACCACATACCCATGCACACTACCTCACCATTTTTTAGTTATCCTAAAACATCTAGCCTGGTTTCTAAAGCCAACATAAATGGGCATATCTTCAAAGGAGCAAAGGGCCCATGTCCCTGCCTATCACCTCTATTCCTCTAGCTCATGAGTGGAGAACTTGAGGTTTTCCAGCTGCTGTTGGACTCCAACTCCCATCAGCCCCTGCCAGCATGGCCAATGATCAAGGAGGATGGGAGCTGGAGTCCAGGATCATTTGGAGGACCACAGGCTCCCTAGCCCTGCTGTAAATAAACAAGAAACGGGAAATGGATTATCATCATTAACTGGTGACTGCTAAAGAAACAAGAAGGGAAGTCTGCCGCCAGTCTGCTCTGCCATTTTTATGCATGTAATATCATTAACTTGTGACTGTCAACACCCACCCATGGGTCCAGAGGTATCTAGATTCTCCAGACATTACCAGCAAGCTACGCTGAGGCAGCATAACTGCTGCGGCATGTCCATCCGGATGTTTGAAATCCATAACAATCTGTGGAAAAGAGGGGGAAATCATCTGTTATTTCTGAGAATTAACTGTAAGTAGGCAAGATTTGTAGTGATGTATGAAAGTGACAGCTGGACCATAAAGAAGGCTGATCGCCGAAGAATCGATGCTTTTGAATTATGGTGCTGGAGGAGACTCCTGAGAATCCCATGGACTGCAAGAAGATCAAACCTCCCCATTCTTAAGGAAATCAGCCCTGAGTGCTCACTGGAAGGACAGATCCTGAAGTTGAGGCTCCAATACTTTGGCCACCTCATGAGAAGAGAAGACTCCCTGGAAAAGACCCTGATGTTGGGAAAGATGGAGGGCACAAGGAGAAGGGGACGACAGAGGACGAGATGGTTGGACAGTGTTCTCGGAGCTACCAGCATGAGTTTGACCAAACTGTGGGAGGCAGTGGAAGACAGGAGTGCCTGGCGTGCTCTGGTCCATGGGGTCATGAAGAGTCGGATACGAGTAAACAACAACAACAACAGGCAAGATTTGCCGCAGAAATCAGCATTTTGATTGTATGTGTACGGACACAGTAGGCATTTGCACTCAGAATCACACAGTCTTTGGGAACACAGAAGCTGCCTTGTACAGAGTCAGGCCATTGGTCCACCAAGTTCAGTACTGCCTATACTGACAGTATGGATCACTGCCTGGAAAAGACCCTGATCTTGGGAAAGATGGAGGGCACAAGGAGAAGGGGACAACAGAGGACGAGATGGTTGGACGGTGTTCTCGAAGCTACCAACATGAGTTTGACCAAACTGCGGGAGGCAGTAGAAGACAGGAGTGCCTGGTGTGCTCTGGTTCATGGGGTCACGAAGAGTCGGACACGACTAAACAACAACAACAACATACTGACTGGCAGTGGCTCTCCAGGTATTCAGGAATGGGACATTCCAAGGTGTACCTGGAGATGTTGGAGATTGAACCTGGGAACCTTCTGACTGCAAAGCAAAAGCTCTGCCACTGGGCTACTGCCCTACAATTTTACAAGGGGTTTTGTGATGGACTGGCTGGAGACACCAGTTGGGAGAAGAGGGAGCAGGCTGGGAGAAGGCGGCTGGCCGAAGCTGAAGAGGCAACAGGGTTTAGTGAGCAGGAAGAGTCTGTGACAGAGAGCACTCCAAAACCAGAGGCTGGAGAGGAGGGGGGCCAAGAGGCAGCAACATGTCAGGCTCATGAGGAGGCCGGGCTGTCCCCCACTTCCGCTGCCACCAGCTCTCCTCCCCTCTGGTTTCCCAGAATCCAAAGCGGTATGATGAGGACGGAGCAAAGACCAGCAAGACAAAGGAGCCTCAGATTGCTTGGGAAGGAATCAGGGAGGAGGAGACTTAGGGAGTAGTGGGAAGGCAGGGACCTTCAGTCCCCACAACTGACTCATAGGGGCAAGTTCTACCGGGATGAGTTGCTTTGCTCACTGGGCCTGGCCTCCTGAGCTATCTTGCTTCTTTGAATAAAGAGTTAACTGAAGCCGTGTGAGTTATTGCTGACGTGCTCCTGTCAGGTTTGGACAAATTCATACAGAATAAGGCTGTCCATGGCTATTAGTCAAGACAATGATATACTATCTCCCGGATCAAAGCCAGTATGATTCTGAATACCAGTAGCTGGGGTACATCATGACAGAGCTATTGCCCTCGTGTCCTGCTTGTGGGCTTCCCAAAGACATCTAGTTGGCCATTCATAGATGTTTAGGGTGGCCTGCCAGGGCTTAGACATCACCCCTGGTTTTGCAGTCCAAGGCAGGCAGCAAAAAACAAGGAAACTTAAAGTCCTTAAAGGACGACCATACCTGGCTGGTGGGGCTGTGCAAAACTTGGTGGGTTGCAGGTTGTATGGACCACACATGGAGCAAAATAAAAAATGAAATTACCGGATTCTTCCATTTATAAGACTATATTTTCCCGCAAATTTTTAAAGTTTAAAGTTGGGGGTCGTCTTATACATGGAATGTTTAAAATATTTATTTCTTAATTTTGGGCTCAAAAAATAGGGGTCGTCTTATAGACGAAAAATATGGTAAATGCCCCCCCCCCCGCAGAAGGGACACAACCTAGCATTGGCCATGGCTGAGAACCAGCACTCAAAATGCCCCATTTAAGTACAGTGGTACCTCGGGTTAAGAACTTAATTCGTTCTGCAGATCCGCTCTTAACCTGAAACTGTTCTTAGCCTGAGGTACCACTTTAGCTAACGGGGCCTCCCGCTGCCACCATGCGATTTCTGTTCTCATCCTGAAGCAAAGTTCTTAACCCAAGGTACTATTTCTGGGTTAGCGGAGTCTGTAACCTGAAGCATCTGTAACCCAAGGTACCACTGTACACAGGAACCTGCTGGATCAGGCCAATGGTCCATCTAAGTCCAGCATTTTCTTCTCACAGCAGCCAAACAGATGCCTATGGGAAACCTGCAAGTAGGAACTGTGTGTAGTAGCAACTGGTATTTAGAAGCATTGCTGTCTCCAACAGTGGATATTATAGTGGCAATATGTGTAGAAGAATACATGGAAAAACATTGTTCCAAAACAAATTGATTGATATGCATCAACCAAATTTTGTAAAGGCAAAATATGGCTAGATGGTTTATGGGGGAAATTAAAAACAATATTCACAACACAATAGAAACAGAGTGTGAAACAGAAGAAGCTGTTAGGTGGTGGAGGGAAGTCACAGGGTGAGGAATAAGGAAAAGCTATTTAGATACATACACACAGAATTGAAAATAGCTATAATTCGAAATGTGCTGTAAAGTGTGTTATGAAGATGTCATGGAATGAAATAATTTAAAATAAAGAGTATCAAGTATACATCCACATTTTGCAAGAGGGTTTTGCCCTAGTTCCGCCTCCTCAAATGCCATTGTAGAAGCCTTCCAGAAAGTAATTTCTATCCCACTTTTAATAATAATAGCAATAATAATTATGATAATAATCCTTTTGCAGTCTCGAAGGCTTCTGTTCTGACTCTGCCTTGCCGAGGTCACCCACTGAAGGAGCCAGACAGCATCTCCCTGCCTCTTTGTAAGTCTTTATCCCAGCAGTGCAATCTAAGTCGCCAATTCTTTGTCTCGTCCCCCACCCACCCACAGACACAAAAGGAAAGAGAGGGAGGTGCATTAAGGCTCCTGGTCTTCTTTTTAATTCACTAAGGACTAGCAATCAATAGCGCTACTTCTGCCACTGCCAAATCAATCCGCCTCTCATGACAGCTTTCCTCCACAGGAGCGATTTCCAATTACTATTTTTGCTTCTACCCATTTTCTTTATTCTCGGAGGTGGCAAAGCCAATGAAGATCAAATTTCCAGCTTGCCCATTGTGCACCGCTAAGGACTGCAGTCAATAATACGTGTTATATATACAAATTTTTATATGTGTCTATATTATGGGAGGCGATGCTGGATATCTGATCTCGCACAATCCTTTCCAATGTTTCTTTCAAAGGGGGGGTTTCGGAATAGCGTGTCTTCACACCCAGCCCTTCCCTCAAAAGCGTGAGCGATACGCATGAAGCTAAGAATACCACTCTGCAGTGTAAACATGACGCTGGAGCAAGCGTTCGTGACGAGGGAATGCGTGGCAGAGCATGCAAAGATGCCTAGATAGACATCGGAGCAGGCGCTTGCATTCTGAAGGCTGCTCCCACTGCTAAAGGCATGGGCAAAATAATGCAAAGGGGGGGGAGCAGGGGGAGGTGGGGTGGGGAGAGAGAATTCAAAGAGAAGAGCGGCTGGGAGAGAAAGGGGCATTTCTTAGAGCTAGGAAAGTACCACAAGGCTGCTTGCACAGAGGTGAAATTGCATTTGGCAGGCCATGTAGACAAAAGAGAGAGAGAGAGAGAAGGAGGGGGAAATCATTGTTAAAGAGGCTATATAGAAAGTGAGTCATTGTTTGATAATGATAGCTATAACATTGGCATGGACAATAAGGGATGCAATGTGATTTTTTTAAAAAAAGAGAAACAAGCCAAAAGAACAAAAGCCCTGCAAAGTGATACCTTTTATTTGGATCAAATTCTGTAGCTGTAGGCCAACTTCCAGATTACACTTAACTCTTCATTCGGCAGATCTGAGGGACTCAACAGCTTGCAAACTCCTACCACAGGGGTTGAACAGCAGCTCACCTATTTTAAACCTTTATTAAAATGGAACCTGCTTATCTATTACATCTCCTATGATAGATAGATGCTGAAAATAGAAGATTGAAGCTGAGGCTCCAATACTTCGGCCACCTCATGAGAAGAGAAGACTCCCTGGAAAAGACCCTGATGTTGGGAAAGATGGAGGGCACAAGGAGAAGGGGACGACAGAGGACGAGATGGTTGGACAGTGTTCTCGAAGCTACCAGCATGAGTTTGACCAAACTGCGGGAGGCAGTGGAAGACAGGAGTGCCTGGCGTGCTCTGGTCCATGGGGTCATGAAGAGTCGGACAAGACTGAACGACTAAACAACAACAACGATAGAAGATAGATAGATAGATAGATAGATAGATAGATAGATAGATGATATAGAGATAGATAGATGTCTCTGCTCTTACACACTTCTTGAACACAGAAAGCTGTCTTATACTGGCATGATTTGTACACTACACTAAGCTAAACCATGACTAAGTGTGAACGAGCAAGTGTGAGAGCACACTTAGTGCATGCTGCTGCATTCTGCTGCATTCTGCACTTGTTAGAGCTTCCAAGTCCTCCTCGAGGGAAGTCTCATGTGCAGTGCATTGCAATAATGCAATACGGAGGTAACCAGGACATGGGACACCGTTGCCTGGTTACCTTTCTCTGCAGTAAGAACTGCAGCAAGTATGAATGAACTTTCAAATCGAAACCGGTGTATCATCCACCCATCAGATGGGAGCGAAGCAAGAGATGGGTCAGTAGCCGGTGTAGATTAGAGCAAGAAAGAGGAAACGGGATCTAAATCGGCTGACGTGCTGATGTCTTTCTTCTTCAGATACCAGGAGAGGGAAAGTGTTTGGGTTGTATCCAACTAAGTCCTACTCGAAGCAGGCTCATTGAAATTAGTAAAACTTGTGGAGGATGAGGATAAACTATGGCCCAAACTCGAGTCCAACATGACAGATGCAACCACCACTACATGCTCTTTGGTTCTCTAAAAACAAATTTAGACCTTGCCCTAATTTTCAAAACAGATGAGGAGCTGGTGGCCAGCCAATTTGGAAGGCAGGCAAATCCCACCTGATGACATACAAATGACTTGACCTCACATGTCTTCAATACGCAACTTGCCATCTTATCGCTTGTCCGATAACACCAGGCCACAAGGCACCCCTACTTCTCCTTCCTATCGATTTGCTTATTTGGAATTAGAGTCTGCCTGCCCTAAGCCACAAAGTATTTGCTGCTGAAAGTTTGCTGCCGGGAACTTTTGGCTCCTGAGGCCAAGAGTTTAACAGTTTTCATTGCCTCTTGATCTCTCTCACGCTGACTGGTGTAGCGAGAACTTAATCCCCCCCAGGAAAAGTAATGCAGGCCTTGGGCACCTCGTGCGATTACAAAGCCAAGGATTCAAGCCAGGCTCCCAGCATAGCCTGGTTTATTAAATTTCACCAACTGCCCACGCTCAGCTTCTTACAAAAGGCTCCCACTGTTTCCTCAGCCGCCTTCCTTCTACGAACAAGAAGCATTTAATGCTGTTTAGTCTCTGTATTGTTTGCCTCTTTGAGAGGATTTCGCTACATTGGAATATGCCCGGAACCCATAAATTTAGCACTGATGCAGGCAAGTGCTGCCACCTCTGACGTGATCAGACCCTCTGGATGCATCAGAACATAAGGGCTGCCTTGCCGGATCCAGAGCAAGATCTGTCTAGTCCACTATTCTCTTCTGAATGTCAGAACAGTGTGCTTACGAGCGGAGCATGACAATTATGTCCTTCTGCTTCTCTTTGTCCCAGCAGCGGATGTACTTATGCTCCACTTGGCCACAACTGTCAATTTTGTTGACAAGTGGGGCCTGCAACAAAATGTTGCAGTATGGAGTGTGCCCTGTTCAGGATTCCAGCTGCCCCATTCCATTCCCCCTGCCAGCCTCTTGGCTTTCCATATTCAACCTATGTGGAGGGAAGTAGGTGGGTATTTAAAAAGGTAAAGGGACCCCTGACCATTAGGTCCAGTCGTGACCGACTCTGGGGTTGCAGCGCTCATCTCGCTTTATTGGCCAAGGGAGCCGGCGTACAGCTTCCGGGTCATGTGGCCAGCATGACTAAGCCGCTTCTGGCGAACCAGAGCAGCGCACGTAAACGCCGTTTACCTTCCCGCCAGAGCGGTACCTATTTATCTACTTGTACTTTGTCGTGCAATTTGAAGTGCTAGGTTGGCAGGAGCAGGAACTGAGCAACGGCAGCTCACCCCGTCGCAGGGATTCAAACCGCCAACCTTCTGATCGGGAAGCCCTAGGCTCTGTGGTTTAACCCACAGCACCACCCACATCCCAGGTGGGTATTTACTTACTCCTTAATAACAAAACCTAACTCCCAACCCAGCGCTTCTCCTAAACCCGTATGGCTGTCACCAACCATTCTCCTCCCTTCTGAACCCTTAATTTACTGGTAGCTCAGTAGCTGTGGGGTACAGGCATGGTACAGACCCAGACAGATACAGCTGTTATGCCCATCTAATCATTTTAGGTACATACACTGGCATGAAATAAGTCCACAAAAGTTACTAGCCCACAAATATTTTTTAGGAGCTCGTCTGCCTTCACATACCCAGGAAAGATAATTGGTGACGTTGTCAGCATCCCAAAAGAGAGAAAGATTGAGAGATAAATCTTTTATTTAAATTATTTCTTTGTAACAAAACACAGCCATCTGGAGACAATGTTTTACTTGCGATGGGGTTTTACTTTACTGTTGGTGTCCATTGTAAGTTTTCTGCTTTGCACTGTGCCTGGCACATAGCTCTGGGGAAAGCATCTGTCTACTCCTCCAAATCTACCATATGCACACCTAATCCCCCTCCTCGCCATACCTGCAGCACCATCCCAGGTACATGTCCCTTCCGAGGCTCACAGGGGCTGTAGCTCAGGTTCAAAGCCCAGAGAGCTATTGCTAGTCAATGCAGAATCACAGACTTCAACCTGTTCAGACCTGGGATTCACTTTAATCCCAACATACATTTGGGGACCAATTTATTAAACCCCCCTCCACTTTTATGTCCCTTTCAGCTAAGCACATATGCTCAGAAGTTAAGTCCCAGTGAGGGCTTCCTTCCACGTAAGAGCAAACACTTTCTTACACTTTTAGAAGACATCTGAAGGCAGCCCTGTTTAGGGAAGCTTTTAATGTTTGATGTATTACAGTATTTTAATATTTTTTGGGAAGCCGCCCAGAGTGGCTGGGGAAGCCCAGCCAGATAGGCGGGGTATAAATAATAAATTATTATTATATTATATTATTATTATATCTATTATTGTAGGGCCCCCAAACAACCACACAAAGTCACAATTGCTATGTTCCCTCTTTTCCTTCCTTCTTTCCTTATGGGTGGAATTTGGGTGTAGCATGAGGGGAAAGATGCTTCCAAGCAGGAATTTCCATGGCTGGGGGAGGGGGACCTAGACTGATAGGAGTCCCTGAAATTCCTGTTTGAAAGTATTATGGAGGATTCTCCAGGCCTGAAATACAAGAATATGTTTAAAGAAAAACTACTCTTTAGCAAGAAGACCCACATACTTAATGAAAGCCATCACTTCGGTCAACATTATTGTATAGGAAACATGTGGATTTAATTTCAACGCAGCATGGCTTGCTTTTGAAATGGATTTGTAAAAACCCATTTGGGGAAACTGCTCTCTGAGATTCCAACGCTCTTACAGTTGTGCTTAACTCCTAATGAAGAAAAATGGGGATTCGCAGAAACATATGAAATACCGCATTCTCAAAGACATTCATTCTATTTTATATGCAAAATAAAAGATATATAATTGACTCGAAATAGGTAGATGAAACCTTTCGTATCACTCCTCAGCAGGTTGGGGACAGGTAAAGGACCCCTGACCATTAGGTCCAGTCGTGGCCGACTCTGGGGTTGCGGCACTCATCTCGCCTTATTGGCCGAGGGAGCCAACGTACAGCTTCCGGGTCATGGGGACATGTAGCAGCAGTCAAAACAACGCACACAACTCCTCAGGTTAATAAGCTATGCCACACCTGCTCAATCCTGGCCCTTGAAGCAAAGTTGGCATCAATGGTAGGCACCACAGAGCATATGGCTAGGCTCATTCATGAGAAAGGGCCTCTCTCTGGCCCTTGCTCTTATGACCTGCTCACCAGGCCTCTTTAAAGATGCAAGCAATGACAAGAGAAAGGAGATACAGCAACACCCTCCATTTGCCTGGCGGACTGGTCGAGTGAACAGATTGCAGAGACAGCAAAAACTTCCTGTGCCATGATTGCAGTCATGGGATTGTTGTCTTTCACATGACGATATATGTTTTGACTCCACAGAGTGGAAAGTGACAGAGACAGGATGTTTGTGTTACTGTGTTCTGGGAAGTGGAACTATTGCCCTTTGTTCTTTTTTCTCTTTGCTGTCTGATGCTAGAGAGGGAGCCATGTTGCAGTGCTCCGTGTGTATTTATATGTAAATAAAGTAGATTAGCCAAAATGCTGAGTTGCTGAGGTGTGTCATGCAAAGCTGTGAAGACTCTGCGGATCCCTAAGTGTGCCGGTGTCGGTTGGCATCAGTCGCTGTGATGTTTGGGCTGAAGAAAGCTTTTGAAGCTCCCGAACGATTGACCAGGAGGAAGAGAACATGCCAGTTGGGCATGTGTCTCTGCCAGGGTCCTACTCAAGTGTAGGCTGAACTCCTGACAGACTGCACCTTGCCCAAACCCTATTGGAGGTTGCCGCCCACACACTTCTATTGCGCTTGCTGCTGGTGTGGTGGCTCCTCTAGAAAACTGCTTTAAACAGCTTGTAGCAGAGTTTCTTCCTGGTGGCAGATGACAAGAGACTATAAGACTTGTGCAAAATACTCAGTCAAGAGCTACTTTATTTCTTGGCTGGTTCACAAGCGACTATATACAAAATATTTACATACATCTTTCCACCACAGCGTGTGGATACTCTTTCCTCCTGCAAGCAAGTGCAACCTGCAACTTCCTCTTTTATTTTCATCCCCAGCTGTAACCAATCAGCCTAGATTGTCACTCCTCACTATTAAAGAAAACTTCTTTAAAGCTACAAACACCTTTTTCTGTTTCTTTGCAGAATGACTTCCTAACAAGCCCCGCACTCAAAAATCCTGGAGCTGCCACTACAAAGAAGAACATCCTACAGAAGGAATTCGTTCTTTGATTGTTAACAGGCCTCTAAGGAAAGGAAGTTCACAGTTGTGTTATCGCTGCTCTTCACATTTGTTACAACAGGTGGTACGATCCAAATGATGTCCCCAGTTGCTTTTTAGCAGCCAGTGTTACTAAGAGGTCTCTGGAGGTATGTCCAACCCAAGCTTGTTAAAGGCTTTTAAAGATCCAAATCAGTGCTTTGAATTGTGCGCCTTGCTCTCCCACCTCTCTGTGGGTACACATGTACACACTTGTAGTTAGCGCTTGGCAAAACAGCATTCGCACTCAGCACTGCCCATGCCGAAGAATAACTTGCACATACCACAGGGGAGATGCCCTAAATGTTGTAAGATAGTGCCCATGTCACCCTGTGGGCTCAACATTCCTTTCCTTTCTCGGGCAGATATAAAGGGATATTATACCGCATCAAAAGCAAAAGCAACGAGAATATACTTTGGCTGGAATTTCCATCTGACAAACTATAGCGCTGGTATACAGATACATAAATGTGGCTTTGCTAGTTATACAAATATTCGACGTATTGTTCTAAAACCTCCCCTCAGGGCTCAAAAGGACACTGCTGTATATAGGACATTTTATCCTGGCATAGTAACGGAAGTATAAATCCCCGGGGCTACGGCTTTTGTGTTGAAGATATTATCCAAGTCCATTTTACATCCCAGAGGGACAATACCGCCAAACTAGCGATTGCCAATTTAAGTTTGCTTCACTGCTCGAAAGACCAATTGTGCCTCCTTCTGGTTTTATCATTCCACAGCCTCCATCTGCATGCAGAAAACTTTTCCGACAAAATTTGCCACAGCCTTAAAATAGACTCTTGTAACAAAGGGGGAATGACGTCACAGGCTCGATGAAATTAGCCCTTTTTAGTCAATCCCTGAGCTGAATACTGCTGAAATGCAACAGCTACTTTCTAATGCTCCACAGTTCAGCTCAGCTGCTGCTAATTTCTGACAGGCATCAGTTGCAGTCAGGTTCATTTCATGCTCTGATCTTCCAAAAATAGCTCTGAAAGTTTGTTTGTTGTTGTTCTAAGTAGCCACCACTGGTAGAGCTCTTGCAGAAATTAAAACTATTATTGAGTGGGGGGGGGGGGGTTAAGTCCTAGTGCGCTTGCAACTTCTTGAGGATTTAAGGGAGGGAGAAAGAGATATAAATGCTGACCTGCATAATTAAGGATAACAGATACTGAAACCCTTTATAATTCATATTAAGAATGTAGCAAAAAGGGAACAGTAAGAATCAGGATGAGGATAACACAGGTTTAAAATGTCAAATATAATATAATAAAGGAGAGGCAAATGGGGACGGACGGACGGGCAGAAGCATGCCAACAGCCCAAATGTTCAAGTATCAATTAGAGGCCAGGTAACCTAGGAAACTGCCCCTCAGTCCCAGCCCTGAAGGCACAAAATGGAGCACTAAGATAGTATGGTCAGACACAAGCCTAGGATGAAAGGGAGAAAAACTGCATGGCGGTTGCTAGGCAACTTTTGCCACCCTCCTATTCTCTAGAAACAACGGTGGTTGCCTAGCAACTCAGACCTGCATTCTCCTACCTCAGTAGAGGCCTTGGTCAAAAAGAGCCTTGTAAGCCTGCACCAACAGAGGCAATGGCAAAACCGGGGGAAGGGGAGGCAGAGTATTAATGTCTGTGAGGAAAAATATCTCAACATAAATAAGAAGATAAGAGCCATTAGATGAGGCCAATGACCCATTCCGTCCAGCATCCTAGTCTCACAATGGCCAACCAGGTTCCTGTGGGATACTTGAAAACAGGACCTGAGCACAAGAGCACTCTCCTCAATATCTGTGGGATTTCCCCTTCCTCCTCACTCCCAGCCTTCTCCAGAGGATGGAGCTTGCTCCAATATCCTTGCAGCATATGTACGTTACACAAAGTGGGTGGTATTTAATAAGAAGATTGTTATCTCACCGCCTAATATTACAAAAAGCTCTCTGTCAGAACAGCGGTGGCTAACCTTTGGCCCTCCAGGTGTCAGGCATAAGTCAGCAGTAAAACACCCGGTGTCAGTGAACTTAGCTCTTTATTCAAAGAAACAAAACAGTGCAGGCCTAGTGATCACAACAACTTTTCTCAGTAGGTCTTGGCCCAATGAGGCAGTTGCAAGGACTGAGGGACCCTGCCTCCCCACTGCTGCCTACGGCTCCTCTCCCAGTTCCTTCCCAGGCAATCTGAGGCTCCTTCATCTTGCCTCTTGCCTCTTTGTCTTTGCCCTGCTCCACCCTCATAATTTCTCTGCGTGTTCTGGGATACCAGGGGAGACAGAGGCTGGTTGCAGGAGGAGGGGGAGACTCCCTGGATTCTTCAGCAGCCTAATTTCTGTCTCCTGTTCCCTCTCCTCTTCTGCCTCTGCTTCTGGGCTTCTCTCTGCCACAGACTCTCCCTGCTCACTAAACCCTGTCACCTCTTCAGCTTCCAACACCTCCTTCCTCCCAGTCTGCTCCTTCTTCTTCATCAGACCATTCATTGTCATTCCATCACCAGTCTGAGCCTCCTTCCCCTGGGGGTTCCCCAGTTTGATGCCTCCCACCACTCCTCTGCATCTGGCCAGTCCATGACATCAGGTGTTGGTGGACCACAACTCCCAACATGCCTGATTAATGGCCAGGGAGGTTTGGGATGTTGGGAGTTGGAGTCCCACAACATCAGGAGGGCAACAGATTAGCCACTGCTGTGTTAAAGCAATTCCACAGCACGATCCACTGACCTGTAGTAATGATGAGATTAAAAAAGGAGATACACGACAGAAACAAGACAGGAAGTCGAGAAAACGCTGACCAATTAATCTGGAAATAGTTGCTCTGGTTATGTACCTTGGGAAGGAGACATCCATCTGATTCACTGACTTCAATGGGGTTTACTTCTGGCAGAAGTGTATAGGATTTCACTACAATCTGACAAGTACTTGTATTGATTAGCGAAAGTACAGAAGGGCTGAGCCTGATAACAGGCAGTAAGAACATAAGGGTCCTGTTGGATGCCCATCTAGTCCTGCATCCTGTTATCACAGTAACCAACTAGATGCCTACGGGGAGGATCACACAAGCAAGACTTTAAATTTGCAACAACACTCTCTCCTCCCTCTCCTCCTGAGGTTTCCAGCAGCTGGAATTCAGAAGCATACTGCTCCCAATCATTCTCACCTTGCAGTAAATGGACAACTGAAGGCGTTTGAAAGATGGACAGTGATTCCCCCATGGAGACACAATTTAAGCAGAAGTAGCATTTTCTGGATTTTGCTGTGGCTGTGATTACCCTGCGGCAAAAAATGAAAAATGATGTGGCAAAGTCAACAGAAATGTAATTCTGCAACTTTGCATTTTAAAAAAAGTCACTCTGCAATTTTCAGGATTTTTAAAAATAATAGTACAAAACACCCAATGAGAATCCTTCTACCAGAGGGCCAACTTGAATAAAATATTGGGGGGGGGGACGACAGATAAGCCTCACCCTGCATAATTGGTCACATGATGCGGCACCCTCACATCATTTGAATGACAATGTCCATTAACAGGGGACGGGGGTGGCCCCCTCAATTATTTTATGGGAGGACAAAGAGACCTCAGTTGGTTCTTTGTATGCTTCCTACAAAGAACAAGTATCTGTGTCTCATTGAACATGCAGGTATCCATCAAAGCAGAGCCCTTCAAAACTGCTTTAAAAACAATGGTTCTTTGAGGGGGTTTTTACAATCAACATTTTATGAAATATATAAATAGACACATTATATTTTTGTCTCTTTGGGTGAAGATACCCAACTCTTTCATTACACAGATACTAGTCTGTGCCACCCTTCTCACTGGCTGCCTGTAGTTTTAGCTTTGGCTTTAAGAGAGAAGCTCACTTAGAAATAGGCATCGCCATAGGAAGATGGAGGCAGGTATGTTTTTGTGTGTGAGGCTGATGAGCTGAGGAATTTTACAGTGTGGGGTTCCTTTTGAAGAATCAGAATGAAAGCTGAAACCATACCTTTCCAGAAGCCTTGCAATACATACATACATATACATACATATATAAATATATACAGTATATATATATATATGTGTGTGTGTGTGTATATATATACGGAAGAACCAACAGCAGTATGCAAGATTTGCAGGATGAGTCTTTGAGAAAAATGTGGGAATATAAAGAAGCCAGAGACAAAAGAAATAAACTAGGGCAAGTGTCTTAACAGAATAGCCTGTCTAATTTTTATTTTTAAAAAGGGGAGAGAGAATACAGGGACCCACATGCTGGGCTGAAGTGTGCTCTCATTGTGAGGCCACATTCGCCACTCGCTGAGCCTTTTGCATCAGTGGAAACTAGTTGCTGAAAAGCCCTGTAAGGAGCCTTGAGAAGCCCCCTGGGATAGACTGGTACAGAATTACAAAATCACAAAGTTGGAAGCTTTTGTCTCAAGCAGGGAACAGAGGATGAAAAAGACCTTTCTCTGCCATGGACCCTGGAGAGGCACTTCTTGCAAGAACAGACAAAACTAGGCTAGACAGACAAACGGTTTGGCCTGCTGTGAGACAGCTTCCCATGCTCTTCAGTGATCTAGTGGCTGTGCATACAAGGCAGATACTTATCTAGGGCGATCCTGTCTGGGAAGGGGATTTTGCTTGGTTGCAAGAAGGGTTTGGGGGTGGGAGTACCTGTGATGGTGCAGAGTGGAGAATGAAAGGCAAGGAGGGATCAGGGTTCAATTCCTCTCGAAAACACCTTTTTACAAACAAAAAATTAGAGCCTCGTCCCTAAGGATGCTTAGCTCTACAAAACGTAGCTTCATCTGTCACATCTACTTTGGCAGTTTGCAAAATGGGACCCCGACTTTTTCCGTAGGCTCACGTCACTGAAATCTGTTTAGAGCTTGACAGAAGCTGAGCCTGAGTTGAAGCAATGCTCCCACAACAAAGCAGGCATGCAGGCAGTTTGTGCATCTCTAGAGACACCATCCGGAAGCCATGAATACAGCAGTCACACCTAACCAGGCAGCTTAAGAAAGGGCCATTTTGCAGGTCTGCCTCTTTGCATTTTCCAAGCAAATAGTTTATTTCCCTGGGGGAAGCAGCACGTACGCAATTGCTTGTGAGCTGCAACACAAGCATTTGTTTTATCAGGAACACATAAATCAGGAGGCTGCTGCTTATTTAACCGACAGTAAGACAGGACAAGGGACGTGGGTGGCGCTGTGGGTTAAACCACAGAGCCTAGGACTTGCCGATCAGAAGGTCGGCGGTTCGAATCCTCGTGACGGGGTGAGCTCCCATTGCTCAGTCCCTGCTCCTGCCAACCTAGCAGTTCGAAAGCGTGTCAAAGTGCAAGTAGATAAATAGGTACCGCTCCAGCGGGAAGGTAAACGGCCTTTCTGTGCGCTGCTCTGGTTCACCAGAAGCGGCTTATTCATGCTGGCCACATGACCCGGAAGCTCCCTTGGTCAATAAAGCGAGATGAGCGCCACAACCCCAGAGTCAGTCACAACTGGACCTAATGGTCAGGGGTCCCTTTACCTTTAAGACAGAACAATTTGACAGTAGAATCATAGAAATGTAGAGTTGGAAGGGACTACAAGGGCCATCTAGCCTAACCCCTGGCAATGCCCAATGTGGGGCTCAAACTCACAACCCTGAAATTAAGCATCTCATGCTCTACCAACTGAGCTATCCTAGGCAAAGAAATTACTATAGCGTCCTGGGAGCAGGGGAATCCCAAGTCTCTGATGTGCAGAAAGAAAATGAGGATCACAATTGTATTTATCATGACCAACTTATTGTGTTAGCTCCACAGGGGAATAGCTACAATCATTTGAGTATTTCTAGGTAGTAATCTGAATTTGGAACTTAAAGATACCTGCATTCTGTGACCAGAAATCTCACTATTTTAGTCATTACCCAAGACTGAAAAATGCCCCCCTGATCAAATACAATGGTACCTTGGGTTAAGTACTTAATTCGTTCCGGAGGTCCGTACTTAACCTGAAACTGTTCTTAACCTGAAGCACCACTTTAGCTAATGGGGTCTCCCGCTGCTGCTGGGCCCCCGGAGCATGATTTCTGTTCTCATCCTGAAGCAAAGTTCTTAACCTGAAGCACTATTTCTGGGTTAGCGGAGTCTGTAACCTGAAGTGTATGTACCTGAAGCGTATGTAACCCAAGGTACCACTGTAGTTCCACCATTGTTCCTTTTCCTGGAGCACCAAGAACATCGAAGGCAGCCTGAGAGAAATCTCAGGTTGCATGCCACACCTGTCTCAGGTAAGGGGATAGACCAAGCGTATCTTGGCTGAGGGTTCCCAAAATCCTAGAGCCAGCATAGTCTGGTTGATCACAGAGCAGTGATCAACCTGAACAGGCCTGGCCAGCACCCCATTTAAATGGACTGTGCCCAGAGTGGTCATGTATCCTACTTTATAGAGGACAGTTCTCTTATCTGAAGGGTTGGCTGGTCCAAGTCCAGTACAGGGATAAAGAACCATAACAAAGGAAAACAGAGGTCTTGGAAATTCCCATCAAGCATCAGGACCGCAGGTTTCCTGGTCACAGTCTTTCCCACTATGATGAAATGTACTGCATTTCTATTTAAACTCTAGAAATTATTTCTGAACTCGCAACTATACACATAAAGTTGCATATGCAAATTATATGCTAATATTTGCCATATATTTTGACCTGTTTTTGCTGGTGCATTTCGTGTGTGTGTGATGTGTAAGTAGCCCCCTGAACTCTACACCCCTTGGACAAGCCCTAGGAAGGTTCTTACACAAACACCCACAGGCAAACAGATTCCTCAGCAGATAAATCAATGTGCAAAGGTTTTCTTTGAGAAAGGAAGCTTTAAAACCACTGGTTTAAAGCGGATTTTTCTTTAATGCTGCATTCTCCCTTTTTATTATGTTTTCTGGTTGTATCATAATCACCACCTACACAACCCTAGCTATAATACCCTACCTTTCTACAGAGTTCTCGAAAGGTGTTTAGCCACGGTGTTTTCTGTCTGTGACAGGAGAATAATTGCACTTCTCCACTTCACAGTAATGCGATAAACCGCAATAAACTTTCAAAGTGCTCATTTGCCTTCATGGTTGGAGGTCTGGTTAAAAACCTGAACTGCAGAAAAATCAAGTGGAATTTTAGACATTATGTACATGGTGTTTTTTTTAACCTTTTGGGAAATACGATCCATTCCCCAGTTTTTATTACGTGATTTTCTTAATTATGAATGCAAATTCAATGCAAGATGCAACAGAAGGATTTTAAAAAGGGTAATAAATTACTTGCAAAATGAAGAAGGCCTGGGATTATCATTTTTTTAAGCAGAGCAAATATATTTTAAAGGATGGGCTAAGATGGTTTCCTACAGAGTATCTGCTTACAGTTGACTTACAGTCACACATAATTTCAGGTGGGGATGTGCACATCACAATATGAATCAAAGGATGTATCCAATTGTTCGGTGACGTTCCGATTAATAATAATTACTGTTATCTCATTTCCTCTTCTTCAAATATTTAGGTTTGTTGCTTATGCAGCCAAAACAGAACCACCCATGTAAAAATAAAAATAAAAAAGGTAAAGGACCCCTGGACAGTTAAGTCCAGTCAAAGGTGGCTATGGGGTGTGACGCTCATCTTGCTTTCAGCCCGAGGGAGCTGGCTTTTGTCCGCAGACAGCTTTCCGGGTCATGACTAAACCACTCCTGGTGCAATGGGACACCGTGACAGAAACCAGAGTGCATGGAAACGCCTTTTACCTTTCCGCCGCAGCAGTACCTATTTATCTACTTGCACTGGTATGCTTTCAAACTGCTAGGCTGGCAGGAGCTGGGACAGAGCAACGGGAGCTCACCCCGTCGCACGGATTCGAACTGCCGACCTTCTGATCAGCAAGCCCAAGAGGCTCAGTGGTTTAGACCACAGTGCCACCTGCTCCCTGGAACCACCCATGTACAAGAGAGTGGTATCAGCAAACGGTGTAATTTTGATATACACAGGACAAATTTCATGAATACGATGAATCCTATTATGGAAACAGGAAGTAAGGGAACCCCAAATGAAGGCGATTGTCATGAGTTCCCACTGAAACGTCATGTGAGTGGCCAGACTCGGAGGAGAAGGAGATCAGGGAGTTAGACCTGGAGGACCCACCATGGTAGAGGTTACAGATTACAAATTCTTAGAAATGTCTGATCCCAGGGAGGACTGCAGCAGTTTAGGGGGGTGGAATTCTACCCTCCAAAGGAGGCTCAGGCAAACTCTCAGGACTGCCTCCCATTACCTCCCTTCCAAGTATGCCCCCCTGCCTCAGATTCTCCTCTGGCCCCTGCCCCATCGCACAGGGACCTCCTTCTTCAGGGAAGGCGGCTGGAGCAAATCTGCTGCCAAGCCAGCACCAACTCCACCTCTGGCACCTAGGAGACCAAGATGTAAACACACACAACCCTCACCAGCTCACTACTTCATTTGCTACTCCGGCTTCTACTAATCACCAGTTACACAGCTTTTTAATCTGTAAAGACCTTTACAATCACACAGCACTCTATGCCGGATGTTTTACAAGGAATGCACCAATGTACAAAACATATTACAGAATCGCCAGGAACATGGATGTTGCCAGAGGCAAAGGCTGCCACAGCAGGAACTGATCCATCAGGCAATGACTGGGCTGTTGCAGCTGCCTTCACCAAAGCAGGGAATTAATATTCTGTTACAAAATGGCATCAAAGACCTGGACGGAGCAGGAGCTTTAGGGCATTTTGTTGACGAGATTCATCTCTCATGGGTACTTTTCCAGGCAAAGAATGTGGATGCTGGCTCTCTCTTAAAAAAAAAAAAAAAAACCAACCATGAATTCTGTTTATACTTGACTGCAGGACACATGGCTGCGTTTGGGTGGAACTTACAAGGGTATCTCAGCAGTGAAACAAAGACCTGTCCTGCCGTCCTCAGTTTAGCAGCTGGCCTGTGTCTCTGCCACTTCCCCAAATTCTTGCTATGTGAACTGGGCAGAAGAAGCAGACCGCCCCCATCAAGCCCTGTTTACAGAGCCCAACTCCCAACTTTTGCCTTTCTTAAGTGATCAAAACTACTGTTAAATAAGTCTGCAAGCAGTTATAGGAACATAGAAAGTCTGACCACTGGCATTGTCTACACTGACTAGAAGCCACTTTCTGGGGTTTCAGGCAGAAAACACTCCTGTCAGGGCTTGGAGTCAGACACGGGTCAACATGAAAGACACAGAGCTCGGTTGTCAGTGAAGTTGACTCTGTATTCAAGGAAACAGCATGCAACTCAGCAACACTTCCCAGCAGGCCTTGGCCCTATAAAGCAGTTGCCAGGACTGAAGGCCTCTGCCTTCCACCCTCTCTAATGCTCATCCTCTCCCGGATGTTTCCCAAGCAGTCTCAAACTGTGCATGTGCATCAGGCTTAATCCCTGGCATCTTCAGTTAAGAAAGGGTCAGGTGATGGCAAAGGCCTCTGCCTGAGAACCTAGGCCTCATCTGCAATATATCTCTAAAGCTGTATCATAACCCCTTTAAGGAATCATGGCTACCCCCCCCCAAAGAACCCTGGGAATTTGAGTTTACTGAGGGTCTTGAAAGTTGTGAGGAGCTACAATTCCGAGTGTGTTTTAACAATCAATCCCTCTTCCCAGAGAATTCTGGGAATTCTAGCTCAGTGAAGGCTCTAGGTTCCCTCACTGAGAGAAGCAAAGCTCGGTAGTGGCGCCCGCCCTGTGGAACGCCCTTCCATCAGATGTCAAAGAGATAAACAACTACCTGACATCTAGAAGACATCTGAAAGCAGCCCTGTTTAGGGAAGTTTTTAATGTGTGACATTTTAATGTATTTTTAATCTTTGTTGGAAGCCGCCCAGAGTGGCTGGGGAAACCCAGTCAGATGGGCAGGGTACAAATAATTTATTATTATTATTATTATTATTATTATTAGGAGCCTCCCAACAACTCTCAGCACCCTTAACAAACTACACATCCCAGGATTCTTTTGATAGAATCCATGACTTTTTAAAACGGGATGATACTGCTTTAAATGTATTGTAGAGTGCAGACAAGGATCAGTGTAGATAATAAATGGGCTAGATGAACGAAGAGTCGCTGCTTCCCATGTTTTGAAGCCCCTGTTAAAGGTTTCAGCAAAACGCAATCAGCCGACAGACCCACTTCATTTAGAGCACTCTGCTTTAAAAAGCGTAGCTGCAGCATATGAACAACACAATCTGGGAAACGCACAGATGTCCTTCCTGCTCAACCCCCTGCCTCTGCTTTTGTTGTCTCTTCTTAAGAAAAGGCTTCTGTACACCAATGTCAGCTTTCATAGCTGACAATGGAAGATAAGAAGCATCCATTAGTTCCTGGATCAGGATGGACCAAGACAGACAAAAGTACTTCAAGGCCAGTACATCTCAAAAATAACCTATGAAACAGAGGGATTAAATATTATTATTTTTTATTCACAAAGGATTTTCAGGCAAAGCTCCCTGCAAGAATTCCACCGGCGGCACAGCTGCTTCTAAGAAATCCTCACCTCATATTTTTTAAAAATTCAACAGGTGTAGCTAAATAGCTTCAGGGTGAAGAAAAGAGACGGCCAAGTCTGTCTCAGTCTTCTAGGCAACTTATTTTTAAGACCAGGAGGGTCTCCCCCTCCCCCATAACATGAAATTACAAGCGCTCAGAACATAGAAATACTTTTGTTGTTCTGAAATCAACACTGAAAACTTGGATAGGACACAGAGCTTAGTTCCTCACCCCAAGCAAGTTAAGGCATGAGTGCACTACAAGGAAGGTTGGCAGTATTGTCAAAGGAGACTGCATACTGGGCTCAGTTCAGATGTGGTGCAAAACTACAGTAAACACACACTTTTTTCATCTCCCCATCCCTCAGCATCTGCTGCCTGAGAAAGTCCCCTCATTCTCCCTAATGGCTGGGAGGAACCCAACTTGCCTCTACTCAAAAAACTCAGAAAAAGATATACAAATTACCTCAGCTCCTAAACTTAGAGCTATGATTTCATCCTCAAAAGCAGAATGCGTATCTATGTGAGGAGGGATTCCTGCAACATAAAACAAAGCCGTGGTTCAGTACATGTGAGAATCTATTTTTCAACTTTTCCTCACCATCAGTCTTACTCTTGTACACTGGTAGGCCAAGAAGCTTCCCTCATTCTCTACAGCAGTCTCAATCCACCTAGCGTCCTTCAGAAGTTTTGGACTATAACTCCTAGCCGTCCAGCCCAGTTTATGACATGTAATAAATCAAATTTAACAACAACAAAAGCCAAAGAAAAAAGAAATCTTGTTACAAGTGCTATGGATGCCTTAGGCTAGGACCAGAATTTATGGCAAATGCAAATTTGGTACCAAACACAGCACCACTGTCACTCCCCTTACTATTTCCCCATCTAAGGGATGCAAAATGTAGTCTATGATGCCTTGTAGCCATGCTACAAGAGGACATAGCCCAGGTAAAACCAGGGATGTTCCTAGGGGACCAAATTTATCGGACCATACCAGCCCCCTACCTTGCAGAAATCCACTATGTGGAATACCGTAGACTTCTTACAGCGGCTAGATTAAATGCCCTTGACTCTGCGATATTGTGGGGAAGGTACAGGGGAGTACCATACGCCCAGAGAACCTGTCATTGTGCCATGGGTGTGGTTGAGTCCACCAAACACATTCTCTTGACTTGCCCTTCTTATGCAGAGCTTAGACAAAATTTTTTAGACCCACTCTTATGTCAATTCAGCTTCCTACCCGGAGAAAACCAGGTTTTACACTTGCTGAATAACGCCACTAGAGCTATACCTTCCTTGGTGGCCAAATTTCTCTTCTTAGCTTTTAAGCGTCGCAAGACTATAATTGACTGTATTGATATGGGGCTATCTGTTTAGCCCATTTTAGTGTTGACTAAGTTTTAAAATCTTCCTGGATGTTTTTAACTGTGTATTGACAAAATGTACTTTTTTCTGACTGACGGTCGAATAAAAAGGATGATGATGATGAAACTTGTAGCCATGCGTTCCTCCACTATAAGCTTAAGTTTGTAGGGAGCAGGGCAAGTCACTGCATGATGCTATCATGTCATGTGTTTTGCATCACTAGGTGTTTTAGGAGAGAGGGGTCTTGCTCAGCGGTAAAGTACACGTTTTGGATACAAAAGGTCCCAGGTTCAATCCCTTACATATATCTCTCAAAATTCATATACCGCTTGATTATAAGAGAACCTCTAAGCGGTTTACAAAAATATATAATAATACATTTAAAATATTGATAAAAATGGGGAGGGGGATTGGAAAGATTATTACAATCTACAGTAGCTAAAAAAGAGATCACTCACATGTAACTAAGATAACCAGCTTTATATAACCAACATGCTCAAGTTCAATTAATGCATGAAGGGGTTAACGCCAGAGAGTAAGCTGTCCTGCTGGGCGTAGCTATGTCACTTCCTCTCACCTTGGGAGGAAATAGGCAATCAAGTCCATTGTTGTACCCAGTCTACCTGAGATGCTCAGTGTGTGTGAAGAGCTTTAAACTGGTTGCTCCAGCTCAACCGCATGGCTCTCACCAGCCATTCTTGAGTTCCTATACCAATAATCCACGAACTTTTACCACTTTGTAACTCAGCTAAATTTTACTACCTGCACAACTTTTCTGGCTGATGAACGGGAAAGCACATAAACCTGACCTTTGCAGAGTTTGTAAGTACACCAATTTTTAACTTACCAAATGTGTGGTCTTTTCCTGTGCTGGGGGAACAGGGAAAATTTAGCACTCACTTGGAAGAGCATATTTTAAAGGTCAAACAGCCTACATTTCCATGCTTTACTTTGCTGCATAGATTGTGACTTTAAATCTCTGCCAGGGTTCTCTCAACAAAGAGTACTTGCTCTAAACTTGGATGTTAACATCCAGGAATTTGCCTTTACAGTGGTACCTCAGGTTAAGAGCTTAATTCATTCTGGAAGTCCGTTCTTAACCTGAAACTGTTCTTAACCTGAGGTACCACTTTAGCCAATGGGGTCTCCCGCTGCTGCTACGCCGCCGGAGCACAATTTCTGTTCTCATCCAGAAGCGAAGTTCTTAACCCGAGGTACTATTTCTGGGTTAGCGGAGTCTGTAACCTGAAGCATCTGTAACCCGAGGTACCACTGTATATATTTTTATTTGCACCAACAGTAACATGTCTAGATAAGTTTGCCTAAACAAAACACACACAAAGATCAATTTCTTCCCCCATCTTTAAGAAGGGCTGGGAAAAGACTCCTGCCTAAAACTCTGAAAAGCTGATACCAATCAATGTCAACGATGCCCAGCCAAATGAACCAAGGGACTTGATAATATAAGACAGCTTTCAATGTTCCTAACAAGATGTAGGACTGCTGTCTTCAGTTTCAACTGGGTATCAACTGGAGACCTTGGTGGGCTTGCCCCATATACCCAAGGAACGGACACCTCCCATATGTCCAATAATACTTCTGCATTTACCAAGGCATTTTGATTAAGGGGTGTTTGTGTCAGGTTAAAGATGTTGGTGCAACACGTGTACGTACCCTGTCCAGGTTCATACTGATTTATAGTCAGTTGATCAGGTTTCTCCTTAATGTGCCCCATCTTCAACCATTTCGCAAGAAGCTTGTTACAGATATCTGGGAGACCTGAGGCGGTGAGAAAATATGAAAGCAGAAGGTTTTCTCTCTCTTCCCTCGTCCACAACAAAACATTCCCACATCAGAAAACAAATAAAGCATACAATTAGGAAAGCTGCAAAGTTTCAACCCTTAAATTCTTCATACAGAATACACCACAAAAGGAAAACATGTCAGTTACATTTATATGGGGTTGTGTTGGGGTTTTTTGCCATTATGGTGTTGTAGCTAGAACGTTGGATAAGGACTACAGAGGTTTAAATCTGCACAACTATGAAGCTTGCTGAGTGACCTTAAGCATGTCACGATTTGTCAGCCTAATTCTACCTCACTGGGCTGTTGTGATGTTAAGAGGAGGCGGGAGAATGACAAGCCTGTGGCTTTGAGTTCCATGGAGGAAAAGTAGGGTATAAATGTAATAATGAAACAAATGTAGTCATGGCTATTCACCTTGCACATTTCTGCTCCATAGCTGAAAACATTACACTCGATGCTATTGTAAAAGAAAGCAGCTTGGGATTTTCACAGGGACTGTTTTCATGTTTCTTAAATGCGCTAGTAGCATAAAGCAATTAGAAACAGGCTAATTGCAACTAAATGGTCTCGGCATCTTTATAAGCGTGAGTTGGGGTGGGAGGGGGGCGGTGTTCCCTGGATCACAGCACGAGTTTGCTTACTGGCGTGCCCGTTGGAGAAGGCAACTTTGAATTTATTTGCCAAATTAATGAATTTGAAATTATCCTACTGTGCCTCTCGCTTGGAGTGAGCTAATTCTGATGCGCAGGGAAAGGGATGAAGCGAACTGTAATGTATACTGTCTTAATGTGCAGACGATCAGGCTTCGCACGGCTACTTCTTGCTGTGAGCAAAATTTGTCTCCTAATAGAATGTGAGGGGGAAAGTGCTTAGGAGTTGCTTACAACTCCATCCTCCCACAATTGTTCGCATCCGTCTGCCTCAAGACGGAATGGAGTGCGCCTCTGAGGGTGAAGTTACACTACTGCATTAGCAGCACCAAAGTGACCTCTCTGGGGCGCAAGCGTGGGCAGTGTGCATGGAGGTCCTGGGCTGCCCATACAACAAGACCCCACTCTCAGCCTCACTGTTGTGGTCCAAAGGAAATCAGAGCAATGCGTTAGGCACCAGCTTGGCTGCAGGAGTTGTCAGATGGAGGCAGGCAAGGTGCCATCCAACCGCCTTAAGGACTCCACTCTGGATGTTGTTGTGGTTTAGTCGTGTCCGACTCTTCGTGACCCCATGGACCAGAGCACACCAGGCACTCCTGTCATCTGCTGCCTCCCACAGTTTGGACAAATTCATGCTGGTAGCTTCGAGAACACTGTCCAACCATCTCGTCCTCTGTCGTCCCCTTCTCCTTGTGCCCTCCATCTTTCCCAACATCAGGGTCTTTTCCAGGGAGTCTTCTTCTCATGAGGTGGCCAAAGTATTGGAGCCTCAGCTTCACGATCTGTCCTTCCAGTGAGCACTCAGGGCTGATTTCCTTAAGAATGGATAGGTTTGATCTTCTTGCAGTCCATGGGACTCTCAAGAGTCTCCTCCAGCACCATAATTCAAAAGCATTGATTCTTCGGCGAACAGCCTTCTTTATGGTCCAGCTCTCACTCCACTCTGGATAGTGTAGGTTTTACTCCTAAGCCCTTTCTTCTCCTGAAGATATCTCGCAAGGCAGTGGTGGTTTAGGATCAGACTTTTCTCTTTCCTAGATGGGCTACCATCCCAGGTTGATGAGCCCCATCAGCCCCTCACTTCCCTCTACAGCACATGCAGAAACCACTTTCTTGACCCCTGGACCCACCATTGGTCTCATCCGCTCAATCTTGTCTTCGCATGCAGGGGAAGTCCCTAACTCACTGAGGATTTGAGACACATCGGCTACCCTCATCTGGTTAGGCAGCCAGTTGAAGCTGTTCCCAGGCTGCAATGTACTAAGCTGTAATGTTGGATCTTCCAAAATGTTTTGGTCTTCCAAAACTCCTGCTACCTTCTTCAGGTTTTGTACATCTCATACGCATGTCAGATTTTCAAAGCCACTCATTGTCAAGCATTTTCTGGACTCTTCCTTAAACACATTAAAAGGAAATTGATTAAAGGAAAGTCCTTTAAGACCCACTTACCTGGGAGTCAACCACATGTTTAAGATTACAACTTAGGTGAATGGAAGCCTTGCACTGCAAGCCCATTTTTCTTGTATACTTGGAAGCAAGTTTCACAGATTTCAACAACAGTTACTCCATAGTAAGCATATACAGAATTGCAACCACTACTAATCAGTGAAGAAAGCTGTATTGATTATTCAACGGAAGACACACATAACAGGCATTCCATCGGGATGCTCACCTCCAGGTAACGGGCTGTCTCTATCAACATTGTTGTTATCATATCGAAACTCGTATCCAAAATGTTTTACCCTCCTGTGTTTCAGAGACTTCTGAGCTGTGAAAATGGAAAGGAAGAAAAACAGAACCGTGTTTGGAAGGGGAGAAAAAATTAAATAACCACAATATATATATTGAGCTGCTGTTGCATAGTGGCTTAAGGACCAAGCCAGAATTCAGGAAGTTCTGAGTTTGAAAGTTCTCTGTGCCCTCAACTCACTCTGCGGTCTCTGATGATCCACATTTTCTCTCAGCCTCAAGATCCACCTTCTCTCCACCTTCAAGATCAGGGGATAATAATACTTGCCTACTTTATAGGGCTGTTGTACAAATTACTAGATAATGCTTGTGAAGTACAGTGGTACCTCCAGTTGCGAACAGGATCCGTTCCGGAGGTCCGGCCGGATCCCAAGGTTTCCACAACCCAAGGATCACTGTTCTGAGCATGCGTGCGTGGCGGTAGACCGCTTCTGAGCATGCGCGTGTGGAGAAACCCGGTCCAATACTTCCGGGTTTGCTGCTTTCATAACATGAAGTTTACATAACCAGAGGGCTATGTAAGCCGAGGTGCTACTGTACTTTATTGAGTAATCCTGTTTTTCAACTGAAGTCATTTTCATTTCATTTCACTTTTAATTTGCACACAGCCTTTCTAGGCAGTTTACAAGCGGAAGAAGCAACAAACTATACACAGGAATCACACATTTTACAACAATCCAAACAAGACATTTTATATATACCGTATTTTTCATCCCATAGGACGCACCTAGTTTTTTGGGGGGGAAATAAAGGGAAAATTTTTTTCCTTTATTTCCCCCCCAAAACCAGGTCGGGGAAACCGAACCAGGTCGAGGAACAGCGGGATGGTGGCGCTGCGCCTCCCTGCTGTCCCCCGAGCTTGTGGGGCTGGCCGATGTCTGCCCGGCACGCGGGGCGCTCTGCTTCAGCGCGCACTGCCCGCCGGGTGGCAGGCTGCTATCCGCAGCGTGGGGAGCCCTGCGGGGAACTCCTGCAGGGCTCCCCACGCTGCGGTTGTGTTCCCGAAGCGCCGGGCGCTCTGCTTTCAGTGCGCCCGGCGCTCCGGGAAGCAGGCTGCTATCTGCAGCCTAGACAGCCCTGCGGGAACTCCCGCAGGGCTGCCTAGGCTGCCGATGTCTTCCTGAAGCCTGGAGAGCGAGAGGGGTCGGTGCACACCAACCCCTCTCGCTCTCCAAGCTTCAGCGAAAGCCTGCATTCGCCCCATAGGACGCACCCAGATTTCCCCTTCATTTTTGGAGGGGAAAAAGTGCGTCCTATAGGGCGAAAAATACGGTAGATAGATAGCTAGATAGATAGACTCCTTCCCACAGAAGACTTTTTTGTTCTTACTATGGTTTTTGTTCTTACTACGGTTAAATAACATAAACAGGCACTGGAAATAAATCGCAGCCTTCGAGACAACTTGGATGCTGCAATTGCTGCAATGAATACATAAACAACAGATGAAAGATTCGCTTTCAGATGAAAGACTGCACAGAGTGAGTCACTTGGTCAAATTCATGCCTGTGTGTCTGGTCTCAGGTGTGTGCCAGAGATCTGCACATTGCTTTACCAAAAAGGTTGCAGGTGGCACCAGTGAACTTCACATCTGTTGTCTACTGTAGTGCAGTTAAACCTCCAAACCAGCTCTTAAGTCACTGTTGTCTATGTAGATGATGGCAAGGGTGCCTGTTATAAACCAGTACCATGAGCGAGCAACTAAACTGATCAGAACCACCAAGGTTGAAATGCTTTGCCAAAACGATTCCAGATTTTGCACCACGGAAACTCAAGTTCCCCGCCCATAACTAAGGAAGCTAACGCAGATAAGATTAATACGCATGTTTATCTTTTGCTGTAAGACACCTCAAGCAGAATTTTCTTGGAATGGAATGACGCAAATCCTTAAAACAATTAATCATCTTTATTTTCACAGTTCCTGTCTCACAGCACTTTCAAGTATTTAGGCAAATAATTCATTGTCCAGCCCAAATTTCAGCACTGTTCAGTCCAAAACCATGACAGCAGGAAAAGGAAGCATTTGACACTCTGATGCTGTTCGGCTATATCCCCATTATATCTGGTAACTGGCCATCCTGGCTAGGAATGATGAGGATTCCCAACCTGTCAACTAAAAAGTTAGCAAGATGGGAACCTACAACTGTCAAAATTCCATGGATTAAGAACAACCATGTCTCAAAACACCTTTACCTTGGTTGGACAGAATTAGAATCTTTCCTATCAAGACAGTATTTCCATTAATTGATTATTATTATTTTATTTATACCCCACCCATCTGGGCGGCTTACAGCATATATAAAAACATAGGTAAAGGTAAAAGGACCCCTGACCATTAGGTCCAGTCGTGGCCGACTCTGGGGTTGCGGCGCTCATCTTGCTTTATTGGCCGACGGAGCCGGCATACAGCTTCCAGGTCATGTGGCCAGCATGACTAAGCCGCTTCTGGTGAACCAGAGCAGTGCACTGAAATGCCATTTACCTTCCCGCTGGAGCGGTACCTATTTATCTACTTGCACTTTGACGTGCTTTCGAACTGCTAGGTTGGCAAGAGCAGGGACTGAGCAACGGGAGCTCACCCCGTCGCGGGGATTCGCACTGCCGACCTTCTGATCGGCAAGTCCTAGGCTCTGTGATTTAACCCACAGCGCCACCCTTCTATTAAAAAAAACAAAATAATAATAATATAGAAACATAATAAACATCAAAGATTAAAAACTTCCTGATACAGGGCTGCCTTCAGATGTCTTCTAAAAGTTGTGTAGTTCTTTATCTCCTTGACATCTGAAGTGAGGACGTTCCACAAGGAGGATGCCACTACCAAGAAGGCCCTCTGCCTAGTTCCCTGTAACTTTGCTTTGCACAGTGAGGGAACCAGCAGAAGGAAACAAAGCTTTCTTATTTTCAGCTTCTGCAGAGTGCTTTCACTCCAAATGCTGAAAGATGGCTCTATGCAGCACTCAGGCTGGAACTGCCATTACAGCAGAACCTCAAATGTTGGCTCATCACCGGCCAGCCTCAAAGAGGACCTGCTTTATCTGAGTAACTACTTCTGCCTTCAGCAAGAGGAGCCTCCTCATTTAAAAGGGCCAAGCCTACTTTCACGATCTTAGCTCCAACGGGGACAGGAGGAACCTGTGGATCCACTAGGACTTCCAAGGCTGAAGCTCATGTGGGAAACAGCATTTCCTCAGGCCAGGAAAGTCCTGCCACAACAGGCCCCATTTGCACCAGTGCTTCTGGCGTAAGCAGAGTACCTGGGAATAGCTCTGAGGGAAGTTATTTCTCTTGCTCCAAATCCCTGGCCTCATTCCCCAAAATTGGGGAGCCAAACCCGATTTACCATAACAACAACAATAACAAAATCCCCTCAAAGAGTGAGCAAATATGTGATTGGCAGAGTCTTCCAAAATAACAGCCATTCTTAGGAAGCATTACTTACCAGCTGAGGTGACTTCATCCTCTGCCCAATCAATGCTTTCTAAAAGTTCCTTTTCTTCCTCAGGCAAAACCAGCTCCTCAATTATCTTCAGGCCAGGAGGCAAGGCTGTAGGTGTCATGTCCTCCCAAGGAACTAGGAGTACAAAAAAATTTGAAGAACTCCCCATGCTGTTCTTTCAAGCTGCATAAACATACAGTTCTCAAACAAACAAGTTCTCTAATTATCTAGATGTTCGAATTTGCCAATTTTTAAATGCTCTCTGGGCAGGTAGCAACATCAAAAATGACAAAGCAGTCTTGGCTGGATGCCACACTAAACCATCGTTTCTATTACCAGAAACAGCGTAGCTACCCACTCCTACCCCTCCAGATTCGCATGCTGCCTCGTTCCCCTCTGAAGCAGCCAGTAGGTGTAGTTTATAAGCCTTTACTTCCATTTTTAGTTAACTGAAGCTTGCCTTATTATCCTCACTCAGACAAACTGTGGTTAATCTTAATTTTGGTAAGTGGAAACAGGGCAAATTCAAACCACAGTTTATAAAGCTGGCTTGCTTTCACCAAGCACATTTATGATTAACCACAGTTTAGGGTCTGAATAACATGCTAACCAGTGTGTCCTCTATAAGGTAAAGGGTAAAGCTTCCAATCTCATCCTTGCAGCAGGAACAGTGAGAGGGGCAGCACAAGCCCAGAAGAGAGACTAGGCTTGTTCTTGCAATAGCAAACCATGGTTGAGAATTGCATATAATATATTGACAGAAAAGTGCTGTAAGAAGTAGATGTAGGGGGAAACCTGCTCACCTCAAGCCCCTGCCTGACTAGAAAGATCTTGGAAAGCCTCTTATGGAAAGCACATTAGTGAATTAAGTGATAAAGCCAAAGGCAATCCTAATCAGAGACAGTAATCCTTCTAGTCATGCGCCACAGGCTTGGTCCCCCCACACTGTGCCACGCAAACCCCCTTCTGTTTAGGACCAGAGAACCCGGCTGCTTTTCAGATTCAAACGCCTGACTGCTTTGTCAAAGGAAAAGGTCACCATTTCCCCCAGCTGTTCCAGGTGAGATGTCAGCTGCCTTCGATTGTCTCTTCCCAGGACTTCTCACGAGGATTGAGAGTTTGTTTGTGGCCAACAGGCGATGAATACAGAGCGGGGAAAGAAGACATGTCTAAATGCTACGTCCAGGATCAAAAGAAGGACAAATCTTTGAGCCCAAAGGTGCGTGGAAGGGAGTTAGACATTTTTAGCAGCCCCCTCCCCAGCTGAAGGGAGTTTCAAAGCCATTTAATGCTGCGGGAACAGGGTCAGTTGCTCAGTCACAAAATTTACTGTATTTTTCGCTCTATAGGACGCACTTTTTCCCCTCCAAAAATGAAGGGGAAATGTGTGTGTGTCCTATGGAGCGAATGCAGGCTTTCGCTGAAGCCTGGAGAGCGAGAAGAGAGAGAGCGAGAAGCGCGCCCCGGGCTTCGGGCAGATATCCGAAAGCCTTGAGAGCCCCGCGGGAGTTCCCTGGACTGGTCATGTTGTGTGGATGCCTGATTATCATCTTCCAAAGCAACTACAGTCGTACCTTGGTTTTCAAACAGCTTAGTTCTTGAACGTTTAGGCTCCTGAACGCTGCAAACCCAGAAGTGACTGTTCCAGTTTGCGAACTATTTTTGGAAGCCGAACGTCTGACGGGGCTTCCGATTGGCTGCAGGAACTTTCTGCAGCCAATCAGAAGCTGCACTTTGGTTTCCGAATGTTTTGGAAGTCGAACAGACTTCTGGAATGGATTCTGTTCGACTTCCGAGGTACCACTGTACTCTATTCCGAACTTAAAAATGGTAAGCGTAATGCCGGTGGTCAACAAAAAAAGAAGTTCAAAGGCTCTCTCAAGGCAAATCTATAAAAAAAAAGTAGTACAAACACCAACAACTGGGAAACACTGGCCTGCGAGCGCTCCATTTGAAGAACAGCCTTTACCAAAGGTATCATGGGTTCTGAAGACGCTCAAACTCAAGACATAAAGGAGAAACGCGCTAAGAGGAAGGCACGCTTGGCAAATCCTCACCATGATCAACTCCCGCCCGGAAACCTATGTCCCCACTGTGGAAGGACATGTGGTGCAGAATTGGCCTCCACAGTCACCTATGGACTTACTGTTAAAACCATGTTTATGGAAGACAATCTTACTCGGCTACAAGTGATCGCCAAAGAAGAAGAAGATATGTTTAGAGCACATTTTGCTCCCCATAGAAACCAGGGAATCCTTCACAAACTACAGTTCCTCATATTCTTTGGGGGGTGCTTTAAATGCATGCAGCCTATGACCCCAAACCCCCTAAGCAGTGCACCTGACCCTCCCAGTAAGCCTCCTTTCCCCTATCTGCCTGCCACAGATTGTCAGCCTTGCAATCAAGTCCAAAAAGAATGCTAGCCCACGAGATTATGGAAACAATTAAAAGAAAATCTTCAGTATGTATTAAAATCTGTATCAATGAGGAATGGTAAATATCCAGCTGTTAGTAAGTAGCTAATGTTGATCAGTGGGACGCGAGTGGCGCTGTGGGTTAAACCACAGAGCCTAGGACTTGCCGATCAGAAGGTCAGCGGTTCGAATCCCCGCAACGGGGTGAGCTCCCGTTGCTCGGTCCCTGCTCCTGCCAACTTAGCAGTTCGAAAGCACATCAAAGTGCAAGTAGATAAATAGGTACCGCTCCAGCGGGAAGGTAAACGGCGTTTCCGTGCGCTGCTCTGCTTCGCCAGAAGCAGGTTAGTCATGCTAGCCACACGACCCAGAAGCTGTACGCCGGCTCCCTCGGCCAGTAAAGCGAGATGAGCGCCGCAATCCCAGAGTCGGTCATGACTGGACCGAATGGTATGGGGTCACTTTACATTTACCTTTAATGTTGATCAGTAATTCAAATAATAATCCAGAAATAATAAGTACCTGCGCACATTTCACCTGATGCATTGCTATATTCCTAAAAGCTGATCTTAAAATAAGATGGCATTCCCTCGATTTATTTCAATACCATCGCTTATGCAGCCAAAACGGCACCACCCACGCACAAGAGGGAGGCATCAGCCAGTGCGGATGAACCCCAGGGTTTACAGAGGTATGCAATGATGACAGGTGAGGAAGAAGGTGGGAAGACCAGCAGAAAATGACAGGCAGTGCCTTTCTCCTCCCTCCTGAGCTCTCTCTACAAGGGCAACACTGAGACCAAAGAGGAGGAAACAGACAGGCAAAGCAACTCCTTAGAGTGGTTGTGCTTAAGAAGGCAGGCAAAGATGGGGAGGGACGGACGGGACAGCTGGCTGAGGGCAGACTGAGGTTGATGGGGCTGTGCCCCATTTGCCCTAATGAACCAGCCTCCCCTGGAAGTATGATGCATTTAAGAGTGGGAGCCCTAGGTGGGTGGGCTGGCTCTATTTATTTATTAAACCTGTATCTATCTATCTATCTATCTATCTATCTATCTATCTATTATCTATCTATCTATCTATCTATCTATCCATTCATCCATCCTGTATACCTGAAGGAGCATCTCCACCCCCTCGTTCAGGCCGGACACTGAGGTCCAGCTCCGAGGGCCTTCTGGTGGTTCCCTCCCTGCGAGAAGTGAGGTTACAGGGAACCAGACAGAGGGCCTTCTCGGTAGCGGCACCCGCCCTGTGGAATGCCCTCCGATCAAATGTCAAGGAAATAAGCAGCTATCCTATTTTTAAAAGACACCTGAAGGCAGCCATGTTTAGGGAAGTTTTTAATATTTAACGCTTTACTGTTTTTAACACTCGATTGGGAGCCGTCCAGAGTGGCTGGGGAAACTCAGCCAGATGGGCGGGGTATAAATAATAAATTATTATTATTATTATTATTATTATTATTACAGCTAAATACAGCAGCAATACCTTTTTCCACAAAGTTGAAATAGAGAACGACAGTTTGGCCAGAGTCCTCCACCGTTATCTCCTTCCCGTTGAGGGAGTCATAGGCTTTTTTGGAGTCTTCTGTCCTTCCGTATTTCACAAACGAATATGGTTTACCGGGAGGCATTAGAAGAGCTTTCACCAGCCCACAATCCTGCACCACGCTGAGCAGTTGGCATCTGCTTACACCATTGCCCAGACCTCCGTTGGCAACCACCAGGCTCTAATTATCAGGAGATAAAGAGGAGGGCGGTGGAAGGGGGGGGGAGGACAAGTGAGACACAGACATGAGTAATCAGCACTAAATTATTCATCTGAAAGCAACATTCCATAAACACATTGGAGAAATAAAAGAGGAAATTAGGCTCTTATCCCAGAATTGCTCTGTTTGAAAAACAAAATGAAATGTTTAGATTTGAAATAGCTAGAAATTTGTTGTTGTTGTTGTTATGATTTTGATTTATATACTGCCCTTTATAAAAAGATCTCAGGGCGGTGGACAACATTAAAAACCTATTTTACAGCGTGTAATAATAAAAACATAAAACAAAGCATGGTAATAGACAGCATAGTCATAAAAACCATCATAGTAACAGTCATCCACACACATGCGCACACTTTTAACAGGCCATAGATTATTTAATGGTCAAAGACCTGGCTAAAAAGGAATGTTTTTTCACCTGGCGCCTAAATACATTTAATGATAGTGCTAGGCGAGCCTCACTGGAGAGAGCATTCCACAGACAGGGAGCCACCACAGAAAAGGCCCCCTCTTGTTTTGCCACCCTCCAAACCTCTCAAGGCGGGGGGACATAGAGATGGGCCTCAGATGACAAGCACAGGGTTTGGGTCAGTTCGTATGGGGAGAGGCGGTCCTTAAGGTATTGAGATCCTGAGCTGTGTAAGGCTTTATAGGTCAACACCAGCACTTTGAATTGGGCCCAGAAAATAATTAGCAGCCAGTGCAGTTGGGTTGGGTCAGGATTGGCATTATAAGCTCAAACCATCTTGTTCTGGTGAGCAACCTGGCCACTGAATTTTGCACCATATATAATTATTGATAGCAGCTTTCATTTATGGAAAAACTACTCAAGACGTATTAATCCAGGATGGGTAGTTGTCCATTTCACCAACAGCTTGGATTTCTGCCATGTGATCTGTTCCACACCAGCCTTCCCCATCTACAACCTGCTGCCCTCCAGAGGTTGCTGAACTCCAAATCCCATTAGCCACAGCTAGCCTGGCCAATGAGCCCCATTAAGATCAGTGGGACAGATCTCTTAGTAAACCTTAGTAAACACAATTCACATTCAACTAGGAGCAACTTCAACCCCCAAATCACCTTGGTGGGGTACGACACGCACTCAATCCCCTCGTGCCTTAGCAGGGTATGCCTGGCCTTCATCTGTTTTTGCCGCAGCTTCTTCTCTGCTTTACTGAGTCTCTGTTGACCGATGCCGTCTGTTTCCATGCTGAAAAGGTCAACGGAGAAGATGCCATCTGGGGGAAAGAAAGGACCAGGTTTTAAATCCCTTGAACGGAACAAAAACAATCAGCAACAAATCCTGGTTTTGACCTATAAAGCTCTTTATAGAACACCCAATATGGCATTAAATCCTCAGTCTGAAGATACAAACCAGTGTAACTTGCTCATCCCAGGGGCATGGTGGGAGCATTCAGCTCGGTCACGTGACCTGGCAACCCTGCCTAGAACCCAGTTTTAATGGCTTGTTTTCCCTCTGCCAGGGTTAGGCAGAGCAGCAGCCCCACTGCTAACCAGGGTTTGGATCTGGTGTGACTTTACACCAGCTTCTTGTGCATAGGAACTGCTCCCTAATCCTTATAACAACCCTGTGAAATTGGCTGATATTATTCTCATATGTCTCATGAAGTTAGGGATGAGCGCCATGAGATTTCCCCTGAGCCCTTTATGTTTCTTTGCTTTTCTGTTTTATTGTTGTGGCTTATTTGCAATCCACTGTAGGAGCCCTCTGGTTGTGGGAGCAGGATATAAACGCAGCACCTAAAACCAAAATAAGGCTGCTGAAACTGCAACACAGTCCAACACTGACTGCCCTCCTGCAAATACTTACTGGGACGTAATTTCCAGTGAACACAATTTTTTCCCTGAGCAAAAATTTTTTGGGTTGAGCTCCACAATTAAGAGATGGAACAAGCTGATTCAATTTTTCTCCTCTGGGGCTATTTCTCACTGTACTGACAAAAGAGAGTCTCTCCTTTGTACCAGTAGATGGTGCACTCTGCCCATTTATAATTCCCCACGCTCTTGAGCATTATTCCCCTTTTATTTCTGGTCATTCCTAGCTTACAGAATCATAGGAATAAAAAATCAACTTTGCTGTAATCTTAATGCAAGTGAAAAACTTGAGGCCTTCTGAAAAGGTTGGTATTAGCTAGCAAACGCCCTGGAGTTGCCATTAAAACAAAGCAAAGAGGTAAAGTGGCAGAGCATTTAGCAGCAACCTGTGGGTTAAACCACAGAGCCTAGGACTTGCCGATCAGAAGGTCGGCAGTTCGAATCTCCGCGACGGGGTGAGCTCCCGTTGCTCGGTCCCTGCTCCTGCCAACCTAGCAGTTCGAAAGCACGTCAAAGTGAAGTAGATAAATAGGTACCACTCCGGCAGGAAGGTAAACGGCGTTTCCATGCGCTGCTCTGGTTCGCCAGAAGCGGCTTAGTCATGCTGGCCACATGAACTGGAAGCTGTACGCCAGCTCCCTCAGCCAATAAAGCGAGATGAGCGCTGCAACCCCAGAGTCATCCGCGACCGGACCTAACAGTCAGGGGTCCCTTTACCTTTAAGCTATTATAGCAAGCTGTTCTAAAGCAGGTTTCTAAATAAACAAAAACAGGGCTTTAGAAGTGGCCTCTACTGACTCAGTGGCAGAAGTCATGTCCTGCATCTAGTAAGCCATTTTGGGTACCCCTATTTTGGAAAGGAAAAGCTGGACAGAAATTTATTTTATAAATAAACATAAGCAACTCTGAAAGGTCCTAGTCTGAACCTGTGGTATGTTCACTGGTACCCATAAAGATCCCCCGAGCTGAGGAAGATGCCAGCATGGAAAAGCATTTGACACAGTAGACAGCCGTTATCTCCTGGATCAGTGGTTGGATTCAGTATAAGAACAGCTCCTTGGTGAATGAGCGTGGTTAGCACAACCAGATGCAAAGAGAAATTGTACAGAAGTGGGAACTTTGACTGATGCAACTTTTTAAAAATCTGCACAAGAAGCTGTATCTGCAGCAATTTTCTCTTCTACCTAGATGTTGAAAGCACATAAGACCTGTTCTTACACCCACCTGGTCACCCTAGGGCTGCAATCCTTTGCACAGTTACTTGAGAACAATACTGCAACCCTGCACACACTTACCTGGGAGTAAGTTCCTCTGAACTCAATGGAGCTTACTTCTGGGAAGGCATACAGAAAACTGTGCTTCCAAGTCTTCTTGATATATATGCTCACATCTCTCACACTCATATAGCTATTGCTGTTAGAAATTTTAAAATATAAGAACATAATAAGGGTCTTGCTGGATCAGATTCAGTTCTCATAGTGGCCAGCCAGATGTGTATAGAAAGCGTGCAAAAGAACACAAGGAAAACAGCTATCTCCCTACCTGCAGGTCCCTAAATGCACATAGAGACATTTTTATTGCAGAGAGAGAGAGAATTTTTAGGGCCATATTTCTGGTTTTGTGGTATGCTACTGTGTGTACATTTAAGTAGAAGAGCGGGTTATTAAAAAACCCAAAAACATTATCATGGTCGAGCTCCTTGAATTCAGCATAACGTTCTATACAGCATAGGATCTGACCACAAATGAAGCAACTCATTGAAATGACACAAACCACTGACACGGTAATAAGCCCCATTCAACTCAATGGAACTTACTTTGAGTGAGTTGGCATGAAATGGGAGGCCCTTTGCTTCTCTCGATCTTTGAACAGAATTACTCCAACTGCTCACACACGTGGCTAAACGTAGCATAGAAGCAGTAAGGTAAAGGTAAAGGGACCCCTGACCATTAGGTCCAGTCGTGACCGACTCTGGGGTTGCGGCGCTCATCTCACTTTACTGGCCGAGGGAGCCGGCATACAGCTTCCAGGTCATGTGGCCAGCATGGCTAAGCCGCTTCTGGCGAACCAGAGCAGCGCACGGAAACACCGTTTATCTTCCCGCCAGAGCGGTACCTATTTATCTACTTGCACTTTGACGTGCTTTCGAACTGCTAGGTTGGCAGGAGCAGGGACCGAGCAACGGGAGCTCACCCCGTCGCGGGGATTCGAACCGCCGACCTTCTGATCGGCAAGTCCTAGGCTCTGTGGTTTAACCCACAGCGCCACCCGCGTCCCTTCATGGAAGCGGTACTGATGGATAAATAAACATGCTCAAGGTTGCTGTTGTTTTCATAGAATTATGGAATTACAGAATTGGAGAGCTGGAAGGGTCATCTACTGCAACCCCATTGCAGTGCAGGAATCTCAACTAGATTTTACACGGGATCAAAGCCAGGACTGTGGTGTCTATTTTTGCTGCCTTTGCTCCACCACCACCACCCCCAAAGCCTCAAAAAAAGGAGTGCACTGCAAACAGCAGCTGTTATGTCTGGACAGGAATTTTAGGCTACGATCCTTACAACACTCTTTCCAAAACTGAGTTAGCATGGCCACATCCTGTTAATAAAGTGCTGATTCAGTGTCTCGGGAGCAGGAGACGCCACGCAAGTCTGAAATCAGGAGAGGAATCTGTCCTGTCTTGGGTTCGAATTTGCAGCCTGGTTAAAAGATGTTGCCATTTGCCTTTCTGCAAAGCAGAGAAAAGAAACTGGCTTACCTTACAGGAGGGCAGCCATGCTGAAGGAAACAGCCCAACTACAATTCCCATGAAGCTCTTCGCCTACAACTCCCGTCATGCCTTGCAAACTTCCGGCTTTCTTTTAACCCCTTCATTACACGCATGCGGTATCACGTTGCAGAGTTCTTTTTTTATTTCTCCAAACTACATTGTGTCTCGATGGGATAAAGATTAAGTAAAGCTAACACTGCTTTGTTTTTCAGAGCCCTGAGCGTGATGGAGGGGAAGGAAGGTTAGGTTTTGGTGGAAATCGTACAGCATTATTCCGCACCCTTCTCTGCATTTTAAGTTTCGAAGTGTTTGCAGCCAATATGTGCGGCTTTAAAAAAAAGGGGGGGACTGCAATTTCGTTATAGGCTTAATGTGTAATAAACCCCACTGAGTTCAATGAGGCTTTCCTCCAGGCAAAAATGTGCAACTGGCTTCAACATTAAACTTAGAAGATAACTCTTGCGTTTTATTTTTAAATCAGCAAAAGGGTAGTGGGAATGGATGAGCAATTAATTAAACAGACATGTATACATGCAGTTTTGTAGTGGTGAATTCTGGAGTGCAAGCTTTCCTCATGATCACCCCCAGAAGTCTAGTTACAGGTAGGTAGCCGTGTTGGTCTGCTGTAGTCGAAACAAAATAAAAAAAATTCCTTCCAGTAGCACCAACTAAGTTTGTTATTGGTATGAGCTTTCGTGTACATGCACACTTCTTCAGATACCTAAGCTCATACCAAAACAACCCCCCATAAGTGTTTTATTATTTCATAAAATGTATTGGCCACCTCAAAGCGATTTACAAAAAAAATAAAATTAAAAAATACAGCCCTGCTTTAAAACATGCAAAAGTTAAAATACTAAAGCAGATTAAAATTACCTCAACTTTCTAAGCATCTGGCTAAAGCATCCTATCTATAAACAGGAATGCTTTTAGCAGGTGCCGAAAAGAGTACAGTAAAGGTGCCTGCTTGATCTCAATATGCAGGGAGTTCCAAAGGGGTAGGTGCTGCCACGCTAAACTAGGGTTGCCAGGAGCACCCCAGACCCTGAGATTTCAGGGCCCAAACATGAGACCTGGTTGATGTCGTGGGTGGAGGCTGCCTGAGAGAGCATGTCATTATCACCAAGCCCCTTCTGAGAGTTGCCTCTTTTGTTTCTGCAGTTTGCAAGTGGTACTTCCCTCTCTCCTGGTTCCCCTCCATGTGACAAGCATGTTCCTATTGTCGTCGTGAACTATTGGAGGCCATGCTTCATTTTATTATTTACATTTACAGCAGTACCTGGGGTTAAGAACTTACCGTATTTTTCGCTCTATAACACGCACCCGACCATAACACGCACATAGTTTTTAGAGGAGGAAAACAAGAAAAAAAATATTCTAAACGAAACAGTGGATGTATGATTTTTGTGGTTCATGCTGTGGCCACAGACATGTGATCTGACGGTGAGTTTGAGGTAGCCCAATGCAAAAATCCTGAGGATCCAAGTGGATCCATGCTTTGTAACCACGTTTTAAGTGGGGAGGGAAGGAAAAGCACTCAAGGGCCAAGGAACACGCGTGGGGTGGGTGGAGAAGGATGCTGTTAATAATGCAGAAGAGGGGTATAAGAGAAGCAAGCAGGCTCTGCTTCTCTCCCTCCTCCCCGGCTCGATGAAAAACTTTGCTGCTATTTAGCCAGCTGAGTGGGGAGGAGAGAGGGACAGAGAGCCTGCTTGCTTTAAAGGAGCCAACCGGACAGGAGCCGCTTACACTCGTGTAAGCGGCTCCTCTCCTCTCCCGCTTTGCTCCTTTAAAGCAAGCAGGCTCTCAGAACCTCTCTCCTCCCCACTCAGCGGCTCTTCTCCCACTTTGCTGTTTCAAAGTGAGCCACGGAGGAGGGAAGGAAGGGGAACCATGGATCCTCTGCTCACGACTGCAGCAGATTCCCCCCACCATCCGTAGGCATTCACTCCATAACACGCACAGACATTTCCCCTTACTTTCTAGGAGGAAAAAAGTGAGTGTTATGGTGCAAAAAATAAGGTAATTCGTTCTGGAGGTCCGTTCTTAAGCCGAAACTGTTCTTAACCAGAGGTACCACTTTAGCTAATGGGGCCTCCTGCTGCCGCCGCCACGCAATTTCTGTTTTCATCCTGAAGTAAAGTTCTTAACCCGAGGTACTATTTCTGGGTTAGCTGAGTCTGTAACCTGAAGCGTCTGTAACCTGAAGCGTCTGTAACCCGAGGTACCACTGTATATACCACCTTTTCTTCCTTTTCTGTTTTTAGACTACAATCCCCATCATCCACTGGTCTTGCTAGCTAAGGATGATGGGAGTTGTAGTCCAAAAAGAAGTGGAGGCCCAAGTTTGGGAAACCCTGAGCTAGATGAACCAACAGTCTGACTTGGCATAAGGCAACTTCCTATATTCCTGCTTTAAAGCAAAACCTTAACAAGCAATTCTTTTGTAAATGCTTTTTTTAAAAAATAATATAAGAAAAAAAGTAAAAACATAAACGAGATCACGTCGCATCCTGGCCAATACAATAAACATACGATTCCTGCCCCCCCCAACAAAAAAAAAATCTGATTTATTTTCTCATTTATTTATTATCAGTGGTATTTTTCTAGAAATAGAGGTGCCAGAAATCACCACGAATCCCTCTCTTGTTCTCTTAAAATGGCAATGGCATTATAAGATGTGCCGGAACCAAGTTCTGGCTGGGGAAAAACCCTGATTATCATCACCATCATTTTTCTGGGGTTTCAGGCGGGTTCTCAGTCAAAGTTAATCGGCGGCTGCTCTCAGACTCAAAGCATATATTGCCTTTTGGTGGAGCCCTTCAATTTCTCTTTTGTTCTCCACTCTTTCTCCCCTGTCTCAAAACAGTCCCTGTGGATTCAAGACACAACTCCAAGAGCACATCTGCTTGCCCACTGGCTTATTGGAGATTCTCTCCATCTTTTCTCTGCTTGCTGCCCCGCAAATAATTCTGAGGCCAGGGGTTGCCAGCCCAACATCTGTGACCACATCTGTACCTATAAAGGCCCTTTCCTGGCACCCACAGGGTCCCCTCCCCCCGCTGAAATTTGGCTTGAAAGAGACATTCTGTTGTAGCTAATGGATCGGTTGTGGTGTGTACTCGTGCGTGCGTGTGTGTGTGTGTGTGTGCACGCGCGCGCGCACGGACACGTGCACGCGCGCGCGCACGGGCACGTGCACGCGCGCGCGCACGGGCACGTGCATGCGCATGTTGTGTCAGGAGTTCAGCTTACACTCGAGTAGGACCCTGGCAGAGACACATGCCCAACTGGCATGTTCTCTCCCTCCTGGTCAATTGTTCAGGAGCTTCAAAAGCTTTCTTCTGCCCAAACATCACAGCAACTGATGCCAACCGACACCGGCACACTTAGAGAGCTTCAGAGTCTTCACAGCTTTGCATGACAGACCTCAGCAACATTTTGGCTAATCTACTTTATTTACATATAAACACACACGGAGCACTGCAACATGGCTCCCTCTCTCTCTAGCATCAGAGAGCAAAGAGGAAAAGAACAAAGGACAATAGTCCCACTTCACAGAACACAGTAACACAAACATCCTGTCTCCGTCACTTCCCACTCTGTGGAGTCAAAACATACGCCGTCATGTGAAAGACAATAATCCCATGACTGCAATCATGGAGCAGGAATTATAACATGACAGTTTCTCCAGTGTACAAATTGGCCCGTGGGGCGGGGAAGTTGGCAACACCTGAGCTAAGTTAAGCATATGTTCTGCTCTCCCTCACTGAAATCACTGGGACTCTGCCATTACGTTGGGTCGGATTGTTCCCTATTGTATGTAAATAATGGGACGGCAGCAGAATGTTTCGTAGCCACATTTAAGCGCATGGCAGGAAAGAGATCTGACAAAATACACATTGACCTAAATTCAAATCAGAGTCCCGCTTCCAGGCAGGGAAGACCAATTCTCTATTGTAACTCCGCTGAGGCTTGAGCTATTCCTCTTTAGAAAGTTACCCAGAGAAGCCTTGCACTGTGTGTCAGGTCAATTTTACATCTGAGCATTTCAGTCAGGTTTTCATATTGTGACTGGTATTATCTAATGCCTGCAGGGAGGGCTAGATTTTCTATATAAAAACATCCCCCGTTTTGCAAGGAGAAAGCCAAATTGTATTAAAAAGATTCGGCATTGCATTTACCTTATATTAATAACTAATTGTTCAGGTGATCTTTCTGATTTCTCAGAACTCCTCAGATTTCAGTCCCTAGCCATGAGAGCTAGAAATTTGGTTGTGTAATGCCACAACCAGATTTTGAAATGGATCCTTCATTTTGTTTCAGTATTGCTTCAACCATCTTTGACTTGAGATGTCAATGGGACAGAACGTATGACAAATAATAATAATAATTTATTCCCCGCCCATCTGGTGGGGTTTCCCCAGCCGCTCTGGGCAGCTTCCAACAGAATATTAAAATACAATAATCTATTAAACATTAAAAGCTTCCCTAAACAGGGCTGCCTTCAGATGTCTTCTAAAAGTCTGGTAGTTGTTTTTCTCTTTGACATCTGGTTGGAAGGCATTCCACAGGGCAGGTGCCACTACCGAGAAGGCCCTCTGCCTGGTTCCCTGTAACTTGGCTTCTCGCAGGGAGGGAACAACCAGAAGGCCCTCAGCGCTGGACCTCACTGGACAAAAGCAATATTAAATCACTATTATCTCCAGTCCTGATAAAACTGCTGGTTCTGAAAGTCCATGCTTATCTATATTTGCTCTTCCTACATTTCAACTTTCAAGGTGGTGCAAGTGCAAGATTTTAAGAAAGAGCTCATTCATTCTGTCTTTTAATGTGGATGGTAAGCTTCTTCTCCAAATTACTGCCTTCCCACAATTTCCCCTCCCTTGAGCCAGATTTTCTTATACCAGGGATACTCTGAGAAAGGAGAGGGTATGTGGAAATCCAGATTGAGGGAAGCAGAGATACCAACTTGAATAAAATATGGGGGGGTGCGGACAAGGACAGTGATATTGGAGGTAGGGACAAGGACAAAGGAGGGATGGTAGAAAAGAAGATTGAAAGTAAATGGCAAAGCTCTTGACAATGTCCTCCTCCCTTGGCTCTTAAAGCATGTCTTGAATTTAATTTTTAAAAATGACAAGCAACCAGGGAACTGCTTCCTCTTTTGTCCTAGCAGAGCTCCATGAATCTGTCCCATGGAGCACACAGTTTCATTTTCTCTTCCTGTCTGTCTCCAATTGCAAAGGCGGTAAGAAATGAGGTTTTCCCCCGATCCCAGCTCTCTTGCATCCAGCAACCCTTTTACAAGTTCTTTTACAGGGCTCGATGGGAAATGAAGGCCAAACGTGGAAAAAAGGAGGGGAGGCAGCAATGGCAATCAACTTTGGGGGGCCCTGGCCTCTTCAGATATTTTATGGGGGGCAAAGGGACCTGGGCCCCTAGGAGTTGGCGCCTATGGAGGGAAGGGAAAGTGTGGGAAGACAGTGATTTAGAGGAGAATGTCATAGAGTATGGGTAGGCAAACTAAGGCCCGGGGGCCAGATCCACCCAATTGCCTTCTAAATTCAGCCCGCGGACAGTCCGGGAATCAGTGTGTTTTTTGCATGAGTAGAATGTGTGCTTTTATTTAAAATGCATCTTGGGGTTATTTGTGGGGCATAGGAATTCGTTCTTTTTCTTCTTCAAAATATAGTCCAGCACCCCACAAGGTCTGAGGGACAGTGGACCAGCCCCCTGCTGAAAAAGTTTGCTGACCCCTGTCATAGAGCAAGGGATAATTAATGGAGGTATATTAAATGACAGTACAGATGAGCCCCAAATCTCTCACCTAATAAAGCTTAGAAGTTATGGAATCAGATGTCAGGTTCCCTTATAGAACAGTCTCATGGGCCAAATTAGGACCCCTGCTGGGCCCGCAATTAGGACGTTTTAGTTTTGGGCAGACAACCAAAACTACATGGTAGACATTTATACAATTATAAATAGTGTGGAGATGGTGAACACACATTATTCCAGTTTGGCATGGCTTACTAAATTGCTGTTTTGGCCCATAACCAAGAACCCGTTGTATGACTTTGCATTGTCATGCTAGAATTGAAGAAGGTGGTTAAAAGGCCAGCCCAAATAAAAATAAGTATCTGGCTGTTAGCCTAAGGCTGGCTATGGTAGAACAGAAATGCTTTTTTGAAATTTTCAGTGGCTTTTTGTTTCCTAGTCCAATATTCCTCTTTGGCTGGATAAGCTTTTATCTTTAGGCAGAATCAGTACATGTGCAGCTCAGTCCTATTCACGTTGAGTTGGGATGTAAACATACTGCATTTATATGTCAAAATTATTTTTCAAAAACCCTTTTGCTGGCACATCAAAGTCTGCAAATTGTTGCCAGTTCTTCAAAGAGAATGATCCTACAGGTTAAAAGAAAAGAATAACTTAAAAGCTTTTTGCAGTTACGAAAATAGTCTCTCCTTTCAGCGGGGAGAGACGAGGCCAATATTTTGCAAAACTTCTCTGGTTTAAGTTAATATCACAGAATACTCTTCCACCCCTAAGGAAAATTGTGACATTAACCTGAGAAAAAACCCAGTTCTGTCACAAACAATTAGGATTCGGTGGGCAGCTGGAAGGCTGTGCAACTTTAGCTGGTTATTCTCATGCTAGCTGTGCTAAAGAAGCCATCTTTTTGGCATTTTCTCTCTCTTTAGGGCACAATCCCATCCCTTGTCAAGGAGGCTGTGAGCAGGAGCTTACACAGAAGCAGCGGTTCTATCAGAACAGACATTCAGAAAGATGCCCAGAATGAGCAGGAAGGCAGGAGGGGGTGTGGGGAGAGGTGCATATTTTGCTGTCTATACTGGCTTGTTGTGTGACTCTTGTAATGGTCCTGTGATGCACCGAACACGCCAAAATCCGAATTGATGGTTATGTCTGTGGTGTAGCTCGCATTGATTTAAAGAGAGTCAGGGTCGCAGGATTACTGGCTTCAGTCCAGTAAAGGATTCAAGGCCCTCCTTGTAAGCTTAAGAATGTAACTAATCCTGGATTACTCACTCCACTGGGGTGGTATCCTGGTTGCCTCATCCTTGAATTCTTCCTTGGCACGAGCCTGGCAAAACTGAGCAAGGTTTACATTCCTGGAGCTCTTAAAAGGACCAGGACATCCCCACTTCAACGCTGTAGAAAAAAAGCCATACACCTTGTTGATTCAGATGGCAAATGCTAGTGGGGAACTTTCCAGACTGAATAAAGGGTAATCCTTGCATTGGGCAAATTGGAGCCACAGCATTCAGCGAAGTAAGGCAGTTGGTTAAGAAAGACTCCCTGATCCACTGGGGACATTTGCAACGACCTGTAACAGGGCCTTCTCGGTGGTGGTTTCAATTTGTGGAATGCCCTCCGTCGTTAGGTGTGTCAGCCTTCCTCATTACTTACTTTCAAGAGAAATTAAAAAACTGGAAATGTTTTTAAATGTATGGGAAGCAGCAGCACCTTGACCTGCTGTGAGGACACATGATGCTGCCAGCTTGCAAAGGAATCGGGACTTGAGAGAGGTGGCACCTATCCTCTGGCTTTTCCTCCTACTAGGCAGGTGCTGTCTCTGTTGTCTTTTCCACTTTCGACAAGCCTTTTAAGCGGAGATATTTATCCCAGTCTGCATCTGTACCGGAACTAGTTTTAACCGTTTACATGCATGGCTTTGTTTTTATATGTTCGCCTTATTTTCAAATATGGATTGTTTTTCATTGTTTTCTCTAAGGAACTGTTTCTGTTTCATGGTTTTTGTTATTGAAATATACTCAGAGTCGCAAAGTGATTTCATGCTCTTTATTCAGCTCATAGTGGTGAGGAGGAATGAATGAATGTCCCCTCAAAGTATCTACTTTATATACATTATTTACACAATGGGCTGCACATGATTGGCTAATTCCGGAATTCTACTGTAAGCCAATCAGGTTGTGGATTCGCTTCTATCTGGAGAATGATTGGGTGGTTCTTGCCAACCAATCATACTGCTGCATTGTTCTAGGACCAATCAGACTGCTGCATTCTGAATCCTATTGTTCTAGGACCAATCAGACTGCTGCGTTTTGGATCCTATTGTTCTAGGACCAATCAGACTGCTGCAGTTTGGATCCTATTCAACTCAGTACATAACAGTTATGTACTGTGTTGAATAGGATCCAAAATGCAGCAGTCTGATTGGTCCACAGGAGCCACCCAATCCAGCTCCAGGTGGAAATGAATCCGCAACCTGATTGGCCTACAGGAGAATCTCGGAATTAGCCAATCACATGGGGCCCATTGTGTAAATAATGTAAAGGCTAAACATGCTCAGCTCCCTTAGCCGTTCCTCATAAGGCATCGTTTCCAGGCCTTTGACCATTTGCAAACCGGAACACTTACTTCCGGGTTTGCAGTGTTTGGGTTCCAAGTTGTTTGAGTACCAAGGTGTTTGAGAACCAAGGTACCACTGTACTCCCCAGGCCCAGGTTTGCCCTTTAGCCTCCCACTTCTCAGCAAAAGCTCTCACCAGTGTCCTCAGAGATAAAGCAGTTGTGTGGAGCATCATCTCGGAACTCACTCAGCCCATGATGGAGGCAGGTCTTCCCTTTCTGACAGTTGGCAGGAAACAGGTCCCATGGATGTCCTCTTGAGGCCATGGAGTGAGGCTGGGAAGCAGCTTGGAAGTTGCTCTGCCCGCCATGGAGCTGAGGCTTCTTCCCCAAGGATGGTTTATTTGTTTTAATATGTATAGGCTGCAGATTCATAAAATAGTGGAACATAAAAAACCAACATCTCAGCATCAATAAAAGCACCAGTAAATGCTGGTTGGTAAAAAGAGATTCACATGGCAAAGGAATGTCTGAATAACACAGTTTTCAGAATGCGTGTCAAAGAAAGTGGGGATGATTCCTGCCGAACTACTGGCAGGGAGTCCCACAGGGCTAGGTCCATATTATTATTATTATTATTATTATTATTATTATTATTCTGCCCTATAGATCTCAGGGCAGTTCACAGCATAAAATCACAATATAAAAAACAGAAAATGCATAATAAAAGCAAAAGCAAAGACAACCCAACATCTCCCCTTCCACAATAGGCTTTAAAGGCTCAGTCTTCAGCAAAAGCTGAAAGAGCCACTGTTGGAAATCTGAAGTCTGGCTCCCAGCAGCCCTGAGTAATGATTTGTATATGGGCTATCACAGATACACACATGGTAGCGAGAACTGTTGCATCTCCTCACATCACTTCAAACCCAAAGGCATTTCATTAGGCGCAGGGGTTGACATTCAGCTGCCAATCATCAAGGCCTAGGTCTCCCCAGGACTTGTACTACTTCAGACTAATGAGGGTGGGGTGTGTGGAAGAGAACAAACAATGCTCCTCTGTACTGTACTAACAACTTGGTAAAAATTCCCTGTGCATAGAAAACTAGCAAGTCAGGAAGAAGGCTAGGCTAGCACCCTGACAAACTACCTGTCCACGTGCAGGGATTTTTTTTGGGGGGGGGGAGGTATGAGGAACATCCAACTATGCCAGCTCAAATACAGGTTGACCACCTCAGTAGGAAATAGGCAGGAATTACACACCAAGCAAAAAAAGAAAAAGGAATTAACCATTGCACAAATTGCAAGGGGTCTGTGTGTCCTACTTTACAGAGGGCACTCCTCTATTTGAGTGGCTGTCTGGTCCAAGTCCAGTTTAAAGATAAAGGACCATAAAATAATAAAGGGCAGGAGCTTTGAAGTTGCTGATCAACACCTAGTCAGCCGAATGAGCAGGCATACAGGTTACAGCACAGAATCCCCCAGTATGGTGAGATCATACCCTCCAACATTTCTCCAATGAAAATAGGGATGTCCCATTCCATAATTATAATTTTACTATTTATACGCCACACATCTGACCAGGTTGCCCCAGCCACTCTGGGCAGCTTCCAACGTATATAAAAACATTAAAAAACACTAAACATTTTTTAAAAACTTCCCTATACAGTGGTACCTTGATTCTCAAACGCCTTGGTACTCAACTTGGAACCGAAACACTGCAAACCCGGAAGTGTTCCGGTTTGCGAACTTTTTTCGGAAGCTGAACGTGCTCAAATGCTTCTGATTTGAGTACCACACTTCCGTTTTGAGTGTTACACTGAGGTCTGTCTGTTTTTGCTATTTATTTTGCATTTTTGTGCCTCTTTTTCTTTCTTTTTTGTGACTGTGTGGAACCCAGTTCAGCTACTGATTGATGGATTTCGTGACTGCACTACATTGTTTATTGCTTTCATTTTATGGATCAATGCTCTTGTTAGATAGTAAAATTCATGTTAAATTGCTGTTTTAGGGGTTGTTCTTAGAAGTCTGGAACGGATTAATCCATTTTGCATTACTTTCTATGGGAAAGCGTGCCTCGGTTTTGGAACGCTTTGGTTTTGGAACAGACTTCCGGAATGGATTAATTTTGAGAACCAAGGTACCACTGTACACTGTACCACTTCAGGTGGCTCGGATAACTCCACACCCTCCAGAGTTTCTCCCATGAAAATAGGGACATCCTAAGAAAAAGTGGGACATTCCTGGATCAAATCAGAAACCAGGGTGGCTTCTATAAATCAGGGACACTTGGAGGATCCATAGCTGTCAACTTTCCCTTTTTTTGCGGGAAATTCCCTTATTCCAGCGCCGTTTCCCGCTGCTTCCCGCTGCTATCCCGTTGTTAGATATCCCGTAGACTGTCCCCGGGACAGGTGAGGCTGCTGATCCCTTATTTTCAAATCTGAAAGTTGACAGCTATGTGATGATCTGTGAGATGCATTGCAATTTTTTTAAAAAGTAGTGATTATTTCCAAATTCACATCTATACATACAACTCAGCACATGCATATTTTACGTCCTTTTAAAGTGCCTTAGTAGTCACCTATAACAAAGTGGGGGGCGTACAACAGGCCTCAGTAGAGCGGGCCTGACCCTGGCACGACGGGCGGCAGCGCGCATCTCCCCCCCCTCCACGGCCCCCTCGCCTCGCACTTCGCAGTCCTCGCCAGTAGGATGCGCCACGAGCGCAGTATCCTTTTCCCTCCATTCAAGCTCGCCGAGGCTGCTGCGCCTCACCTTCCCGGGGCTCGGCGGCGGCGGCGGCGGCTCTGCCTCTTGCGCGCTCCCTTCTCCTTTGATCCCTCCGGCGACCCACATTGCCGGAGCTCCGCCGCAGCTCGCTCCAGGGAGGGAAGCTTCGCCAGCTTGCCTGGCGGCGCGATGGGACTGTGAGAGAGCCTACGGCGAGGAGGTAAGCCAGCCAGCCAGCCAGCCAGCCAGGGGTGGGCAGGGCAGGGCAGGCTTTCCTAACCACAGCACCCCACCTCCGGTCCTCAGTGCAACTCTCTGCAAAATCTAGAGCCTCGCCGCCATCCCGCTTCCTCCCCCACTGCAACCCCTTGCAAATTTTTTGCATTGCTCCCAGTGCTGCATAAATACGCTTGCTTGCATTTATTTATTTTTTTGCATTGCTCCCAGTGCTGCATAGATACCCTTGCATGCATGCATGCATGCTTTGCCTGGGCGGCGCGATTTGACCCCGCATCCTTCGCTTTGGGGTTGGCGGGGGCAGCGGCTGCTGCTGCTGCTGCTCTTTGCAAAAGCCTCGAGTCGCCTAGCGACCAGCAATCAATTAATCATGGCGAGCGGCGCGAGCTCCCGGGGCGCCGCGCTCGCCCTGCACCCAAGTCCGCCATCTGCACCAGCCGAGCCGAGCAGATGGGCGGAGAGGAGGGAGCAGTTGGCGTGGCCGAGTCGCGGCTATTGATCGTGGCTTCTGGCATCCAGGCTGGTGGTGGGGTCTGTTTTCATTGATGGTTCCTGGTTCATTTGCCGGCGAGGCGCGCTGGGTGTTACTATCTGGCAAGCTGCAAAATACTCCTGGCGTTTCCTTTCAGTTGAGGCGGGGCAGGCGAAGAAGGTAAGCATTAGTGGGGGGGGGGGGGAGAGGGGAGTTGCTTTCTTTGCATGCTTTTATTTTATCATTGGCCGGTTAACAGGGCATTAAAGAGGGACAGTGCAATGCCTTCTTTGCTGGGAGTGGAATTAAAAAGCCCCTTTTGCCTTCTGAGTTGGCGCGTGGCAAGAGCGTGCCTTTGGTGTGGCTTAGATTCACCCCTGTCCATTCATTCGGCCTCAGGCTGCAGTCCTATGCAAGCTTACATGCGAGTAAGCCCGCTTGAGATCCATGGGCCTTGTTTGGATGTAGGGTTGTGTAGCATCGCTCTGGGGGCCTTTGCCGCTTGGTTCCAGTGGGCCTCCAAGTGGCTTGCGGAACAATTAACAGTATGATTTTAAAAATCGCCTTAAAACCCGAATGAAATAAGGGGGGGGGGGATGTAGGAGTTTTAACCTGCCTATTTTTTAAAAAAACTGCAGAACACCAAAAAGCAAAATAGCAAAGCAATAAGGGAGGACAATTTCAAGTGGTGCAGGAATGGTGGTTGGTTTTAGCTTCAGCAGGGGAGACCCCCAATAATTCATGGCTGGCTCCAGAGGATTTATGTTTTTCCCTCCCCCACCCCCACCCCGCTCCACTTTCCTGCTTAGCCCCCACCCACAGGTATAGTCTCTGGAGCAAAATCTAACTTGGGAATGGTGTGTGCTCTCAGCTTAAAAGTGACTTCAGGAGAGGTCTCCTTGGAAGTAAGTGGTGGTGCAGCCCCCAATCCCATCCGCACACTTTCTTGGAAGTGAGTCCCGCTATGTCCAGTGCAGCCTCCTCCTTCGTAAGGTTGCCTGATAACTGCAGCCCAGTCCTGTGCATGTCTACTCAGAAGCAAGTCCCCCTTTGCTCATGTGACTTACTTCCCTGTAAGTGTGAGCAGGATTGCAGCCTGGATCTGAGTCCCATCCACCCCAGAAGTTAATGTGGCTTAAGTTGGTATGGAAACCTGTAGTTTTACAATGGTTCGTAGATCACTCAGTGATTCCTTTGGTTGCGTGGTCAGGGATGTCTTTGACTCAGGACCACAGAGATGCTATAGCATCCTTGCTCCCAAGGCAGTAATTGAACAATAAGGTAAATAAAGCCCACCACATTTGCTCAGCAAAGGGTTGAAAAACAAAAAGCAGGATCTGGGCTGGTATCCCAGGTGCCTTGCTCTGCAGTGTGTGTTTGTATGTCGTCCTGATGGCTTGACAAGCTCTCAGCACAAGTGGAGCAGCCAATATGGTGGGAAGCAGGTAACAAAAGCTGCTGTAAGGAGGAAGCAACACCTGATTGCTTCTCATTTGGATTAGAGCAACATACAATATGAGGTGATCTAGGAAGAGGTTTTGGTCCTGAGAGGGAGAAGGGGACCTGTATGAGCAGGATACAGAAATTTCTGTTTTCACAGGCAGCGCCTCCAACCTGTTAGGAATTAGGTTTTGCAGTGGGGAATCATTAGGGTGGCTAAGCTTGTTGCAGCTCTAGATAACACAGTCTTGCCAGCCTGTATCGTCCCTTTAAAATAGGTTAGTGAAGGTGGGGGAACCTATAAAGACTGACACCATGATAGTTGCTGGATCCTTTTTTATTGTTGGTCACCCATCTCCATTTCTCACAACAAAGGGAGACTTTCTTTTATAAAAGGTGGTTGAAAAAATTCACCTGCACGCTTAAATATATCCTTGTTTGCTGCTTGTTTTTGTAATTGGTATTTGCAAAATTATTGAATCATATAAGTTTATGGCCTCAAAGACTTTGCTTTGCTTGTTTTGTGTGTGTGTGTGTGTGCACAGGTCCATCCTCCCCTCCCCCAAATAGATTTGCATGCACAGGACATTTCACTTGTCTTTTGTTAGTTTATGATACAGCTAAATGGAATATATATTCAGAGTGGCTGCAGTGTCACTTAGCTATGGCCTGATTCCATCAGAAGCAAAAATCTGCTGCTTGCAATAAATATATGAGCAGTGTCTCCTGCCTCCTTCTCATTCTATTACGCAGTGATAAATAACTCCTGTCGTGTAAGCAACACTACAGGAAGATGAAATCTCCTAGCCTGATAACCTTTTAATGTTTCAAGAGTAAATTTCTGAAGCTGTGATCAGCTTAAATCTCCAAACTATGTGGTGTTTTCCCCCTCATGTTATAGCTTTGTATACTTACATGGTGCTGAAAATACAACTTTGCACGTTTTTAAATCGAAACACATTCTGCAACTTCTTTGACCTGTGGTTTCCTATTTTACTTCGTTTCTATAAAACTCTGCATCCAGATTGGTTGTAAACCTTTTGCGTTTGTTTGTAATCGTATTTCAGAAACCTGCATTTGTTTGTTGCCCACTTGATGGTAATAACTGCAAACATACCCTTTTGCAGAAAATATTCTGGAAGCATGCTGTGAGGGTTGCGTTGATGGGGGCTAGATTGCTAGCCACACAGTCTAGAATGTCATCAAAGGATTTTGACATTTTAATGTGTGTTTAATTTAGCTTAGGCAGTCATCAGGCTCTATAGGATAAAAGCTGCATTAAATAATGATGCACCCAACTAAAGTATTCCTCTGAGCTGTAATGTCTGTTGAATGACAAAATATATTTTCTATGTTGCCTTTGCCTGGGGATCCTAACCTATTGGTGCTGGCAGATCTAATAGAACTAGGCAGCTAAGCCACATTCCTGTTACAAAACGCCAAGGTGGTGCTACATAGGCTGATTATACTTTCCTTTTCATTTACACACACACACACACACATTGCTGGTGATAGTCCCAGCAGTGGGAGTGTGAATATACACATAACTCCAGATGGTAGCTGATGTCTTAAAACAGGTAATCTCAAATCTGCTTCTTGGCGTCGTTCCTGCTTTTTGCAGAGCCATGAGTTGTTAGTGAGCATAGCAAGTAGCTTTGCTTGCTGTGTATATAATATATAGACCCTGCAGCACACTTAGCTTGCCAAGTGCTCGAGTAAGCCTGTAGATTAGAGGCCGGAACTGCATATTTGGTGGTGGAATCTGGGTCTCTTGTCAACAGGTTGGTGATGGATTGGCGATGGGGAATGATTTTCCGGAGGGAAGCAGTGGGAGGGAAGCTCAGCACCGAACTGGAGTTCCAGAGATTTGTTTTGCCAGAACAGGGTCCACTTCCCTCAGGTGATATAAAGGGGATATCGGAAGTGATTTAAGAGCAGGTGTGGCATAGTGGCAAAATCCAGGTTTAAACCCCCACTCGACCATCAAGATCACTAGCTGACCCTGGATTAAGCTGCGGTTGTTCCTCTGGTGGTGGGTTTAGATCGGGCAAAGAGATATCCCTCTGCCCAGCCCTGCTAGGCCTCCACTGGCAGAGCTCGTCATTCCACCTGCCAAAGGTGCAGGTGAGTGCAGTTGCTGCTTGCAGCATTCCTGTCAGCAGTAGCTTGCAGCAAGGCCTGGGAGGAGAAGGCATTCTTGGGAGGGATTGAGTCAAGTTGGGGGCGCTGGCCCTGCTGCCATCATGTCACAGCATTGGGCCCTATCACTGTGCCAGGCTGGCACAGCGGTTTGCCTACTCCCACTCTTGCGCTGTGGTTGGATGCGGGTGGCGCTGTGGTCTAAACCACTGAGCCTCTTGAGCTTGCTGATCAGAAGGCTGGCGGTTCGAATCCCCACGACGGGGTGAGCTCCCGTTGCTCTGTCCCAGCTCCTGCCAACCTAGCAGTTCGCAAGCATACCAGAGCAAGCAGATAAATAGGTACCACTGCGGCAGGAACGTAAACAGAGTTTCCGTGCCCTTTGGTTTCCGTCACAGTGTTCCGTTGTCCCAGAAGCAGGTTAGTCATGTTGGCCACATGACCCAGAAAGCTGTCTGTGGACAAATGCTGGCTCCCTTGGCCTGAAAGTGAGATGAGGCACCACAACCCCAAAGTCACCTTTGACTGGACTTAACCGTCCAGGGGTCCTTTACCTTTACCTTTTACCTGCCATGTGTGGCTGCACTGTGGAGGAAGCAGTGGCTCTGCCACTCCCTTAAGATGCGTCGCTACCCAGCCAGGGTTTGGGTTGCAGTGCCAGTTGCTATCTCTCAGCCTAACTTACATCGCAGTGTTGTTGTGAAAATAAAATGGGGCAAACCATATGTGTCAGGAGCGGGTGTATTGTTTTGGTGAAGGGCCACATTCCATCAGGCAGAATCTGCCCAGGACCAAATAACTGATGGAGCCCAGAGAGAGTGGAGCCTGTCCTCCTTTTTCTGTCTTGTTGCCACCTCCTTTTCCCTCTCCATCTCTTTTTTTACACACCCGGCATCATAGAATCATAGAATCATAGAGTTGGAAGAGACCACAAGGGCCATCGAGTCCAACCCCCTGCCAAGCAGGAAACACCATCAGAGCACTCCTGACATATGGTTGTCAAGCCTCTGCTTAAAGACCTCCAAAGAAGGAGACTCCACCACACTCCTTGGCAGCAAATTCCACTGTCGAACAGCTCTTACTGTCAGGAAGTTCTTCCTAATGTTTAGGTGGAATCTTCTTTCTTGTAGTTTGGATCCATTGCTCCGTGTCCGCTTCTCTGGAGCAGCAGAAAACAACCTTTCTCCCTCCTCTATGTGACATCCTTTTATATATTTGAACATGGCTATCATATCACCCCTTAACCTCCTCTTCTCCAGGCTAAACATGCCCAGCTCCTTAGCCGTTCCTCATAAGGCATCATTTCCAGGCCTTTGACCATTTTGGTTGCCCTCCTCTGGACACGTTCCAGTTTGTCAATGTCCTTCTTGAACTGTGGTGCCCAGAACTGGACACAGTACTCCAGGTGAGGTCTGACCAGAGCAGAATACAGTGGCACTATTACTTCCCTTGATCTAGATGCTATACTCCTATTGATGCAGCCCAGAATTGCATTGGCTTTTTTAGCTGCCGCGTCATCTCCCCACCCCCCTTTCACAAAATGAAATAGAGGGCCACCTGCGGCCCACTCTGTACATACTGTCTAGAACTCCCTGGAGGGAAAGGTGGGCTTGTAACATAGATACAAATAAATTGTGTGTCTTTGTTAGAGGAATCCCCAAATGTCAAGGGTAATATTTATTTCATTCTGGAAAGCACCTGCCCCAGATTGAAGTGAGAAATGTGCAGTGTGAGTCTTTGTAGGCTGGCTGGTTCTGATTGCCTCTGAAATTCAGGCCAACGTCAGAGGCAAGCCCCAGCACCTTCTCTGAGGCGGCGTTAGTGGTGGTTGCAAATTTTGGCCAGATACAAAGACCAGCCAAAAGCTGTGCATCCCTGTTCCTGTATTCCCAGTGATTTGTGGTGCTACCTGTTCCGTATCCCAGTGCTAGCTCCTTATCTGCAAAGCCCACAGCACTCACTCTGGTTTCTTAAAAATTAGCTGTCGTAACAGAAGAGTCATTGTAAGGGTAGAGGGCTGGACCAGGATGTGGGAGACCAGGGTTCAAATTCCACCCTCAAGCTGCGTGCTCTCTCTCAGCTCTGCCTCACCTACCTCTCAGGGTCATTGTGGGAAGGGAAAAACATGTATGCCTCCTTGAGCATCTTGGAGGAAAGGTGTGGTATAAACACCATGACAAAATAAAAGCTTTGTAAGTTTTCCACTGGCTGTCTTTCAGACGCCAGCAGTCTGTAGTGAAACAGACGCTGCTAAATAATTAATGCTTTCTACCGAAGGAGCTCAGCAATGAACGAGAGCCGTCACCCCTTGAGTTGAGATACCATCATTGTGGCTCACTTTACCAACTTACTGTAGCCTGAGTTTTGCGGTCCTGGACACCGCGCGCCAGATTTCGCAGAACATCAACACAAGCCCTGAAGGAGGATTTTCTTGGACTCTGCTGCTTCTGCCATTTCCTCTTCTTTTTGGAGTATGTGTTGAGGAGCGTTGCCATTTAACAGCTGTATAGGAAGAACTTCCATGAGAAGTTCACAGGTTTTGGGTAGCCACTATTTGTTGTCGTTATAATAATAATAATAACCATTTATTATTTATACCCCGCCTATCTGGCTGGGTTTCCCCAGCCACTCTGGGCGGCTTCCAGCAGAATATTAAAATACAATAATCTATTAACCATTAAAAGTTTCCCTCATTAGCCTTGTTCCTTCCCTGAGTGCTGACGGAGAACTTGGGGAAGGGTCTCATCTCTGGCTTGGTGCTGTGCTTTGGGGGCCCTTGGAATGCTCTTTAATACACAGCATGATACATACACAGCGGGTGGTGATGTGGGTTAAACCACAGAGCCTAGGGCTTGCCGATCAGAAGGTCGGTGGTTCGAATCCCCGCGACGGGGTGAGCTCCTGTTGCTTGGTCCCAGCTCCTGCCAACCTAGCAGTTCGAAAGCATGTCAAAGTGCAAGTAGATAAATAGGTGCCACTCTGGCGGGAAGGTAAACGGCGTTTCCGTGCGCTGCTCTGGTTCGCCAGAAGCGGCTTAGTCATGCTGGCCACATGACCCGGAAGCTGTACGCCGGCTCCATCGGCCAATAAAGTGAGATGAGCGCCACAGACCTAGAGTCATCTGCGAATGGACCTAATGGTCGGGGGTCCATTTACCTTTACCTTATGAAGTCTGGATCTACATTAAAAGTAGCATCATGTCTCTTTAAAAAACCATGGTGAAAGGGTCCTGGGAACTACAGTTCGTTGAGAGTGCTGACAGATGTTGGGAAACTCGTATTCCCCTCAGAGAGCTATGGTTTGCAGAGGGTGCTAACAGCCAATCCCTTTCATGAAATTGTGTGAATTATGGCTCTGTGAGGGGAATAGGTAGTACGGGTGCCAAACTCGAATCAACTGGGATGGCCAAATTTCTCGCCCACAAGTTGTCCACGAGTTTTAAAGGGCGCGGGGGGGGGGGGGCTTATTTATCTATTTTTTTCACTTGCACAGCAATTCATTCTGCTTTGTATTGTTTCTGGTTATCAAGTAATTGGAAGGATATTGACACTGAGAAAATAATTACAGCTAGCCCTGAAGATAGTTCAGTCATTCGTGTGGAAGAAGTGCTGTGAGCTGCACTGGAATCTAGGAAAGAGTTTGATAAGGCCCTTGAGCTTAATCTTTCATGCCCCTCTGCTCTGTAACAAACTAGATACTGTAATGGCAGTCATTGGATGAATAGGTCTCTCTGTCATGTGTGTTCACTTCATATTGTTTTTAAATTCAGCTGACATTTTTTTTGGTATTGGTTTAAACCGTGTTTTAGCTGTTTTGCTTGATTTTGTACCTTGAGACATGTGTGGAAGGCAGTTAATAAATAATATTGAGGTCGGGGAGAACTGTGGCTCAGTGATAGAGCTGGAAGTCTTGAGTTCGAGTCCTGGCCACTCCAAGTTGGGCTGGGAAAATATTGTGTCTGAAAACTCAGAAAATAAATACAAAGGGGTGGGAGAGCAGGAAAAAACAAACCCCGGAAGGGCCATCTGACATCTCTCATTGGGGGGGGGGCTTAAAAAGACCACCTCCTTGTGTGGCGGGGGCAGGGACCACTCTGCACCAGCTTCGGACAGGTGGAGATGGTTGTGTGTGGCCGTTCTGGCCTTGTATGATCTTGCTTCTACATGCGATAGCCGGGAACGCAACCCCTGTGTCTGAGGAGATCTACCTGTATATGTGTAAAGGCATCACGGTACAAACATTTGTATACATGGACTTTATGAGGAAGAGGGTTGGTGACTCCTTGCCACAGTTCATCACTTGGTCCTGTTTTGTTCAACCCAGGAGGCCCAAGCAGGGCTTTTCTTGTCTCTTAGGAACGGGCAGAATAAAATGTGATCAGGTCAATAATGCCTACAACTCATTCCAGGAGCTGCTATTAATTTCCTTCTGACATCTCTTTGATCAGAAAACAGGAAGACAGATGTCTCTGTTTGTTGGCTCTGAATTCTGTTGATTTAATTGCAAACAAAGCCAAGGAATTCAGCTGCAAATTATTTTTTTTAAATAAGCAGCAATAAAATAAAATCCCACATTACTTCTGTTGACAAACACTCTTGAAAATGCACATCAGGAAGCAGAATGACTCAATTTACACCTTACCTTTCCTTGCTGTTTTTTTTTTCTGTTTTCATCTTTTATCTTCCTCTAGATCTCCCCCTCTTTAGCATATTTTTTAACCTTGCATTTTTTAAAAAACACGCCCCCTCCTAGTTAAGCATCTTGCCAGGATGAAGGATCTGCTCTTTTCTTGATTGCGCCAAAAGGACCTCTTTTAGCTTCCTCCTTGTGCTTTGGCAGAGGTTGAATTGTCCTACCATGATGCAACAGAGGCAGGATTCATCTCTGAAGCAGTTGTGTGAGTGTACATTGGAGGCACATTTTGTATTTTAAAAATACATCTGGACCTACGGTGTGCTGCCAGTGAATGGTGCCTTAACCCACTGCCTGCCACATCCATCTTCATTCTGATTTCTGCCAGAGTCACCTCCTCGGCTTCCAGCCACACAGTAAACCCAATGCTTTCATCTCTCCTTCTCTGGCATCAGGTGCCATTTTGAAACTATTTTGGGTGGGGGGAGGCACTTAAGGAGCTTCGAGGGGCATCACTGGAAAAGTGATGTTTGGAATCCTAAGTTGCTGGAAACCACAGGAGGGGGAGAGTGCTCTTGCGTTCGAATCCTGCTTGCTGGTTTCTCACAGGCAACTGGTCAGCCACTGTGAGAACAGAATGCCGGACTAGATGGGTCATTGGCCTGATCCAGCAGGCTCCTCTTACGTTTTTATGCTGAGGTAAAAGAAAGTGTCAGGACACCTTTGGTCCCCCAGGTGTTTCTGAACTGCAACTCCCATCGGCCTTAACAAACATGGCCGATGATCCAGGATGATGGGAGTTTTAGGTTAGCAGCACCTGGAGGTTTCGAACACATGTGGTAAAGTACTTAAACATACCTTCCACTGCCACTTTTAATTCTCACCTTCCAGAGCTGCTTTTCCTTGTCTTAAACATAATCTAGAAGTGTCAGAATCAGGGGTTAACAAACTTTTTCAGCAGGGGGCCGGTCCACTGTCCCTCAGACCTTGTGGGGGGCTGGACTGTATTTTTTTGGGGGGGGAATGAATGAATTCCTATGTCCCACAAATAACCCAGATATGCATTTTAAATAAAAAACACACATTCTACTCATGTAAAAACACGCTGATTCCTGGACTGTCCGCAGGCCAGATTGGGAAGGTGATTGGGGCGGATACCGCCCCTTGGCCTTAGTTTTCCTACCCATGGTCAGGATGGTAATGCTAGACTAGGCCACAGGTGAAACCACCAGTCCATGCCACATAACAAGCTTTTGAAACAGCTTCTGTGTGGCTCCTGGTCATGTATGTTCATCCGAAGAGTTGGTCCTGATGAATGTGCCTTTGCTGGTGGTGCCTGCAAAGCCCCTTTCATCCACACCCCCAGCTTTACCTGCCCCTCACCTGACGTCATATATGATGCTGGGATCTGGGGCAGGTGGGCGTGGCTGGACTGGAACAGTCTTGCAGGCCAAATGGGGAGGCTGGTGGACCAAATTCGGGCCAGGCATTCCCCACCCCAATTTAAGGATTTAAAGGTAAAGACATTAGTACTATAAATTGGGCCCCTGAAAATGCACCAGCAACCAGGGCAAGTGGTTTGATATTAGGGTAAGCTGTTCCTACTGCCTCACCCCTACAAGCGTCAAGGTGATGGCATTTTGCACCTTTTCAGTTCTTTAGTTGGAGAAACGCACAGCAAGTTTCGAATGGCTGTGAATTTCGGAGGATTGCCTTGTTTTGGTTCTCGTACCGTTCCAGAAACTGCGAATTTGATCCATTTGGCAAACTAAATTGAATCGCACCCCCAGACTCTAACTATTGGCCATGCAGGATGAGGTAAACACAGCAGCTTCTGGAGGGCATCAAGTTGGGGAAGGCTGCTTCAGACCAAAGGCCAAACCTATTTAACCTTTCACCCTGCCAAGTAATTGCAAATCACATTCCGGGCACTTAAAGAATTGGATGGCTGGCTCAATCAGGGATGTCTGCAGATGCTGAGTAAATCTATGGAACCAGCTGTTAATTAGACTGCGTGTCTGAAGAGAGCAAAAGTGAGCACTGATGTACATGGTTGTTCTCAACTTAAGGTCGCTGTCAAATTAGGGAATAGGGGAAGGCAGCTTTCCCTCTTGTTTTTGCCTTTCCTTTTTTGCTTTTCTACCCCTCTCCCCACCTCCTGTCTTGGTACAACATAAGGAACATCAAAGGCGTCTTCGGGGAGTGTTAGAAGCCAAGCTTGCCTGCCAAGGCATTAATGAAATCAGTTTGCTGTTAGCCATTCTTTCTCTTCTCCTCCTCGTTGTCCTCAAGCAGGTGCCACTGCTGTCAGTAGTAATTGCAGCTAAATTCAGGGACAGCAGCAGGAACCAGGCAGTCAAAAGCAATCTTGATGAAAGAGGCTTTCGCCGGCTGGGGCTCGCGTAGTTTTGCAGCGAGCACTCATGATATCCAACAGGAAAGTTGCTTTTGAGTGCTTTCCCTTTTAGCAGGTGACATTATAATTTATTCACAGATCTTTCTGAAAGAAGAAGAAAGGGGAGAGATCAGTAGGCAGGATAAAAGGATTGCATTCAAACGAAAACAAAAACCTCACTGCCTCTCTGGGTTGTATGGTACAATTGGCCATGTTTTTATCCCAAGCGTGCTCAAAATGTTGGGAAGGAAGGTCAGTAGACATGGGTGCATGTCTGCCCTTTTACAGTCTTTTCAAGTGCAGAATCCTTAGTGACTGAGTGTCATACCATGATGTGGTCGCATAACAGTGGACCTAAGCATCCCTCCCCAACAGGTGAACTGAAATTTTAATACTTTCCTGATAGCTCCAAAACGCCTTTGCATGATGAAATGTCCCCCTGTGCTAAAAATACTGGATTTGGTTGGAACCACATTCATGCTATTCCCAGCTGCTTCACAGTTAGGGAGAGGCAGAACTTCTTGATTCTGCTGCATAAAGTTTTGGAAGAGCCCCAAACTAATCCATCACAAGTGCTTTTGGAGTTAGGCCAGGAAATGGAGCCCCATTGGATCTGGGGGTTTAGCCCAGCAGAAAAACTTTCTGTTCCCCTAAATGCAAACTGTGTCTGGGAGGAAAGTCTACCTGCTTCTTTTTTCTAACAAAGATTTGCAGTTCATCAATTTGAAGTTCTGTTTGGATTTCCAGTTACTTTTGTGCCTACGCCACTGTAACATATGTACACGCCCTCTCTGAAAGCAGTCGTGAATAAAAACTTTTACTAGCATCTTCCAAATAGCAGCAGGGAGTTCCACAATTGTGGGGTGCAACAAAGAAGGCAAAACCCCTATTGCTCTTAAGTCACTGACAATGTTCACCTGGATGTTACTCAGATAGTCTTTGCATGTAAGTCGCACACATTGAGTTACATCCAAAGTAGTGCTAAGTCGCAAGTCACTTAATGGTATACTTTGTTCTGTTGTGATGAAATGTTTTGCACCAGCAGCACATCATGTGGCAGAATGGATAAACCGGTTGCTGGCAATTCCGTTGCACGACAGATTGGACAATCTCTTGTGCAACGGTTTTCTGCTAGCACAGCCATTGCCTCGGATCCCTGTTTTGCACATCGTTAAAATTCACCCGCCCTCCCGCTAGCGCAGAAGTCCTTGTGCCAGTGTACAGAGAGCATAGGATGCAGCTCACAGATCTCCCTTTTGATATTTCCTACTTTGACATTCTGTTAGAATGAGACTAAAAAAAGGAATGCATAGCAACATAAATTATAACATCAAGAAAGCCCGAAGGAAACTCTTGCTCCAATACGGAGAGGAAATGGTGAAGCTGTTCAGTGTCATTTATTTCACGACACGAACAGATTCACCTTTCCCTCATTGGCAGGCTTCCTTATAAGAGAAGTTCTCTGACTTACAAGATGTGCACTACAAGTCCTGCCCTCAGAAACTCCATAGTAGGGACCCAGATAATCTCAAATCAGAACCTCATAATGATGATACAGTTTGGGATAAAAGTTGCACCTTTTCCCCAAGTACCTCTGAATTATTTACAGACGTTAGTTACATGCACACTATCAAAGATAGTCCCCTCACAAAGCTACAATTCCCAGGCTGGTTTAGCAGTCAGCCTGCTTCCCTGAGAACTCTGGGAATTTTAGCTCTGTGAGGGGACTAGGCATCTCCTAATATTAGTGCCCTTAACAAGCTATAGTTCCCAGGATTCTTTGAGGGAAGCCATGACTGTTTAGTAAAATACCGCTTTAAATTTAGGGTACGGGTTGGGCCATTGTCTAACCTCCTTATGAACAGATCAGGTTGAATGCTCAATAAACGAGTTTGTCTGAAGCACCCACAATAAACTTTAAATAGATAAAACAAACAACAGGTTAATTCAGTGGCGGCAGCAAGCAAACATTTTGTCACCTTTCACCTGGCTGCCTACTTACTTTATTTTATTTTATTTTATTTTATTTGAAGCAATATGTAATTCAATGCTTGGTTGACCCATTGTCATTTTTTTTAAAAAAAAAGTATATATTTGCTTGCTTGGATCGGATCTGTGTAGCAGTGTCACAAGAACTAGCCAACTTTTTCTCATTTAAACTGTAACACTCAGGAAAACAAAGCCATTTTACAGTTTGTTTTTACCTTCTCCTGAACGAGAAAGGGATTCATTTAACATGGATGTGTTGAGGGTCACCCATTCTACTCTGCAAATGCTGAATCTGACCTCGAGGGCTTAGATGTATCATTTGAAAAGACCACCCAACTAGACTTGGGCCCTGTTTACTTCTCTTACCAAACGTGTTCAACTTGCTTTCACAGCATATTTAACTTCTGGAGAAAACATTGCTTGTGATCAGCTGAGGACAGTTCCCGAAAGTGAAAGAACTGAAGAACAAAAACACCAAAATGAAGCACTTCCTGAGGTAACACTCCCATATTTTTGCTTGCATAGTAATTATCTTACTCTGTCTATTATAGAGCCAAGGTAATATTTCTGCATCGAGAATAGCTCCCATCTTGTGATCGGTTGAAAGTATAAATGGTCTCATTGTCTGTGCACGGTACTGACAGACCAATTTCACCGGCTGTCCTGCCTAGCACTTCCTTAACTGCCCTCAGTAGGCATTGGTTGTTCAGCCTTTCAAAGCTGATTGGCAGCCTTAAGGACTGGGAGCATGAAAACTCAGAACAGAAGTCTCTAGAGTCAAATGGAAAATGTGCCATTTTGTGTGTGTGTGTGTTTTAGGGACTGTTGCTAATTAGGATGAAAATGTGCAGCCGTTGAAAAAACATTGCCCTGGATAGTTTTTTGTTTGACCTTGGAGACATCATCTCATGCACTTTGTGATTCATGATAGACAGGATGGATGTGAACAGCCTGGGAAGAATTGCTCTCATTCTAAACTAGTTTTGTTTTCCATTGGTGATACCATCATGTAGCCAAATTCAATTGGCTATACAACATTATGACATCATAATGACCACATCCCCCATTACAGAGCAAGGTGGTCTTTAAGAGCTTCTGAGGGATGGGTGTCTACTGGTTATTCCATGGCCAGCAGATTGTCACTTGCTGACAATGCAAAAACAGGCCTTCTTGGTGATAGCACCCACCATCTGAAATGCCCTCCATTGGGTAATTTGTGAGTTGAAGAGAATAATGACCTCTATATGCCTCCTAAAAATTTATGTGCTTATCCAAGCTTCTCTTGACTCTTAATTTTTAATTTTTGTTTTGTTTCGTACCGCTCTGAGGTGGGTTGTGGGTTTTTTTTGCACTTGTGTTTTGTTTCTATTTTTTTGGAAACTTTCTTGAATGCTGTTGCATTGTTGTTTTCGTATAAACCTCTTCGAGATTTTTCATTAAATTAAGATGTATGAAGGGCTGTATCATTTGAAAACAGACATGCTGAAAGTACTTTTATTACTCATGAAAAATCTTTAAATAAAAACATAAAAAGATGTATGAGCCATTTAATAAATAAATTAATAAATTAGATTATCACTGATTGCTTGTGGCTAGCTCTAGAAGGAAGCCCCAACCAGGTTTTGAAAATGATGTTGATGCAGCAGCTGGGAAAATAACGGCACTGAACTTTCACACATTTAAAAGGCGATTGGGGACATATTTTTGCCCATTCCTTTAAAAGCACTACAGAAAACAGAAAAACCCTGAAAGGAAGGTTTCTCTGGATGTTTGATGGAAACATGTTGACAGGTGTCCATTCACCCAGCTGTCCGGAAGCAGGTCTTCCCTGGCCGCCTTGCAAGCAAGGCACTGAGAAGTACAGTGGTGCCTCACAAGACGAAAAGAATCCGTTCTGTGAGTCTCTTCGTCTAGCGGTTTTTTCGTCTTGCGAAGCAAGCCCATTGACGGGTTAGTGGATTAGCGCTTTTAGCGGCTTAGCGGATAAGCAGCTTAGCGGCTTAGAAAAAGGGGGGGGGAGGAAAAAAAACCCGCAGGAACTCGCAAGACATTTTCGTCTTGCGAAGCAAGCCCATAGGAGATTCGTTTTGCGAAGCACCTCCAAAACGGAAAACTCTTTCGTCTAGCGAGTTTTCCGTCTTGCGAGGCATTCGTCTTGCGGGGCACCACTGTACACAGGGTAAGGTCTGCTTTGCACCACTCCTTGAAGAAAAGAAATAGCAGGAGACGCTAGTCATTGCTTATCTTCTCCAAGCTGCAATAGGGATGAGAGCAGATCTTCCGCTCTCCCAGTCCCAAGTCTCTTGGCACTTGCAGTTGGCGGTGGCAACCACAGATAATGGCTGGCGGGTAAGCCAAGTCATCATTTGTGGACCTCCTCCAGATGGTACCCTTCATAAGCTTTGTTCTGCAAGAATTAAGCGCCTACGTTAATAGCAGACTGAGAGAGTTGCCCACTTTGCTGGTGTAAATAATCCTGATGTACATGGATCAGTGGTCTGATTCTGCATGAGACAGCTTCCTTTGTTCTTCCTAAGCAGGCGTGGGATCACGCTCTGGCAGTTCTTCTATAATTTTTGAATGTATGTTTGATAACACCTTGTGCGCGGTTTTTGTCTTTGACTAGGGTAATGGCGGGGTTTTTTAGTTATCAGTATTTTTAGGAGCTAATTTGAAACAGTAAGCAGTTGATTTTGAGCCATATAGAAAGATCTGAGGAGTTCCTAAGCTAAATCTCAGTAAGGCATGTAGCAGCTTGTAGATCTCTATGGACCAGTCTCCCAGGCGCTCTCCATGGTGCTGCTTGGCTGTTCATCTGCCTGAGTTATAAACTGTTATGCAGACATACATAGGAGATATTGCTGGTTCGGCACCAGACCATCTCAATCAAACGAATATCACAATACAGCAAGTCCCACTTCTTGTTTGTTTGTTTCCTAGCGCGTATAAAAGTTTTGTTTACACTATACCGTAGTCTTATTGCCTGAAGGAGCGTCTCCACCCCCATCGTTCTAACCGGATGCTGAAGTCCAGGTCCAAGGGCCTTCTGGTGGTTCCCTCACAGCGAGAAGTAAGGTTACAGGGAATCAGGCTGAGGGCCTTCTCGGTAGTGGTGCCCACCCTGTGGAACGCCCTCCCATTAGTTGTCAAGGAAGAAACAACTATCTGACTTTTAGAAGATAATCTGAAGGCAGCCCTGTTTAGGAAAGTTTTTAATGTTTGATGTTTTATCATGCTTTTAATATTCTGTTGGGAGCCACCCAGAGTGGCTGGGGAGGCCTGGCCAGATGGGTGGGGTATAAGTAATAAATTATTATTATTAACATTATTATTATTATTATTATTATTATTATTAGGCCAGGCCTCGCTGGCTGCAGGAACTGGAGGGGAGAAGCCCAGCTCCAGGCCTAGCCAGCTCCATTTGCATGATGAGAAGAGGGTATGACTGCACATGTTCTTGATTATGGTCTCATCCACACCATATATTTAAAGTACATCGTTTCCCCCAAAGAATCCTAGGAACCGTAGTTTGTTAAGGATGCTGGAGGTTGTAGCTCTGTGAGGAATAAACTACAGTTTCCAAGTGTGGATATGACCTCTTTACTTGGGTAGACCAAAGTAAAGAGAATTTGGGGGTGGCGGCTGAGTATAAAAACATCAAAGGGTCCTTTGGCACCTTAAAGACACACAAATTGATTTTGTACAAGCTTCCATGGATTACAGTCCACTTCAGCAGATGCATGAGGTGTTATCCTGAGTTGCAGTTTCTTGGTTCTGAGAGGCAGGGAGATGACATTGTAAACTGTGAGGTTAGTAGGAAAAGGGATGCAGAAAAGCAAAGGTGATGGTGGTTATGACTTGAAAAGTCGTTGATAAAATGTTGATAACACAGACACCCCAGTAATTGGTAAGCCAATTAGCACATGTTGTGTGGTTAATGAGTGATAATACATAAACAAGCAGATTGCATTTAAATGGGGTTAAATCCTTCACACAGGTAATGGAAAAGGTGAGTTTCACTGACTTCAGTCAAAATTGTGTGTGGTTGTTGCCTGACTGTGTGTGTGTATGCAAAAAGTATATTTGCCCTTCTTTTTGGTCCAGAGACATTCAGAGAGGATTACAACTAAAAGCCATAAATAAAAGCCATAATTGGTAACTTTTTTTAAAGCAACATAAAATATTATGTGTAACAGCATTTGTGCTATGGGGGCAACTCCTGGAAACATTGTGCGCTGCAGTGGGATGTTTGGAGCCTGCAAGTATGACAGAACAGGATTTTATCAGCAACGTTTTCTAAAAGAGAACAGACTGAGGTAATTTGTAGTTCTCACTCTGTGTATGTAACTGTGCCTTATTTGTTTAGTTAAACAGTCTATATACTGTTTAGCACCTCAAGTCTCTAAACAGTGCAGAGTGAGGTTAAGAAGATGCAGTAAAGATAAAAACAGTGGAAAGTGAAAACAGTTAAAAATAACTGCAAGATCAGAAAACTTAATTAAAAGGGCTGCTGATTTATTTATTTTTAATGACTTCACCAGGCACTGGAAGTTCAGCAGAGAGGGAGCTATTCTGATTTCAGCCCGGAGGGAGTTCCACAGAATTAGGCCCACAATACTGAACACATTGCTCCTGGTGGATATGAACCAGGCATCCAAGCCACAGGGGACCCCTGACTCCCCTGAAGACCTCCGTGATCATGTGGGGATATGCGGATTAAGGTGTAATGAACCAAGTTGTTGATGGCCTTGCAAATTAATCAAAGAACTGTGAACCTGGCCAAGTAGCCTATGGGAAATTAGTACAAGCTTTTAGGCCAACTGAGTTATGTGCTGGCTCTACTCCATCCCCACCAACTGTGTGTGTGAGAGAAAGAAGAACTTATTATGACTACAGTCGTACCTTGGATCCTGAACACCTTGCGAGTCGAACGTTTTGGCTCCCGTACGCCGCAAACCCGGAAGTGAGTGTTCCGGTTTGCAAACGTTCTTTGGAACCCAGACGTCCAACAGGGCTTCCGTGGCTTCCAATTGGCTGCAGGAGCTTCCTGCAGCCAGTCGGAAGCCGTGCATTGGTTTCCGAATGTTTTGGAAGTCAAGCAGACTTCCGGAACGGATTCTGTTTGACTTCTGAGGTACCACAGTATATTCAGGTATAGCTTCCTTCCAATAAATCTGTTCTGAACGAGTGATGACCCAGAACTCCATATGGCTGATCATGCAATACTAGTTACACAAGCACTATTTGGTGTGTGTTTTGCTGCTGTTTTTAGACTTTATTTTCCTTGCTCTTGGAAAGAGGATGAGGATAGTCTCCATCTCTGCATGATAGACAGAGCCATGGGATAAAGCCATCTTGGAGCTGGAGTTCCTGGCTGCTGCTCCGACTGGCCTTGGTTGTTGTCCTGGCAACAGTGCTTTCGCTGGCCTTCCTGGTTCATGCAGAGGTCTAGTTAGGACTCTGCCGCAGATCTAGGCTTGACTAGTTTCTGCTGTCTCCATTCCCCTCCCTCTGTTGTATTTTACTACAGCCTGCAAGAGGGACTCTGGAGGCTTCTTTTATTCATTATTCATTTCAACATTTCCTTCTTTGCTCTTCAGCTAAAAAAAGGCTCCCAGAGTAATTTACAGATCACTTTTTTTTTTTTAAGGCAGTCTGTTCCCATAGGCTAACCAGCTTAATAAGACACCACGCAAAAGTAAAATGGATTGGGAGGAAAGATGAGAATAAGCCAAGTCTTAGGGCTTTTCCACACTTCGTCTCCCCTCTTCAGAGCTGAGTTGGAGCAAACAGCCATTCGGGTTTTCCCCAGATTGACATTTGCTCTGATTTAGAACTAAAGAGCAGGTTTTCCATGGGAAAGGAGCAGGGGGAAACTAGAGCACCTGGGACAAGTGGAACTATGAAACAGCCCTTAGTTACAAGTTCTTCCAATGGCCAGCTTGAGGTGGAAGCAATTTGATAAGAGGGGATGCCAAAAATTGCTGGTCTCTTGGTGGTATGGATCTCTTCCTCCAATCTGGTGGAATGGCTGTGACCAGTTGATGGAAGGAGGAGTCTGGCTTCTCAGCACAGCGAGAAGCTTCAGCATCCCTTTTCTTCCCTCCTCTGCTGTAGCATCATGGAATCTTGCTCTGTGGTGGAAATAAGGCAGCCACCTTCAATTTTGTTTGCCAAACACATTTTTATCCTCCTCCTTGTCTCAGGACACTAGGATGGGAAAACATGAGGTAAGGAAATACAGATAAAGAGGTAGAGATTATTATTATTATTATTATTATTATTATTATTATTATTTATTACTTATACCACGCCCATCTGGCCAGGCCTCCCCAGCCACTCTGGGCGGCTTCCAACAGGATATTAAAAACACAATAAAAGATGAAACTTTAAAAACTCCCCTAAACAGGGCTGCCTTCAGATGTCTTCTAAAAGTCAGATAGTTGTTTATTTCCTTAACATCTGATGGGAGGGCGGGCGCCACTACTGAGAAGGCCCTCACAGTGAGGGAACCGCCAGAAGGCCCTCAGAGCTGGACCTCAGTGTCCGGACCGAATGATGGGGGTGGAGAGGCTCCTTCAGGTATACTGGGCCCAAGGCCAATAAAGTAGGAAAGTGAGAGAGGCTGAGAGGCAAGCTAGTCAGTGATGTTCAGGTAAAGCAGGGATGGGAAGGAAGTCTTTGAGCCTCCAGATGTTTCTGAACTACAACTCTCACCAACCCCAGCAAGTATTGCCAATGGGCATGGATGATGGGAGTTGTTGTTCCGCAACATTTGGAGGGACAGAAGTTCCTCACCTCTGCTCCATAAAGAGAAAAGTCAAGTAAACCTCTTTTTCTAGTAATGTTTACTAGATGCTGATGGGGCCTTTCCTTCCACAAAGGTATGTCCGCAGGTGGTGGGTTTGCATTCCTGCCTTCTACCCACATATACAGCCTCACACATGAATCTGGCATACTCAGATATGCTCATTTGAGTGTGTTTTTTGTTAGACGGAAGGATTGTGGGAATGGACTTGGCATGCAGGTTGTGCTGTTAGTCATCCTGAGGCTTATGTTAACATACATGATTTCAGAGTGCCCAAAACAGGTTTCTTCTCTTAGAATCTGCTATGACTGTTGATTGTGGCATTTCTGAAAACCTGCGTTGCACGTTGCCAAGCACTTTTTTTGGTGCCTGCTGATCTCTCTATGTATGTAGCAGCTCTCATATGTAGTCTGCTCACATCTAGAGAAATAAATCATTGAGGCAGCTGCATCATGAGGACGATCTGCAGAGTATGTAATGTTTTTGAACGACTTTGCTCTGCTATGAACTCCGGTTGCCATAGTGCCTTTCCATATCTAAACAGATGGATAAACAGAAAAATCACTCATCTCTGTATCTGAGAATCTGGCTACTACTTAGTACAATATTGAGGGAAACAAAGAAACATGCAGAAGGAGGTCATCTGAGAAAGGTAGTCTGTTCGTCATAATACCCAGGGCAGGTTTTTAGCAGACTCCTTCACTGACAATCTTATATAAAGCTGTAAAAGCCATTGGATCTGGTCATATCTGCATATTCATTTACTCTGAAATTTATAAGAGGTTTCTGAAAGCAGGGAAGCTCCTGCTTTCTATCTGAAGCATAAATGAAGCTAATCGGAGTGTCATAATGAATGTGTGCGGTTCAGCAAACTTTATTACACCAGTCCTTAGCAGCGAAAATGATCGCCTTCTCTGTCACTTCCTGTTTAAGCCTAAAGCTTGGCTTTCCTAGAGCTGTGTTCATAATGTCTGTGGGTGGATGAAAGAGTTGTGTCAAGGCATGTTATATGTTGTGAGCCATTCCTTCACCTTTATATTTTGACAGCCCAAATCTGTGCGAGAGACAGCAGCAAGGGACCCAACAAACTGTGGACTTTGTTCACACAGCTGCCATCGCTTGGAAGAGTAGTGGCTCAATCTCTTGGGGCAAGAAGAAGCTATACAACCGATTTGTGTGAAAGGGGTGTACGGGAGTGTTAGCGGAGGGGTAGTACCTCTGGTAGGGGACACATCCTTCTGGGGTTGTTTGTCCACCTTTGGTCCCCACCCTGCACTCACCTCTCACCTGTGGCTCCTAGAAAAGGCATAGGCAAACTCCAGTCCTCCAGATATTTGGGACTACAATTCCCATCCCTAGCTAACAGGACCAGTAGTCAGGGATGATGGGAATTGTAGTCCCAAACATCTGGAGGACTGGAGTTTGCCTATGCCTGTCCTAGAAGCTGTCAGCATGTGACAGCAGCCACACCCTGGGAACGGCTTCAACTGGCTGGCCAAACTTGGTGAGGGTAGCCAATGGGTCTCAAATGTGAGTTAAGGACTTCCCCTGCATGCAAAGACAGGCTCTGACAGATTAAGACCAATAGTGGGTCCAACGGTCAAGAAGGTGGTTTGTGCACATGCTGTAGAGGGAACTGAGGGGCAGATGGGGCTCATCAGCCTGGGAAAGTAGCTCATCTAGGAGAAGGAAAACTCTGATCCTAAACCTCTTCTGCCTTGTGGGATATCTTAGGGAAAAGGCTAACGATGAAACCCTACAGAAGTGGTCCCTAAGTGGAGTCCCTAAGATGGTTGGATGGCGTCTTGTACACCTCCTTCCAGCAATTTCTGCAGCCAAGCTGAGTTTGTGCTGGAGAGGGAAAGTGCTGGGTCAAGGGCTGACCCACTTTCTAATTTCTTAAAAATATTAAGTCCTCTTTCTGAAAACGCCGTGCCATGTTAAAACGCTTCTTCTTTTCTTTTCTTTTAAAAAAGGCATTAATTTGTGATCTTAGTGGAATTAGGAAAGTCAGCTCATCTTAAAGTGTAATCCATTTCATGAATAGTGTGCTTTCATTGCAGGATTTCTACAAGCAAGAATTATTTTTTATAAAACAAAACAAAAGATTCCATACTTTTAACTCTCCATTCTTGTTCCTAAAGAAGATCTCCAATGTCATAAGTTTAAGATGGACGAGTAGTGTGTCATTTAAAGGTACCCACCAAATGAATATTATCTTACTTTAGATATCTGGCTATAATATAGTGCTTTCTAAGTAGTATCCACTGTGAGCTGTGTTCTGTAATAGCTTTTTTGTGCTGCAGAAACAATGTGATATATCTTACTGGCTCCACTTTGACTGATGTTGGTACTTAAGATAAGCTGATCGGACAATGCAGGCTCCCAGATATGGCATCTGGGCCGCTGTTCTTCTTCTCCACTTCTGCTCTGCCATGGTTTGGCTTAGCATATTATCTGAACCTGGTTTATCTCCTCTTGACAAACTATGAGCCTACAGACTTTGGCTACAGCTCGTGGTTTGTGTAAAGCAAGACAGACCATGAACCTGAGTTTGAATATGCTACACCAAACCCATGGCTCAGTTCAAAGCAGCAAAGCAGGGGTTCAGGCCAGCTCCTTTCAGGGTTTGGGTGCATGGAGAGTTCCATATGATGAACTCTGTCAGGCAACTGAACCAAGCAGGATTGAACTCACACATCAACTCATGTGCTGGGAGTTCAGTCCTGCTATCTACAGGAGAAGCAGTCACATCTCTACCTGCCCCATGCCTGGTGCCAAACGGGAAGTCCTGATGGGCCAAATATGGACTGCAGGCCAGAGGTTACCCAGCCTTGGACCAGGTGTCCAGTGTACCTCCATCATCTGCCACCATCTGCAGGCAGGACTGGGTGCTGTGCAGGCCAAGTTGTAGGCCATCAGGAGTAGAATCGACATAGGGTGGTTGCGTGTATTGTGTACTATGCTGCTCCTTGTTGGTTTAAGAACAGTTCCTGTTTGGTGGCTCTCTTGGCTTCAACTGAAACTACATCAAGTGTGCAGTTTGGACAAGGTCCTTGACATTCCCTGAGGGGCACCATTTTCTTCTGCCAAAATGCATTCCAGACCCTACGGAGTGAAGCTTTTGATTAGAAGCTCTAATGAACTTGCATCCAAACCAACTTAGCATTCCTGTCCTTCAGCCCTTTTCACATAGACTAGTCCTTTTCTGAACCTCACACGTTCTTGCCGTTTTCCAGCGCACTCTGTCTCTCATCATCCATTCTCATTTCTCAACATTCCACTCCCTCTACTTAACCTTCTCTCAGAACAGGTTTATACTGAGCATGTGCGGGCCACGCTCTTATGAAATCCCGTTGACTATCATTAGCCTCGGCAATGGCTTTTTAATAAAAGCTGCAAAATGTTTACGCTTTGTTTGAGAAAAGCACGTTCCAGGTGTTCCTGTTGACATATCACAGCAACTCATTTCTGCAGACACACCATACAAATGGAGAAATGTTTTCGGGAAAAGCCACCCCAAACACACACTTCCTGTCCATCTGCAGAAGTCTCTCACCAAACAGTTGTTTAGAATAAGTCATTTCTTATCCTTTCTACCCTAAGTTCAGGACTGATCACCCTCAAACTTACCTCTCATGCAGTGCCAAATTTCAAATCGGCCCATTGAACCATTTTCTAACTATAAACAGTAGTACCTCCTCCTGCCCCCCACCCCTGTTTCTTATAGCTGTGGGAAGTGAATCACCCTAGATGTACAACTGCAGCAGCATGCCTTTTGTCTGAGAATGGCTAGCAGGCTCTCGCTTACTAAGAGGAACCTTAATTCTTTTGTTTTTGAACAACCTTACTCCTGACAGTAGGCCCCAGTAGTATGGTGTGTATGTTAGAAATCTTCTTAAAGATAACTTTGAATAATGGAACTCTTACAGGGGGACTTTGCTTCACCTCAGGAGCTTGCCTTGAGTTCTCACTCTAAGGATTCTTTTGACAGAATGCTTGTCCAGGTTTGCCTGTACTTCTATTGCAAATGCTTATGGCGCTGCCTGAAATTCGTGGTGAGGAAACTGACGGGACGCTGCGAGTTGCAAAGGATCTGCTACAGCACAAAGCCTGGCGCTGGCAGAACTATGAAAATCGGTAAGTGGTTTTGAAACCATTGCTCTGGTATTTAATGTTGTTCTGTGTCGTAATTGCTGTGTGTATGAGAGAGAGAGATTACCCTGCAGTATAGCTTTAAAATTAGCTTAGGTCTCAACTGTATTTTAAACTGTAGCCTCAAGCAGAATGTCAACATACCCAGTCAATTGCAAACACATTTTACGTTACTGAACCAATATAGCTTGCCGTTTCGTTTGTATCAGTATGAGAACCTTCTTCACTATTTGTGGGGATTTGGCTTCACATTTTTATAACTGCATAAGAAAAGAGGAAAGTTGGGAAGGAGAGAATTACAAAGGTTTGTGATAGTATTTTCATTGTTGGCTGTGTTGTTGAAGATGCAAAAAGTCTAATAGAAGTTAAAGTTTTAAAAATGTTTTCTTGACAGAATCGTCATTGAGAAGTTCAAAAAACAAGGTAAGTAAATGTTTGTATTTTTGTCTCCATGTTTGGCCGATTGTATTAGCAGCTTACACAGGCTTACAAGCAAGAAAACCTCCTTGCCAACATACGAAGCCACATTAGGCCATTCATGCAGCCTTGCATTTAACTACTTGGCTGGTTGGCAGAGGCAACTAGGAGTAACTTGCAGGCGAGTGCATTGAATTCCATCTAGGCAAGTGAGCAGGCTGGGGGAGGAGGAGCTGGTATTTATATTGTTCCCTCCTTTACCAACCTGCTTGGCTTCCATGCGGGCTGCAGAGTGCTCAACAAGACCCAAAGTCAGCTGGTTGTCAGGTCTTGAGAAGCCCCTTTCAAAACTCTTATCATGCACAGCACTCTGAAAGCGACTAAGCAACACTCAACCACCAACTGATTGTTGGGTCTTGCTAAGCCCTATTCAAAGCGCTGTCTGTGAGCGTCATTGAGAGACTAATTGGCAGAATGTTTTGTATGCTGAAAAGTGCTTTAAAATTCAGGAGAACATTAGTCAGTCTTTATCCAAGCATATGTTAGCGAGGTATCATACAGATTAATCTACTCAGATTTTAAGACCATCAAGGAATATTGCTAAGCTTTGTACCCCAGTTTCTAAGATGCCAGGCATTTTGCAACTTTCCACATTTTTCCTCCCAACACCCTTTTGAGTTAGAACACTGCTCAGGCCGGGAGACAACTTTGTATCTTTCATATTTTAATGCAGACATAAAATTTGCATTTTCCGAACCAGTATTTGAACCAAACACAACTCTCCTTCAAAACGCATACCTCTCCAAATTTGCAATGCAGGCCCAAAAATGCTTTGAGTAGTTAAAGCAATGTACAAAAATGCATTCTTTCATGGGAAAATTGTGGGAAGGCAATAATGCATGCCAATTTCCAAGCAGACTTTTATTTTGTAAAAAATTTACAAACATGAGTAAACCTACTTAAGACTGCAGAAATGAGAATTGGAAGGAAACGGAAATGGAAAGATTGACTTTTCTCTACAACTCTCTACTTACCTCATTCAGCAGATGGAAGGAGAGACTGAGGAACCGTGACCTGTCCAAGGCACTTATTGAGCTGGTGCCAATTTACTTATTAATTTGGTTTATTTCATGAGATTTATACACCCCTCAATTGTAAAAACAAACAAACAAACCTCAGTGCAGTTTGCGGAAAATAGACTTGGTGGGGGAGGGATGAATTGTACGTATTGATACAGTTGACCATGTTCAGTATGAGGCATGCATAAAAAGAAGCCTAGATCTGTGGCGTCACCACTGCTGGAGGGCACCACATTGGCTGTGATACTTCTCACAAAGTTGCATTCTGTTGTTCCTGTAGTGCTTCACTTCCTATGGCAGTGACCAATGTGCGTTAAAAATTTTTTTTCCAGTTGCTCCAGAATTCAGTCAGTGTTCATCCAGATGCTATTGAAAAAACTATAGATGCCATCATGGAACTGAAGAGGATTAACCCAGATGTAAATCCGCAGTAAGTTCGTGTGAATGGAGTGGGATGGCAAAAGTTACTTAGTGTGCTTAAATGATTGTGTGCTTCATCTCTTTGGGGGGGGGGTCTGTCTTCCCACATAAGTTCACAGTATTGTGTGCTTTGATTCTTTAGTTGTGCCCGCTGATGATCACAGGTGACTTTTGGTCTTGTTTCATTTTCTGTCTGTTCAGCCCTTTCATGTCTATTGTACAACTAGATATGGAGGCAAAGCACCACCTGTAACAACCACATTATTAATCAAGACGTTGCACCTTCTTGAACCATGGCTTGTTAAAGGTGGAAATGAACCAGTATGTAAACGTATATACACACAGGCCAGACACAGACACTGACACCCAGATTTCTGACCATGATTTAGTCACCTGACCCACATCATCCCAAGTTTCCAGCATATATCCATGATATGATGCTGTGGTCTAAACCACTGAGCTTCTTGGGCTTGCTGATCGGAAGGTCAGCGGTTCGAATCCCCGCAACGGGGTGAGCTCCCATTGCTTTGTCCCAGCTCCTGCCAACCTAGCCGTTCGAAAGCATGCCAGTGCAAGTAGATAAATAGGTACCACTGTGGCAGGAAGGTAAACGGTGTTTCCATGCACTCTGGCACTCGTCATGGTCCTCCGTGCGCCAGTAGCAGTTTAGTCATGCTGGCCACATGACTCGGAAAACTGTCTGTGGACAAACACTGACTCCCTCAGCCTGAAAGCAAGATGAGCACTGCAACCCCATAGTTGCTTTGACTGGACTGACTCCTACATTATGTGAAGAAAAGTGCGCTCTGCACATGCTCAGAAGCATTTTCCTCATCATTAAACTATTAGTGTTTATCTTCCCTAGAATTAAGGATCCAGGCTTCTAGAGCATATGGTGTGGGGGTTTTTTCCACATAGACCTGAGCCACAACTGTGGGGCAGCATGTCCCCTTTCCTCACACAAAAATCCACACCAGGTTTTCCATTGCCACTTGGTAGAGAGCAAATCAGGTCTGCTGGAAGTGAAGGCTTATGGGAGAGCAGCAAAGAGCAAAGTTGTCAAAGGGAGCTTTGAAAATGATGTGACCTTGGGGGAAGCGATGTCATTAGTCTCTTTGGCTTTTCTCCCTGCCGTGGGCATCACCTGTGGCAAAGCTTCTCGGCTGTCAGTGCAGGCAGCGCAACATAGGTTCAGAATTGCTGTTCCATTGCCTCAATGAGCATGCCTTTTCACATTCATGAATGGCGGAAAGGATAAAAGTGTAGCTCCACGCTGAGGTAATGTCAATCATGCAAAGCTAAATTACTGAGCGAGGTGTTCTTACCGTTTGTCATCTTTTCACTCTAGGCTAGGTGTCTCTCTGCAGGCCTGCCTCCTACAGATTGTAGGGTACAGGAATTTGATTGCAGAGGTGGAAAAACTGCGTAGAGAGCCCTATGATTCTGAGGATCCCCAGCATGAAGAAATGCTTCTGAAGGTAAGCTGTGGAAGTGCACTTCCAAAGAGCTCTTTACATTCCGAGAGACTGTTAACTGAAACCAGTCTCCGCAAAAGGCTTGACCGCACAATTGTCTGTACTGAGAACAGCTTGTTACCTCCAATTTATTTATTAGCATTATCTAGGCTAAGCGTAGAGGGACGTGGGTGGCTCTGTGGGTTAAACCACAGAGCCTAGGACTTGCCAATCAGAAGGTCGGCGGTTCGAATCCCCACAACGGGGTGAGATTCCGTTGCTCGGTCCCTGCTCCTGCCAACCTAGCAGTTTGAAAGCACACAGTGCAAGTAGATAAATAGGTACTGCTTCAGCGGGAAGGTAAACGGCGTTTCCGTGTGCTGCTCTGGTTTGCCAGAAGTGGCTTAGTCATGCTGGCCACATGACCCGGAAGCTGTATGCCGGTTCCCTCAGCCAATAAAGTGAGATGAGCGCCGCAACCCCAGAGTCAGTCACGACTAGACCTAATGGTCAGGGGTCACTTTACCTTTTAGGCTAAGCATGGGTAACCTTTTTCTTTTGTTGAGGGCCACATTCCCTCTAAATTAATCTGCCAGGGGACATATGCCCTTGGGTAGATTCCGAGACAAAAATGTTCTGGAGAAGCTAACTCAGAATAAAGACTCTCCTGTTCAGAATATCGGCTCATTTCTGTGTTTACCTCTCTCCTCTCCTGCTTCTGATTCTGCACTTCTCTCTGCCACAGACTCCCCCCACTCACTAAGCCCTGTGACCTCTTCGGCTTCCGATATCTCTTCCTGGTCTCCTCCCTCTGACCACTTACCATCACACCACCACCAATCCCCTGGCCCTGGGCCTTCTTCCCTTGGGGGGTTCCCCAGTTGTTGTTTCCTCCTCCTCCCCCCTCCTCTGCATCCAACCAGTCCATGACACAGATGCACCTCACCCAAGGCAGGTGTTTCATAAATGGGGAGTTACCACCGAGATGGCCCTGCCACAGGTCAGGGCCAGCTGTGCAGCCTCCAGGGGGTGGCATCACCAACAAGGCTTCTCCTGATGAGCCCACATGCCAGTGTTGGGAAGGCAAAACAGGGCAGAGCAACAAATATAAATTTTTACCTTGACACATTTGGCTAGTTTCTGCGCACACTCTCACACCCCTCTCTATGCTCCATCCAGACAAACAAAGGCCTTATCAAGGACACTTTCCACTCATGCAAAATCATAGTGGGTGTGAAGCAGGGACAATGAGCATGTGGCCTGGAGACAGACTTCGGAGGGCCGGATTTGGTTCCCTTGTCCCAGGTTCCCTACATCTCCCGTAGGGGATGTGCGGGTAAAATGATGCAGGCTGTCTGAGACCTGCTATCAGGTTTTCTGATACAGCAGTACCTCGGGTTAAATACTTAATTCGTTCCGGAGGTCCGTTCTTAACCTGAAACTGTACTTAACCTGAAGCACCACTTTAGCTAATGGGGCCTCCTGCTGCTGCGCCGCTGGAGCCCGATTTATTTTCTCATCCTGAAGCAAAGTTCTTAACCCGAGGTACTATTTCTGGGTTAGCGGAGTCTGTAACCTGAAGCGTATGTAACCTGAGGTACCACTGTACTGTTTACTTTTAAAACATCCATAGGGAAGAGGAGTGTTGGAGGATGAAGGTGTTAATCTTTCTTTTCCTCAGAATGAGGGAATGACAGGAATGAAAAGCTGCAGCGGAGGGCCAAAGGAGAGGGGAAAGTATTGGGGTTTGGGTGTCCTGTCAGCAGAGAGTGTTTGGCCAGAGGTGGTAAGGGGGGCAGTTAATGGGGGACAGTAGTAGCTCGACGGAGGTGACAAGCATCACAAGCAGGGGCACAGTCCCTAATGAAAAATAATAGTAAAGAATAAGCTTTAAATATTATTAATATTACTAATACTAAATATTACTAAGGTCACCCCTTCATTTCTTGCTTCACATCTCTTAGGGCAGCATGAATTTTTACTTGGGTGTAGGGCTGTGAAGCTGAGGGGCCCTGAATCTGCTCTCCTTCCTGAAAGCACTTGTATATGTCTCTTTTATTTCCTTGTTTGTTTGTGCCCTTGTGAAATTGGCTTAAAGGGGGGGGGGGGAGGATCTCTCAAGCCTTGGAGAATCAAGAAGGCTAATCGCCTTAGTGATTTGCAACCAAATAAACTTGAGGGTTCCTCCCCGCCCCCACTTATGCAGAGGCAGTGAATATACCCAGTGAGCCCTTATCTATGTTTTTACACCATTTCTACATTAGGCCAAAATATGGGGGGGGGTGTTGGGTTTTTCCAGTAGGCAGTATTTCAAATGTCTGCTATGTCTAAGGAATACTTCTTCCTCAGTCTGTATTTGCTCCAGGCTCTTCCAAATGCTGTGCATAACAATGAAGGCAAAATCCCATAGAGAACTACTAGTTTCAGAAATGTCAATCCATTGAAGGTCTGAGTTGTAACATACCTGTGATTTTTCCCTCCCCCTCCTGTAGCTATGGAAATGCTTGAAACCTGATTTCCCATTGGAAGCCCGGATTTCCAAGCAGTGGTGTGAAATTGGTTTCCAAGGCGATGATCCTAAAACAGATTTCAGAGGAATGGGCCTCCTGGGGCTGTATAACTTATTGTAAGTATATTTCTGTTTCTCTTAAAGTTTGAACCTAAAGGTATAAATTATCCTCCTGCTTATATGTTTCAGGCTTTATTAAGGCAATTGTCATTCTAGATAGCTTGTAGGTTCCTACCACAGTTGCTGCAATTTTTCATCCCTCTTGATGAGAAGTAATTTCTTTTTCTTTTCTAGGAACAATTTATTTCACATTCTCCACAACCCAGTTGTATCCAGTGCTTCATAAGCAGACATTCTGCATGCCCAGCAATTGGGCTTTCCACCTCCTCATGGGTGGCGCTGTGGTCTAAACCACAGAGCCTAGGGCTTGCCGATCAGAAGGTTGGTGGTTCAAATCCCTTCGACGGGGTGAGCTCCCGTTTCTTGGTCCCTGCTCCTGGCAACCTAGCAGTTCGAAAGCACGTCAAAGTGCAAGTAGATAAATAGGTACTGCTTCAGCGGGAAGGTAAACAGCGTTTCCGTGCGCTGCTCTGGTTCGCCAGAAGCGGCTTCGTCATGCTGGCCATATGACCTGGAAGCTGTACGCCGGCTCCCTCAGCCAATCAAGCAAGATGAGCGCCGCAACCCCAGAGTCGGTCACGACTGGACCTAATGGTCAGGGGTCCCTTTATCCTTACCTTTCTCCTCACCCATCCCAAAATCTGTTCCAGAGATTCCCCCAATTCTGTATATTTAAAGACAATATTCTTGGAGGCATCCAGTTTTTAAGAAAGCAGTTCAATTTCTGTCTCTCATCACTCTGGTTTTCTCTCTCTCTCGCATAGCTGGTTAATTTTGCCATTGATCTGTATCCCCCCCATAATTTCTCAAACAAATGCGCTCACTGATGGAGCTTTTCCTTGTCCCTAGCATGCGTGAATGCATTTATTTAGATCATTTTTAATAGGAGTCTATTGCACACATTGCAGTATGTAAGATAAAGAGTGTAGCAGCACATGGCAGCTTCACAGCCACAGAAAGAAGACTGACTGTCTTGCTTAAGTGTACAGATTACATATTCTTTATTATTGTTCATGGACCCAAACAGAACAAAACCAACATCTGTACAGGTAGAATATCATAGCATACAAGATACCTGAAAGTGGGTTGTAAAACATAAATGACATAAAATGTCAGGAATATCTGAAACATGTTTAAAGTAAGATGTACAATATGATGACTTAAAATATAGAAGTTAAGAGTCAGTTGAAAAGCTCACCCCCCCAAAAAAAACATGTTTGCCAAACCTGGTTCATACGGTACATTTTAAATGTACAAACCGGGTATCTGCATATAGTTTGAGGAAATGTACCTACAGATGTTTAGAGCTATGTTGTAAAACTCCGAAATGTGTTTTTCTCCTCCAGATATTTTGCTGAATGTGATGCTGCTGCAGCTCAGCAAATCCTCTCTGACTCCCTTCAACCAAAATACAGGTAACATTTTGAAGCTGGAAATAGCAGCCACCTCGAATAAATAAATCCTATTTGTAATAATTCTGCATCTCTTTTACTGTTAACATAAAACATTGTCTGTGTTTCTCGAACTGTTACTTAAGATTAGAGAGATAAAATGCCTCATTTCCATGTGTTCTACAGTCTGATTTTACTGTTAAGTACATAAAATTTAATCCAAGTTTATATTGATTTTTAAGCTATTTATTTTTCCTTTCCCTTTCGCCCCCATCTTTCACAATGAAGGGAAGTCACTAAAGAGGAGCTAAGGTATTTTTTTTCCCTTTTGCCTTTTATAATCCTTTCAAATTAAGTTTTGAAGCAGAAAAATATATATTCTAGGACAGCCTTTGCCAACCTGGTGCCCTCCAGATGTTTCAGACTTCCATCAGCCCTAGCCAGAGCATGCTGATGTGTGGGCTATGTAGAAAAAAGGCCCCATTGATTCCAGAATATAATAATGTCTATGCAGAGCCTTAGCGGGGAGACAAGGCAAAGTGGGAAAGGGCAAAGACTTTCTCTCTGCTTTCCACCCGAAGACTAGATCAGGCATAGGCAAACTCCGGCCCTCCAGATGTTTGGGACTACAATTCCCATCATCCCTGACCACTGGTCCTGTTAGCTGGGGATGATGGGAATTGTAGTCCCAAACATCTGGAGGGCCAGAGTTTCCCTATGCCTGGACTAGATATATCAGAATTAAGTTACAGGAGGGTAGATCTCGTCTGAGCACTGGGTGAAACCTTTGCACATTAAGAGCAATATGACAACTGGACCAATGAGGTAGAGGGGTGGTGGGCTTTTCCTTCCTGGGGGTCTTCAAGCAGAGGCAAGGACAGCCACCTCTTAAGGATATATCTGTGGAATTCCTGCATCAGGCAGAGGGTTGAACCAGTTGACCTCCTGGACCACCTCCATCTCTACCAGCAACCAATAGGTTGTCCTCCTCCTTATAGGACCGTGACATATTTTTCACACATGGGACACTTCAAAGTACCTTTCTGACCGGCTGACCTTACTGTGAAAAAGGGAGAACACATGATCAAAGCATAATTGAATCTCTGGATGTCACTGTTGCAAAGCGCTGCAATGGCCACACGCTTAGATGGTTTCAAAACAGGGTAAGGTCACATCATGGAGGATAAAAGCTAGCAATAGCTATTAGTAGTCACAGTGGCCCAATAGAACCTTCAGGTTGGCCTTTCTTTTTCAATTGCTGGTGAACAGTAGCGAGAAAGGACTATAAGGGCCATGCAGCCGGCTGAGATGTGTGCATTCTGTAGCGTGTCACTGATGCAGTAATAACACATTAGTGGTGCATTTATACTGAGTCATCCACACACCGTTCTGCTTTATCAGTTGTTCTGCAGTGCTTTCCAAATGTCACAGCATTATTGCTGTCCTGCGCACTATAGCACAACAGAAGCAGGACAAAGCAACAAGAACCCTGGAAATACTATGACATAAAAGGTTTTATGCACTGATTGGAAACAGAGCAGGATGCCCACCCTGTAATCTTTGCAGGTCAAACAGTATTGAAAGTGGAGTTGCGTATAGCTAGCATGAGCATAAATAATCAAGAATGCACAGTAAAAAGGATTTATGGAGGGTCTCTCTGTATATATCACTACTATGCCTTTCTTCTGAGCTTCCCAAAAGCATCTAGTTGGCCACTTTTGGAAATACAGAACTGAACTAGATCAGTCTGGCCTGATCCTGCAAGGCTCTTTTTATGTTACTGTTTTCAATGCAATTGAGTAGCCTGTCTTAAAGCAACAAAACCAAATGTTGCTATCTTAAATTTGAAGAGGGAAAAAAAGGTTGCTTAAAAACCAACAGCAAGCACCAGGGGAAAGCACAGAAAAGCGTTACATTATCTAATGCCAGATATCACCTCTGTTATTTTCTGTGGAATAGGGAATCCAAGGGCACAGTAATTATACGTGAATCCCTCACGTGCAATTTCATCAGCCGCACACCCAGCCAGAAGAAGCGCACATTGTCCTTGTTCCAAGAGTACCACCGAAACGTTTGAGCAGCGCTATGTTCGGACCAAGGTCGCAAGAATAGGCAGATGGCATAGAACCAGTTAGAATATTCGGGAGAGCTGGAGAGAAAGTCGACAGCCTCCTGAAGGGCTTATGCCTTCAAACAGACAGTGGCTGAGGGCAGTTCCAGATGTGATATTTTTCAGTGCAGTGATAATTTCTACACCGCAGCTTCTAGACATGTCTGATAGCAGCAGGAGAATTTATGACACTTAGGGTATTCCCCCCCCCCCCAGGGGTTATTCGGTAAGATGAATGACACTGATCCAGGTGCCCAAAGTGCAGCGCTCTGACCATTAAGCCATACTGTCTGTCGCTGTGTGGAAGATTAATAGATTACCTCTATTAACAGATGCTTAAGACAACACTGCACTCCATAAAGCTGAGTCAGTACAGAAGCATCTTTATTTTTAGAATTTTCACCTAGCAATGCCAAGCAACAACAAATACACCACAAGCTATTGGTGTTTTCAATGTGCTCTTTTTTTCTTTCCTTTTTAAGTGCCATTTCTTCCAGTCTAGTTTAAACACCGTTTCCCTGAAGATTCATTAGTTTTATGTAATCTGGGGGAGGAGAAGGAGAGAGAGAAGTGAGGGTTGTATATGTTTTTCCTTGAAGAATGCAATCCTCTTTTTCACTTCTTAGTTCTTTAAATAGGCCAAAGTAGAAAGGCAAGCCTCAAAAATCACACAGAAGTCCAAACCTGGACTAAACAAAACAAATAAATTCAGCACAGACGGGAAAGAAAATGGTGGCTAAAGGCGTAGGCTTTGATGACAAAATAGATTTAGAATTCAGGACTGTGTGTATTACTGCGTTTCTTCACTGTTAGATAAAACCATATTCCATTTTCTGTGTGGCAAAGTTGTGGCGCGGCAAATCCCCCTGTCGTTCTTTGTGTGCATGTCTGTGCATGCAGTTTTCCAATAAAAAGCATCTACCAGACCCAGAAATAATTTTAGAGACACGTATCTTCTAGAGTGCCTTTTTGTTGCTGTTGAGATGTTGTTAGTAATGAGAAATATAATGTGTCGATATTTTATTAATCTCTGAAGTGGGATTCGTGCTTTGGGGTGGGGTGGGGCTTTAATTATTGCTGTCAGGTGTGTTTTGTACTGTTTGGTGCTTTCTAGTGTGTCTGAAAAAAATATACACAGCCCCTGCTGTGGCAGCTGTAATAGCAAAAGCATCAAAGAAAGAGGAAAACTCCAAGGCCGTGTATAAGCCAAAATGATGGTAATGCCATTTCTATCCTTTGCAAGTGTGCTAGGTAAATAATACACTCATAAACCATATCTACATAGGTATTTAATTAAAATATTATGCCTGACCTTAGACTTTCTAGGTGAAGACCTGTATTAAGCAGTAGCATGTGTAGTGCCTTTTGAGGAACTGATCACGCTCTTGATGAAGAACAGGAGATGGAATCAGTCTTTTGTTGTTCATAGAGTATTGGGCTTGGGTTCAAATCCTGCTCTGCCATAAAGCTCACTGGGTGGGCAAGTGAAACAGGTACAGTGGTACCTCTGGTTATGAACTTAATTTGTTCCGGAGGTCCGTTCTTAACCTGAAACCGTTCTTGATCTGAGGTACCACTTTAGCTAATGGGGCCTCTTGCTGCCGCTACGCCGCCAGCGTGCGATTTCTGTTCTCATCTTGAGGTTAAGTTCTTACCCCGAGGTACTACTTCGGGTTAGCGGAGTCTGTAACCCGAGGTGTTAGTAACCCAAGGTACCACTGTATTAGTTTCTGGTTAATGAGCAGACTCCCCAGGGATGCAGAAATGTAGAAGAAGGGATTAAAACAAACCTTCCAGAAATAGCTTGATAAGGTCTGAGCATGCAGAGGGCCCACTAGATTCAGTGGCAAATCCCTGCTTAGAATACAGTTGAAATACAATGAAAATAATATAAACAATTTGAAAAACCACTAAGCAGAAACCAACAGGTACCCAGATAGATGTGGCAGGGGCAGCCATGTTTCTGCCCCATTCAGACACAAACTGAGAGGGAGTGTGGAAATTCTCCCCAACCCCACAAAATTGTGAGGATGAAATGGGTTAGCCCCATCTTAAGCCACCCTGAAGATCTTGTGGGAAATACCAAATACAAATACATTTTATATTTACACAATATGTGTCATTTCAACCATCATTTTGGATATTAAATACACGCTTTTGCAACCGTGTGGTGTGCTGAACCCTATTGACTTTTCCTGTATGGTATCTTTTTGTCTGATGTACTCAAGTTTGTGGAAGCCAACATGTATGTTTAAAAATGTGTGTTTGCTTTTATCCTGGTTTTAAGTTAAAAGGGGGGGAAATGAGACTAACAAAATCTCTGTTAAAGCTGGCAACAAAATTTAGAAGAAGCCTCTGTAGACCATTGCTCTCCCCAAACACATAAAAATAACAATTTTTGATCATTTTTCCAAACGTTGCAGTGGGGAAACTAGCTTAATGTACCACCCTGAATTTGGAAGTCTGAGAGGCTGAAATTTCCAACATGTTTTGGATCAACAAGAAGCATCTGAAATACATCCGGTCAACTTGCTTTATAACTTATCAAGTTTTTCCTTCCACACCAGCACCACCTTAAAAAATAAACTACTACAGCAGAATAAAAAGCCAGCTAGACACAGACTTTCTCATTGTGCAGAAAGGCATTGGGTAACATTCAGACAACGCACTTGGGTTGGGTGTGCAACCATCATCCTAGGTCTTATACATCCTGAGTCTTGTCATGTGGATTTTCAAAACCTTCATCAGCTATTTAAATATAATAATAATAGCGGCTTTATTTTTATTTTTTTATATATCTTTATTAATTTAAAATATACATTTATGAAAAAACAGACGAACAAACAACTAAACATATAATCAAACACAAATAATAGAAGAATCAAACAAACAACCACACTATAAGATTAATATAACTATCATCATTTATACTCCTGGTACTGAAAGAAATTACAAAACTTACAGAGAAGAAAATTAAAAATGACTTCCAATTAATCTCACTGTACTTTATCTATCCATTACCTTATACTGCACAGTTACATATTTTTTATATAGCAGCTTTAAATATCACTGAAAACATTATGAGAGTTGAAATGTGCAATAGTGTAATAAGGTAACTTAAGAACGTGAGAGAAAACTTTGTTATGTAACTTGAAAGATATTATGCCCACCTCCTTTGATCACTGACTGCCCTCTCGGAAGAGGAATGGATCTTTCAGGAATGCAGGGATGCCTCTGCGTATCACAGATGTGTTGAATGGTTTAAACTGAGCCTACTGACGGCCAGCTCACATACATCCCTAACATTAGAAACACCTTAGCAGTAAAGCATTGTAGGTGGGCTCTTGATTTGTGTCCACCACCAACCCAATCACTTTTCATTAAAGTAGCAGTGTTGGCTGATTACCTGGGCTAGTTTCAAATGACTTGGGTCACATCTGGTTTACTGAATTTCAAAGACTGCAGTCCGCCTTGCTCAGGGCTGAAAGGAATACAGAGTTTTCCCCCTGATTCTTCCCCATCCTTCAGTATCTCAGAATTGGCCCATCCTTCTATTTTATCCTTCTTAAGTCTTCACAGAGTATACGTAAGGTGTCTTTGACAGGTAATCTCCAAGGCATAGACCTCTTTTTAGACTGCACTGATGAGCATGTGATTGGGGCACGAGGCAAGCAGGTTAGGTTGGCTACAGAAGTTTACATCTTCCGGAGCTTAAAAGAATACAAAAATCCACAACACCAAGAATAAAATGATACCAAGTCGATAGACCTTTTCACGATTACCATGCAGAGAGAGAAAACCGTTTCCGATTTGAACAGCAACTTCCGCTTTTTATTTTTCAGCAAATTCAGCAAGGCTGAATGGGAGAAGAAAAAGTTTGATAAGGCCATTGGGTAAGTATGTAATTCCAAGGTCGAAAGATCTCTCTCCCCCTCCCCCTCACTTTCCATACGCCCATATCCTCCACTGCTTTGAGGCACAGTCAACCTTCATGCTCACTGGCATCAGTTATTCTTAACTACGGGGATGGACAACCTGTGGCCCTCCAGATGTCGCTGTAAAGCATCTCCCATCGTCCCTGACGATGAGCAACATCTAGAGGGCCACGCGTTCCTCACCCCATGCTTATCATTGAAGTGGAGGAATAAGGGATTGGGGGCATTACAGTCAAGCAACTCTTGGTTGAGCTTAATGGGTGGGATTCACCTAACGAACCCTGCCAAGGGAAGCTCTGCAGAAGCTTGTGCAGCAGGGCTTTCCCCCCTCCTCCTTCATGCCCCCCAAAAAAATTGGTTTGGGAGAGGGCGTTAGGAGAATCCCAAAAACAGCAGCAGCAGCAGCAGCAGCACTGGTGGTGAATCACTTTGCTCCGTCTCTCCTCAAGAAGACTTTATTGAGCCCAAACATCTGGAAAGTTCAAAGGGCCGTAGAGCTTTGTGGGCAGAAGGTCCCTGGTCAAACCCCCAACATCCTCAGGGCTGAGAAGAACCTATTTCTGAAACCACTGCAGGCTCTAGGGGTGGGGGAACTAGATCTGGCTCGCAGGCCAGATTCCTCAGTCCACCACCCTCCACAGCTCACGTCTGATAGGTGAGCAGGGCCATCCAGAACAGCGTCAGGTGACTGTAACTGCTGATCAGCCTATAGCATCAGGCATAGGGCAGGTGGGTGTGGTTTGTGAGGAGCAGCCTCGCAGTCCAAATTGGGATCATTGGGCAGGGGTTGTTTTGTTTTGTTATTATGTTGCTTATTTTTGTGTGTTTATGCTGTAAACTGCCCTGTGACCCTCCCCCCAAAGGGTGGTACATCAGTCCATCAATCAATCCATCAGCCTTCTGGCCAGTGATTCCTCACCACTAGTGTAGATATTACTGAACTAGGTGACTCTGTGTAAGGCAACTTCATGTGTTGGGGACTGTCAGTCAGGACCACCTGTAGTTGGTATTTCCATGCCGCCATTTTCCTGGGTGTGACTGGTTATCTCCAACATCTTTTAATCTCCACCCCCTGTTTCTTGCAGCTACTCTTTTGCTATTGTTGGCATTAATATCACAGACCTTGCGTACAACCTGCTTGTGAGCGGTGCTCTGAAAACACACTTCTACAATGTTGCTCCAGAGGCTCCAACGTTATCCCATTTCCAACAGACATTCTGTAAGTGTGTGTGTGTGTGTGTGTGTGTGTGAGAGAGAGAGAGAGAGAGAGAGAGAGAGAATAATTGTGTTTGTTGTGTTGATAGCGTCCTTCCTTAATTACTTCATGTGATCAGTTATACAAAGCATCGCTGGCATTCCTTTGGTTAGATTATGTCCTTACAATAAGTTTGACATTTGTCTGGGGAATGATCCATTTTGTGGGACAACTGGTAATCTCAAACCAAAGAAACTTTTTCCATGTTTCCGTTGCAAGCTTTGACTATGTCCTAACAACCAAATTCCTGTCAACAAAATTACTGTACCGTGTCATAATCTGTTTCTCTTCTTTCCTGATACTGTCATTTATCTTGTCTTAGTGATTTGTTTTCCTTTTGAAGTTATTTCATTTCATTTTTCTCGTTTGTATACCGCCTTTCTATATTACCATGCTTGAGATCTGTGAATAAAGGGTGGTATACAAATTTAACTTCTTCTTCTTCTTCCTATTATTATTATTATTACTGTACACAAGGCGTTTTGTAAGCTGAAGGAAGAACAAAATATACAACAAAGATTGCACACCTTATAACAATCTGGTCCGATACAAAAAAAGTCATAATAAAAACATAACATTAAAATAAATGGCTTATATCAAATTAAGTAATATTCAGTAATCCATCAGAATATAATGGACAATAAAACTACCGTATTTTTCGCCCTATAGGACGTACTTTTTCCCCTCCAAAAATGAAGGGGAAATGTGTGTGCGTCCTATGGGGCGAATGCAGGCTTTCGCTGAAGCCTGGAGAGGGAGAGGGGTCGGTGCACACCGACCCCTCTCACTCTCCAGGCTTCGCGGACCTCTCCGCAAGCAGCGGGAGCCCGTCGCTGGGCTCCCGCTGCTTGCGGAGAGTTGCCTGCATGCTGAAGCCTGCCCGCGCTGAGCGATGGGCTCCCACGGCTTGCAGAGAGCTGCCTGTTTGGGGGCTGGGGTCGGGGGAAGCTCGGGCTTGCCCCGCCCCAGCCCTGCGCCTGGGGGGGAAATAATTTTTTCCCCCTTTATTTCCCCCCCCCTAAAAACTAGGTGCGCCTTATGGGACGGTGCGTCCTATAGGGCGAAAAATACGGTAACTCTCAAAATATCAGCAAATAATAAGTAAACAGAAATTCACTTTTAACAATTACAGTATATTTTCCCTACTTGAATGCCGGCATAATCCCCATTCCCAAGGACTCTCTTCCACTATGAATCTCTATGTCACTTTGAGACAGAAAGAGAACTGTCTGGGGGCCCTGAAGAGCAACATGGGTTTTGCAGAACCCTCCCTGGTAGAGATTAAAAGAGCCTGTGTTCAACTTAAAATGCAGCCCCAGATTAAAAATTATTTATTAAAGAAGCAGGACGGAAACATCCAAAGGCGCCTTAGAAAACTCATATTATTTTTTTCAAAGTTTAATGAACACATTTGTTATTTTTCAAGAACACTACAATATAAAGGCATGAAGGCATATTTAAGATGGAGGGGGAAATTTAATGAATCCAAAATAATGGCTGCATTGTCTAATTAAAGTTTATAAAATGTAATATCCTTCAGATGACCTATTTATTGAGCATTCGTCTTGATTTGCTTGTACATAGCTTACATGGAGGTTAGATTATATCCAGTCTTCATTGAGCATTTGCTCTGATTTATTTGTGGGGCGGTTATATGAAAACGAGCATTCATTCTGTTTTGCCTGTCCTGTGTTTATACATCTTCCTGTCCATTCCCTACTTTGCAATACATTTTCCTCTGACTCTCCCAATTGCAGAAATGTTACTTCTTTATTAAAGTGGATTTGTTGTGTTGGGGCAGCGGAGTGCTTTAATCCACTTTAATTACAGCAGACCTAAATTTCCCAGGTGCTACAGTATGTGTATAAAAGCAAATAAATAAATAAATGATGCTGCATTTTTTAAAAAAGTTGCACCCTACAGCCAGTGCTTTTTTTCTGGGGGTACACAGGGGTACGCAATACCCCTAAACATTTTGTGAATCTTAATATTCCTACTCAATATGAGTAGGAAAATGAGAGTACCCCTAAACATTTTTAATAGAAAAAAGCACTGCCTGCTACAGCCATCACAGCTACTCCATCCCATACACCCTTCCTTCACTGTGATTCTCGTGTTGAGCCAAGTGAGAACTTGCAGCTTGTGTTTTGGCAACAGCAGTGGTGAAAGGAGCACCAGACTTTTCCCCGAATCCTAGATGTCCCACCAGAAGTAGAGAGAGGAGCTCTTTCGGCACTATTGAACCTTGGAAGCCCCCTCTCCCCCAATTCTCCCCTCCCAGATTGCTGAGCGCCATTTCAGCTGGGGCGATGAAGCAATTTCAGTTCATCACAGCTTCCTCTAACAAGGAGATCAGCACTAATAGTGAAGAAATGGCATGTATGCACACCTACGGACAAGTTTTCTGTTTGTTTCTTATCAGAACAAATCCTTTCTGAACCTTAGAGAATTCAAAACTCGTTTGTGGCATTGGAACACTTGAGTTTTGACTGGCCAGTGACACATCTCACCCACGAGGTGGTGCTGCTCTATTTGCACAGGCAATAAATGCTGTTTGATTTGAGTCTTCGTACACTGTATGTCCCTCTATTCCGTTCCCTGCTCCTTCTTGCAGTGACATGACCCTGATTAGTTGCAGAGCACCTGGGCTCAGAAGGGGCAACATTATTTTCTAGGGTGTTCTCAAAAATTATATCCTAGCACTTCATAGCCATGTGTGTAATATATCTTCCCAGCCATTCTCCAAATTTTTCAGAAGGCAAGTTCATTGTTAGGGTTAAAAGCTACCCCAGGCAATCTTTTGAGGTTGTGAATGAGCAGGAACTTGAACCCAGGAAATAGTCTTATTGAGGCCATTGCTCAATGCAGCAATTCTGTTGCTGCTTAATGTATACTGATTATTAGTGCTGCCCGTTGTGTGATATGCTGCTGTTTCCAATTGCATAATTTGTTTTGCAACAGTTGGATTTTTGTGCTTATTTTTTGTTTTATATCTGTAAGCTGCTTTCCGCAACTTCTTAGTCAAGGGGGAAAGTGGGGAATGCTTTTTAAAAAACAAGCAATAAAATACCCACTTTGCCAACCAAACACAGGTGGCGCTGTGGTCTATACTGAGCCTCTTGGGCTTGCTGATCAGAAGGTCGGAGGTTTGAATTCCTGCGACAGGTTGAGCTCCCGTTGCTCTGTCCCAGCTCCTGCCAGCCTAGCTGTTCGGAAGCACACCAGTGCAAGTAGATAAATAGGTATCCCTGTGGCAGGAAGGTAAACAGCATTTCCATGCGCTCTGGCTTCTGTCAGAGTGTTCTGTTGCACCAGTAGTGGTTTAGTCATGCTGGCCACATGACCTGGAAAACTGTCTGTGGACAAACGCCGGCTGCCTCAGCCTGAAAGCAAGATGAGTGCCACAACCCCTTAGTCACCTTTGACTAGACTTAACCATCCAGGGGTCCTTTACCTTTTTTTTACCTTGGTATGTCACTAATTTAAAGCAGGAATGGATCGTGCATGGCTTGGGATGCCGGGGGGCGGGAATTCTGTTCAGGTTACATTTAAAGGCAAACAAAGCAAATCCATTAATTTATTCACAGTGTTCCTACATTACTTAAACACTGCTGTGTACTTGTTCCTCGGTTTCCACTCGCTGAGTTCAGTTGAGGAGATAAGCCACAGATTTTACATTTAAAAAAAAAAAAGACTTCCCCAGGCAACGTGTCAGAATTGCAGCGAGCTCTTGTTTGTGTGGCAATGATAGCTGGACTCATTTGGCCTTGCAATTATCAGGTCAAATTCAGGCTGTCTTTGCACTTGCCCGTTTCCCCTTGGCTTTTATTGTGCCTGATCGTGTGGAACTCAGCCACCCTCCTCTGTACAGAAGCAGCATTTCTGACACTCCAGGCAATGTAGTCAGTTGGACTGCTCTTCCCTATTTATCTGAAACTAATTGATATGCAAAGCTGGTGCACAACTCCAAAATGGAATACGCACAAGCTTTACGAGAGTAAGAAATACATAACAATTCACCAATTTCTGGAAACATCAGTTTCCTTCTTTCCTATACCTGGATATTTGTTTGCAGTTTGGGAAATCATGTTCCGGAGCCACTGGAAAATGTATTGGCAGGTTAATTGTATTTCCTTCCCCCCCAATTCATCCTTTGGACATTTTAGTTATATGGGGAATGGTAGCTGACGTAGAAGTGAAATAAGAGACTGCAAGGCTGCACCCCCAGGTTTTGTCCCACTTTTTGAAAAGATGCTCTTCCACATTGTATTTTAAACTCCACAAGTTCAAAAAGCACGGTGGGGATTTTGCAAGAAAAGCAGTTTAGGATACTGCTGTGGATTTTGCCAATTGGGTTTTCTTTTAAGCTTCTCTTGTGCTATTGGAGAGGGCACTGTTTGGGGACAGCTTTCGATTGCAAGCTCTATACTTGGGAATTTATTTTGAAAATTGCAAGGAAGCATATTTTGACCAAACATTGGGATCTGGTGGAAGGTAGAAGAGACCAGCCTTGAGAGGACATGTGCTCTTCTTTCGCTGGAGGTATTTTAGCCAAGTTTGACCAAACTGCAGGAGGCAGTGGAAGACAGGAGTGCCTGGCGTGCTCTGGTCCATGGGGTCACGAAGAGTCGGACACGACTAAACGACTAAACAACAACAACAACAAATTTTAGCCAAGCTGTAAGGGATGTTGGAGCTGCATTGTGCTTTGCATGACCCTTGCCAAGCAATGTTATTGAAGTTTCTAAATGTCTTAAATTATTGTTAATTTTTATTAGCGATAATTTTTATTGTTTTTAGCTTTTTGGTAAATCGTGTGAGCTTTGTAAACTGCGCTCGAGCGACTTATAAATTTTTATGAAATAAATAAGGAAGCAGGTGCCAAAAGTTAAGGAAGACAGGAGAGGACCAACCATAGGCTGGCCTAGAAATTGGCACTGAAGAAGGCTTCAAAGGCAGATAGTATCAAATAATGCAGGGGCAGAAAATGAATGGGGACCCTGTGAGATGAATGGGGCTGTGAAACAGAGAGGAGAGGAGGACAGGAGTGAGGACTGCGGTAGGAGAAGCTAGGAAAAGGGAGGCTGGGTTTGCTCTGCTTTCTAACCATTTGACTCGGGTATCCTTTGCTCTCTCAGGCTATCTGATGCACGAATTCCATAAATTCTGGATTGAGGAGGATCCCCTGGACATCATGGAATTCAACCGCGTGCGAGAGAAGTTCCACAAGCGCATTCTCAAACAGCTCCAGAATCCGAATATGGCCCTCTGCCCTCACTTCGCTGCCTCAGAAAGCCTGATCAACCTGTAGCCGTGAAACTTGGTTTGGTTTTTTGAAAACACTGCCTCATTCTTGTGTTATGCCACCATCCTAGAGATAAATCGCTAATGTATTGAATGACCATAGCGATGGTATGCATGCTTCTTGGTGCAGTATTCATCTCTCTCGCCAGCTCTCTTTTTCCAGCCAGCTCCTCATACTGCTTCTTCTGAGGGGGGTGGTTTTGTAATAAAGTTGGGAGAGCTCATATTGTGGCATTTTGCAGTGTTAAGACATTATGAATTGATGTCCTGTATGAAGAAGTTTGGTTTCCCCCCCTGGTTTTTTTAGATTTTCCCCACCACTCTCCTTGTGCCACCCCATAATTCAGCATTTAATTAAAAAGCAGCATTTCTCTAGCTGTTGGGGGTGTTTTGTATATGTGGAATATTTGAGTTGAAAATTTGTATTTGTGGACTGCTTTTGTTCTATGATAGCTAAGAACGTTGGTTTTTTAATTAAAAAACACACATTATGATGCAGCTAAAGGGGAGTACTTTTAAAGGTCCCATTCCCAGTGAAATCAGCGAGGCTGAAAAGCACTTAACTTCAGCTGAATTGTGTCCTGTTTTTGTACAATATTTAGAAGGCAGTGTATGTGACTTGCACCTCATGCCAACATAGTACATTGAAGATGAAGACTTTTTCTCTCTCTCTCCAAGCAACCATGCATGTTTCATGCAGTTTTTTAAAAAATAAAGTTTATGATTAAAATGTGGCATACGCAGGACATGGGATGAATTCTGGCAACCTGTGTGCTGAGCAAGTTTGAGAACACTGACCACATTGTGATAGCAAAGACCAAAAAATAAATAAATACACCAATTATTACATGAGTATCCAAGAAGGGTTTGTTTTCTCACAAGTTTGCATTAGCCTACAGTTCAGCCTGCTCCTGTTATCATGGCCAAATTGAAATAGCACTGCTTTGAAAACGCAGAGCTAATAACATGCATTTCTAGGTGACAGAATGTGACACAAATTGATCATGTGTGTGCTTGATTGCTTTAGGGGGGACCAAAACACACACACACACAAATCTATATTTTCTTCATTTTTGAAGTATTGAATTTTAGGCCGAGAGGAATAAATTAACAAAGAGGCATCGAAGAAAACAAAGTAACTGGCGGTTAAGCATTGGACAAAGCGACTTTTTTTAAAAAAAGCAAACATTCACTTTCTGTACGGAACATTCTCATGTCAACCCTGTTGGAACAATTAGCTAATGTACATATGTATACAACAGTGCTCATGCGCACATTTGGTTTGGGTGGGGAGCGGGGCCTGCAGAGGAGCATTCCCTGTCGGATTGTGACCAGCACCTCTGACACCATGTGTAGCCTGTATCAAATCGTATTTACCATGGCACTTCATACCCATGGTAGCTTTTTACCTTCTGAAGTTTAGTATTCCGGGTAGTTTGTGAAGTTGCTTGCCTAGCAAGATTAAATTTGAGGTATTGCCTAATTATTTGTGGATTATATGAATAAATTACATCACTCCAAACAGGAAGCTCTCTTGTGTATGTGGTTTATTCCTCAAGTACTTCAGTGAGACGTTTTTATTGCCCAGGTGCATTCATGAAAGGTGTTGGGTGGGGGTGGGGGGCAGGATCAAGCACAGTAATTCAGCTATGCTTTCTCTGAAGAAGCAATAGGCATAAAGGTAAAGGGACCCCTGACCATTAGGTCCAGTCGTGACCGACTCTGGGGTTGCGGCGCTCATCTCACTTTATTGGCCGAGGGAGCTGGTGGTCATGTGGCCAGCATGACTAAGCCACTTCTGGCAAACCAGAGCAGCACACGGAAACGCCATTTACCTTCCCACCGGAGCGGTACCTATTTATCTATTTGCACTTTGACGTGCTTTCAAACTGATAGGTTGGCAGGAGCAGGGACTGAGCAACGGGAGCTCACCCAGTCGCGGGGATTCGAACCGCCGACCTTCTGATCGGCAAGTCCTAGGCTCTGTGGTTTAACCCACAGCGCCACCCGCATCCAGCAATAGATATATTTCCCCCTAATAGTGAGGTAGCATCTCGGCTTTCATCACCCATCACATTTTGGGTGACTGCTTTAATTGGCTTTGCTCAAGAGCTTTTGTGAAGTCTCTGGATTCTCACTCATTTCAGGTTTTCGCTATCCACCTAAAAGTAGGGTGGGAACGTGACAAATGGTGAGGTTGAAAGCACCTGTGATTATCAAGGTGCACATATGAGTGTCTGGATCGACTGACGCTCCCTATTGCAATAAACACTATTTGCCACAGTATTGTGTAAAATGCCAAGCTCGAAAATGTGTTGACAATGCTTGGTTTAAGTTTTTCAGGGAGAAGGGACGTCAGTGCCTCGCATAGCTGTTTGGCTTTTTCTGTTCACTAGCAGAAGCATTGCAGCTGCGACATCAAATGCAGATACACTTACGGCTTACTGTGTAAACTGCCCTGGTTCCCCCTCCCACTTTTTTTTAACAAGCTGCCTTCTGACTAATCATCCCAAAATGTAATTTGGAACTAGATTTGGGTCAGAATGTTCAGTGGGAATTTGTACTAATGAGGCCCAGGGGCTATTATTCGTAATGCTTGCTGAGGCTTTTGACTATCTCTTTGCCACTTGTGCCTAATAAAATAGCATGAATTATTTAAAAACAGACACTGTTTTGTTAGAAACAGTCCCGGCGTCAATGAATTATTCATTTTCCTTTCACCCTTCTCCCAACAGGTATGTGACAGCTTAGATTTCACACAAGGTCTGCAAAATGCAGTGTTATTCCAACAATAGAATACTGTTGTATTCCACTGTTAGAATAATTCTACATTGCCATGCTGCAACGTAGAATCGTAGACTTTGCTGCAACATAGAATTGTAAGGTTGGAAGGAACCGCGAGGATCATTATTCCAACCTTCAATGCAGGAAACTTTTGTGCAATGTGGGGCTCAAACCCACCGCCATGAGATTGAGTCTCATGCCCTAATGGCTATCCCAGCTGACATGCTGTACCACTATCATTTAGGACTGGGAATTTCCATCTGTTCATGGGCCGAATGCAGTCTTTAGTTACCTACATGTGGTTTGAGGAACCAAACACATACGCTCATCATCCTCATCAAAGCCCTATCTGTGCATGCCCTCAGGGCTGGCTTAAGGCATTTTGCTACCTGAGGTAAAGGATAAGATGGTGGCCCCTCCACCATTCCATGTATACAAGCTGACCTGGGCTGCCATTTTGAGTCTTACCACAACATCAGTGATGAGACAGCATCCACCATGTTTGAAGGCAGTGTCGTAGACTGTGAAGAGGGCCCACCACTCTGCCTTCCACGCCCTATCCCTTAGCATCCACAATCCGAGGCAGACAACCCACTTTGGCTAAAGCTAGGACCGGGCTTGCCTGTCCGCACATTCTGCTGTGAGGCAAGTGATGACGAGAGAGAGGCCATTTTGTTTCTGGCATCCTGCCCATGGAGTGTGCTCCCCAGGAAAGTTCTATATACAGTAGATATACATGTCTCCTTGATGCTAGGCAAAAATCTTTAGGAAGGAGAAAAGCATGAGAGGGGGAAGAAAGAAAAACAGAAAAGGGAGGATGTGCTCAACAAGTGCATCGCTGCAAGAGAAGACAGGCTGTGGGTAGAAGCTTTTACTGCCTAACCTACCCTTCTTGCCAGGCCTCTCCCTTTCCCAGCACCACACAGGATCGAATCCTGCTGCTTACCAACTGGTTTCAAAGCTGTGTGCTTTGTGCTTCACAAATTGCTTCCTTATGTGCAGAGAAGATACTCACGAAGAATCAGCACTCTGCAGGATCAAGCCTGCCTCTTTGGTTTGGGGGGTTGGTAAAAGGACGTGCAGTGCCTCCTTCCCCTCCTCTGCTCTCAACCTTATGTTGAACATAAGGTTTCAAAAATCCTTAGCCCTAATCCTCATCCAGGTGGGGCAAATCAGGAGACCTGTGCACCTACCTAGTGAATATAATCTTACTCTCTTACACTTTTCCCGCTCAATCTTTCTGCAGCGTTGTCCAATCTCGAAAATGCTTGTTGTTTCCATAATTCAGCTTGAACCGTAATGTCAACTCAAGCATCAAGGTGCCACTTGCTCTGAGATTCCGTAATATTTGAATTGGTGTTAAAGCAAGCCATTGTCGAGCCAAGGATGCTAATGTGTTTGACAGCTCTTTGCAAAAAAACAACAGCTAAAAGAACGCCCCTTTACTAAGGCTGATAGGCAGAATGCACAGGCCCCAATGGATCCGCTGTGGGAAAACACTTGAGGAATACATAGCCTGAGGCAATAGCTTGGTAGACTTGAGTAAAAGTCCTTTTAAGGAAGTGTGAAAGATCCTGGCTATCTGGGTCAATCATGAGTCCTCTTGACATGCCTGAACTTTCAGGCTGTTTTTGAGCTCCCCGTTTCAAGTTCTTTTAAAATAGGCAGGACCAACAGGCATGAGAGAATGGAAAATGGGATGCTCTGTGAATTTGATCCCAGGGAATGAATATTATATACAACTTTTCAACCGATGGGTGTAGTGATTATGTTCCACTCCGAAAAGCTGTGGGTTTCTTACCAAAAGAGGGCATGAAAGAGACTTTGGCTGAAGTGGGATGATGGATATTAATACTCAAAGTCAGTGTAGATGTAGACAAAAGTATTGTTTTACCATTCAATGCCTTGTGAGCAGCGCTGGATGACTATGGACCACAGTCCTTATTTTCTCACAAGTTTGTGAGGAAAAAATTGAAGAGAAAAAACATGTATGCTGCCCTGAGCTTCTTAGAGGAGCATATAAATGTGACCTGTAGGGATGAGGGAGAAATTTCATTTGGTTCACATTTAAAGGTGAATCTATCAAATCCACACTTTCTGAAACTATGAGAACTGAAGCACAAACTTTGAAATGTGTATTCATGTGTGACCTGTTCCTTTTCTTCCCATACAAGAAGTACATGTCTTTGCAACTGCCACAGCGAACATGCAGCTCAGTGGTACAGCATCTGCTTTGCATGTGGGTCTCGGGTTCAATCTCTGAAGAACTAGGAAAGACTCTTGTCAGAAAATCTTGGAGAGCCACTGCCATTTAGAGTACTGAGGTAAATGGACTAGTGGTTCATCTCAGTATAGGCATATTCCTGTGCTTCTACATCATTAAGCAGGGCTTTGTCAGCCCAGTGAAAATGAATGCCTTTTGAATAAGCACACCCCCGCCATGCAAAATATTTGTAGCTTGGAAGTTCTAAAGATTAAAAAAAAAAAGCTTGAATATTTAAGCTTCAGGATAAGAGCTGACTAGCTAGTACAACTGTGCTAAATGACTTTGGAAAGCATACAATTCCACCCCTGCCTTCTGCCCCCATTCCTACAAGCTAAACTGAAAATAAGCCCTGGGCAAAGAAGACGACCCATCTCAGCTGTAGAAGTGAGGAATGATTTAGTGAGCCTTTGAGGGCAACATTCTGAAAGTGTCAACATTTATCAGACTTCAACTCCTGTGCTACATCTGGGCAAGAACTAAGGCTTTATAAAGGTCCTTCTGACCTTTTCCTTATTTAGCATTTTAGAAAAATTCTGTGGCCTTTGGGGCATCACCAAACAAAGCTATACAGACATATTTCCCCTTGATCTCCATGGTTCTTTTAATGCTGCTTTTGTTGTCCTAAGGAATGTAGAGTGGCATGCTGTTGTTGATGACATGCCCTTTGTAAATGTTATTTCGTGCTTGGTCCTGAAAAGAAATCTAACTTGGTTGCTAAAAGGCCCGTCATGATGGAGGTGTGTGATATAGATAAGGCCTGAGGGAATGTCAGTCAATTAAGGCCACATCTGCATCATATATTTAAAGCACTATTAACAGCCATGGCTTCCCACAAAGCATTCTGGGAGCTGTAATTTGTGAAGGGTGCTGAGAGTTGTTAGGAGACCCTTATTCCCCTCACAGAGCAACAATTCCCAGATTTCTCTGGGAGGAGGGATTGATTGCTAAACCCCTCTGGAAACTGTCACTCTGTGAAGGGAATAGCTGTGGAGGCTCCCAAAGAGTTCCTTGGAAACATTTTAATGCCAGGGGAAGGCTTCATAATATCAGATGAAGACACACACGCACACTTATGTGAGACAGGCACGGCATGTGAACTACAAGACTCTTCCAAATTAAACTGCAGGGGATTCATGGCCTATGGAAACAGATGATTTGCCGTTCTCGGGAGGTGGCTGCATGATTCAGGGGCCACTGATGGCACGCAACCAAATTGTGAGAATTAGTGAAAGTGTGGGCAGCTTCTCCTGATAGGCAAATCCAGTGCCAAGGTTATGACCTCTCAGTTAGCACAGGCCAAGTTCTCTTCTGGGACAGGGTTCTTAGGTTACCTCACAACTCTGCTCCTTCCAACACTGTTGGGCAACATGAGACGCTTAGGAGCATGCAAGTGAAGTAAAGACTAACACTGTGCCTTCTCTACTGAAGAGAAGGGGTAGTATGTAGAAGAGCTGCAGAGGTGGTTCCAAACTGTGGCCTTGCATTTCCACAGTAATCCAAGAAAGATGCAGGGCCAATAAGGTGAGGGTATCCAACAAGGTGCCTCCATTTGCTGCCGGGCTGCCCTTTTCATCAATACTGACCTTTTGCCATGTTGGCTGGGGCTGATGAGAGCTGTAGCTAAACAACTTCTGGAGGTTGTAAGATTGAGGAAGCCTGTCTTAAATCTTAATGCTTCAGATGAGAAGAGATTACGGATGAGGCTTGCATAAGAAGCTGCCTTCTACCATTGGCCATTCAAACTACAAGAAATGAGATCCCGACCAGACACCAGGAAGAACTTTCTGACAGAACTGTTTGACAGTGGAACAGAGGTGGTGGGTTCTCCTTCATGGGAGGTTTTTAAGCAGAGGTTATGTATGTTCTAGCTGAGATTCCTGCATTGCAAGAGGTTGGACCAGTAGATGACCCTTAGGATCCCTTCCAACTCTACTATTCTATGATTCTATGATAGGCAGTGGCTCTCCAGGGTTGCAGTGGGGGTCTCTCCCAACCCTACTAGAAGATGCTGGTGATTGACCCTAGGACCTTTCCCATGTTAAGCATGGGCTCAATCACTCAGCCCCAACCCTTGACCTTAAAGCCCTTTCCAAATAGCTATCTGAAAAGGTATTCAGTACGGAATAAGAGAAGGGTTGTTATAAACCAAGTGCCATTCTAATTACAGGATGGCATTGCAGAGAGGACTATCATTGGCTAGCTCAGGTTGCAATCATAAGAACATAGGAGAGCTTAGTAAAGGTAAAGGGACCCCTGACCATTAGGTCCAGTCGTGGCCGACTCTGGGGTTGCGGCACTCATCTCGCTTTATTGGCCGAGGGAGCCGGCGTATCCGGGTCATGTGGCCAGCATGACTAAGCCGCTTCTGGCGAACCAGAGCAACACACGGAAACGCTGTTTACCTTCCCGCCAGAGCGGTACCTATTTATCTACTTGCACTTTGACGTGCTTTCAAACTGCTAGGTTGGCAGGAGCAGGGACCGAACAACGGGAGCTCACCCCGTCGCAGGGATTCGAACCGCCAACCTTCTGATCGGCAAGTCCAAGGCTCTGTGGTTTAACCTACAGTGCCATGCGTGTCCCTAGGAGAGCTTAGGAGGAACATAATAAACTGCCTTATTATGAGTCAGACCATTGGTCCATCTGTGGGTCATTGTAATGTCTACACCAACTTGCAGTGACTCTTCAGAGTTTCAGGCAGAAGTTTCCCTCAGCTTTACCTGGAGAAACCAGAGATGACCTTTTGTGAAACCAGAGATGACCTTTTGTGTACAAGACAGATGCTCTATCACTAAGCTACAGTCCCCCCCCCCATAATTATGTACCCACTCATCTGCCATTGAACTTAATGGGGCCGACAGCTATAGAATTGCGCTGTTATTGTTTAATTAAATATATATATTTAGACTGTCGTGACTGGGGACTGGTGTATCTCAAGAAAAGTTCTCTCTCCTAGTGTACTTCTGGTGTCTTCAGGAAGGGCCCTTCTCTAGCTTCCATTTCCCAGATTCCACAGAGCATCTACAAAGCGTAGGAGCAGGGTCTTCTTTGGAGTGGCACCTTGCATGCTATTTTGTGACAATTTGGTCGACCTAATAAAGGTATTGCCCTAATGTGGCTTTGAATCCACCCAACCTGCCCTTATGAGCCAACGTATTTATCTTTTGAAGAAAATTAATGAGAAGGGAAAAAATGCATCCTACTTAGTTCTTTATTTAAATGACAGCAACAGAGGATGAATGAAGCTACGTGGTCACATTTCAGGTACTTAAATCTGACCACACAAACAAGAGGGAGTCAGGAAACAGACAGACACAGATTTGAAAGGTGCTCGTAGTCACCATAATGGCTCCATGTGTTGATTGTGAAGGACAAGGATACGTTTTCATTGCTTTGTAGCTAGCTTACATATTTGCATCATCCTAGGTCAATTTGAATTTGTAGGCAGATATAGGCAAGAGGTATTTTAGAGTATTGTTTTCTTTTTTTAAAAAACTGACACACAGACAAAGAGCAGGCATAGGACTGCTCCTATATAGTAGAATCTGCATTCTTTTTCCGAACGTAGATCCCTCACTCACTCCCAAGGGGTAGGAGGGAGTCTTTCAGTCTTGGTATGACTTCACCAGAAGCCACATGAGGAGAACCGTGATCAGTACAATCATGAAGTTGAGGAAGAGCTCTTGTGTGGACCGTTCCATGGCTACGAAGAGACGAGGGGAGATCTGAGGCCGTGGGGGGAAACGCCAAGGGCCACCTTTCGTTTCGCGTTGTCCTTGAGATCAACCTTGTCCTCTCCTAAAGAACAAGGAGAAAAGCCCAACAAAACAAGACGTGTGGAAATCGGAAAGCTGCTCCAACACTATTTATACCGCTGTAAGTAAATGTTATTTCAACTGCTAACCTTTAGAGCGAGTAAGAGATTTAAAAAAAAAAAGCAGGAGGTATCTCTAACAGTTTATCGCCTTCTTCAATTTCTGCTGTGAAACAGGCTCTATTCTCCATGTCACCAAATATATATATACACAAACACACACACACACACACACACTGGAATCCTGAGGATCTCATTTGGATTTGCGATCCTTTTTCTTAATAATGATAAATAACAATACCTTTATTTATGGTTTTGTCATTGGCAACCACACTTGGAGGGGAATGTAATGATTAAAATCCTAATATGTATTATTTTAAAAAGAAAAACCATGATTTCATTCCCTTGAGGGAATGGGATAGCTGGGGACGGTCAGATTTTACTAGGCTCCAGTTCTCGTCCTCTCCCTGGCCAATGGTCAGGGTGAAGGGAACATCTGGTTGCCCATTGTTTTTCATCTCTCAGTCATTTTTCTTAGCAAAGCGACTAACCCACATGGAGGTTAGTTGTCTTCTAAGACCATAAGTCTTCACAATGATTGGTACAAACCACAGTTCCCATCAGCTTTTCTACATTTTTGGCAATGCTTTGGTCCATACATCTTTGAAAAGTGCTATTCTTCTTCTGTACGTAGTTACAAAATGCTGAATTTTGCTTAAGAGGCTGCACTACCAGTTTCCAAAAAAAAAATTATAAGCAGCAAAGATTTCCATTTAGTTAACCGCAGCCAGTCTGGGTCTTCATGTTTTTATTTAATTTTTCAAGTTCTCTAGGTAAGTCATGGATAAAGAAATTTACCATCAATCCTGTGCCTTTTTTAGTGAAAGTAATGGTGCAAACCTATGCTTTTTTTATTCAAAAGTAAGTCCCACTGATTACATCCTTAATTCCACTGAGTATAAGCGGACTTAATACCAACCGTGTGTGTATAGAATTGAAAATTGAAAGCAATAATACCATCAAACATTACTTTGGTAGTGTTGGCATTATAAACTCATAATAATAATTTATACCCTGCCCATCTGGCTGAGTTTCATAAAACCTCATAGTATTATTTTTAAAATACATTAACAATAATAAACATTTAAATAGTGCATTTTTAAGAGTGCTTCATGTACATTTTCTCAGTAATTCTTACAAACAACCCTGTAAGGTATGTCACCATGCTGTTTTCTCTGTTTTGCAGATGAAAAGCTCAGGCTGAGAAATAGTGGCTTAAAGCTAAGGTTCACCGCTGAGCTGAGATTTAGTTCAGACTTGCAGCCCACAGCTTGTTTCTCAACCATTATGTTAAAACAGCCTTGTGCAATGTCAGATCAGCATAGAATCATCAAATCAAAGAATCGTAGAATTGTAGAGTTGGAAGGAACCTGAGGAATGCAAGAATCTCAGCATGTGCCACCCTGTCCAATTTGAAACCACACTTGACCTTGCCTATCTTCGTAAATAATATTGCAAACACTACATTGCCTTCAGTTCTATCAGCCCTTAGGTCAAATCTGCCATGACTATTGGGTTCAATCCTAATAAGCGGCTCTGATCAATTCATTTCTCATTGGTCTCAGTTCCTGGGGACAATAGCAATTTGTCTCACAAGTGTAGAAAGAGAATAAATGAGACAAATAATATAAAGCTGTTGGTGCCATAAAATTGTAGTCCCGCCCATAGAAAAGGAACAGGTGTACCCTGATAAAATAAATGCTAATGATTGCAGCCAGCAAGCATTATATAATATATCATATTTTTTTAATAAATAAATAAAAACTAGGGAAACTTCAATGTTACACACGGTTAGAACCAGGAAGGACTAATGAGACATTTTCTGCATAAACACAAGATGCTTTAAATGTCAGACTGTTCTCAAACTTTGGGTGTTTAAGTTTTCTATCATCTTTGAAGATAGAAGGAAGATCTATGCATATAAAACAGAACATCTCTTGGTCTACCTGAAGGGGATTGATGGAGCACAGAGCTTCAGCCTGTGGTACCCAGGGCTTCCTCAGCTTCTCTTCATCTCCCAGTGCAGTCTGGATTCCCAGTTCCTCAGCTGGGACTAAAGTAGCCAGAGGAAGGAGACCAGCAAGGGAATTGGCAACAAAAACAATGACGTCGCCAGCTGCATATTTAAGAGAGGTTGGGCTGATGAGCGGAATTTTGCTCAGGCTATTTATGCATGGAGCGAGAGAGGAGGGGTATGTATTGATTTACATATTACCTTTGGATTCTTTCCTGCGGTTGATTGTAAGAATGCCCAGGAATACTTAACAGGGGAGGGAACTTCTAGATTTTTTTAAAAGGCAATTCTGCTTCAAAGCCAAAGGATCATCCACAAAGAGAGAGGGGACCACAATTGCCAGGAATGTTCTGTGTTCTTCTTGATCAAGGCAAGACTTTACTCAGCCTTTTGAGTGGATTCCAGATTCTCCTTAGTTTACTCGATAAGCGCTGCCACCTGTTGCTGTCTTAAATCCTGATTATAGCAGCCTCTTTGACTTATCGTGTTCCTATATGTTTAACCAAAGATAGAACAGTGGGAGCAAAATAGCTCTTGTGTGCCAAGTCTTAAGTAACAAAGTACTGATGTCAAATGCAGAGAAAGGGGTTCAGATTTAAAGTATTCGGAACATGTGTGCCTTGATTGCTATGTGTATTATTTAGTGTATTAGTTAATAGTGTTTTGATGCTCTCTCCCCGACCACATGCTTGCTTGCTAGCTAGCTAGTTTATTTCTTTATATGTTTTTATAGTGTTGTTGGTGCCTAATGTTTTGAAGAGACCAAGAGGACTGGTCTCTAATGCCTGGAGCTTTTTTTAAAAAAAATGTATTTTTATTAAAGATTTTCTTGATTTACAAAAATATGTGCAATGTCTCTCTCTTGTACTTTTTCCATGTAACATTTTTACAAATCAGTTTCATTTGTTGAGACGTTAGGAAGAAAAGGGGGAAAGGGGTGGAGGGGTGGGGGGAAGATGGGTGGGGGTGGCGTCGGGTGGCGATGTTTCTATTTTACTTAATATATGTAGGGTTTGGTGTGCAGGTTTTCTGCTGTTCACTTGTGTTCCTTTGGTGGTGAGAGAGGTTGGGGTTGGCCTAGGGTGTGGTTGTTGATTTGTGGATGGCTGTGGTGGTCTTTGTTTTCATGTGTGAGTGGGGTGGGGTGTTTTGGTTCAGGTTAGCCATACTGATTTGAATTCTGTTGGTGGATTTTTGTCATTGTCTTGTTGGGCTGTGTATGTGATAAAGGGGAGCCATACCGGGGTGAAATGCCTGGAGCTTATGTTAGCCCATTTTATTTTGTTTCAGTGAGAAAACCCAGTTTGTGTTAAATGTGGGAAATGTTTTTTCACTTTTTAAAACGGAAGGTGCTTCCATACTTAACTTCACCTTGAAGCATAGAGAAGAATGACCAGCACAGGACCAGTTAGGACACCAACATGTACATAAATGCCGGGTCATAGAATCATAGAATTTTATAATTGGAAGGGACTCCGACGATCATTTCGTTCAACCCCTGGCAATGCAGGACTATGCAGCTGTCTCATACAGGGATGGATCCTGCAACCTTGGCGTTACCAGCACCACACTCAAACCATCTGAGCTATCCATAAAGCATGTCATGCATTGGTTAAATGGGCCAAAGTGTGACCGAGATAGGGCAATTGAAAAATCCTTAGACAGTATGATGGATGGTCTCCTAGCATGTCAGCCTGATGTAGCTGAGGAGTCGTCATGCGACATAAAGGCAGCAAAGAGATCCTAAAAGACAGCACATTCAGATTTCTAATCGCAAACTGAAAGCCCCACATTGTGTCAAGGGACAATTCACTCTTCCTTTGCCTCCATCTGTCGGGGGAGACAGGACCCAAGGCTATGCACATACACACACATCATCAGCTTGAAACACGGTGTGTTCCCACCTCTCCCCTGCGCAGCATTTTGAGTCACATCGCTGTACAGACCAGAGAGAGGGCAGCGGTTGTCTGAAATAAGCACACCTCAGCTTAAGTGCAGCTTTTTGTTTTCAAATCGGATGGAAGCTGGTTCGAGAGAAAGTGCATCATCGGGTGTATTTCTCAAGCAGCTGCAGGATACTGGATGGATTGTGGCTGGCGTCTTGTGTACTTGGCTTCAAACACCAGCGGTGGGAGTGCGCTAGAGCTGGTCATGTGTACACACAGCTCGAGAGGCTTTCTCAGCCTGGAGAGGAAGAGCCATGTTCAGGGAAGGAGTTGGGGGTCATGAGAGGGAGCTGAGGGGAATTGAAATAGCAGAGGGTGCGGGCATGCTATGGAGAGAGGAGGCAAGTCGATTAAACAAGAAGGTGATTGAGGAAGTCAACAAAGTAGGCTTTGATCTCAGTCCATTTGAAATGCAATGACCACATTCAGATTCCTCCAACATACCCCATGGATGTCTGCATAGAAGTGAGTTTTGCCGAGTCTCCAACATAAAATGGCAGCCTTCATGTTGGGCAGGTGCAACAGCCCATCACTGGTGCCTGCATCTGCTTTCTTTGATTCCACCTTATATACTTCTCTCAGATAAGGCTATCACTGGCTCCTAGCCATGATGGCTAGATACTACTACCCCCAGTGTCAGAGGCGTTACATCTCTGAGTATTAGGTGTTGGGAAGCACGAACAGGAGAAGGCTGTTGTACTCATGTCCTACCTGTAGATTTGCCCCGGGCATCTGATTGACAACTGTGAGAACTAGATACTGAACTAAAGGGGCCTTTGGTCTGATCCTACATTATTCTACCCTTTGTGGATCTTTGCTTCCCATTTCTAAACAAATCCATATCCTTTAACCTTTAAAAAAAAAAAAAAAAGCCCGTCCCAAGTTCCTTCTTCATCCCTTACATATTCAGACATGAGGCCCTGGTCTATATTTAACGTCCCCGTGTTTGTGACAAATTCCTCTTCAGTAATGCACCAAGCAGCATGTAGTCCTCCCATATAACTTTACATAACGGGACTGCAATTTCTCATAATGCTGTTCCGCAGAGGAGACTCAATCCAAGATGGCTGATTTCAAAAAGCTTAAGGAACTGCTGGGTCAGAAATACTCCCATGGTCAGAAATGCTCCAAGAGAAGGGAGTAACTCCTTCTCAAAGTTGGGAAAACACCGCGGGGCCACTAGGGGCGCATCGGAAGATGGCTGACAATAACATCTCTCCGACCCACAGGAGGTAATTAGGAGGCTGTGATGGGAGTAAATAGCCTCCCTACCCCCCCAGGATTGTGGGGGGGGGGGCTGCCCTTGCCTGCTGTGCCCTATACCACCCCCGAATTTGTGGGGATGGGGGCACTAGGCAGAATGCCCTCCTGTGGATTTCGGCGCTCCTGGACGCTGCCTTTGATCCGCACCTCTAGCTGCAAGAACTTCAAAAGGAACAATTAGGAAGAAGCGAATGCACATATTTCAAGGAAGGAGGGGGAGTAAAGACTGCTAACGGAAGAGATCTCTGATAAACAAGACGAGTCGGAGGAACAAGAATCAATCATGAGAAGATATGCCAAGACTCGGTATGGCAAAGGGACTGGATGGAGAAGGGGGGAAAAACTTTCCTTTCTTTCCTCTATGTGATTAATCAAGAATCCCCCCCCCCCTCACAAGTCAGAAATGCTGTTTTAATGACTTAAGCTGTGGATTTACGACTGTGTGGAGATGAATTTTCTAACCAAAGCATGTTTTAAGAAGAGCGTGGTAAAGTTTAAGAGCTTTGGAATGACGCAGTTAAAAATACCGTCACCATGTTGGCAAGCTCTGTCGGAGGACTTGAGTCTGTGAGGAGGAAAAGAGAGGTTTTTATACTGTGAGTAAGACTCCTCAGTGGGACTTAAGAACGACAGATCCTGAGATTAATGATGGAAAGAGCGATGTTATTTATGAAAGTGATGATATATGGAAACCATCTCGATATGAGGATTGGACGAACGGAAAAATCCACACAGGATATAATTGGTGTTTATCTGCTTAAGGAGATTATCAGAAGAGATCATAAAGAAAAAAAGAAAAAATATACGAACAAGATGAGATGTGGAAACAGTAAGAGCTGTTCGACAGTGGAATTTGCTGCCAAGGAGTGTGGTGGAGTCTCCTTCTTTGGAGGTCTTTAAGCAGAGGCTTGACAACCATATGTCAGGAGTGCTCTGATGGTTTTTCCTGCTTGGCAGGGGGTTGGACTCGATGGCCCTTGTGGTCTCTTCCAACTCTATGATTCTATGATTCTATGATTCTATAAGACTGGATAGAATTATGAACTTTATTTGGACTGATTTGGATATTAACGCAGTAGCAAGAAGATGATCAGAATCCCCCTTCGGATCTTGAAATATGGGTCCCCTCAACAAAAATTTAAAATTTGGCTTTGTAATTCGGAATTTATGTGATGTGATTTGATTTGATTGGTCGGTTAATAAAAATTATTTAAAAAAAGAAACAAAGTTGGGAAAACACCAACTAGGATTTGGAAAGGAGGCGTGAGGACTCTAGGACCCTGCCAGAGACTTGCACCTTCTTCAGCAAACCCCACCTTGGGTTGGACGTTGGACCACCCCAGACTAGATGATCCTCAGCATCCCTTCCAATTCTATGATTGTGTGATTCTATTGTTCCGCTTTTGTTATCTTCTTTGGTGATGCATAGTTGGAAGAGCTTTGGGATAAGAGCAAAGATGACTCCAGCAGTTAAATTTATTGAGGCAAAAGTGAGCACATGCATACTCCAAGTAGCAACGAAGGACGAACAAATCTGTCTGTTTTGGTTTCTCACAGTAGTTCAACTTTCAGATCTTTATTTCAGTTCTCTACATTTCTGTATCAGTTTACTTTTTAAAGATAAAGAGAAAAAGAAAGCCATCACAAAAATTCATCGGCATTTTAGTGTGCACTTCTGATATTGATGATGAAAAATTATATCCTGTCCTTTCTCCCAAAGGAGCACAAGGTGGCATTTTTGCCCAATATATCATCATCATCATCACCATCATCATTAAATTTATTATCCACCCTTCACTAAGTCCCATGGCAGGTTACAGCCATTCAGCACTTAAAAAAACAGTTACAACAGATTGCAATCACAGGAATAGGGTGTGCCCTGAAAACACACATCTCAGATGTCAAAGGCCAGGGAAAAGAAGTGTCTTCAGCATTCATCAAAAGCTACATAACAGCGAAGAATTCAGAAGCACCTCTGTTGGGGAGGAAATTCCACAGCTTGGCAGCATATACACATCTTTCCCAATATGCGTTTTTGTATGTTATTTTCACTTACACACGGACTTCTATGCACACTTTCCCCTAATGCATGCATTTTTTGTACACATTTTTCCTTTGGAGATGTGCATTGCAAAATTTGGAGAAGTGCAAATTTCAAAGAGCTGTGTTTCAGTTTTCATATTGTTTCAGGGACCGTGACTTAGGCAGGTCTGCGTTTTAAGCTGGATTTCTCCCCAGGCCTAGTAGCAACACCAGTGAAGTGATTCGCCTGTGAGGTGCAACCTCTGTGGTATTTTCTGGCACACTTCAGCAGACCGCTTCCTATTTAACAGGAATGGGAAAGGCATGCACACTGCTTGATCCTCGGGGAGAAGGAGCTGACTCAGCTGCCTTGAGGGAAATCAAGCTCATGGATAGCATTTACAAGGTTAAACACTGGAGGAAGCAAAGGCCTAATATTAACAGACATCTTAGTCAACAAACATCAGCTGGTTTAAGGAGTAGCAATGAACTTTTCTCCCATTGGGTGAGTCAGCACCCTCCCTCCTTCATAATTTATTAAGATATTTGCAGTGTAATTGACAGGGACATATGCCAGCAATTCAAATTGTGACTCAGTTCTCAGTCTTGCACCACTCCCACCCCTCTTGCGCTAAGTGGCCTGTTTATTTTTATAAAACAAAATTATAAAGCACCCAATGTACATATATTGAATTAAACATTCACATGTTGTTGCATATATATTTTAAGGCATGAATTTTCAAACGTTGCAGGGGGTGATGAGGGACTAGAAGTCGACCTGTGATGACACAAGTGCTAGCCAATCACCCCTCTGCACAACTAGCTTCTGGTGCTGACATTCCTGTTTACCCAGCCATTCGATGACTGAAATATACTGGCCATGGCAACTGTAAAACTAAGAACTGTGAGGGTATGTGATTGGGGGTTTTAAAAATGTTTTTATATGTTCTATGTGCTTTTGGGAGGCATTTTATTGATTTTGCTTTTTTAAAAAAATAGATTTTTATTTGGTTAAATTGAACTCTTTTAACATTCTGGTGTTTGCTGCCTTCGGCTCCTTTGAGAGGTAGGATTCCATGGTGGAAATGAGAGTTTGGCAACCCTTCCTTCCAAAGTGAGGAAAGCCTGGCAGCACAGCTTACTCTATGGTCTTAACTATAGAATTCTCAATTTGGAATATAAAGGGGTGAGACAATCTATTCTGGCATAAATCAGCATGTAGGTTATATGGGGCTGATTTATCCCAGAATAGATTGTCTCACCCCTTTATATTCCAGATCGAGAACTGCAAGAGGGGGTCTGCAAGAGAGGGTCTTATACAGATACCATCTTATCAGGAGGTCTGTTCCATATGAAATAGGATTCAGGCCTTTAGCATGGGGACATCTTCACTTTGAAACTCCCTCCCATTACACATCAGACAGGCACCATCTCTCGTGATGTTCTGGCACCTGTTGAAGACCTTCCATTTTCTACAAACCTTTTAAGTGGCACAAGACATTTTGGCACCTGAGGTGAATCTCAAAATGTTATGCCCCCCCCCCCCCACACACACACCAGCAAAGAAGGAGTGAGTAAAAATCTACATCAGGAACAATGAGGGAATAAAGATCTACAAGGGTGAGAGGAGACCACCAGCACATCCTATTCACCAAGAGGCCACTGTAGAGGTGGTATTGGGGGCTGCCAAGGAGGTAGCAGATTTGGGCCATGTAGACCTACCTGAAGCATCTAGTAGTGCCTGATGCAAGGTATCTGCCACGAGAGTATTCCCAAAGGTGGCTGTGCAGCTCCTGTCTGAAGGCCTCCAGTGTAGAAGAGCCTTCCGTCCCTATAGGTCATTGGCCCCACCGTGTAAATACTCTTACTGTCATTCATTTGATAAAAAATAAAGTCCATCTAGAAGTACTTGTTCCTGGTAAGCCCCACAGGAAGATTCACCAAACCTGCTTATATTTTGCCTGCTTCCCTGAATGTGTTGATTGTTCCTAAGGCTGCAACATTTAGTCAATACAGTGGTACCTCGAGTTAAGTACTTAATTTGTTCTGGAGGTCCATTCTTAACCTGAAACTGTTCTTAACCTGAGGTACCACTTTAGCTAATGGGGCCTCCTGCTGCTGCCGCGCCGCCTCTGCATGATTTCTGTTCTCATCCTGAAGCAAAGTTCTTAACCCAAGGTAATATTTCTGGGTTAGCGGAGTCTGTAACCTGAAGCGTCTGTAACCTGAAGCATCTGTAACCTGAGGTACCACTGTATATTGGTTGGATCAATTAATTGCAAACAATGTGGTTGACTAAGACGTCCCCTGATTCATTGGGTATCTGGTTTTTAATTTTTGGAAAACTTCTTATTTTTATTATGAGCACTTATTACAAGCAGACACCATCTTAAAAAGAAGTATTCCTTCCTGTATGTGGGAGAAAGGGGGTGGGGGTGGGGAAACCTGCAGGCGAGACCCTAATTATTACAGAGGCACAGATGCAATTTCTAGAAGCTTATCTTCACAAATTATTGTGCAAGCCACTTCATGAGCCTGTGCCAGAAGTGAAATGTGAGAATTAAGTGAAATCCAGAGCAGATGAGAAGATGAGCTGTGAGCCTGGAAATCCTTAGCTGCAAACTCATTAGGGCTTTACATGCAACCTCCCTTCATATGTTACTTAACAAGTAAGAAGAGGAACAGGATTACATCCCTGACCCTGCCCTACAAGTTTGGTGGTTAGGCATTGGAATATTGCTGGAGAAGAGAAGAGGAGAGGTAGCGCCATCACCTCCCCCACACATTGAAGGGTATTCCATTAGAGGATTCCGGTGTGTGTGGCCCTGTCCGAAGCCTGGGGAGGCTAGGGCCTAAGGCATGACCCCTATCAGTGGCCCAGGGAGAGCTCCTAGTTGATGTGCCTCAGCAAGACTCCCCCTACTGGTGGTTAACCCTTCCCGGACTCCATGCAGATGGGCGGGAGTCAGATATAGTCGTGTGGTTAGGTCCAATGCCTAAGCCAATACCGCTCACAATCTGTAACCAATAAAGTTGTGGCCTTTTTTAGCCCATTAACCTAAAATATTGTTGTCAAGTGTCCTTTATTCAACCTCGTGGGGGGGGGGGTCCAGACTTTGCCACACAATGCATACTTCACAGACAACAAGCTTTCACCTGAGAAGAGGAGCAGGATTGCACCCCTAGCCTCACCCTAACATCCACCCCCTCTGGCAAGCCTGCACACAGTGTTCATTAAACAGAGCTGTTCAGGATATTGGCCTGTTTATTTTCCAGAGCATTTTAATTTGTAATAGCGTTCAGCTTTCTTCTTTCTTTCTTTTTTTGTCTCCTTGACTGCTGTTATGCTTTCTGGGCCCCACACACACCTCTCACAGAATTGTTGATAATGTTTCGGGCATTTGGGATAGACGCACGAAGCTGCCATCTTTGTCCTCCGAGACAAGGGAGCTTGCAGTTTCAAACTAGCATCTTGATGATGCTAACGGGACGGTGATCTTGCATTACACAGTGTATACATATCTTTAATCTACAGTGGACATTTTCCTAATCTGATTCCCTGTTGGGCACAGGACAGGGAGATGCCAAGAGCATCTCTGCCAAATGTCGCAGCTGTGTTTCTCACTTCTCCACTACTGCGCGTCGATCGCCGGATCGTGTTGCCACAGTCGAAATGAGAGGCCTATGAGCAGATGGCATATTTTCTTGTATACATGAGCCATATAGTCAAGCATACCCCGGTTGCTAGGCAACTGCAGGCCACACTGGAAATAGTGACAGCAGCAAAGTCAGAGGGTAAGAGGAGGCAAACTGAACCTCCTTATTGCAGAGAAGAAACTAAGATTCAGAGCACAGCTCTGGGTGACAGTTCCCCAGCCATTTCTTCTCTGCATCATTGTATTATTCTGTTTGAGTCACTCGGTTGAATGGCTTCCACTCATTCACCAATGCCATGAGAGCCTGTGCGGTGCAATGGTTAGAGTGTTGGGCTATGACCTGGGAGACCAGGGTTTGAATCCTCACTGAGCCATGAAGCTCACTGGGTGACCTTGGGCCAGTCACCATCTCGCAGCCTAACCTACCTCACAGGGTTGTTGTGAGGATGAGATGGGGAGGAGGAGAATCATTCACAACAGCTTGAGCACTTTGGAAGATAAAAGGTGGGGGTAAAAATTAAGGTTACCAGATTTTTTTCAACTTAAAAGGATTTTGTATGGGGACTGATTTCTAAATCCGGGGATGCCCCTGGGAACAGAGACGTCTGGTAACCTCAGTATAAATGTAATAGATGCTGCTGCTGCTGATGTCTGCCACATAGGGTATCTAAGGGCCAAACTATACATTTATCAGGAGACCCCAGCACATTTCGATTAACAGTAAAGATAAAGGGACCCCTGACCATTAGGTCCAGTCGTGGCCCACTCTGGAGTTGCAGCGCTCATCTCACTTTACTGGCCGAGGGAGCCGGCATACAGCTTCTGGGTCATGTGGCCAGCATGACTAAGCCGCTTCTGATGAACCAGAGCAGTGCACGGAAACGCCGTTTACCTTCCCGCCGGAGTGGTACCTATTTATCTACTTGCACTTTGACGTGCTTTTGAACTGCTAGGTTGGCAGGAGCAGGGACTGAGCAACGGAAGCTCACCCCGTTGTGGGGATTCGAACCGCCGACCTTCTGATCAGCAAGTCCTAGGCTCTGTGGTTTAACCCACAGCGCCACCCGCGTCCCTTCGATTAACAGTAGAGAACAGGTAAAATGCCCCTCACTTCACTAGAGCTTGCTACAGTGACCTTCCTCTTCACAGCAACTTGTGTTTCTTGCTATTATGGATGCTGTCCTTGACTTAATATTTTGCACCCAAAAAACTAGGGGCAGAATGCAAGCAGCTGCTACATACATTCACTGGATTCATACATGATCTGTGGTTTTTGAGGGTTTTTAAAATGCTCTTGTCCCCATTTTGAACAGCAGGCCCCTGTGCCATATCACAAATTGCAACTGAAAGCCCTTTCATTTTCGAAAAGTTGTTTCCATGTGGCATGGACAGCTGCTATTTTCAGAACTCAAGTCCCAAGTCCCTTTAGGTATGCAGAATTTGGCTTTGCTGCTGTTGCTTTTGGAACTCTTGCCTAGATTAATTTTGGGGAAACCTAGCCAGATGGGTGGGGTAGAAATAATAAATTATTATTATTATTATTATTATTATTATTAGCATAAATTAGTAGGTGCTGCCCTTGGTTCTGAAAATAAACTGCTATTCAGAAGTTGAGTATTTCTGGAGTGGAACTTAACTCTCTCTGGCTCTTTTAGTGGCAAACCTGTCAATGCAACTAAACTGTGCAGAACCAAAGCAGACTCTCTCCCCCAATGCAAGGATACTGAACAGGAACTTGACAATGGGACAGCAGAGCTATTTAATCCATGTGTAAGTGCTAGAGAGTCGATTCCAGATGTCTGGTTCAAAAATATAATTGCATCACCGCATGAATGGCTTTGCTGGGCTTGCCTCTTTCCACACAGGAGGAACTCAATCACACTGAAACCCACAGGGCTCCTCCGATGGTGAGCAATTACTGCTTTTTCATACACCAAAAGGAAACCTTTCTATGTGCAAAAGTGACATGGTCTTGTATTCATCTGAACGTGCTTTGAACCCTCCTTCAGATCTTCCCACCCAGTGCAGGAAGGCTGGGGAGTCAAGCAGTTTGGGATGGGAATGTTTGCAAGCCAATGTTATGTTTGCATGTGTTCAGAGAATGCATGAATAGGACTTTATTTTGAGTTTTATGGAACGCTACCTAATGAAATCCAGCTAGCACCAGCTGTAATGAGTTTTAAAAGGTAAAGGGACCCCTGACCATTAGGTCCAGTCGTGACCGACTCTGGGGTTGCGCGCTCATCTCGCTCTATAGGCTGAGGGAGCCGGCGTTTGTCCGCAGACAGGTTCCAGGTCATGTGGCCAGCATGACTAAGCCGCTTCTGGCGAACCAGAGTAGCGCACAGAAATGCCTTTACCTTCTCGCCGGACCGGTACCTATTTATCTACTTGCACTTTGACGTGCTTTCGAACTTCTAGGTTGGCAGGAGCAGGGACCGAACAACAGGAGCTCACCCCATCGTGGGGTTCGAACCGCCGACCTTCTGATCGGCAAGTCCTAGGCTCTGTGGTTTAACCCACAGCGCCACCCGTGTCCCTGTAATGAGTTTTAGGCACCCACTTAAGACTTGGCTATTTCCAAAAGGCTTCCTATGAAAACAATTCCCTGTTTTAACAACCTTCTTGTCAGGTGTACTTCTGGTCCTTTAATCTAGTTTGCTCTGATTTTCATTCATGTGGTGATAGTTTTAACTGGGATCTTGTAGACCACAAGAGTTTGTGGTATAGAAATGAATAAAAAATAGTAACAGTGGGATTGTAGCAAGTGGGCAAATACCCCCATTTCCCGTTAAAGTGTAGACATAGCAAACCCCAGCCACCCACGCCGTTGTGTAATCAATAGTTCATATGATCAGTCTCGTATCTCAGCTCCCATCAGAGTGACTAGGTAGAATGTAAGTGAACACTCTTACAAATTGTTCAGAACTCTTCCTCAGGCTTTACATTAAGTACATAAAATGTAACAAAATCATAGATGCCTTGCCCTTGCTTAGACGGAAAGTCCAGACACAAGCTTGAGTGCCTCTCGTTCAGCATCAAAATAACACAAGAATAGCCTTGTTGCATCAGAACCAAAGTCCCTGTCTAGGCCAGAATTAGTGTTTCCAGCTGTAATAATATGACATCAATGCTGTAAGAAGCAGGCCCCAAATGGTGACACAATTAATTTCCCTCATTATCAGCATTCATGCAGCTTCTACCTGAGGGATGTTCCCCCTCAAGCAGCATCAAGCAGATGAAAGTCCACCTTCCCAAAGCAGCTGTCCCCACCATAGTGGAAAATAAAAGTCATGGAGCAAGTTGGGCAGTGTATGCAGCAGACATTCAAAGCATGCTTTGCCCCCAAAGGATCATGGGAACTGTAGTTTGCTCCTCACAGAGTTACATCTCCCAGAACCCTTAACAAACTGCAGTTTCCAGGATGCTCTGAGGTGGGAAATGTGCTTAAATGTCCAGTGTATACAGAGGGAGGGAGGGAAAAAGAAGCGATACCCTGACGATAAGGCGGCAGAATCTCTAGGAAAGCTGACAAGACTGGCGTCAGGAGTTGGCGCTGCCAGGCTCAGCCAAGCCTCGCACCCCTGCAGGTGTCTCACCGTTGATGTGCAGAGCTTCCTGGCCCAGCTGCTCTGGCTGTTCACTTGCCCTCTCCAACCACGCAGTTATTTAATGACAAGCTTGAGCAGATGGAGCGCCATTTGTCCTTGCACAATCACTGGGGTCGCTTGTGTGGACTGGGACCAGAAGAAGAGAGCAAACAAATCAGCTGAGGTGACGGCTGTGAGGAGGCAGGGGCGTAGGAAGGGGGGGCGGTCTGCCCCAGTTGCCATCATGGAGGGGGGTGACAAATTATCAAGGAACAATTACTGCCTTACTAGGGCGGTTCATAAAAACCTTTTTTTTTAAAAAAAAATGCCTGCTCCAAAGGTCTTATCTTACTACACTAGGGATTATATAGCTATACAGTGGTACCTCGGTTTAAGTACTTAATTCATTCCAGAGGTCTGTACTTAACCTGAAACTGTTCTTAATCTGAAGCACCACTTTAGCTAATGGGGCCTCCTGCTGCTGCCGCGCCGCCGGAGCATGATTTCTGTTCTCATCCTGAAGCAAAGTTCTTAACCTGAAGCACTATTTCTGGGTTAGTGGAGTCTGTAACCTGAAGCGTATGTAACCTGAAGCATATGTAACCCGAGGTACCATTGTATATGAAATTTCAGACCCCAACGTCTTGCCCCCGGTCCCGACGTCTTCCACCAGGACTTCGACCGCCCGTAAACCAGACCGTGACAATAAGTCCCACTGATCATGGTGAGACTAGATTGCTGCTGCGCAGTCCTGTTTTTTAAATAAATGTTTTCCTTTTCGGATAGTACAGAGCATGGTGAAATCACAGTAAATAAAACCTCCCGTTTAGTAGTTTCAAGCACTACTACAGGTTCCACATATACTGCATTTACTGTGACAGCACCTACACTTTGCTAGACTCTTTTCAAGCACCTGCTAAAAGCATTCTTCTTTAGGCAAGCATATCTAGATGCTTAGGAAGTTGAAGTAATTTTTATCTTAATATTTTAGCTTTTGTGTGTTTTAAAGTAGGATTGTTAATTTTTCTTGATTTTACTGCTGCGGTGTTTTGTTTTGTTTGGTAAACCACTTCTCGGGGTTTTTTAAAATAAATTTTATTAAATAAATAAACAATAAATATGAATAAAATGACACAAGCCAAAACACAATCCATCCTGTAGATTTATGATTCTGTCCACAGTCGCCTACTTGTTATCAGAGGCCCAGAATCCACATACCTTTGTAAGAAAATATGAAATAACGTAAAACCGTTTTTGCAGGCAAAAAAAAAAAATCAATGTGTGTGGGGGGGTGGCAATACATTTTCCTCACTGGGTACCACCTGACCTTCCTACGCCTCTGTGAGGAGGTGCACTCAAGCCCAAGTGCCTACCCCCCTCCGGCAAAACTGGAGCTGACACCATATAGGCGCCAAGGCACTTTGGGGTCCCCCCCCAATGTTCAGAGGGTGGAGGAGGCTGCATGCAGACCGGGCACAGCGCAGCTTCGGTGGCCGGCAGCTCCTCCTTCTTCTGACACATGGAGGAGGGACAGGGGAAGCAGCCCCCAGTCGGTGGCGCAGTGCAAGGACGAGGACAATACTGGAGTCAAGCATGGCATGGCTCTGTGGTTGGTGGCTCCTCCTCTTCCTCCTCCTCCTCCTGCTGCCACTGGCCAAGGGTGACTTCCCCCGTCTTCCCAGGGGGAGGAAGATGGGGGCCGCCAACTGCTAAGCCTGTGCTGCCACTGCATTTGGCTCTGCCCCTGGCTCCTCGCAACGTCACGCATGTGACATCAAAACAACGTGCCACATTGTGCTTGTGATGTCAGAATGTTGCGTCGGGCCTCCACTATCTTTCCCAGAAGCTGATGCCTCTTGCTGACACTCTGAGCTGTGATAGTAACAGAGAAACTGAGCAACAGCATCAATCTTCTTTATTTGCAGTGCTGGAATTGTCTGCGTTGCTTGCAGAGACATAATGTTCGTGCTGCGTTGATTGCAGACCCATAATGATCTACTACTCTTCCAATAGTGACATAGGGAGAAATTAATCCTGAGCCAGTGTCAGTAAAGCTGGGCATAGTGTAAGAAAGGACAACCAACATGATGAAGGGATCCAAGTAACTTTTCGCTGGAACAAAGGCTAAAGTGTTGGGGGCTTTCTAATTTAGGAATAGAAGGCAAATAAGGGCCAAGCCATATGTTAAGTGGCAGAGCTGTGGTTGTATCTCCTGATATATTTATTATCACTTAAAAGCAACCCTAGGGATGTGAGAGCTAATTGGGTCAGAGCAGTAGTGCTGGGGGCTGTCGTGCTTCTCTCCAAACCCGCTTTCTGATCTAAATGTCCTCACCTCCAAAGTTTCTGATAGCCCTGCTGGAATAATCAGCTTGCTGACAATTGTTTCCCCAGCATCACAAAAAGGGCGTGGGTTGGATCCAGGTCAGCAGCACCATCTTAGCCATGTCTACTCAGAAACACTGTAAGTACTGTTAAATTCAATGGGGCTAACTCCCAGGTGAGTGGGATTAGGACTGCAACCTAAATTAGTTTGACTTGGTACACTTTGAAATCAATAGGATTTAAGCAATGACTGACTTATCCTGTTGATTTACTTGGGACTCAACTTCAGCTAACTTAGTCTGGATGCAACCTCTTGGCTCGTTGATGCTACATCCACAAACGTTTTCTGCTCTTTTCTACGGACATATATGGCCACCCTCAAACCAGTTATTGGTTCAGATAACTGAGATGGTGGTATCTTGCTGAGGTTTTCAAAAGTTTGAGAAATCTGCAACTCTCCAGAAAAGAACTGGGAAGTTAAAGAAATAGCCAACTGTTTGTTCCCATTTCATCACATATCCCCTCCTGAAGACACTGAGCAGTGGCCATTGCGGTTTCCTTGTATGGATCTGCAGTGTTACTTGTACTTTGCATCATCAGCACAAATCCGACAGGGGTTTAGAAAGTGACAACAAACCAAATCTGGGAAGGAAAGAATGATAAGAGGCACTTTGGTCTTAAGACAGAACAGAGACGATTCTGAACAGAGAGGCAATGTTTACAGGAACTATTTTAACTTGACCTACTTATATTTTCTCGCTCTAAGAATAGAGCATTCCAGGCTTCTTGCCATGTTCCAGGATTTCCAACAGTTTAAGAGAGCAAAATCCCATGCACTTTCCAAGGTGGAGGGGAACAGTGGTGCTATTTACAGGGATCTGTGAGTGAATCTCCCTTTCTCCTGTTTTGGGTTTCAGATCTTGGCACGGAAAAATAATTAATTAAAAGTGGTATCTGCTGTCTAGAAACAGACTGACAAAAGCCCCAGTGTGGGAGCCGCTTTCCCGCCCGGTGCAATTCCCAAGCAGCTCCATGCCGCATGGGAACTGTGCCGCTGCGTAGGCAAGGTTAACCGTGCGGCACTTTTCCATCCACCATTAGACCAGGTGCTGATCCAATGCTAAAGAACCGCACAGGTTGACTCCAGCCATTCAAACACATCGTTCACACAAGTAGCATCATAGGATCGCAACTATTAGGTGTCAAGTACCATCTATACATCATTTTCATATAATTTTCCCTCAGGTTGTAACAGGCTGTAAACTTTATATCATTATTCCACAATCGTTCCCACACCTCTGTCTCGATATTATGACCAATATCCATTGCCAGCACAATTGTGTCTGCCACAATAATGCATTTAAGCATTCCCAGTAAATTAAATCACTGTGCTTAACAGTTCTCGCAGGTGGAATGGCTATATCACAATACACCTTCGCATGTTTGTGCATGAAAGCTGCTGCATCACGGCTTCTCCCTGCACTAAAGGTAAAGGTACAGGGACCCCTGACCATTAGGTCCAGTCGTGGCCGACTCTGGGGTGGCGGCGCTCATCTCGCTTTATTGGCCGAGGGAGCCTGCGTACAGCTTCCGGGTCATGTGGCCAGCATGACTAAGCCGCTTCTGGCAAACCAGAGCAGCGCATGGAAACGCCGTTTACCTTCCTGCTGGAGCGGTACCTATTTATCTACTTGCACTTTGACATGCTTTCGAACTGCTAGGTGGGCAGGAGCAGGGACCGAGCAACGGGAGCTCACCCCGTCACGGGGATTCGAACTGCTGACCTTCTGATCAGCAAGTCCTAGGCTCTGTGGTTTAACCCACAGCGCCACCCGCATCCCTTCTCCCTGCACTACTTTGGATCACATCAGAAGACCCAGCCAAAGGAGAAAGTCCTGTGCTATGGCGTTTCCCCCTCACCAGTGCCAGTCCTTCTGGGATGGGGAGGAGCTTCTGGGTGGGCTTCTCCCACAAGACCTGGGACTTCTTGTCAGTAATTCATTCTCTCATTGCTGGATCATGTGATCCTTATTTACATTCCATACTGCTGGAGTTGGGGAACAGAAACTCAGACAAGAGAACTTCCGTTCTTTGTGCTTTTGTTTTCCTGCTCTTTGTTCTGTGCTCTCGGCAAGAGAAGACGTATGTGAGACACTGCTCACACCAGCCATGTTTTGTTGTTTTGATTTGCTGCAGATTAATAAATTTCGTGATGCCACATGCCTACACAGCCTCGCTTCCTGCATATCTCTGCTAAGCGTGCACACAGCTCCACTGGATGTATGTCGCAGTTCTCCTGTGTACAGGGCATTGTACGCACACTTCTGGCAGTGCACAGGCAAGTGCAGCCACCTGGCAGATGCTCCCAACTTGAAATGGTAACATGAGAAGGAGTCCATGTTTTCCATGGCTGCTTCCCCTGACATACATATCACCTTTAGGATTATTTTGGTTCTTTGGCTTCAAATGATCAAGTGTTGTCTTGTGACACTCAGCAGCCTTGTTCTGCCTTTCAGCAAGGAGTAAAAAGCAGACTCTGACTCTGCTAAGCATTGCTACATTCATCAACAAGAGCCTGGGGATGCCACCAGCCCATGCCACAGAGGTCAATCACAGAGGGACAGAAGGGCTACATCACATCCAGGCCAGGTTTGCTTTTGCCATGAGTCTGGTGGCCGTGAGTCTGACTTTACAGAGGACAATCTTCTAGTTCAGGGTGTCCCAAACTTGGGTCTCCACCTGTTTTGGGACTACAATCCCCATCATCCCTGACCACTGGTCCTGCTAGCTAGGGATGATGGGAGTTGTAGTCCAACAACAGCTGGAGGGCCAAGTTTGAGAAACCCTATTCTAGTGGAAGCTCTAGTTGGAGGTGTTTTCTATCCAAAGGTCTGTTGGGTTAGACTTGTTTAAACCATAATAACGGGGAGCTGGGGTCTTGAGGTTGCCCATCAACACTGAAAACCTGGACATCAGATTGAGTGAGGCACTCAGATCACCTACCTGGTCACACTATTCCTCACTATGTCCTTGGTTTCTGTTTAAATTACAGCCATTATTTCTAGGCAGATTGTATGCAGATCTCTGTCCTCCTTTACTCTCTTGATAGTGACAGGTTTCCTCTTTTTTTTGGCAAAGTTACCCTACATAGCTGATAACTGAGTTCTAGGAGAGTTTTAGCAGCTGAATAAGACAGGCCAATTCCCAAACTGTTGTAACGTGGAACTGGGGGGGGGGGTAACCTTTTTCAGGCTGAGGGTCACATTGACCCACAGGCAACTGTCTGGGGTCACGTGTGTGTGTCAGATTGGCTGAAGTGTAAAAATTGGTTTCACCATTTTTTAAAATAAATAAATAATACCTGGGTGTGTGTATATATATATATATATGAATGAGAATTCCTGGATGCTAAGTACTCTTTGCTGAGAGAAAATATGTGACTACAGACTACATTTCCACAAAACAGTATGTGACAGTATGTGGAAATAAAGGCTGTTATACCTTTAAAACGTGTGCCCTTCAAAGTGAGTTCCAAAATGTCCCCTTAAAAAGTTCCTTTCCAATGTTTTTTTTAAAAAAGACAAATGAGTGGGGTTTTTGAGGTCACAAAAAATCTATTGGGGGACCAGAAGTAGCCAGCAGACCACAAGGCAGCCATCCCTGCCATAACCTGTCAGAGAATCGGGCAAACTTTAATTTGTCATGTTTTCTCTATAGCCTCTCCCTGTCCCCATCCAGAGCATGCAAATTCCCAAGCCAAAAAATTTAGGCTGTACCTTTAAGACTTGCTAACCTTAGCTTCTTGTAAATCTTTAGGGCTCCTTATTGTTTTTCAGAGCTGTGTGGCAGGAATAAGTTGGGCAGATGCAATGCCTGCTCTCTGAGCAATAAATAGCACCCATGAGAAGAGAATAACCCACCAAGATTTCCCCAACCATAAAGCAAGAAGATGCCGTTTTAGGCTGAGTTCTGGGAGAAGCTTTCAATATGCCTGGGTTAGTGGTGTAAATTCAGGAGGCAACGCTTTTGCCATCACTTACTTCTATGACAGGGAAAGCTTCATCGTGTTTCTGCATGTTGTGGTTCTCTGAAGCCCCTGAGAACTCACTAGCACAGTCAGTCCAGGAGGCTGCAGCTCAACCGACCATCAACTTAATCAAAGTCTGCTTTCTCTTGCCAATGCATAACTAGGAGCATATTTGAGGCACTTCTTAAACCCTTAAGCGCACAGGTCAGAGGTACACACACACACACACACACACACACACACACACACTGTATTAAGAGCAGAGGAACAGTCCAGGGGAAAAGAAATTGGCAATCATACTACTACTACATACTACTACTCCTACTATACCTGAAGGAGCGTCTCCACCCCCAACGTTCTGCCCGGACGCTGAGGTCCAGCGCCGAGGGCCTTCTGCCGGTTCCCTCATTGCAAGAAGCAAAGCTACAGGGAACCAGGCAGAGGGCCTTCTTGGTAGTGGCGCCCGCCCTGTGGAACGCCCTCCCATCAGATGTCAAAGAGATAAACAGCTACCTGACATTCAGAAGACATCTTAAGGCAGCCTGTTCAGGGAAGTTTTTAATGTGTGACATTTTAGTGTATTTTTGGTCTCTGTGGAAGCCGCCCAGAGTGGCTGGGGAAACCCAGCCAGATGGGCGGGGTACAAATAATAAATTATTATTATTATTATTATTTTATTATTATTATTTATTTCTTATACTCCACCCAACTAACTGGGTTTCCCCAGCCACTCTGGGCAGCTTCATAACATACAGTACTTCTAAAACCTGTTTTCACACCTGCAGGGTGTTTTTCTTTTAGCCATTTACAAAAGTTGGTTCTCAAATCTGATATTTAAGCTAATGACATGTATTACACTGAGAGACTTGCATCGCAAACCCATCTATTTCCCAGCCTGAGCAAGAAAGCAACTATGCAAGTGGTTTGGTTTAGCCTGGAGTCCACAGATTAGGCAAAATTTAACTAGACTCTCATGCAACACCTGCTGGATAGGATTAAATAAAGTCCGTGAGCTTAAGATGATCTGCTTGATCTCCACAGATGATTCTGCCAGTATTGACTTGATGTTAATAAAGCGATTAACTCGGAGCAATAAACCCCAGCCATGTGCAATCAAAACATGTCTTCTGTCTTTATACTCCAGTTACAGCAGTCATTCTTTGAGGCATCAAAGCAGGAAAGATTGCCCTTCAAAACCATTTTTAAAGAACAAAGTAAACTGCTTGCAATTTTCATTGGCGTGCAGCTCGTCTACAGTTTGTTGTCCTATAACTTGGAGACTTTGCAGCTTTTGTCACTTAGAGTAAAGACGTTCCAACTTAGTTCTGACAATGGAGGCCCCAGAAGGTCAAAAGCCTTCTAAATAATGAAGTTTCTTTTGGCTACTGTTGAGCTAGGTGGATCCCTGCCTTTGCTGAGATTTTTCATTCTGCAGGAAGGTCAGAGGGTGGAACTGGCATCATTGCTCCCCCTTCCAAAGAGACTGAAGTCAAAGTGGAAAGGGGAGATTTCCTCCCTCCTCCCACTTGGCTCCCCACCATCCAATGTCCTCCTCTGTTTCTTCTTCCTTCTCCTGGGTCAGGAGCTGCCAAGACAAGCCTCATCCCAACAAGGCTGGGGAGCTCTTGACTCAGCCATTTGAAACTTACCTCAGCACTCATCCTTCACTGCACCTGAGGGCAACAGGCTAGCATATGAGGTGCTGGATTGATCATGTGGCACATGCAGCTCTGTCCTCCGGCACCTCGCTGCCCATCCATGCCCACCAGCATCTGCTTCCTCAGGTGACCACCACCATCTACCTAATGGTAGGGCCGTCCATGCCTCCTGAACAATGTGAGATGGGAGGGTGCTGCTGCTGGGGGAAGTGGGAATTGCCCAATGTCAAGCTTCAATCCTAAACTAACTTTTGGAAATTTGCAGAAGGAAAACTTGAGTAGGCATCAAGTAAAATTATGGTATAGCCCAGGGGTCAGCAAACTTTTTCAGAAGGGGGCTGTTTCACTGTCCCTCCTATGCCCCACAAATAACCCAGAGATGCATTTTAAATAAAAGGACACATTCTACTCATGTAAAAACACACTGATTCCCGGACTGTCCGCGGGCCGGATTGAGAAGGCGATTGGGCCGGATCTGGCCCCCGGGCCTTAGTTTGCCTTCCCATGGTGTAGCTCATGACATTTCAAGAATTATTGACAGCAGTTGTTTGGGAAGTGAAATGTTGTGGGCGATCTTTGATAAGTAAAAGCTGTCCCCAGTACCAGTCCATATGAAGAAAACATCCTGGGATTTCTTGTTAAGTCTTACGTTGCGTTGAAAAGGATGCCCTTAAACAGGGTCGTAAATAATTGAAGCACAGCACAGTTAAATATTCATGCGGTTTGTTTATAGTTTCTGGTTTGTTTATCGTCTTCCAAAGCTCTTGACTGTGGATAATGGCTGCTCTTGGTTCACATGTAAGCAACGCAGCAAAGCTTTGGAGAGGAGAAGGGTAGGTCTAAAATTTTAAGTTTCCCAAACATTTGGAAGCCCATATTGCAACACTTGTTCAGGGGAGCCTACTCCCAGGTAGCTGTGTCCAGTGGGCTTGCAACATATGCAGGGGCTACGCATAAGAGAGCCAGTGTGGTGTAGTGGTTAAGAGCAGTAGTCTCGTAATCTGGTGAACCAGGTTCACGTCTCCGCTCCTCCACATGCAGCTGCTGGGTGACCTTGGGCCAGTCACACTTCTTTGAAGTCTCTCAGCCCCACTCACCTCACAGAGTGTTTGTTGTGGGGGAGGAAGGGAAAGGAGAATGTTAGCCGCTTTGAGACTCCTTAAAGGGAGTGAAAGGCGGGATATCAAATCCAAACTCTTCTTCAAACTCCAAACTCTTTTTCCGGGGAGGTCTGTGCACAAAGGCAAAATCATGCAAAATAAGGAAGACCCCCCCCCCAACCACTTCCATGTGCTTATATTTACCTTACCAGGCTCTGGGAAGGTCACACGAGATCTCAGGCAGCCCTTTCGGACTGTTCCTCGCCCCCTCTGGCTTTCCATTCATTTATACATTATCCCACCATCCTACCAAAAACTGCCACCGTGTAAGTAAATCACTCATAAGTTGCAGGCCTACTTTACAGGACTGCAGCCTTAGCAACGAAAGATCAAAACATACAGCATCAGCTCATGAAGACTTGGAACTCATTCCACATTTTACTTTTAAACCTTAAACTAGTCATTTTTATTTCTTTGCTTCACTGGAATTTAACGTGCTGTATATTCTCAGCACTTGACATAGTTGCTCATGACTCGCTAATGTTCATATCCTCTTTGTCAGGTCTTCCTGATTTAGAAATAATGTTCACATAGCTTCAGGAAGCCCCTTTAAGACAGAGGGAATCTGCCAGGGTCTAGAGATTCTCTGTGTTGAAAGTACTGTCATACTGCAGCCCTGTCCACTGTCAACAGAATACAGCTGCACAGCAGTGTTGACAGTTCAGCTTTCTTTGCAGTGGGCTTGTGTGTGTAGCTATATTTTTAGCAGAGCTGCGAGAGTAATTTGATAAATTTTAAAAGGTGCCCTTGGTTAATCGGGCAGAAGGCTCTATCTATATATTTAATTGTTTGTAACACAGCAGCTTTCTCACACACAGACAAGGCAGGCAGCACCATCTTGGAGCACTGCTAAACTAGAAGCATAGAGTTGAAATACGACACTTTGTTCACTCATTTTTGTCATGGGGCGTGCACGCCAAGGCATAACAAAGCCAATGTCTTCTTGAATTTTACAGATACTTCTTCCATCTTTTCTCAGACAGCAGAAAAGGTGGCTTTATTTGAAAGGATGGTGCAGTCTCTACAGGTGTAAACATTCTCAATTCTCTTCTCCCATCTTCCTAGGCAGTGTGGTTTCAACATGCACAGTGGTGTCTCAAGCCAGTAAAATAAGCCTATCATTACTGTACACAGCTTCACTATAAGCTTTTGGTAGGTACCCCTTTATCACCCCATTTATTTTTAAATCAGTATTTTGTGAGAAAAACTTTTCTGGCTTTTTTTACATCACACCATTGCATTACATTACATTAATTTACACACACACTGCTTTTTTTCTGGGGGGAATGCGGGGGTACACATATGTCAATATGAGTAGGAAAATGAGAGTACCCCTAAACATTTCTTTAGAAAAAAAGCACTGTATGTATATTGCATTAGTGCTTAGATGAAAAGGTGTAATCACACTAATAACTGATTATATTAAAAAGAAAAGCCTTGCCACCTTTTCAGTCACTGCCATTTCCAGCAACATGGTTGTTTTAATGATTAAGCACTTCAAATCTACACTTGTGATACTTTTTTTTTTCCATAGGCATAATTACACTTAAACAAATAGGTACTTTACCCCTACTTAAAAGATAAATATATAATTTTAAAAATAACTGGGGGGGGGGAGAGAAGATTTTTAAAAATGACCTCTCAGGTGAATTGGGCCTTTTGCTCTCAAATCTACAAGAGCCATGTGACGCTCACTGGTGTGGAGTAATATAGTGAGATGAACGCATGAGCCAAGTCAACAGGCAGGGAGTAGGAGGCAGGGGTGGGGGGCGGACGATGAGAAAAAGGATGGTGGGGTAGAGCTGTGGGGTTACATAGGAGGAGAGGGGGAAGGCAGAGAGAGTGAGCCACAGCAGGCGGTGGCAACCTTGTAAGATTCACTTTGGTGACTCAGACTTATGTCTGTTTCCAAAAGTGACCATCTAGAATCGTTGGGAAACTTGCAAGGAGAGACTCAGTAGTGATCCTTTGGCGTTTGTTCCTAGCATCTGTTACTTTTTTATATTAAAAAGGCATTTCAGCCACACTGGAAATGACTGATATTCTGATAATATTGTAGAATGCCTTGTTTAGATTCTTAGTATTTTTAAAAACAAAACAAAACAGTACTTACATGCATTTCTTACTGATTGTAGATCAGCAATGTAGGGTTAACCATAATAACTTTGTCAAGTGCTTTGAATTGATTGTGTTTGTATATTTGCCAGGCAGAAGAGAACATTGCGAACTCTGCCGCACGCCTGATGAGAATGGACGCGTTTGTCCTGAACTTCATGCCACGTAGAACTAACATGTGTAATATGAGTAAAGGTCAGCATTAAAATAGCCATTAACTTGTTTCCTTCTTCAAATTCCAGGAGCAATGCAGTCACAGAGAGATGCAACCTTTTAAATTCATTTCAGCCACATACGAGAAATTCATATTTTAATATGTGCAGCTTTGCGTTAGAGCGAGACAAGGCACCCTGTTTAATAAACCCATCTCTGAGCTGGAAAACATAAATTGGATTAATCTAAAAGGCTTGCCAAGAAACTGCCAAGGACCCCATCCCTCAGGGCCTATCGGGTTTATCAGCATTCACTTATTTTGATGGCCTTTTATTTACACATGATATAAATCTAAGAGAGGCCGCAGATACTTTGAAGGATAAGATTTGAATTTTAAATCATCTCCTACTGGAGGCAGGAGAGATGGGGAAGAGTAGATGCTAGCTCTTTTGAAGTGCAGAGAAGTGCATAGCAGAAGACACAATTATTTTGGTTTAGGATGATGCTGATTACTAGGGAATGTTACTTCCAAGGAAGCTGAATGTTGGAAGATTCGGAACCGAAAATATAAAGTACTTCTTCACACAGCACATAGTGCCTTCTTGCAAGTGGCACCCACATTAGAAAATTTCCTCCCCAGGGAATTTTGTCAAGTCAATTAACGGTATATTGCAATATTCTGAGCAGGGAAAACCCTGCTCCTTATGCCTGTCTGTCAGATGTCGTGTAACTTAGGGTTACCAGATGTCCCTTGTTTCCGGGAACAGTCCCCGGATTTGCAAATCTGTCCCCGGACAAATTCCGTTCCTGGAATGTCCCCAGATTTGCAAATCTGTCCCTGGGAAATGTGGCAGCGGCAGCCACAGCAGCCCAGAGCCAGCCTGGTAGTGCAATTGGCTCTGGCTGGCTTCAGGAGCTGCTCACTGCCCTCTGCCGTGGCGCCCACCATTTTTCCTGACTGGAAGTCCCCATATGATGTGTCTTGTGCGCAACACATCATATGGAGACTTCTGGAGAGGAAAAATGGCAGGCGCCACGGCAGCGAGCAGCTCCTGAAGCCAGCCAGAGCCAACTGCGCTACCAGGCTGTCTCCAGGCTGCTGACTGCTACTGCCGCCACCACTGCCAAAGGGGAACCAGGGAGTTCCGGCACTACAGATCTCCTGCCCCCTTTGTTTTGACTGATCGGGGGAGCTGAGGAGTCGTGGGCAGGCAGATGTTGCCCAGTTTTTAAAAAGACTCTGTGCATTTATGTTTCACAGGGCGCGAAAGAAGGGCTTTGCACCTTTATACAATATGCATGTGTGCTTGGGTCCAGGGTCTTTTGCCTCACCATCCCCACTACAAACTCCCTGTTGCTACTCAGCTTTATTTAAAAAAAAAAAGTCCCCAGATTCACTGAAAAACATCTGGTAACCAACTATGTATTATGTTTTCATACCAAGTATGCGGAGGGAGGGCTAAAGACAGCAGCTTTATAGAATACCTTAAGAACTCCTTAATTTAGGAGTTCTGGGACTCCTCTTAACATCAGGTTTCTTAGCAGTGGCATTTAGTTTCACCCACCACTAAACCTGTTGAATATTTATAAGGGTCCTGTAGTTCCTCGCTTAAAGCCCACTTACTCGGCTGCCCCTTCCCTGTGAATGTGTCCCTTTTGGAATCTGGTGCTGTCTCTCCTGTTGTTTTGGAAGTAATGTGGGTCTTCCCCACCCAGTGGGCATCTTGCTTGGGAAAAGGACCGTGATCAAACAGAAAAGAACCACACTCGCTCCCTAGCAGGATGGGATCTTGTTGGCATCCATCTGTAGAGAGAGAGAGAATGGAGTGTGCCTCCAGGCATTAAGTCAAACCGCTGTGTTAGCAGCACCAAAGTGACAACCCTGGGGGTTGGGGACAAGCCTGGGCAGTGTGTATGGGGGTTCTGGGCTGCCCAGATGACAAGACCTCCTCCTTGGCTTCGCTGATGTGGTCCAAAGGAGAGCAACGCAATACATTTGGCCCCAGCTTGGCTGCAGGAGTTGCCAGGAGGCGGCGTACAAGGTGTCGCCCAACCAGTTCAGGTTTGTGTGATTTGTTGCTTCTTGTCCTTTTCTTCTCTCGAATATAACCCACAAGGCAATGGAGGTTTAGGGTCAGAGTTTTCCTTCTCCTAGATGGGCTACTTTCCCAGGTAGACGAGCCCCATCTACCCCTCAGTTCCCTCTACAGCATGTGCAGAAACCGCCTACTTGGCTGTTGGACCCACTATTGGTCTCATCCAATTTGCCAGAACTTGTCTTCACTTGCAGGGGAAGTCCCTAACTCACCAAGGGTTTGGGCCCCATCAGCTACCCTCACCTGGTTAGGCAGCCAGTCAATGCTCTTCCCAGTATGTGGCTACTATCATATGTCAACAGCTTCTGGGACCAAAGGAGGACAAACTAGCCCAAGAGTACAATGCGTCCCCCACCAGAGGTACTACCACTCCCCTAACATCCCATACACCCCAGTTGGTGATCACACCACAGGGAAAAAGAATGCACACTTCTGCAGGGACAAGGTGCCTTCTCTACAAAGAATGGCACTGGACTTCAGGGAGCATAAACTTCTAATTTTTTTTTTTATTTGTAAAGGTCAGAAGAAAAACAGAGTGTAAGTGAAGCATTAGCCGACACCATAAAAATATCATCTCACTGGCTCTAGAATGATTTGTCATTGTTAGGTAAAGCAGAATTGTCAGCCAGGACAGTCACAGGTCTGTGGCATGTTTATGTTGACACAATGCATCTGCGGTACTTCCGTCCCATGATTTTATCTGAGAAGATGGACTGCCAAGTCTGGTTAATTTAAGAACCTTAGTGAACTCCATTATTACAGTGGATTTTTAAATTCTAAGCAGCGCAGTCCTGTGCACATTTACTTAGAAACAAGTACCACTTGGTCCGATGGTGCTTACTCCCAGGTAACTATGCTTTAATGTGTTAGTACCATGTGGAGAGTCACTCTTGCACTACAGTGCAACAAAAAATGGGCGAAAGATAAACAAGAACATTTGTGGTATCCAGTGTGACAGGATTTCACCAAGAGGCTTATGGGACAAGCACCAATTGGATATGAACCAGGATGTGAACTGGATTTGAAGCAGAACCAAACCTTTTGCAGGCCCAAACAATATTGGAAGCAGGATGGTAGTGATAGAAATCTGTTTGGGAACAATCCTAACCCCTGATGTATCTGCTGAAGGTTAGGGTTTGGCAGAAATGGCCCTCTACTCTAAGGAGGTTTCCACAGCCATGGAAGTCCCCTGCTTTAGACTCATGGAATTTTAGAGCTGGAAGGGACCATGAGGGTCATTTAGTCCAACCCCCTGCAATGCAGGGATCTTTTGCCCAATGTGGGGCTCAACCCCAAGACCCTGTCTGCCAAAGTTATGGGCTGTTGTGAAGCTATTGCCAACAGTTTGTAATGGGGGTGGACAACAGCAAAATATTCAGAAATAATGGTCCTTCTGGATTGTGTCAAAGGTCAAGTGAGAAAAGTACATATAGTGGTGGTTATTTATTTTGTTAGCTACTGCACAGTCTTTCTCATGAAAGCTTGGGCTACATATATAGATGGAATGTGAGCACAATCCCATGTATATAAATATATACAGATCTATTTTATTTTTTAAAGACTGTGAAGAACAGGCCAATTTACATTTATGAAAATTTGAAAAATGTAGAGCTTTATGCTTTTAAACATATATGAGAAGCAAAAACTTAACAGTTTAAAAACTAGACTCCATTCATACAATACTGGAATCAATTCAGATCTGGTTCATTTGTTGCATTAGAAGTGATGTAATATTTGAGTTGACTGGCCCATTCTGGGATTTATCATTTCCATTTTTAATATTTGAAATCTGCAATAAAATATTTTGAAATGGTGAGCAACTAACACTTTGACACTGCTGCTGCTTTTAGCTTTATTGTTATTTTACACTCAGGACTTTTAACAAAGCTCCTAACTCAGGGGAGACTACTCTACTGGAATGTGCCCAACCCATTGCAGCTGTATTTCACGCACTAGCAATAAAAGTTCTAATGGCTTCGTAAGTGAATGCTTCTGTGTTGATGGAACTGTGAGCTACTGTACATTGCATGGTAAAGATAAAGTTCCTTTTATAAATTGATTCATAAACTGCTGGGATAGCTTCAAAATACATAATAAATTATGTTTATTACAGAATCCCATCAATAAGATTGTATGTTTGAGAATCGGAGAAGGTGCAGAGATCATGAGCTATGTGTAGTAGCAGTTGGGAACTGGCAAGGCCCTTGTTTTTGCAGCATTCTGCAGGAATCCAAGCTTCAACAAAATCCATGCGTATTCAAGGTTTCTCTAGCTAGACACACCTCTGGCAAGAAGTGTCTCAATATGGACATAAGAAGAACCTGCTCAGTCAGGCCAATGGCCCATCTAGTCCAGCATCCTGTTCTCACAGGAGTCAGCTGAATGCCTTTGAGATGCAGTTTCCAGCAACTGGTATTTAAGAATACTGCCTGTGATGGCCTGGGATTCGGACTCGGAGGCTGAATCTGAGGAATCCCAGCCTGCACAGGAGTCCCCGCCTCCAGAACCAGCTGAGCCAGGGCTGGGGCTTGAGACTGAAGGGTCCTCACCTGTGCTGGATCCTCAGGTGCAGGCACCAGCTGAGTCTGCTCTGGCTCCTGAGGTGATGGAGGACCCATTACCTGCAGGTGCTCCACTCTCAGCCCTGTCAGGGGAAGCTGAGGTTGCCTCTGGGTCCGGTAACCCTCCAGCCTCTCCTGAGCTGCAGAGGCTCGGGGCAGAGAGGCGGAGGGAACTAAGTTCCCGCAGGAGGAGTGCTCACCTCCAGGCCAGGAGAGGCGAGTCACCTGTGGACCGGGGCTGCCCTATGCCTCGGGGCAGATAAAAGCCAGCCAGCCCCAGTCCCAGGTTGCGGGAGCAACATTGTTGGTAGCCTGTTCCTGCCTGCACCCTGTCCTGCTCTTCTGCCAGAGTTCCTGACCTCACCCGACTCCCTGCCTTGGGCCCAGCTTCAGCTTTGATGGACAGCCTCCATACCGCACCCTCAACCTCGGACTGGACTCGGACCTCGCCGCACGGTTAACCCTTGGGACCAGCACACTGCCGCCAACAGAGGAGGTACAATACAGCCAGAATGGCTGCTAGCCATTCATTCTCCATGAATATGTCTAACCCCCTTCTAAAGCCTTCCAAGGTGGTGACCATCACTATCTCTGTGAAAGTACAGTGTGGGGCTGTTTAAAAGCCTTTTTGCAAACAGCCCACCCCAGCTTGCAACCTGCTTCTGCTGCCTGCCCACATAGGCTTCTGACAGCTGTGAGCAGTGGCAATCTGAGGCTGTCTCAGCCCAACTTGATTAAATCCTGGTACCACCCAAATTGGCCCAATTCGGGTCAGATGTTAAAGAAATCCAGTACTTAATGACTGTAATTGACTCATACATCATCGTAGTTTTGCTCCATAATGATCCAGAGCAAGTCACAACGAAAAACAATGCCAGGTCCACCAAAATAACTCAGGACACAATCAGATTCATCCAGTATTATTTACTGAAGGCAAATTAGCATAAGAGTCATAAATCAAACTCTTCCAAATTGGCATCTCCTTAAGAATCCAGTTGCAGCAAAACCTTAACTTAATAAGACTAAAACTTAGCACCTAAGCATACTATGTACAGATCACCAGACAGGAACAAAGTAGAGAGAACCAAGAAAGAAAGGGAGAAAGTGAGACCAGGCTCCTTCTGGCCTGTCATTATAGCCAGCATGACCTTGAGAGAGATAACTGGGCCAGAGTGAACAGCTGCAATCAGCTTCTCTGAAGAAATAACCCAAACATCAGGAACCTTCTGCTTGTTTCCAAGCAGAATGGAAACTTACTTGTCAGTTAGAAACTTCCGGCTTATATCACAAAGAGAAAGTTCCAGAATCTTCTTGAATCGATAGATTTCTACAATTTAAACCAATATTTTCTGTACTTCAAAAATGCGAGCCATGACAGTTTTGCTGTTTTGTTTTACTTATTTACTTGTTTTTATCCTGTATTTTAGGGATGCGAGTGGTGCTGTGGGTTAAACCACAGAGCCTAGGACTTGCCGATCAGAAGGTCAACGGTTCGAATCCCCACGACGGGGTGAGCTCCCGTTGCTCAGTCCCTGCTCCTGCCAACCTAGCAGTTTGAAAGCACGTCAAAGTGCAAGTAGATAAATAGGTACCGCTCTGGTGGGAAGGTAAACGGCGTTTCCGTGCGCTGCTCTGGTTCGCCAGAAGCAGCTTAGTCATGCTGGCCACATGGCCCGGAAGCTGTATGCCGACTCCCTCGGCCAATAAAGCGAAATGAGCGCCACAACCCCAGAGTCGATCACGACTGTACCTAATGGTCAGGGGTCCCTTTACCTTTATCCTGTATTTTATTCTATGAACTGCCCTGAGATCATATGATGAAGGGTGGTATACAAATCACATACATACATACCTTTTGCGGGAGTGTATTTCATCTGCGAAACCCAGCCAGATGGGCAGGGTACAAATAATAAAATTATTAAAAATATTATTATAACTATTTGCTGTGTGAAAAGTACCTCCTTCTGTGTGTCCGGAAATTTCCAGAATTCAGCTTCCTTGGATATAATATTCCCAATCATCATCATATATCTTGTACTGTGCTCTTCTCCGCACTTCTGAGTTCTACTGCTTATGAGACTGGGAGAAACACTTTTCTCTATCTGCTTTCTCCACAGCATAATTTTATAGACCTCTGCCATGTCTCCTCTTACTTTGCAACCTTTCCTCATAGGGGAGCTGCCTAATTGACTGGTGGGAATTTGCAGCTTCAAGTGTGTTAATAGGCACTAGGTCAGGTGACTTTAAGATAGGGTTGAACAAATCCAGGGACAACAGGGCAAATCAACAACTGCCAGTTATGTGTAAATGGAACCTCTAGTTCCAAAACAGCAGATACAACTTTGGGTACCAACTGCTACAGAGCAAATTTTCTGCTTGAAGGCTTCCCAGAGGCATCTGTTTGGTGGCTACAGGAAACAGGATGCTACCTTTGGTCAGATCCAGCAGGGCTCTCCTTATGTTATTTTCTTAAAGGCAGAAACACACAATCAATATAATTGCACTTCCTGGACCGTACCACTTCAGATTACAGGAGAGATATGAATGTCATACTTTTTTTGTAAGCCTATATATATCCATATGGCAAATAAGCTGCCACCTATGGTCTTCTTCACTGATAAATAATAATAAAAATAATATGCTTTTATACATGCAAGGTGTTCCTTTTATAAAAAAAAATTCCTACAGGAAGTCAAAGATGCAATTTCACCTCCCTGCAGTTTCAAGTGGAAGAGTCCAGCAAGAAAGAGACACATGATGATCCTGCTGTTCTTATAGCTCAATTGAGAGGCTGTGGCATGTCAGAAATTGGGCAGATTTCCCATGAAAAGTCTTTCCCTGGAATCTACCCAGCGCACACAGTTCCCCATTTCAGTTGTTAAGCATTGCATCCAGAATGTACAGAAGTGACAACTGCACCTGAACCCAGCATAATTATCTCAGGAAATGTCTCTACAGCAAAGCTGGACCTGCCTTGCTTTGCTACAGCTCATGTTTACCTTTCCAGCTGAGCAAACGCACACCCTCTCCTGACAACCAGGCACTTTGCTAAGAGAAAATGGTTCTCTGGGTGCCATCTTGTGGCCAGAAGATACTCTTACAAAATACTGAGCACCCATCTAACGTGTAATTTCTGGCTCGGCTCCACATTAAGGCACACTTTTTAGAGAGCATGTTTCTGGAGGGGCAAAGGAAAGTATACACTAGTGACACACAACAGGGATGGGACAACTCAGCCAGATGGGTGGGGTATAAATAAATAAAAATATTACCATTCTTATTATGAGGAACCTACGGCCCTCCAGATATTGTTAGACTCCACCTCCCCTCAGTACCAGCCAGCATGGCAAATGATAAGGGATGATGAGAGCTCTAGCCCAGAATTTGGAGGGCCAGAGTTTCCCCACGCATGACAGGCAAGCACAAATTCTGAATTACAAGCTCACTGAAGAGGGGAGCAACCATAACTGATTGCTTTGTGTATTTCCGATGCACTGGTGGAGTGTAATCTTGTGAATTTGCTTGGATAACTTTTGATATTTTGCAAGGCAAAGAGAGGGGCAGGAAGCTCAAAATCGTTCTCTCTGAGCTTAATCGACCTCACAAGGTTGTTGTGACTTATAAAGGGGGGACACCATTAAGCCAATAAATGCTCTTTTGAGGAAGGGTGGAATAGAAACATAATAAAAAGGCCAGCCAGAGATATACTGAACGTCTATTTATTTTCCATCCTTTAAACAAAACTTTAATATGAATTCCATTCCCATTTTAAACATGCTGCCATGGAACTGTACAAAAAAAGGATCCAAAATCATCTCACTGTTTATTAAACTGCGTAAATCTTTATATAATATATTGATACTTCGCAGGGGGGACGGACACCCATGTATATCAAAAGAGCAGGGTTACACCATGGTCCTAAACAAGTTGAACTGAGAGTCTGAGTTCAAGTGGCACTTAATACTTAATAATGGCTAGGTGTGCGGCTCAAAAAGGAGAATAGCAGCCCCGGCACAAACTCCTCTGAATCAATAGTTTCAATGCAGCAGATTGCAGCCTTAAATATTTAGTTGATGAAATGAGCAACTCTCCTCAGATTCTAGTCAAACTGGGATAATAACCATCTCGATAAGGACCCAGCCTAAAAAGCAACTTTATCACAGTGTTGCAGGATCAGCTTCCAGTATTATTATTCAACGGCGTTGGGCTTGAACTATTGTTCAAAAGCTATTTATAACAATAATATTATGGCACAGCTGGAGAAACGTTAGCACTGATCCAGAAAAAGCAAGGTAACACCCACAAACAGAAGAGAGTGCTGTTGCAGAGAAGTTAAGTTGGGGAGAGCATGAACACCATATCCAGGAACTGGGAGTATCACATGTCACCAAACACCTGCTGTCAGCTCCATTAGAGCCAATCATTGGTAGTGATGGGGAACATGGGGACGAGACCTCTGCCCTCAGTCTTGGTACCACCTTCCTCTTAACAACTGGTGTCAGAGCTGATGATCTGATGCAGGCATGTGGCTTTCTGTTGAACAGCACTGGAGTGTGTGAAAAAGCTGCCAATACTACAGTGCTGATCCTTTAGGCACAACACGTAGACCAGTTGAATACTTTAAACAGGACCAGTAAGTTGTTCGACTGGGAAGGGAAAGCAAGAAGGCCTAAATCAAATACCTTCTCCCCGGAAGTATTCAACCTGTTTTTCCTAGAGCTGGCAGCTAGACTGGATTTGGAAACGATGGACACAGTTTTGGGCCCGTGACTCATCCAAGTAGGGATACACGCATAGAGATCTGTGCATCCTAATCTCTTGCTGGATAGGGGCCCAAATATTGATTATGCTTCGACAATATACATGGTTACAAAATGTGCATAGGTCATGTACAATTGGTCCTGAAAGCATATCTTATAGCTGCAGAGGTGTACACCATTAGGCAAATTGTCAGTGAATGGATTTAAATACATATATATATATATTTAATGTGTGGCTCGATACATTATTTATTGTGGCGAAAAAGACCACCTTCACATTTCCAAAAAGCTGATTTACACACAGGGGATTTTGCATCCCTCAAACTTAAAACACACCGAGTGTTTACCTGCTGAGCTCTCTATCACCAGAAGGGGCGTGGTCTACTCTAAAGTATATCTGAGATCCAAAAGGACGTGACAATTTAATGAAGACAGAAACAGCGCCAATAGGGAGGCAGGCTCAGTGCATCCTTTAATTCAGATGGGTACATCCCAGGTCATCAGCATCAGTTGCCAGTGCAACCAAGTGTAATTTCCCAGTCTTCAAGTGTTAAGGTTCAATTAAATTATTGCAAAGATGATGAACAAACTCTGAATTTTAACTGTGTAGGAGTAGGAAATGGTTAACCAATTCAGTTTTTTTTATATATAAAAATGTTTCTTGTCCTCATCGCTTAATATTTAAAGATAGTTTCTGGCCCTCATGGTCTTGTGGTCTAAAGACAGGGATTCACAGCTCTTCACAGATGCCTTTCTCTCTCTCCCTTTACAGTTTCCAGCTTCTCTTTCAGTACTGGCCATCTAACCTGTTTCAAGTCTCTCTTCCCTCTCTTCTTCTTTTGTCAGTCTTGTTCTTGCCAAAAATATTCCACAGTCCTTCAAAGTGCAAACCTTGGACATTGGATAAATTACTCAAAATGAGCCATGAGTGCAATTTGGTTTCTTTAGTGTTGATTTCTCTCTCTCTCTCTACAGAGAGCATTGTTAGTCATTCCCTTAGTTGTCCCTACCTTCTTATTTCCCTGTCAGCTCCAAGGATAGATCTTCAGTGAACATGACTTGGTACAGGTGGTTCGACTAAGGATCCGGACCTCATTATCTCGCGGTGAAATTCTAGACTTTGGCATGACCACAAACTCCACCGTAGGCACCTCTCCAGTTTAATCCAACCTAGCGCAGCATTACATTCATTATCTTTTGTTTACTGACATTTCCAAAGTAATTCCAGCAGCTGAGAGGCTGTGCTCTTCACAAGACGGTTAGTTTTGTGTCTAGCGCTTCCTCTGTCTGGCTTCCTTCCTTGCTGTGTTGTGCAGGTGAGACGATGGACACATTCAGGTGGTTCTCTTCAATTTTTAAGGCAAGATTGTCAAACCCAGTACTGGATCCCAGAGGCAAGCTGGTCGAGGCGGCCTCTGCACTGCGGGTCGGCGTTGAGCAATACATGATGAACCCCACCATTATGACAGCAAAGGCCAGGATATACAGTGCTGAAAACTGATAATATAGAAAAGAGAGGAGGAATCAGGATGCCTGTATAGACAAATGCCTTGCAGCCACAAAAATCACCTTAAAACTCATTTTATTTGCCGTGGCTTTGAACTGAGCAGTAATACAGGACTTTTATCTGCTTGGCATCGTTTTCTGCTGCTTTCTACCGTGTTGCCAATTGTTCTGATTTTTAAAGTATTTTTATTGTACGTTTGTATTTCAGAATTGTTTCAGTGGTGCCTGTTTATATACTTTTTAAAAAATTGCCTTTAGCTTGGACACCTCTTTAAATTGCCCAAGGGTGGCAGGAGGCAGAGGTATAATAATAATACTAGTATTAATAATGATTTTATTATTTATATGCCACAGGCTGCCAGGCTTCCAAAAAAAATAGTAAAACACAACCATGCCACAACATCAAAACACCTTTTCACTTGCACCTTTTCAACTTAACCCAAAAGGCCTGTGGACAGGGAGAGATGGAAAATTATTATCTCTTTATCATAGCTACATTTACCCCCTTTGCTCCCCTGCTCAAACTTACTGCCCACCTGACTGTTCACTGCTGATGCAATGACCAGTGTCTGAGCAAGGGAAAGGGAGGGCAGGAAGGGAGGTGGGAAGAGGAAAACAGGACCTCTATTTTCAACACTTGGCCCAACCCACTGCTCCCTCGAAACAGGGCATAGCCTCCAGGAGATGAGGAACACATCTCCCTTCCCAGGAGGCCCTGTATTCTGTCGATTGCAAAAGACCCTCTTGTTTGTCCAGGTCTTTGGAGAAGGCTGAATGTGGCTGATGGCCGGCTGTTCCTTGGGTGTTGTGCCGTGAATTCTGTGTTTTAAATTATTTTATTGATATTATGTTGCATATTTTCAAGGCTATAATTTGGCTCTTTTCTCTGTATGCTGCTCTGGGCTCCTAAGGGTGCAAATATAATCAATTATCATCATCATAGCTCCTGGGTGTTATTTTTAACCTAGGGGATAGCCCACTGTCAATCTGCTGGTGCCAGCCTTTAGCCTTTGCAGAGAAAAGGAGCCATCCTTTGAAGCAAAACTCCACCCGACCTCCTTTTCTCTCTGACTGTAGGAACAAGCACAGCAGAAGCAGCGCCAAGTTATCTGGGACTTCTGAGATAACGGGCAAGGTCTCCATGGCATATCTGATGTTTCATTGTGTTCTTTTATATTGTGCTGGAAGCTGCCCAGAGTGGCTGGGGCAACCCAGTTCGATGTGAGGAGTGCAAGTGAAGAAGAAGAAGAAGAAGAAGAAGAAGAAGAAGAAGAAGAAGAAGAAGAAGAAGAAGAAGAAGAAGAAGAAGCAGCAGCAGCAGCAGCAGCAGCAGCAGCAGCAGGAAATTTTGACCAAACTGCAGGAGGCAGTGGAAGACAGAAGTGCCTGGCGTGCTCTGGTCCATGGGGTCACGAAGAGTCGGACACAACTAAACGACTAAACAACAACAACAACAACAACAAATAAGGAAATGGCTGTAGTAGCACCACTGCACCAAACCCAAAAGGTGGAGGTGGCACTTTATCATCATCCCACCATGTTGTGTAGCATCCAGCTGGAACCCACCCAAATTAGGGGAGAAGCTAAGGTATCCCTTGCCAAAGTGATTGGCTAATGGATGCTGCTGGGAGTCCTGGTCTGGGGCCATAACAACTATTCTTCTTTAGAATCCCAGCCATCTATTAAGACAGGAGAATGCAATGCGGGGATTGGGAGGGTAGTGCCCTCCTGCGATTTTGGAGTACAGCTCACATCACAGGGTCCCCTACATCTAGGGGGCCACATTTTCTCCTGCTAAAAGTAAAAAGATGCACTTCAGGAAACCTACACAAATTTATTCCGTGCTCCTGATGAACGCAGCCGTTTAGAATTAAGCCTGTCTCCCTGTCTCCCTGTCTCCTTAGGCCTGGCTTCTGTCTCTTGGTCGTGTTAGAGAGTGACAGAGTGCTGGGAAAGTGCTGAGGACTGGCTCTTGTAGATTTAGATCCCCATCGCCACTACCAGAGGTCACAATCGCCATTTGTGCAGAAGGGCACAATGTGCAAAAACAAAACCCTTTTGCTTTAATTATGTGTTTTGATTTTGTTTCATTACGTATTTTCATTTTGCATTTTTATACTGTGAACTGCCCTGAGATCTTTGGGGGGAAGGACGGTATTCAAATTTAATAAACAAATGAATAAAATAATCCTGTGGGCAGCAGGGTTGCTAAAGAGCTATGTTGTTGTTGTTTAGTCATTTAGTCGTGTCCGACTCTTTGTGACCCCATGGACCAGAGCACGCCAGGCACTTCTGTCTTCCACTGCCTCCCGTAGTTTGGTCAAACTCATGCTGGTAGCTTCGAGAACACTGTCCAACCATCTCATCCTCTGTCGTCCCCTTCTCCTTGTGCCCTCCATCTTTCCCAACATCAGGGTCTTTCCCAGGGAGTCTTCTCTTCTCATGAGGTGGCCAAAGTATTGGAGCCTTATAGCTAAAGAGCTATAAGGAACACCTAATGCATATTAGTCACACAGGTGGGTTCACTCCTCACTGAAGACTTGCCTGCTAGAATGAACCCATCATTCAATAAATAGAAACACTGGAAGCTGCCCTTATACCACTGGTCCATCTAGCTCAGTATTGTTGACAGTGGCCTCCTGGATGTTTCAGACTACAGTTTGTATCTGCTCCAGCCAGCATGGCCAAAGATTAGGGAAGATGGGAGTTGTAGCCCAAAATATCTGGCGGCACCAGCTGGGAAAGGCTGGTCTGTGCTATCAGGCAGCCTGTTCTCCAGGGTTTGTGGCACGAGCCTTCCCAGCCCTCCCTGAAAATGTTGGGGTCTGAACCTAGGACCTTACGCATACAAAGCATGCGCTAGCCAGGCAGAGGCATGAAAATTCATCAGCATCATAGAATCACAGAGTTGGAAGGGACCAAGAAGGTAATTTGCTCCAACCCCCTGAAATGCAGGAAATCTTTTTGCCCAGCGTGGGGCTCAAACCAGCAACCCTGAGATTAAGAGTCTCATGCTCGACTGGCTGAGCTATCCTGCGGGCTGATGGGCAGGTGACTGACTGAAGCTTTAGAAGTGTGGAAAGTATGCCCTAATCCTCACAGAAACTTATTGGTCTTAGAAGCAAAGGCTGCTACTGGCTGACTTGGCCAGGTCTGAATGTTCCGACACTAATTAACTTAATGCGTTTCCCATGGATTCGCTTATTTCAGAAGGGTTTGCCTTTGCAATTCCATCATGCAGCTCAGTCCGTGAAGTCAGGGAGGAAAGAGCATGTTAACCATATTGCATGCAATTATTAACCTACATACGCAGCAGACCCGAGTATAATTAACTTTCATCCTGTCATAGATAATTGCATGGTGCACTTTGTCCCTAAATTCACATCTATAGCGAGACTATTAGGGCCAATTAAAGTCATGCCTGCATGTGCGTGCCACAATTCTGTAAGTGTGCTGAAAGAAAATGCCATTGTGATATGGAGCACAAAATTCTGCCCCAAAAGTACGCTTGTGTGTGTGTGTGTGTGTGTGTGTTGTTTTAGAAGCAAGTTCCTAGACCTCATACCTGCAACGATATACTTGAAATAAGTGGGCAATGCCTATTGATATAACATACTGAGGTCCAGCGCCGAGGGCCTTCTGGCAGTTCCCTCGCTGCGAGAAGCCAAGTTACAGGGAACCAGATAGAGGGCCTTCTCGGTAGTGGCGCCCGCCCTGTGGAACGCCCTCCCACCAGATGTCAAAGAGAAAAGTAACTACCAAATTTTTAGAAGACATCTGGAGGCAGCCCTTTTTAGGGAAGCTTTTAATGTTTAATAGGTTATTGTATTTTAGTTTTTTGGTGGAAGCTTCTCAGAGTGGCTGGGGAAACCCAGCCAGATGGGTGGGGTATAAATAATAAATTATTATTATTATTATTATTATTATTATTATTATTATTAGCCAGAGGAGGCACGAGACAAGGTTTCTGTGTTCTGCAAAGATCCTAGTCACTCCCCTCAACTACCACCACCAGGCAAAACAATGCAGATGGCCAGATAAATTATGCAAAGTTAGAGAAATTATGCTTAATTGATACCTGTGACAGAATTTTGCTGGGGTGGGTGCAGAATGTTAATTATTTTTAGCACAGAGCACGGACAGCCCTAGTTTAGATGCTAAGCCACAGCAATAATTCTCGAACACAGCTTAGCCCCAAATGTCATTGATCTGAAAAACTTGCTCACCTTGTAGTCGAAGAGAAAGAGCCCAAAGAAGAGGCTGTAGAGGTCAGCGGTCAGAATGCCCAAGTTGACGGATGTAGCGCTGGTTACTTTGATCACGACTGGCATGAAGCTGTACAGTCCGAACATGCACAGTGCAAAGGCCAGGAAGAGCAGCACTGCAAGGCAAGGCAAGGGCTTAACATTTAAGGCACCAAATGCTGCTAATAGCATAAAAGTGGGAAAGAGGAGGACAGTGTATTCTCAGGAGCATTAAACCCGTACAGCTACAGTGAGATAAGATGATAAGACAGGAGCACTCCATGGTTGGACAAAAGGCCGAACTATGCCAACATCCCATGCATGGCCAACTAGATGCCTGCTATGGGAAGCCCCAACACAGAAATTAAGAAATTAAGTGTTGGTGCTGACCTTTAAAGCCCTAAACAGCCTCAGCCCAGTATACCTGAAAGAGCGTCTCCACCCCCATCATTCAGCCCAGACACTGAGGCCCAGCTCCAAGGGCCTTCTGGCGGTTCCCTCCCTGCGAGAAGTGAGGTTACAGAGAACCAGGCAGAGGGCCTTCTTGGCTGTGGCGCCCACCCTGTGGAACGCCCTCCCATCAGATGTCAAGGAAATGAACTACTATTTGACTTTTAGAAGACATCTGATGGCAGCTCTGTTTAGGGAAGTTTTTAATGTTTCATCTTTTATTGTGTTTTTAATATTTTGTTGGAAGCCGCCCAGAGTGGCTGGGGAAACCCAGCCAGATGGGGGGGTATAAATTATTATTATTATTATTATTATTATTATTATTACTACTACTACTACTACTACTACTACAGTGGTACCTCGGGTTACAGACGCTTCAGGTTACACACTCCACTAACCCAGAAATAGTACCTCGGGTTAAGGACTTTGCTTCAGGATGAGAACAGAAATCGTGCCCCAGCGGCGCGGCGGAAGCGGGAGGCCCCATTAGCTAAAGTGGTGCCTCAGGTTAAGAACAGTTTCAGGTTAAGGACAGACCTCCGGAATGAATTAAGTTCTTAACTCAAGGTACCACTGTATTATTATTATTAATAATAATAATAATAATAATAATAATAGTTCCCTTCCACTCTTGTTATTATTCGGCAACTACTATTCAGAGAGGTACATTGGTTCTGAATTTCCAAGTTCCGGGCAGGCCATTGTGACAAATGGCCACTGATACACTTATCCTCTCTGAACCGTACTCTCTTTATGTCTGTTGTGTCAATCAAACTGACAGGATGATTCCAAGTTCTAGGATTATGGAACAAGGAATGGGGAGGACGGAAGGTTACCTCTATCCAGTTCCTCCAAACATGATTTTATACGTGCATCATGATTCCTTACCCCACACCCCAAGTTGCTGATTTCCTTAACCAAAGAGGCTCTTCACAAGACACCCACACAGCTTTTGGAACTGAATAGGAGAACCTGGGGCCTCTTTTACTAATTACAAGTATCGCCCTATTAGGGATTGACCAGGGTCTGAGCAGCTTTCCAGGAGCAGCATGGAGTCCCACCCCCACAGCTACGTGCAAAGCAACTGCAAGGTTATTTGCTTCGGTGTTTCAGAGCACACATACCGACTTTCCAGTTCCACTGAATAGAAGCAATGTCTTTATGTTCCACAATGGCTCTACAGGGAAGGTGGGAGAAGGGGAAGGAAAGAAAAACACCGGCATTAAAATATGGGGGTGTGGTTTTCATAACGATCAACAGTTAATTATAACAGGCATTTAGGTTATGGATCAATCCTATGAAGGCTTTCTTTGAAGCAAGCCCCCCTGAATTAGGGAGACTTACTCCTAAGGCAGTGGGCATTGGATTACAGTCTCTGTGGACAACACACACAAGAGTAAACTTCTGGCACCTTAAATGATGAAGAGGTTTATTATGGCGCAGGTGAGCTGCAACACAATGTTGCTGCTTGTTTGTTATTTCAGCAACTCTATTCCATTCCCCTGGGCCAAACGCCAGAATTTCATGGCTACTGACCACACTGGACTGATTTGGGGCTTCTTCCCACTTTGGGTTTTTCCCCTAATGGTTTTTGGTACTTCTGCAAATCTCTGGGTTGCCCCAAGACCACTGATATTTCCCTCTTATGTATGGGTGACACCATTTGGGCTACACAAGTAGTGACTGGAACGAGAGGAAATGTTCCACCTGAAACTGTGTTGACTGAAGCCCACTTTATCGGCTATTTATTTTATTAAAATTATTATATTCCACCTTTCGTCTGCTTGATGGAGCCGCAGAAGCAGCTAACAAACTTCAGTAAAACAATCAAAAGACAGCATAATAATCCAAAAAAACAACATCAGCAATCCAAGAAAAGCTGAAGCAGGCTGTCTCCTTGCTGAATCTTAAGGGCCAGTGCTGATCTCCAGGCAGTGACCAGCAGTATTAGGACCCTGCTAAGAATATCTTCAGGATTTTAATATAAACCCATAAAATAGCCCCAAGGCTGCAATCAGCACACAGGCCTACTGCCACTTGTTTCTAGCGACTGCAGTGTTTGCCTGATCAAGAAGCAGAGTTTAATAATTGAAACATGTTTTTTCTTGTTGATCCATTAACAACTACCAGGTCATATTTGGCCTTAGTTAACTCTGTGGGATTAAAATGGTAATTGAATCACTCCCTTGGGAGAATCAATACTGTCTCATTCAAAGGCATGTTTGCATAATATTCTTCTTGGCTGGAACTAATTCATCAACCGCTGTAGATAAACACTTATTTTTTTAAAGGTGCATTTAATGCCTAGATGGTTATACAAAATGGGACCTGCAGCAAAATGTTGCAGTGTCATAGAATAGCAGAGTTGGAAAGGGCCACCAGAATCATCTAGTCCAACTGCCGCTGCAATGAAGAAATATTTAGCCCAACATGGGGCTCAAACCCATGATCCTGAGATTAGAGTCTCATACTCTACCGACTAAGCTATCTCAGTGTGTGGACTTCTCCTGTTCAGTGTTCCAGTTAAAACAGTGATGCCTTCTTCCAGAAAACTCAATTTCATTCTGCTCTAATTTTCCATCCCGTTTCCACCCCCACCACTGTCAGTTAAGCAAACTGTGCCCACTGAGCATGCTTGGTCTTCACTGGATATTTTTGGGGCAGGGGGAAGGGTTTCCATTCCTATGTACCGTATTTTTTGCTCTATAGGACGCACTTTTTCCCCTCCAAAAATGAAGGGGAAATGTGTGTGCGTCCTATGGGGCGAATGCAGGCTTTCGCTGAAGCCTGGAGAGCGAGAGGCGTCGGTGCGCACCGACACCTCTCGCTCTCCAGGCTCCAGGAAGCTATCTGCAAGCCTTGCGCACCCGGGGGGAGTTCCCCCGGGCACGCAAGGCTTGCGGGCAGCAGCCTGCAGCACGGGGCGCCCTCCGGAGGACCCCCGTGCTTCGCGCAGGTGTCGGCAAGCCTTGCGCACCCGGGGGATCTCCCCCCGGGAGCGCAAGGCTTGCGGGCGGCAGCCTGCAGCGCGGAGCACGGGGCGCCCTCCGGAGGACGCACCATGCTTCGCGCAGGTGTCCGCAAGCCTTGCGCACCCGGGGGGAGATCCCCCCAGGGCGCGCACGGCTTGTGGGCGGCAGCCTGCAGCGCGGAGCACGGGGCGCCCTCCGGAGGACGTCCCGTGCTTCGCGCAGGTGTCCGCAAGCCTTGCGCACCCGGGGGGAGATCCCCCCCGGGCGCGCACGGCTTGCGGGCGGCAGCCTGCAGCGCGGAGCGCGGGGCGCCCACCGGCGGACGCCCCCTGCTTCCCGCAGGGGTCGGCAAGCCATGCCACCCGGGGATCTGCCTCGGGAGCGCAAGGCTTGCGGGCAGCAGCCTGCAGCGCGGAGCACGGGGCGCCCTCCGGAGGACGCCCCGTGCTTCGCGCAGGTGTCTGCAGCCTGCCGCCCGGCTCATGGGGCGCCCTGAAGCAGAGCGCCCCTCACACCAGGCAGACATCGGCCAGCCCCACAAGCTCGGGGGACAACGGGGAGGCGCAGCGCCGCCATCCCACTGTTCCCCAACCTGGTTTTGGGGGGGAAATAAAGGGAAAAAAATTTTCCTTTATTTCCCCCCCAAAAAAGTAGGTGCGTCCTATGGGACGGAGCGTCCTATGGAACGAAAAATACGGTACTTATGCAAACCTTGGTCCTTCCTAGAGCCTGTCATACTGCCCTTTCGCGCATGGATGGTGCATTTTCGGCCACATAAGGATCAATACTTGTAGAATGAGTTCACCATCAGCATATGGGATTACTTTAAGAAACACAATTAAGGGCCCTTTGCCAACTATCAACACCATAGCTTCAGGTTTCATTGGAAAGATGCATTTCCAAAATAGGGTGGTCACTTTTTCTACGGACAATGGTGCCTTTCAACACTACTATAATGGGCAGAAGTCGGTCAGGTGAACTGATCTCAGCATGGAGAGATGAAGCAATGGGAAGAAGTGTTGGGTTTGTGCTTACCACTCAACTGTAAAAGATGCAAAAACTCTTGTCTCTAAAAAGATGGCAACGTGACCCAGAAAAACAAGATCTCGGCCCAGAAATGATTAATCCCAAGATTGTCTTTAATCCTACATCTAGTTCATTGAAAGTCAAGGAGATAATTTGCATGAATAATCATTTACAGAATTTGGCATTTCAAGGGACAGCATGGACAGCACGTAAGCCACAAAAAGAAAGTTAAAGACATACCAGGTACGAGAAGAACAAATCAGGTAAATACTTTGATGCCTAAGGGTGCAGGTCACAACCCAGAGATCCCACCCTATAACTTTATGTTATTTTTGATACAGAAGATAGAAGAGGTAAGCAAATGAAAGAGATGGTGGAGCGAAGTGGGGAGATGAGTAAGAGAAGCGATGTCTGCCTAGTCTCCCAATTTGGGAGAAAATTTTAATGTAAAGGTCTTCTCCAGGTTGCATCCTGGCAACCCCACAAGACGCCTTTGTTCTTGAACAGGTTAATGGCAATGCTAGCAATGGATTACTAATAACACACCCACCAATTCATGGAAAGGAAGAAATCATTCTGTGATGCAGGAGGTTTTTTGTTTTCTTATTTAGAATTAAAGTACGTATAATAGATCCTTACAGCTGCAGACCGCTGATAATAGTCCCAAACAAGCCCACCATTCCTAGAAACTCCACTCTGCTCAGATTTTTCACAATGTATTCCTCACTCACATTCGAAATGGCATATAAGGAAGCACCAAGGAGGACTAAGACATCGCCGATCACCACGTCGGTACCTGCACAGAAAATATAAATTGACAAGCACAAAAAGAGGGAGGCTGCTGTAAAATCCAACTTGCAGGCATTTTTAATGGCAAAATCAGGTATAAGCACACAGATCATTTTTCCAACTATTTATTCTTTCTTCCAAGGAGCTCAAGTTCTCCTCCTCCATTTTCTATATTCACAGCAATGCCGTGAGGTAGCTTAGGCTGAGAGTGAGCAATTGTGACTACCCTGTGAGCGTCATGGCTAAATGGGGATTTGAACCCAGGTCTCCCAGGTCCTAGTCCAATGGTCTAACTACTACACCACATTGGCAACTACTGGAGTATTTAAGAAAGTGTGTCGGGTACTTGCCACAGAATCTATTTTCAGCTCAGAAGACATGACTGTGTTTGGACTTCATGATAAACCATAGTTCATAAACCATAGTTTATCATGGTAAAAAAAAAAAAAAACCTGCCACAAGGAGATCAGAAGTTTCTTTGTTTTATCCAATGCTGTCGTTCTGCTTGAGCAACAGCAGACTTGCTTGTGCAATGGAACATCCTCCTCCTTTCTCCAGCCTCCACACACCATCAAAATCTGCTCCAACGGGGGGTGGGTGGGTAGGCTGGAGCAGATTTGGAGTGGGGAAAAGAAGTCTCACTGCTCTGGTGGAACTCTATGCACATAGCACTAAATACAACTCTGTACTTCCAATTAACGCCCACATTTGTGTCTGAACTTTTATTATTATTATTATTTATTATTATTATTATTTCTACACCGCCCTATACCCAAAGGTCTCACTGTGAAGAACTCTACACTGTGGTTAATTATATACAGTGGTACCTCGGGTTAAGAATTTAATTCGTTCCGGAGGTCCGTTCTTAACCTGAAACTGTTCTTAACCTGAAGCACCACTTTAGCTAATGGGGCCTCCTGCTGCGCCGCTGCTGCACGATTTCTGTTCTCATCCTGAAGCAAAGTTCTTAACCCGAGGTAATATTTCTGGGTTAGCAGAATCTGTAACCTGAAGCGTATGTAACTTGAGGTACCACTGTATCATGGTTTGTAGTCGGCCTGCTTCAAACAAGTCTTCGTCTGCTGCTGACCATCACATCTTTGGGGAAATCTGAATTCTAAACAAAACCTTCTTTTCTGAAACATGGTTTTGTGGAATGTACTGTACTGGTCAGGATATAGACTGGACTCCACCCCACCCCACCCCAAACCTGGCTTGGGGTGTAAGCCTATGTTTATTGTGGGTCAGGATATATTGCTTTGCTGCCTTTGAAAAAGATCTCTGTTTCGCGGTGCGGCCTACATTTGTGGGCAACTTATTTTCAGACCAATATGTACTACCTGTTAGTTGGGCACTTTAGGAAACCAAGCAAAATGTAGTTAAGGGAAGAACAAGACCTTAAGTTCCCCCTCTTACATTAACAGCCTAATTTAGCCCTTTTGTAAAAAAAATCAATACATCGATCTCCGTAAGTTCTCAGTAAATTCCTAAATGGATGCTAAGAGTATGACAGACCCTTTTTCGGTTTGCTTTTGGAGGCCCCGGGATTTAGAACTGTTTTACTAGCTGTAACATGATCCAGTTGTGGGATCTTGCTCAATATTGAATCAATGCTAAAAAAATGCTGCTCTTATTAGAGACGCAAGCTTTTTCACCCTGGCAGGGCTCCTGTTGCTTTAGCCAGCAGAATTTGATGCAAGTGAAGTTTTTCCTATTGGCATGGCCGGGTTGTGGATTTCTGCCTCTCACACTGCTGTTGAGAGGCTCTGGAGATTTGCCAGGAAACTCTGGGCCTTTCTGAGCAGAGTGGCTTCAAATCTAGGATAGACTCTCCAACTGGAGCAAACCAGTGGAGCCTGAATGGCAGGTGAGAAAGATCTGACAGAGATCATAGCTAGGTTGCAGGTACTGTGGTAGGAAGCAAGCCTTCGCCCAAATCCATAAAAGGAGATGCCATCATTATGAAAGCATGCTCAGTACATTTCCATTCAACAAGGAAATACCGTATTTTTCGCTTGTGGTCTGCACCAGACCACAAGATGCACCTAGTTTTGGGAGGAGGAAAACAAGAAAAAAAATATTCTGAATCTCAGAAGCCAGAACAGCAAGAGGGATCGCTGCGCAGTGAAAGCAGCAATCCCTCTTGCTGTTCTGGCTTCTGTGATAGCTGCGCAGCCTGCATTCACTCCATAAGACGCACACACATTTCCCCTTACTTTTTAGAAGGGAAAAAGTGAGTCTTATAGAGCAAAAAATATGGTAGTTGAGGTATTGTCAGCACTGCATCGGATGCTCACCAGGCCAATCCCGACTCTGCATAAGGTAGCTTCAGACATTCATTTATTGAAGTATTTCATTTATAATACCTGCCTGTCCTACCACAAGGTAGGAGACAGGAAGTTCTCCAACAGAACAGAACACAACAGGCTTTGTTTGAAGACCCAAGATAATGGAAATGACTCTGGGAGACTAGACCCCCAATATATCTGAAATGTTGAGCTAAATTTCCTGCCCTATAAAATAAGAAAAAAGCTAGCAATGTCCCACCCGTGGCCATACAGCAGGGGCAGGGAGGGGCGGTGGTATATCCTGCTAAATAATTGTTTTTAGGAAAGCTTGTCTTTAACATCTGATCTTACTGGGGATTTTAAAGTGTATTTTATGTAAACTGCCTAGAGGTTTTGTTGATTAAGCAGAACATAAATTGTGTGTGTGTGTGTGTATTAATCAAATTTCAGAGTCTTGGATTTTAGGATTATTACTTTCTTTAGAGATTTCTGTCCTTTGCCAAAAATACTCACAGGGCAGTTAACAAAAACAGGGTAACATGAAACCCTAACAAAACAGAAAGATTACACCAGTTCTCATGAACTGCATAATTAGTAATAATAGAAAAATTACTTATCCTATCAGACTCTGAAAGCCCAACAAAAAAGGTGGTGTTTTACCTGGAATCTAAAAGAATATAAAGATGGGGAGAGATGTACATAAGTTAACTCAAGAAAGTTTGTGGAAGGTTTCCTGCCCTCTCCCATTCCCCCAGCCCCCTACATGCCCGACCCTACATTTTTCAGGAAGGCTCCAAGGGGAGAGAGACAGAAACCTTTGCCTCTGTGAACTTCCTTACCTTAGCATCCAAGCCAGAATATACATTTCAGAACCATGCAGTAGTCAGCAACACATTTTCAGGCATTCCGATTCCATGCATCTTTTTATTTTTCAGCCAGTGATACCCAAAGCCCTAGCACTTCAGAATTCAGGCTTTCTCAACTAAGCACAGAGCAGCAAAGAACACTGATTGGAATTCAACACAGTACTAAATGCAAGACCCCCCTCCTGCCCCAAACCTTTTCTGCGTTCCCCCCTCCCCAATCCTCCAGGAGCAGACTTAGGGGGTGTGAGGCGATTCACAGGGGGAAGGAGGAATGCCATTGCGTAAGAGGGCCTCATTCTGTGCATTCAACAGCTTACCTGAATCCCGCCCGTATATTTCCCCATAGGAACAATAACATGGTTATTATTTCCTCGAAGCAGAAATACTTGACGTATTCTGGAATTACTGAAAATCTGTTTCAGAGGAAGGATTTGAACACTCAGAGAGGACTCTCCCATGGACACAATGTTTTTTGCATTTCACCATGACATTTTCTCCAGCCCTTACCTTCCCCATTGTGCCTCTCAGCTAACACGTCCGCACCGACCATGGTGCCTACTCCCAACAGGCAGACAGCAACCGCAATGAAATGGATCAGTTTGTATCTTGCGCGGAGGATGAACCACGATAAAGCCATCAGCACAGGAATCCCAAAGCAGTCTAGGAGCTGCCGTGTACAGAAAGGCATACAGTCCGGTCATAAAAAGGAAGGCACATGAGGACTAATAACTCCTCCAGGTAGCAAATATTCAAATTTTTAAAAAATGAAATTTGGAAAGAAATACAAAAGATTCATATCGGATATCTTTATATCAAGACTAAAAAGCTAGTCTAAATGATCTAAATAAAAACACAGAGCAGTAAGAGCAGGCATAGGCAAACTTGGCCCTCCAGACGTTTTGGCACTACAACTCCCATCATCCCTGACCACTGGTCCTGTCAGCTAGGCATGATGGGAGTTGTAGAGTCCCAAAACATCTGGAGGGCCAAGTTTGCCTATGCCTAAGTAAGAGGGAGAAGAAGAAAATAAGAAAGAAAGGAAAAATGGGGGAAGAGGGAAAGAAAAAGAAAGAGGAACTTCCAATTCTTCATCTGTCAGCAGTAATAATACAGAATTATTCAACGCATGCACTCCAACATAACACCCAACAAATCCACCTTCTGTAAACCAACATTATCTTCATTCTTCAAGCCCAGATATCATAACTTCATTTTCTTTTAAATGCAAAAAGTCTCTAAGAAGTTTCCAATCCATGGGAAGACATCAGTAAATTAAACAAGGTCGAAACTAGCCAAGCAGTTTAGATGATGGGGCAGCAACACTTATTCCTGATGCATAAGGTACCCCTCATGCTTAGAATATATTTAGAACAACAGCATTGTCTGGGATGTTGATAGTTAAACCAGCCCTGCTCTACTCCCCCCCTCCCTCCACACATACATACACTGAAATATGTCTCCCTCCTGTAGCATCACTGACCCACAGAATAATATCTGGAATTCGCTGCTTGATCCGTTCACCCTGTTCAAGGAGAGACAGCAATAGGGGTGGCACTGTAGCTATTTTTAACAGTGACAGCCAGGTTGGTGGCAAACAACATTGCCTTTAAACGATCTGCTGGCGTCAGCTTGTTCCACAGGGGCCACCCCCTCATGGATCTCTATCTAAGGTGACAGAAGTTGCAATGTTTGCATTATGTTTCTTCTACAGCCTGGCCCTACACATGTTTACTCAGAAGTAAGTCCCACTGAGTTCAATGGTGCTCACTCCCAGTGGGGCCTACCAAGAATTGCTGTAGCCTTAATTACCAGGAAACAGCAGCGAGCATCTCACCATTATCAAGCCTCAAAATCTACAAAAATACTTCCTCAAATTGAAAACAACCAGACGAAGCAAAAAGGTATCTTTTATCCAGAGAAAGCAGCTGGAAGACTCCCATGGAGAGGATGTTTTGAGCTGGAGAGGATGTTTTCTAAGTATTTGTATTAAAAGTCATTAGCCAGTTTTCAGAAAATGCATCTGCTGCCCCGTTAACTAGGGGACACCTTTTTAATCTACCAAAAGGTTTCTAACGGATGAATTGGGTAATCACTGCTGTCCTGATTTTAGACAGGACTCTGTTGGATATTTACCCTCAAACATTGAAACAGTGCTGGAGTAGGATCCTGGGAGGCCACAGTTCAAATCCCCACTTATGCTCATTTGTGGGGGTTTTTTACATCTCTCCTGTGTAAAACAGTCCTACACAGTCTCGAGATTATGTGATGACACTGAGCATCTTCACTGTCCACTCGTTCTATTTACACCCCTATCTTTCCTTGAAGGAGCTTCTCCCCACCTCCATTTTATCCTCACCACAACCCCATGAGGTAGGTTAGGCTGAGAGAGAACTTGACTGGCCCAGTCAACTTCAAGAGGCTGGTTGGCGATTTAAAGCATCAAGTCTCCCTAGGCCTAGCCCATCACTCTGACCAATACATCACACTCGTTTATCGGTGGCTCTTCACACACACACACACACACACACACACTCATTTTTAAAGTGTAACAAGACTCTTTGCTCTCTATTCTACCTGGACACTTGTTAGGGTGGTATACTGGTAGGCTTTGACGATGGAGTAGTTGGCTTCAACGTCAACTAATCCAAGCAAAATGTACTTCCACCATTTCCTTCGCAGGATCTGCCAGAGGTTGTCGTCATCTGGAGAGAAAGCAAAACACAAATGTCAGCATTTAGGCATGGGTCTGCTCTCTGGTCCATCTCTTCTGCAGAAGCTCCCTCTGTGTCCCCCAAAGAATCCAAGTTACATTTGATAGTTTTATTATTATTTCCTCCAAGGAACCCACAGTGACATATGCGCTTTGCCCCCTCTCCATCTTTGGGCCTGTGAGGTAAATTTGGCAGAGAGCTGGCGACTGATCCAAGGTCACCAAGCGAGCTTTGTGGCCAAATGGAGATTTGAACCCTGGTCTGACACATGACTCTATTTGACCAAGGAGGCATCCTTCTCGAGGGCTGAACTATGCTCCAAAGCTCCTCAGAGAGGCCTACCTTACCCATTCTCCAACAGCTTTGCATCACCATGTGAAAACTTTTCTTTTTGACAAGCGTTTGACCAGACAAGTTTTGATATTTTCCCCGCCTAGAGTGGCTGGGAAAACCAAGCCAGACGGGTGGGGTATAAATAATAAATTAATAATAATAATAATAAATAATAATATTAATTTTACATTTTTTTATTAGCCACCACTCATTTCTATTTGTCGTTCTTTTTTATTTTACAATACAGTGCTTTTATTGTCTAGTTTTACTAAGGGAAAAGTGGAGTACCAATATCTTCTACCGATATAAAATGATAAACAATAAAAGTTTATTTAGCGGTTACGTTTACAGTTCACCTTTCCACTGGAAAAAGAACAAACTCCACCCAACCTGACTAACAGTAAAAATCGTAATAAAAAATGACCAATCCACAAATAATGTTTTGAAACATTACTTCTATTTTATTTTATCCATATTGTGATAACATATATTATGTATACTTGTTTTTAAAGCCTGTTTATTTTATTGCTCTTTTTCTTATGAGTATTTCTCTTACACTATTTTATGTAAACTTCTTACGAGAATTTTGAAAAAATGATGCGGTGTATAAATCTTGCTATATAAATAAATAAAATCTAAACATCAGGGTTTTTTTTTTTAAATGGCATGGAGAATCCTGGACATGGGCTGACTGACTGGAACAAGAATGCAGTGGTACCTTCGTTCTCAAATACCTTGGTACTCAACTTGGAAGCCAAACACTGCAAACCCGGAAGTAAGTGTTCCGGTTTGTGAACTTTTTTCAGAAGCCAAACGTGCTCCAATTTGAGTGTTATGCTTCTGATTTGAGTGCCACACTTCCGTTTTGAGTTCCACACTTCCGTTTTAAGTGTGATGCTGAGGTCTGTCTGTTTTTGCTATTTATTTTGCGTTTTTGCGGCTCTTTTTGTTTTGTTTTTGTGACTGTGTGGAACCCAGTTCAGCTACTGATTGATTGTGTGACTGCAGTACATTGTTTAATGCTTTCATTTTATGGATCAATGGTCTCGTTAGATAGTAAAATTCATGTTAAATTGCTGTTTTAGGGGTTGTTTTTAAAAGTCTGGAACGGATTTTGCATTACTTTCTGTGGGAAACCGTGCCTTGGTTTTGGAACGCTTTGGTTTTGGAACGGACTTCCGGAACGGATTAAGTTTGAGAACCAAGGTCCCACTGTACTCCACAATTCTGTGGCGGGTCCCACTTGTACCTTTTCTGAAGGCCAGAATCATTGTGTACACGAGGAAAAGCAGGCAATAGTTGATGAAACTCTGCAGCATTGGAGTGTTGACCTGGTACTTGTCGGCCAAGTACTGGCTTGTCACCGCAGTCCCACATATGAACAGCGAAAGTATCTGACCCAAGAATAGCGTTTTCACAATATGCCTGCGAATGAGAAAAGTTTAGAGGACCATTATTATTCTTCATGCATTTTTATTATTATTAACCACATGCCAATAATTGGGAGCTGCTTCGGTTACCTCACGTCAGCAAGTGAAGCGTAACTGCACCAAGAAAAATCATGCCTGTGACCCTCTAAATTTTGTTAGACATTAGCGCCACCATCGCTGACCACTGAGCAAACTGGCCACGTCTGAAGGCCCACGGGTTCTTCACCATTGCCCAACAGAATGATCTGGTTTAGCTATTTATTTATTTATTTATTTATTTATTTATTTATACTGCAAATGTATTAAAGGGGGGAAATAAAGGGGGGGAGACACATAAAGAACAGGAAAAGACAAACCACCACAGAACTAAAACAAACCCATCAGCTCACAGTGACAATTTTTTTTATTCACATTGCGTCAAGCATAGCTAAACACTTTGAATCCGCCAAGTTTGCCTAATACTGTACTTGCACTTGGCATCCATCCACTGTTACTTTAGAAACCAAAATTTTTTCCACAGAAATTTTTTCCACATCGCATTGCTCAGCACCTCACAGGTTCAAGAGCTGCTCCAACAGATTCCTTATGCTTTTTATTGTGTATAACGAACTACAGAGTCACTGCAAACCGACCTGCGAATTCATTACTTTAAACTCAAGAGCTGCCATTTAAACTTATTTACGTAGCATACATATTTCTAATTCATTCCTAGGAAGCTGCCAGAGAAGTTTATACAGTAATTGAAACGACAGGGGTTATTTCAGTCGAAAGTTCAAAAGGCGGACCGTGACACTATAATTATGACACGTTAAAAGCTTCAAAAGGTATAAAGTAACCGATAAAGAGGTAAACAAACAAATATAATACAAGACACAAACTGCAAGCCTGTGCAATATGTCCTATCAAAATGTTCTCAGCCTATCAAACATGTATGGTAGCACAAGCATTTCCTTTTGCAAAAGAGAGAGACCGTGAGTGTCTTCAGCATTCACATTTCACCAGGTGCATTTTGAACCTGGCTATTGACCAAGTGAAGATGCCTGGGTACCAGGATAGTTCCTGACATCTCCACCATCTGGAGCTGCATACCTGGGGATCCTTGGATCTTGACTGTTTTCACACACTAGCAACACATCCTCTGGAATTCTATGTGTTATATTTTATCTGTAGAATCAGAATGAATTTCAGGAACCAAAAAGTCATATTGCAAAAATACAATTTTCGAGCCAGCTGGCCCCAAAATGGCAACTAGTCATTCTGTTTTGGCGATTGTAACCATGATTTAAGAAGCCATTTGACACCTAGCTTATATATCTGAGTTTCTAACACTGTGTATGTCTGCTGAAGCACTCAACAGGCCCACAATTCATCCAACAATGTGCTGCTTTTTATTTGGTAGGTTGTAGGCCAGGGAATTCAGCAGTGAAATGAAAGTCACAGGGCCAAATACATTTTCTTTAACACCACATAAGCATCATCACCACATCTCTATCCCACCTTTCATCCAAAGAAAGTGGTTCTCTCCCTCTCAATGCTATCCTTCCAACAACCCTGTGAGGTAGTTAGGTAGGTTAGTTTAGAGAACATGAATTTCATGGCTGAGTGAGGATCTCAACCCTGGCTTCCCAAGGTCCTAGTAAAATCATGATTTAATGTGAACCATAGTAAAACTTCAGGTGCCTGATTCACAATCACTTAAGCCTTTGTTTACTGAATCACAGAAGAGTTAAAATCACCAGAGAGAGCAGTCGAGTGTTAATCACTCACAGTTGTGTAGCTTTGGGGGCAGCAGTGGTTTCTTAACCATAATTAAGGAGGGGGTTCAGATTTTGCACGTATTGCTAGGCTATGTAAAAGACATTTCGCAGCACAAACTTGTCATCGCCTGCAGAAAACAATCAATAGCAAGATTAATAGATGATAAAATGGCAACTATCTGAGGTGCTGGATAAATGATTAATAATGAGAATGCATGTTATTAAAGGCAAATGTGTGGAATTAAATAACCTTTTATAGGGTTTTAGAAGCACGGTGTGGAACGCCGATGGCAAAAACTTTAGTTTTCCACATGGAAAGAACAGAAAACACACATGCGTAACCAGCATCTCCCTCTCCACTAATTCCCCTAATTGTGCTACTGGGATGCCTATTGATTACCACTGTTCTTATCTATTATTTACCAGCCTATAAATAAAAGAAAAATAACCTTCCCCTCCCAAGCACTTGGATGCATCTCTCTGGCCCGCTTTACGAAGACAGTAAAGATTAATTGCTTTGGCTCCTTTCTGGGATGAGGTAATGGCAGTGATCTCAGGCAGACATTTAGTTCTACAACGCATGGCTTTGATTTATTCCGCCGGCCACAGGCCACAAAAGCTTGTCCCGCTCATTAGTTGTCTCATGTATAGTATACTCCTGCCCAGTCATTTCATTCCTCGGGAGAGACACTCTTAGTAGTGGCTTGTGATCCAATGGTTCGATTTATGTCCTTTCAGTGTGGCAGAACCTGCCCCTTGGAATGCGCTCCCAATGAATGTCAGGCAGGCTCCTGCAGATCTGGCACTTGGGCGCCTGCTTAAAACTCATCCAGGCTTTCCCTGAGGGGTAATACATGATGATGTATTAATCTGATCTACTGATTTGTGAGGCATTTTGTACTTGTCTTACGAATGCAATTTTATTGACAAATTTATGCTTTGTTCACTCACTGCCATGGTATTCCCCTACCCTCCTTAATGGTGGTATATAAATCTTTGCAAATAATTGCTAGATAGATAGATAGATAGATAGATAGATAGATAGATAGATAAATAAATGGGGGTTGCACCTCCTTGGCTCTGCCTCAATGTCTGAATGCCCTCCTTACCAATGGCACCATCGTCCATTCTGAAAATACAGTGGTACCTCGGGTTACAGATGCTTCAGGTTACATAAGCTTCAGGTTACACACTCCGCTAACCCAGAAATAGTGCTTCAGGTTAAGAACTTTGCTTCAGGATAAGAACAGAAATCGGGCTCCGGCGGTGCGGCGGCAGTGGGAGGCCCCATTAGCTAAAGTGGTGCTTCAGGTTAAGAACAGTTTCAGGTTAAGAACGGATCTCCGGAACGAATTAAGTACTTAATCCGAGGTACCACTGTACACACTCCAATGGCACAGGCCTCATTTCAGCAGTTTTATTCCACACTGCTGCAGTATGTATGAAAATCAGGCAGGCTAATCAGGTGGGTCCTCCATTTCTCTCCCTTCCAACTGCTGGCCAGATGGTGAACAGGTGGGGAAGTCCGATGAAGCCTGACCTACCTGCATTTTTCTGATATTCACTCATATACTGCAGCAGCTTTGGCTCACACCAAGTAAACCATCTCCTGCGGTTTAGAGGCATCATCCACTTTCCAATGAATTGCCTGTTTATCACCTTGCTGTCACTTTGGGAAGCAATCCCAATCAGGCTAAAACTCTATGAAATTCAAGTTTTCAGGCTGCTCTTCTGTTTAAGAGAGCTTTAGTCTGCTCAATTTTAAAGAAAATTAAGAAGTAATGAGTAAGCCACAGCGACGTTTCAGAAACATTGCCAAAGAGGCAGTCAGTTCACTCTTCTAGCTCACAAAGCAGCCAAGCGAGTTTATTAACTCACACTGCGAGACATGAAAGTGTGACTGCAGGTAAATGTTTTAACCGTTACGTTAATGGCAATCCAGGCAGGCGTTAATAAATTAAGAGGACGCTCAACTGTTGTGCCTGAAGCCTAAATTAACTTAAGAGTTGCTTTTACTCCAGAAGTGCCGCATGTACAAATGGCAAGAGAACTTGTGGAGTTGCAGTAAATTCAATATATTTTGGATGGAAGCTGATGACAGGTGATTTTCCCATGCACCTGCTAATATTTGCACTGGATTCTGTTAAAGAACTCCTCCTACCTGATCAAAATGAGAGAAGATATAATTAAGCTGTTTATTACGATCAGGACTGCGATAAGTGCTAAATGGAAGTTGAACAGTCTCACATTGTTGTTGTACCCACCCTTCACCATCCGATCCCAAGGTGTGGCACAATAATTTAAAATTCAATATTAAAAACCATTCAACACAAATGACTAACAGCAACACCTTGAACAGTCTGGGAGCAAATCAGCAACCTATCTGAGCAATGTGTTATGCGCTGGCAGGCTCTCACTCCTGTTTGCAACCATGCCACAGCATTCTGCGTGAACTGCAAAGGAAGCCCCACATAGGGTGCATTGCAGTAGCCCAATCTTGAAGAAACCATTGCACAAACCAGTGTGGCCAATCCAGGAACAGCTGTAGCTGCTGTACTAGTGGCACTTCTAGCCACTAAGACTACTTGGGCCTCCAGTGACAAAGTCGGCTCCAGAAGCATCCCCGGACTGCAAACCTGCTCCTCCAAAAAAAGGAGAATGCAACCCTATCTAGGGGAGGCAATTGACCAGTTTCTCAGGCACTTGGCCACAGCGCCTGTGACTTGCTAGGATTCAAGCTCAGCTTGTTTTCCTCTCCTTCATCTCATCACTGGCACCAGTCCAAGGGACTGCATGGCCTCTCCCGATTCAGATGCTATGGAGAAATAGAGCTGAGTGTCATCAACATACTGATGGCACCTTTCCCTAAAACTCCTAATGACCACTCTCAGCAGTTTCGTATTGACATTAAATAGCATTGAATATAAGATAGTGCCCTGCAGTACCCCATTATGTAATCTCCAGGGCATTGAAAAGCACTCTCCCAATGTTATTCTCTGGTCCAGGTTTGGATCATGGTCAATGGGATAGAGCTGATGAGAGATCAAGAACAGGAACAGTGTTAGAAACTCAGATACGTTAAACAGGCACCAAATGGCTCCTTAAACCAATGTTACAGTGGCCAAAATGGAATGTCTAGTTGCCATTTTGGGGTAAGACAAGATCTACCGTATTTTTCGCTCTATAGGACGCACTCTTTCCCCTTCAAAAATGAAGGGAAAATGTGTGTGCGTCCTATCGAGCAAAGACGCCATAGCCCCGCGACCCCCTCCCGGCTGGAGAGGTGACGCGCGGCTATGGCAGGAGCCTCTATAGCCGCGCGTCACCTCTCCAGCGGGGAGAGGGGCGCGGGGCTGCTTTAGCCCCGCGCGCGCCTCCCGGCTGGAGAGGTGACGCGCGGCCATGGCAGGAGCCTCTACAGCCCCACGTCACCTCTCCAGCCGGGAGAGCGCGCGCGGGGCTAAAGCAGCCCCCCGCGACCCTCTCCCGGCTGGAGAGGTGACGCGCGGCTATGGCAGGAGCCTCTATAGCCGCCCATCACCTCTCCAGCCAGGAGAGCGCGCGCGGGGCTAAAGAAGCCATAGCCTCGCAACCCTCTCCCGGCTGAAGAGGTGACGCACGGCTATGGCAGGAGCCTCTCCGCTGCGCCTTTCCGCTGCTCCGACCTGCTCTTTGGGGCTGGTGGTGGGCTTCCCCCCGTCAGCCCCAAAGAGCAGGTCGAAGGAACCTGAAGCCTGGAGAGCGAGAGGGTCAGTGCACACCGACCCTCTCGCTCTCCAGGCTTCCAAGGTAGCCGCCTGAACGCACCTTAATCGGCACCTTGTTTTAGAGTGGGAAAACAAGAGGGGGAAAGTTCTTCCCCTCTCTGCACAGCGCCTCCTGCCACTTTGCTGAAGGGGCGCTGGGCAGAGAGGAGGAGAATTTTTTTTTCTTGTTCTCCCCCCTCTAAAACAAAGTGCGTCCTATTGTCCGGTGCGTCCTATGGTGCGAAAAATACGGTAAACTCTCGTTTTTCCAATAGCAGACTGGCTTTGATTGATTCTCTGTTCAACACCTGGCTGGTTCAGATGACTACTTGGAGCTAGGTTAAGAACTTTTGAGAAATTAAATAAGAAAAGTCACTTGATCCAGGGACTGTCCACATATCTACTCGCCTATTCCGACCTTCTTTTTCTTAATGGCGGACATTCATTCCACAATGAACTATGATGTTCACTGCCCCTGCTCAGGCTGCACAGAAAAAGCATTTTGGTTCCTGAAATTCATTCCAATTGTGAGAATAAAATATAACCAATAGAATTCTACAGAATGTGGTGATTAGTGTATGAAAACAGTCAAGACCCAATGATCCCCAGGCAGACACCTCCAGAGATGGTGGAAATGTCAGGTACCCTCCTAGTACCCAGGCATCTCCCTCCACTTGCTCGGGACAAGATAAAGCAATGAACAAATTCAATTAATAATAATAATAGTAACCGCCATGGGCAGGAAAAGCTGCAGGGGTAATGGGGGGGAGTTGTTATTTAGAGTCACAAAATGGTGGGAAGCCCTCCTGTCATTTCTCTACTTTGAATTCCCTTTTCCCAAAGAGACTTTAGAAAGTTGCTATGGCCCTAAGTTTTAGTGTAGGCCTTAAACTGACCTCTGTCTTGTTCTGGTAAGGCAATTCTTATGTTGTCATAAGACAGTGGTGGGCAATCTTTTTTCTCTCCACAACAACAGGAGAGAGTCAGATCACTCTTGCCCGAGAAGTGAGCTGATCACTTGCAGAATGCCTTTAAAACTAGGCCAAAATTAGGTCCTAGGTACCTCCACTGTCCTAAAAGAGTGGTGCAAGAAAATTCCCTGTCCTTCACCATGCTCTTAGTCACTGTAAGACCTAAATTAACTTTTTTTTGGTCACGGGAGCTGTAAGAACAATGGGGGTCAATCCAGCATAATTTAAGTACTTTAAAAGACCACTAATTTAAGAAAGAAGGGGTTTAACATGGGGTTTAAATTTCCAAGCAACATTAGCTAGGATTAAAAGTACGTCCACTTTAGCCAAGGCATTTCAGAACCTCAGTAATTTGGAATCTTCAGATTGAAGAACAGAATCTACGTAACAACTACTCAGTTGTGGTTAATTGTTCTTCAACCTGTAGCCACTATATTCACAGGCCTCAGCCTTCAACACCAGTTGAAACTGTTGTATAATGTCCTCCCTCCCCTTACCGCAATGACATGTTGCAGTCTGAAGGCCTTTTGACGCAAGGGCCTGCCATTCTGCAAAAATATATCACTTGACCTTTCTTCCAGGAGGTAATGCAAGGTTCTTCGTTTAGAATAATACGAGAAAAAACTTGGCTGCCAGTTTAAGAAGCAGAAATTCCTTTGCAATCTGCTCTGCAACCTGGACCTTAAACCTTACAGAGCAATAATTTCCATCAAAAGGTCTCAAGCAAGCAGTTTTATCAATGTCCTATATCGCTTGGCTCTGAAAGAGAGGAGAGGACTGCCTGAGACAACCCTCCTCCCCGTAAGATTCATTTGTTTAATCGTTTGAAATTCTATTTAAAAAAAGGAAAAAAAGGATACAGAAGCGGGAGACAGGTCTGAAGTCCAATCTGGTCAAGTCCCAGTATAGGGATAAGAGCTTAACCCTTCTTCGCTTCACAGAAGGGCTGCAACAAATCATTAGCTTTGCACAAAGCACAGCAATATCTAGCTATGACATTGTCTGTTTATAATGAGAGGGACAGTAACAGTTCAGGTAGGCACATTAGGCCAACTTCCATTGTCATATAAGCGTACAACCAGTGCTGTTTTTCTAGAAAAAGGTGCCGGATCTCACCATGAACACCTCCCTTGTTCTCTTATGAAGGCAATGGCACCCACCTGAGGGGTGCTGGAACTGAGTTTCAGGTGGAAAAAAAGCGCTCTGTACAACCTTATAACAGCAAAGCAATTTCCAGTCCTAAAAGCATATTTACCAAGCTGATCCAATAAAACACATTGCCATACCAGTCTTGAGATCAACATCCCCGTTGCCTTGCCCTCCCCCAATCATAGCTGTCAACTTTTCCCTTTTCTTGCAAGGAATCCTATTCAGAATAAGGGAATTTCCCTTTAAAAAAGGGAAACGTTGACAGCTATGCCCCCAATAAGCAGCAGGGACATACCTGCCAAAAGCATAGCAGTTCTGCCCCACCCAAACAGCCACTTTTGCCTCAGGTGAGCTCTGTTTGCAGGGAAGCCTCTATGATCAACTGATCGTCTAGGCCCTGCCGAGTGCTGTGCACAGACCTGCGATTATACCTTTTAAGACCAAGAGGATGCTACTGCCATCATGCTTCAACCTTCCCAGACACATTTGGCCAACTGCTGTTGACAACAGAATATTGGACAAGATGGAGCAAGTCAGTTGCTCAAGACCATGATCTCGGAGTACCAGGCAGAGAGAGGTGTGGACTGAACCTATGTTTCCTGCACCTACAACCCATTTCAACAACGACAAACAAGTAAGACGGAAAGGTAGGTGACTTGACCATAACCACAAATGGAGCACAAGGCAGGGTGGGTGGGCAAAGCTAATCCACTAATCATTTCTCCTTCAATTAACTCCCTACCCAGATGCCCCAAATCAATCCCTCAGTTTTTTGTTTTTTTTACAAAGTTCACACAGTTTTGTTGTTGTTGTTTAGTCATTTAGTCGTGTCCGACTCTTCGTGACCCCATGGACCAGAGCATGCCAGGCACTCCTGTCTTCTCACACAGTTTACCATCCAATTAATGCTTCAAATATTCATTCCAGCCAAGATTAATTTTCCCCAGATCCTCCAATCAATTTCACAGCAGCTGGTTCCTCCCCCACCACAAAAATTGAATTTCCTACTCAGATACCGTCCCCCCCCACTACCAAATCAATTCCAATGGAAAAACATTAAGTTTCCGCCTGTTTCTTGCAAAAGCAAATAGATGCCAACTTTTCTGCTGGGCTCTCCTTTGATACTCTTTTACAATAACAACCAATATTCCATTATTCTGTCTGCAACTTAAAGGAGCAAGGCTTACAGAGCAAAGAAAACCTGGAATTCAAAACAGCCATCCGATACTGAATCGCCAACCACCTAATGCATCAGCCTTCCACTACTTTCGTTGCAACACCTCTCTGGCTACTCCACCCAACAGCCACTCAGGTGTTGGGGCATGCAAGTACTGAGCTGCAAGCATTCTGTTCTTGTTCACTGGCACCAACATCTCAGCCCAGACCCAGAGGCAACGTACCTATGCTCCCTTGGCAAGGAGATGTATTTTATGGTGATTTTTGTGCCCTTGGGCTGAGGGCCAACTCAACCAATCTCTAGGTTTGCCCCTGCCCACACCCTAAAGAAACTGATCAGCCATCATATGGGCGTCTAGAAGCCTACAGGCTGATCTAGGTCCCTTCAGACGTTTGTAGGGTGTAGAAAGCTGACTTATGCCAGGTTAGGCTATCGTCTAATGTTAGGAACATAGGCTGCCTTAGACAGAGTCAGATGATTGACCCACTTAGCTTAGTACTGTCCACACTGACTGGCAGCAGCTCTTGAAGGTTTCAAGCAGCATGCGGAGGAGATGCTCCTCCAGTCAGCCAAGGCCCTTCCCCACTGTCTACTTTCCAGAGCCTCTGCCAGCAGCATACACAAAATAATAATAATCAGCCGGGAACATTCTGCCTACATAGCATATGCTTCACCACTCCCCAAATAAATAAATTTCTTTATTCTGTATCAGTCAGCCATAAACCACTAAGACTTAAGCGGATGCACGAAGGCTCTTGTCCGAATACCCCGTGGCGCTCACGAACTAACCACAAAAAAAACAAAGTACGCCTTGGGCATGTGCAGAGGGCACAACCTCAGCCAGCCAACTCCAACCCACCCTACTCAAGAGGAAGGATTCCTCCGCCAGAAAGTGAACAAACTTGCTTTCCACGTGAACTTTGCCTTATTCCCCCCCACGTACCCACACACAAAAGCAGAAAGCGCTCCGACCGCGTGCCGCTTCAGAAAAGCACGTGCGCCACGGAAGGCGCAGCCCGGAAGCGTAAAGATAACAAAAGTCTGCTCAAAATCGGGTTGTAAACCCTCGACGGTATTGATCGGGTGCCAGCGCCTCGCTCGCTCGCCCTTTTGTGCTCACCAAGAGCAGAGCTTCTCCCGGACACGTGTCAGAAAGCTGCTGCGGAGGGATCGTGGGGAAACGGCTTCTGGTGTTGGTGGTGGTGATGATGATGATGGTGCCGCCGCTGCTGCTGTTGCTGCAACTGCCGGCGCGGCGGGGTTTCCATTCTTCAGCTCCAAGGAGGTCGAAGGCAAGCCTTCCATCGCAAGCGGCAGCCTGAGCGCAGATCCGCTCTGGAGAGGAGGCGCGGGCGGCAGAAAGCGGCGCGCAGGAGGAAAGGGAGGGGAAAGGAGGCGGGGCCGCCGCTACTGCTGCTCGGCCGACCTCCTCGGATTTGCTGCTGGGTGATGCTGCCGCCGCTGCCGCTGTTCCTCGCTTGTCTCCTGCAGCAAACGATTAGCAGTCAGCAGATCGCACAAGCCCGGATCAAAGATGCACAGCGCCCGCTGCCTGGTTGCTTGGGCACCTGCGCCAAAGGGTGCCAGCCAGGGGGAGTCAAAACAACCTCCCAGGTCCTCCCGCTTTTAGTTGCTCCAGGCTTCATAGCACCTGCTGTTAAGAAGACGCCTGTGTGGCCTTGATGAGAGCTTCCTGTTATTTATGCGTGTGTACCCTTTTCGCTCCTAGGGACTCCAGGCGGCTTACAGATAAAATCAGAGCAACCGAATTATTTTTGTAAAAAGCATTAATAGAATTAGACCCTGTCGGTCTCTAAGGGCTATTAAAAACATTGGGGAAACTGACGGCTTTTAATGCTATCCCTAAGCCTGTTAAAAAAGGTCTTCACCTGCCAAGGGAGCCAGTCTAGCTTTTAATGTATTTTTCATCTTTGTTGGAAGCTGCCCAGAGTGGCTGGGGAAACCCAGCCAGATGGGCGGGGTACAAATAATAAATTTATTATTATTATTATCATCATCATCATAGCGAGGGAGCAGTGGCATAGTGGGGTGGGGGCACAGAGACAGTTGCGCAGAGACAGTTGTCCTGGGCGCAAAATTGTTAGGGGGTGCAAAATTTCAACCCCTGATGCTGCCTCAGTACAGCTGCACACTTCTGAGACTGAGCTCTGTTGAAAATGGCATGCAAGTCAGGAAGTGACTTCTCCAAACAACAGAATGACTCCTCTTATCTCTGCGGCTGACATTTCCTGGGTGACATAAATGCCCTTAGGCAGTTGAATGCGCATGCGTTCTCCCTCCCACCTCCCCGTCCATGGAGCCCCAGGTGTTAGCAACTCACTAGAAGGGAGTTCCAGTGTCCGGGAGCAGCCACTTAGAAGACCCTCTCCTATGTCTCTACCAAGCAAGGGCACCTGGTTCATGGGAGCTGAGACACTGTGGGGGGCCCCCAATCTCTTTTTTTGAGGGGAGCCAGGCCCCCTCAATGTTCAGGACATTGCATCAGGGGCCCTCAATCCTTGGTAGCACCTCTGCTACTAGGTGTGTTTGTGAGAGGTCGAGAGAAGACAAAATTGCCTTGTATACACTTGGGATGGCAAAGCAAAGACCCTGTCCCATAGGATTCTGAATGACAGTGGGTGATGAAAACAGCATTATCCTTGCCCAAAGCTGTGCTTTGTGTTTCCTTGAGATTCGTCCTTCTCACATATGTGGAAATGTAGTAGCAAAGTCCAGATTGCCAGCTTGATTCTTCTCGTCTCACATCTGCATATTAAAGTAGCAAAGCCCAGAGTGGGCGATCTTCTTCGCACCTCGCTTCCAAAGCGGAAAGAACAAATCACAAACAAACACTGCTCAAATGTAACTGCTCTGTTCCGGCTTGACTCTGAGGTTACAGATAGTGAAACTGCAAGGCTTTATTATACAGACGTTTTAAATAAACTTGGTAAAGGAAAGGAAATAACGGAATGAAGAGGTGTGATACATGTTTTTAAAAGAAGGCTGTCATGTGTCTGGATTTTCCTGGACATTACCAGGATTTCAAAGGTGGGGGGAATTTCCAAAAGGTAGTGCTTTGTCTAACTTTGAGGTTTGTCTGAAAAAAGCTCAACAACTTTTTTTGGGGGGGTCCTGGTTTTTATTTTTGAAAGAAATGTCTCTAACAAATATTAGCTTCCTAGGTTGCCAAATACAAAAATTAACCCTAGTGCTTCTGCTTTATTAGGGTTGCCAAATTACTAAAACCAAAATGCAATCTAATTGTGACAAGAGTCCCTCTTTTTTCTGGTCCCTGTTAATTATCTAAAACATTTGCACCCCACGTTTCCAAAAGAGTCAGGGGGGCTAACAATTCCCTAAAAAAACAACCTATAGAGAGAGGTTAAGAATACAACAAAGAGTCAAAATACAACAAAACACTTGCTCAGTATTCTCCCAGAGAAGACGCAGCCTCAGCAAAAACAAAAAAAACCAACACCCCCCTCCCGAAAAATAGAACATAGACCAAAGTTCGTTAAAATCACTAACAAACAAAGGCCTCTGGAGAATGCCTGATTAAAATGCTGTTGTTCTGAACTGCTTAAAGATCACTTGAAAAAGTTGGGCAAGTTGTTTAGTCTGGAGAAGAGAAGATTAAAGGGGGATGTGAGAGCCCTCTTCAAACATCTGAAGGTCTGTTTGGCAGAAGCTGGAACAGACTTTTCCTGTGTTGTTCCTTGGGGCAGTACTGGGATCAATGGTTAGAATTTGCAGGGAAGCAGAATTTGGCTCAACATGAGCAGCAAGACTCTAATTGTATGAGGAGCTCAACAATGGGACAAACTACCTCTGGGAGGTGATGATGAAGGAGGCCGGGCAAGGATGCTGTAGTTGTGTCCTGTGTTGCACCCTTCACCAACCTGGTTTTGGACTAAAACTCTCTAGCTGAGGCTGATGGGAGTTGTGGTCCAAAAAGTCTGGAGGGCACCAGATGCACAAAGGTTGGATTGGGTGACCTCTGAGTTTCATTCAAACTCTAATTCTTGATTTATTTCCACACACTCCCATGTCATGGACACAGAGGAATGGTGGAACCAGGTGGGGTACCACCGAATGAAGAAGGCTCAGAGCCCAGGGACTGGTGGTGGGATGACAATGAGTGGCCAGAGGGAGAAGACTGGGAAGAGGAGATGTTGGAAGCTGAAGAGATAACAGGATTTAGTGAGTCTGTGGTAGACAGAAATCCAGAATCAGAGGCAGAAGCTGAAGAAGGGGGGAGGGAGGCGAAGAGGCCAGTGTCTCCTGCTGCTGCTGCAACAAGCTCCCTTCCGCTCCTGTCTCCCAGAACCAGAAGAGGGCTGAAATGGACGGTGCAGCGACAGGCTGCAACCAGGCACAGTCTCTGATTGCTTGGGAAAAGCCCTAGAGAGGAGGGGACTTAGACAGCTGTTGGGAGGCAGGCAACTGATCCATGGGACAAGACCTATCAGGGAAGAGCTGCTCATTAGGCCTGATATTCCACCAAGTCTGTGCAGATCGTGTTCTTCCTACTAAAGAGTTAATTCCAACTTGCATGGTGTGATTTACTGCCAGCTCACCCCCAGGTTTCAGGCAGACCCCTGCATCAGGTACGGCCGTGGCTCAGTAGTAGAGCACCTGCTTGGCATGCAGAAAGTCACAGGTTCAATCCCTGGCATCGCCAGGTAGGACCTGGGGAGACTGGAGAACTGCTGCCAGTCAGTGTGGAGCCTCCTGGTTGTTTTACAGAGGACAGGGTTAATCAATGGCTATGCTCTTCCTCTGAATGCACTGTGCCTCTGAATGGCAGTTGCTGAGAATCACAAGTGGGGAGAGTGCAGGTATGTTCAGGTCTTGCTTTGGTGCTTCCCATAGGGTACCTGGTTGGCCACAGTAAGAACAAGATGCTGGACTAGATGGACCATCAGCCTGACCCAACAGACTCTCCTCATGTTCTTAGCTATAATAATAGTAGTGGTAGTAATAATAATAATAATAAATCCCACCCTCCCCGGCCAGAGCCAGGCTCAGGGCAGCTAACACCAGTAAAATTACAGTAAAAACATAATGGGGGGGGACCAATTTAAAATACAGGTTAAAATGCAATTTAAAATGCAGCCTCATTTTAAAAGTAGCCCATAGCTCAAAACCATAAGGGGAGGGAAACATAAGGGTCAGACTGAGTCCAAACCAAAGGCCAAGCGGAACAGCTCTGTCTTGCAGGCCCTGCGGAAAGATGTCAAGTCCCGCAGAGCCCTAGTTTCTTGTGACAGAGTGTTCCACCAAGTTGGAGCCAGTACTGAAAAGGCCCTGGCCCTAGTTGAGACCAATCTAACCACCTTGCGACTTGGGACCTTCAAAATGTTGTCATTTGTGGACCTTAAGGTCCTCCGCAGGGCATACCAGGAGAGGCAATCCCGTAGGTATGTGGGTCCTAGGCCACATAGGGCTTTAAAGGTCAAAACCAGCACCTTAAACCTGACCCTGTACTCCACCGGGAGCCAGTGCAGTTGGTAAAGCACTGGATGAATGTGATCCAGTGATATCCAGCTACCTGTCTTGAAGGAAGACGGGGAATATTTCTTTTTTTATATAAAAATAAGTAATTATTACAATCTCAGGGAGGGTATACCTTGACAGGAGCATAAATGCAAACCCACGTAGTCTGTGCACAGCTGTTGAATGTTTAACTTCTGATATCCTATCATAGGCAATTACCGTATTTTTCGCTCTATAAGACGCACCAGACCACAAGACACACCTACTTTTTGGAGGAGGAAAACAAGAAATTATTCTGAATCTCAGAAGCCAGAACAGCAAGAAGGATCACTGCGCAGTGAAAGCAGCAATCCCTCTTGCTGTTCTGGCTTCTGGGATGGCTGCGCAGCCTGCATTCACTCCATAAGACGCACACACATTTCCCCTTACTTTTTAGGAGGGAAAAAGTGAGTCTTATAGAGCAAAAAATACGGTATGTTGTTGTTGTTTTTCTAGTCTAAGTTTAACCCAAGAGCAAATACCTTCTTGGCTCTTAAGTCCTCAGAAGAGAGGCTGTTGCTGTGTAAAGAAATGATGCGCTGCACACAGTAGAGAGTTACAATGTGTTGATTAATTAATTAAAACCAGCTAATTAAAAGGGGAAATTTGGGCTCTTGTCCTTAGTGTGAGAACAGGGAAGTTACGCAGGCGTGTTCTTGTTGGCATCTGCAGAATGTTGGACCAGCATCCTTGGTAAGATCCTGGAGTGTATCTCCCATTTTATTTATGTATTGCTTTAACTAGGGCCCCCTGATCACTCTGCTCTCTAAGCCCAGCTACCTGCCAACTCTTTTGCCGCCACTCCATGCTTTGCAGTGCATTTTCCTGTCATTTTCTTTACTCCAAAAAGTTCTATTTCAGGAAGCAAGCAGGTTTATTTGTTTTTTGTTTTATTATATATCCCAACTTTCCTTCAAGGAACTCAAGGTAGCATGTACAGTCATATCTCGGGTTACAGCCGCTTCAGGGTGCGTTTTTTCAGGTTACGCACCCGCCAAAACCCGGAAGTACCAGAATGGGTTACTTCCGGATTTCGGCGGTCACACATGCGCAGAAGCGCTAAATCATGCTTTGCGCACGTGCAGAAGCATCTGCGCACGAGCGGGTTGTGAACGTGCATCCTGCACGGATCATGTTCGCAACCCGAATGTCCACTGCATATATTTCTCTTCCCTCCATTTAATCCTCACAACCCTGTAAGGTAACTTAGGCAGTGGAGGAGCTTCATGCACTGGGGGTAGAGAGCAGGCAGGGGCGTGACTGGCGTGCGTCCCGGGGTGTGTGGTGTGCATCCTGTGGGCATGTCATGCCGCCCGCAGGGGTGTGGCGTGCATCCCAGGGGCATGACGCACTGCCTGTAGGGGTGTGGTGCATGTCCTGGGGCGTGGCGCCCAGCGCGGGGGAGGCAGCCGCGATGACACCTCACCGGGATCGTGGTGCCGGGGGCAGTGCGATCCCTCCACCCCCCTCTTCCTCCGCCAGTGAACTTAGGTGGGTTAGGCTGAGAGACTGTGGCTGGCCCAAGGTCACCCAGTGAGCTTTGTGGTCAAGTGTGGACTAGAAACCTGGGCTCCCAGGTCCTACTCTGACACTTTAGCCACTATCCTACCCTGCATTGGCTCTCCTTGTTTGTTACACAAGAGCACCAAATCGTTTGCACAGCCAAAATTTGGTGGAATGTAAGCGAATCCTACCCTAACAGTCTGCAAATGGCCTGTGTCAAGGATTATTAAGGAACACAATCATCCTGATCCCATTAACCCCCATTCTTACATTATGATGACTCTTGTGATACGAAAAGAAAAAGTAGTTTTTTGCCCATAAGAAAAACTTCGTCATTCATATGACAAAGCCAATGCCTTTACTAGGCCAAACAAAATTCCACAAAATAGTGTTCAAGATTTTGGGTTCAACAACAACAGTAACAACATTTTAGTTAAGATTTTATGGTAAATCAGAACAAGTGCATGAAAACACACAAAAACTTAAGATCCTAAAAATAAAAAGGTTAAAACATTCCAAAATCTACATCGCATCCCATTGCAGACAGGAAAAAGGTGCACAGAGCAGAGGCAGAACACAAAGTCCTTTTGAACGAACTACATTCGTTCACCAGATGGAGCCTCAGTACAAACGCAAAATGCGAGAACATTCAGGGAACCAAACCTTACTTTGCATTTTGATGCATGTCAGTTCAGCTATATGTTTTTTTCTTATTATTGAAGGTAAGGGTGTACAGTGAGTAAAGATGGAAAAAAACTGAGATGGATGGGGTTCCATTAAGCATCTCTGCTTTTTGGAAACATAAATTCCAGTCTCTGCAATGGCTGGATAATCAGTTATCATTTACATTATTTAAAGCTTAGATTAAGTGGGTACCAGGGCTATCCCCACTTTTCCTGCTACAACACCACCCACTTTTTATGAATAAAAGCAGGATGTACTCTATAAATTCATGCAAACCCTTATGACTTGTATTGCCTACTTATTTTTATGTAAATAGTATCCCATTGATTATAACAGAATTTGGGAGACAAACCTCTCCCCTGGCTTTTAAGTTGCCAGCTACATTCATTTCTTCTTTGCCCAGCTATTTAAAAAAAGAAGCTACAAGACAATTAACCTCATTTGAATGAATAGCTATGGGTTCCTTGGGCCCACAAAAGTTTCATTGTTGCGTAAAATTTTGCTAAATGCTACTTCTGCTTCAGACCCAAATCATAGGTCCCAGCTGGGAAGTTCAGGTGGAAGAAGACAGGTAGAAGGTGATGGGAAGACCTCCGCCCAAAACCCTGGAATAGGATTGTCATCTTCCTGCTTACAGAAGACAGTGTCTATTTCAGCTGTCCTGTGTTTGAAGGGCTGGTCAGCCCAAGTTCCATTTAAAGGCAAAGAACTGCTGGAAGGGAGAGCAGGAGATTTGCAATTGCTCATCAGCAGCTGACACCTGGACAGGTAATCTGGCCACAGTCTTCCAAACCATAGTAAGATCTATTTTATTTCTATTTAAATTATAGTAATTATTTCTAGATTTGCAGCTATACGTGTACATGGGCATAAGCAAATGCTATGCAAATCAGTGTCCTTACTCGTCCTCTTTATTTGTTGACGCGTTTTCTCTTTCATTCCTTTTTTGGCAATGCACAGGGGTCCACCCAACCCTGAAAAGCTTCTGCTGGAGAGAGCAGATTATATTGGGCTAAGTAAGGTTATTGACAGCAACTTGTGCTGCAGGTATGAGGCTCTAAAAGCAAGCCATTTCATGTGCAAGAGTTGTGCCTCCAGTATTAATTCAGAGGTTTGGGAAACTGCTCCGAAGAGAAGGCTCAGGGCCACTGTTGTTTTCCTTACAAAAGACCATGCAGCCTTCTTGTTTTTCTGCGAAGAAATACCACTACGTGGAATGAATATATGAAGGTTTTCCCCAACGCCCCCCCCCCTTTTCCCTGAGCATTAAAATGCAACACACAACATGTACTTTCTAACTTGGTTCTGTCTGATTCCAGGAAACGTGGTCCTGAATTTATATTTAAGAAGCTTGATTGGTATAGAAATATATTGCAATTTCTTTTCATTAACATTTGTCACTTGGCCTTAAATATCGCTGGTAGGAAAAGCAGCTTGGAAGAGGCTGCATTTAGTCTGGGCACCAAGCCAAATTGCACTTCCAATCCCCCACACCCTGCCAGCCATTACTGGAATTAGCAATAACCCTGAAATCTTTGATGTGTGCAGTGGGTTTTCAGCAAAATCTCACTAAATTTGACTGGGCAGTTTCCCCCATCGTTTCCACTGCATGTTCTTCTTGCAGGTACTTATACCTGTTTCCAGGTCTCTTAGCTGTTTTGCACAAACAAATACAAGCATCATTATTTATTTTGTCTGCTTAAAGCACTTCTAGGCTGCATTTAATCATAATAATTGTAATTATAAATACTCAAAGGTTTGTTGTCGCTTATACTGAGAAACAATTGCGGTTTCCATCTTTTGTAAGTTGCTATGGGTGTAACTGACTGTAGAAATGGAACAAACCAGTAAACAATAAAGCAATAAAACAATGATTAAATGCCACATGCTTTGGAGAGATACAAAGGCTGGATAATGAAAGGGTGAAAGAGCTGGTCTTCTTTCACTTATCACAATCCA